CAAACTGACAAACTAACATTATTGAATGTAATAATTATAAGTTTTTAATTTTATGTACACAATTATGTGATCAATTATAATAAGTGAATATGTACTTCAATAAAGTAAAAAATGTGAAAAAACTTTAATATTTAATTTGATATATTATTATTATTATTATTATTATTATTATTATTATTATTATTATGAGCTTGTATTGGAACTATATCTATCTATCTTCAAGCTATTTTTTACAATATTTTGTAGAATACTTATACCTCTAAAAAAATGTTTGTTTTTTTTTTTAAAAAAATAATTTATTTATTTAATATGTTTGGTTATTTTCATTATATATTTTAAATTTCGACGATCTTATGATTTTTAGTTGATTGTATTTATCTTGTGTTGAATCTACGTTGTTCAATAGTTTGTTTATTAAGTTATTCGATTAGGTTTTTATTCCACATATTTTTACGCTAAAACTTAAGTGTGACTTCTAATTATATACGTTTGAAGGGAATTTGGTTGGAGTCTTTCATACAACTAAAATTATGATTTTTTAAAGAAAAAGAAAATAGTTCAAGCTTATACCATTCGTGGTTGATGAATTTTCCTCTGCATTGAGCCATAAAGCAATTGATGTGTTTGATCATAGAATGAGAATCCTCTCTTGAGAATAAAGTGAATTATGAAACCCTAGCATTCATCAGAAGTCTTACATAATTCTCTCTCTTTTTTTTAAATGCTCTTTGGATAACTTGCGTGATGGCTTCAAAGTCCGTAGGTGGATTCCGAGGTGGCGGCTGTCCTTTTATTGCTCCAGAAATATTTGATCTTGTTGAGGCATCTTTGGTTGTTGTATGTTCTTTAACGACGGATATTAAGATTACCTAAGTTGTTCTACTCCCATAATATGCATGGAAGATCCTTGCAACTGATGAAGTGGAGGCCTAAGAGTCTTCTAATTTCTAACATAAGATCCAACTATATCTAATTGAGACATATATAGTAAATAAAAATAAAATTCTTTTTCAACTTTATTTAAGTTGATTGTGCATGTCTTTATATATATATATATATATATATATAATTAATGGGATTGATTATCAACTATATCTAATTTAAATATAGTAAACAAAAATAAAACTCTCTTTCGACTTTATTTAAATAAGTTGGTTGCACCTATCTTTAAATAATAATAATAATAATAAATTGTAACAAAGATTGAGTGTCCAATTATATCTAATTTAATATAATAGTATATAATATAGAAAATCAATATGGGTCCCACTTTCAAATATCAATTTCTTTTTTCTTTTTTCAATTTATAAATAAATTAATTTTGTATGAATTGTTTGTTATTATTACTTTATAATTAATTCAATTATTTTGAAATAAATATTGAATCAAAGAAATCTCTTAAATTTCGGTTTCACAATTGCACGACGTACATGAGATGCTTAGTGATCCTATTAGACGTATCAATTTGTTGTTGTTGAAAAATCTCCATCATCGATCTATTCTTGTATCTATGCTTCTCTTTCATTTGGACTTACTACATTTTTTGTGTTCATTTTGGTGATTTGGGTTGATTTGTAATGTGCATTTTTTATTTTAGAATTTGAAACGAAATTTCATCTTATTCTTACGATTTCAAAGTCTTTCCCTATTCTCTACGTGCTTGCATAAATTGTTGGCTTCATCCTTCAAGAATCATGGTAAAGCAACGATAATATTGCTTCCGAATTCCTTCACAAACGCGTGATTAAAAAAGAAAAGAAAAAAAAAATTACCTTTTTTTTCATAAATTAAATTTTAATTTAATTCCAACATATCAAATAAGACATCATTTTCAATTATTATTTGTAATTTTTTTATATTTAAATAAATAACATCTGATTCAAACGATCACCTCCAAACAAACACAACTTAAAATTTCTTATTTCAAAACCCTAAAAAATAGTAATATTAAAAAAAAAAAAAAAATCTTCTTTTTGGGAACACCTTCGTTTCAAGTTCGACCAATATTCTTCGATCATATTAGGCTATACTTTTTTAGTTATCCCTTGGTCCCAAAAATAAGTCCAAATCTTTTTAGTCCAAATCCAATAGTATGATTAGTGCTAAGGTTTGAATCAAACAAACTGAAAAATAAATACAAAAATAAAATCTTTTTTTGACTCTATTTAAGTCTTCTTCTTTTTTTTTTTTTTTTTTTTTTTCTGGAGGACTAGCCTAAGTTATGCCTTAAAAAGTAGGTTGTGGGTACCCACACCACGAATAGAAAAAGCGGAAAATAGAAGAGGAAAATAGGCCAGACGAGGGCTTCGCCATTACACTACACTCTTATTCCCGACTTTATTTAAGTAAATTGATAGCAACTATCTTTATAGAGAAAAGAAAAAAAAGTAATAGGATTGAGTATCAAGTTATATCTAATTTGAATATAGTAAACAAAAAAAAACTCTCTTTCGATTTTATTTAAATAAGTTGGTTGCACCTATCTTTATATAAAAAATTTAATAATTTAGGATTGAGTATTCGATTATATCTAATTTAAATATAATATATAAAATCAATATGGATCCCACCACCAATAAAATCACAATTAATTAATACTTATATGTTTATCATAACTACTATATTTAATTTAAAAAATAAATTAGTAATGTATAATATTTTTATTTATTAATTTAAAATTATTACAAAAATATACAACTTATATTAATGCTAATTATCAATCAATAAAAGATATTATTTTGTACAATATAATATAAAAAATTATATTAGCAATTTTGTTATATTTAACTAAAAATGAAATATTTGTAAAATAAATTATACATGCATTGTTATACTGATATTAAAATTTATTATCTATATTTCATATAACATAATTTATAATGTTATATAAATTATATTAATGCTAATTAGTAAGATTTATTATTGTACATGATATTTTTCAGAATATAAGGTTTGTTCGCTTTGTGTTTTTTTATCTACATATTTTTAAATTTTATATAAAAAAAAATATAAAAAATTATACTGTTAATATAAAAAATAAAATTTTATATTTAATTATTAAAATTTTAAAATATGCATTTATATAATTGTGTTAATATATATTATATCTTTTAAATAATATCATGGAAAATTATTTCACTCAATAATAAAACTAGGTGAGCAACCCTATATACAAAACAATAATAAATACATGTGTAATTTTTATTTTTTAAAAAATTAAATATATATTTGTAAAATAAATAAATTATATGCGGATTTGACTTACTATTTGAATGTTAAAAATTCACACTTGAATACACATGGATTACCTGTAGAATTGCAATTAGAACCATTTGCGTAAAAATAAATTAATTAGTATGTTAAATCATAAATATACAAATTAAATTATATGAGAATTTTAATGCAATTTTATGATTGTAAGGATGTTTTATAAGTTTAGTTTTAATTTGTTAACTTTAAAATATTTTAACGAATTAGATATATATCACTACAAAAAAAAATAATATATTAGTAACGGAATTCCGTTCCTAAAATGTATGTAGTTAATGCAATTCCCTCTCTAATTCCGTCTCTAATGTCTTTAGTAACGGAAAAGGGGGATTTAGATAAAAAAAAATTTTGTTACAAAATTGATATATTTTTTTGTAGTATATGATGCTATTAATTATTTATTATATATTTATATTCTATTCAAATGCATATCGTTATAAATTATTCAAATTATTAATTAAATTATAAAAAATAAATTTTTATTACAAATAAATATTTAAATTATTATACATAAATATATACTAACATAGTAACATTAAAATTATACATATGTTATTACCTCCGTCTTATATGGAGGGTATCATTTGTTTTTGTGTCATTGTATTTAACATTAAAAATATTCTTGTATTTGTATAATTTACTCAACAAATATCATTATATTTGTATTATAAAAAGACTAATAAAGACATTTTTGTATTTTTTTTAATTTATACGACGTATTAATATAATAATTAATATTTATAGATCAATATAAAAAAAAAAAACCCATGATACTCTTCGGATGGAGATAGTACTAAAATTTTACTTATATAAAAATTAGAAAATATTTTTATATATAATTTTTTTTTTATTATATACATGATTAGTATATTTTGAATGTATTTTGGGGTATTTTAGAAAAAATTAATATAAATAAAATTTGAATCTAATGGCTTAATTAATTTTTAAGAAAAATTCATAAACTTTCATAAATAAATAAAAAAATTATTTTTTAAAAAAAGATTATACTCAATCCGGAATCAATGTTTCTATTTTTTTCATGTTGATGTGTTCAAAACTAATGTAATCATTTTTTTTACTTAATAATTGTATTTCCAACATAACTTATAAGATACTTACAAATTTATACAAAAATATAATTATTATTCTATTGTACTATATATATATATTAATATCTCAAAATTTATATACATGCAAAAAATATATATATATATAAAATAAATATATACATATTAGACGAAAGTAACACTTAATTTTAATTATTTATGTCAATTTCACTAGGATCTCTTCTTTAGTAATTGGGAAGAATCCACAAACTGAGGCTTTGTTCTTTAAACAAATTTTTTCAATATATTTTTTCAAAAAAATTAATATATTAATACACTTATGATTTTTATACTATCTACACAAGTTTTTTATATCTCACATAAAAAATATCTTTCAAACCAAAACACAAAACAAATACACCAGATTTTTTTATGTGTGTATTAATTGAGAGAATTATACTAAACAATATATGTTTGGTAAACAAATATATTTATGCTATACGAAAATATATGTTTGATAGACAAAGATCGATACATTGAATTTTAATTATTTGTGTCAATTTCACTATGATTTCATGCTATTTGCATCATTGCATGCATATATACACTACGGCAAGTCATATATATATATATATATATATGTATTGCTTAACCAAATTGTTACATACGATTAAATGTCGAATCCTCTGATCGCTAAAATTTTCTAACAAAAACATTGTCATGGATGCAATTTCGACAACCAATAATGTTCAAAAAGATTGCAACGGGGGCAATGGAGAGTATCATTACGCTGTGGTCGAACCACATGACGAGGCTACATTAGATCATCTTCATCGCTACATGAGCAAAACATTAGTAGAATTTCAAGATCATCTTGTCGAAAAATCCGAGCACTTATTGGGTATGAAGAATTTTAGTATTTGTGTAGTTTATTCTAAAATTATATGGTAATATTTAAAACTGTTATTAGAAGTTTATAATTTTGTAGTGTTGATATTATTATAGAGTATAGAGTTTGGTTTAATATTAAATGATTATTTGAAAGAAACTATTATTTTGTAGGGTTTCTTATCATAAAAAAAGTAAAATAGTTTTAAAAGCAACCAACACATGTTTCATGCTTAGCCATTTGTTTATGTTTATATTCAACACCCTAGAATTTTCTCACCTAAAAAAAAAAACCCTAGATTTTAGGGTTTTACTTTTATGTTACATGTGAAATTTTATTTAAAATTTGAGGTATTTTTTAATTATCATATTTTTATTTTTATTTTCATTTTACATAAATAATAATTGATGCTGTAGATTAACCATAATTTGTTTTTTCTTTAATTGTTCCTTATTAATTTTTATTGCAGCTTGTTTAACTGTCATTGAGGTTAATGTATGATAAAAGAATGTAAATATTTACTTATTTACAAATATTTAATAAACAAGTTCAAATGCTTTTTGCAAATGAATCGAAATGCATATGCTAAGTTTCAATATTCTTAAAAAAACATGAATGAATATGTTATTAGTGAACAAACTCATTAATGAAATGATACAAAATGAAAAAAGCTATACTGAGAATCGATTCACATAATAATGCACATAGAATCATATATATATATACATATTCTGTGATTTTGTTTACTGTTCATTTATTTACACATATATGTATGTATTTACATTGGCTAGGTTATCATCTAAACATGAATTGCAAACATTTCATGGCTTTATCTCCATTGTTGCAATTCCATGTTAACAATGTTGGTGATCCATTCGTTGAGAGCACCGTTGGTTTGCATTCTAAAAAATTCGAGATTGGAGTTTTAGATTGGTTTGCTCGACTATGGGGGATCGGTAAACATGAATATTGGGGTTGTATAACCAATGGTGGATCGGAAGGCAACTTTCAAGGCATTTTGCAGGGGTAAATTTAGGCATAATCTTTTTTATCAATTCATTATAATATAAAAAAAAAAAACATTGAATCTTGATGTGTGATAATTTTAATTTCTCGATACAGGAGAGAGCTATTACCAGATGGAATATTGTATACTTCACAAGAATCTCATTACTCTATCTTCAAAGCAGCAAAAATGTATAGAATGGAATGCAAAACTATAAGTGCATTGAACACGGGAGAGATTAATTATAAAGAACTAAGTGAGAATCTTTCTCAAAACAAAGATAAATCAGCGATAATCAATGTCAACATCGGTACTACTTTTAAAGGAGGTATAGACAACCTTGATCTCATTGTAAAAGTTCTAGAAGAATGCGGCTTCTCAGAAGATCGTTATTACATCCATTGCGACGCTGCATTATATGGACTCATTTCTCCTTTTCTCGAACAGGTACAAAAGAATATTATTTAAAACTTACGACTAATTCAAATACTATGGATTCTTATCCCATAACATATTTCATTAACTATTTTTATCTTTTCCCCTAGGGTTCGAAGTTTAGCTTTAAGAAGCCCATTGGAAGTGCTTCCGTCTCCGGACATAAATTCTTAGGTTGTCCGATGCCGTGTGGAGTGTACATGACACGAAAAAAATATGCATCTCGTCTACTTCGTCAAAATATTGATTATATACATTGTGTGGATAGTACCATTAGTGGAAGTCGGAACGGTCATGCCCCGATTTTCATGTGGTACAACTTAAACCTGAAAGGTTATAAAGGGCTTAGACACGATGTTACAATATGCATAAAGAATGCTCAATACTTACGAGATGGATTGAAGAATATAGGAATCAGTACAATGTTAAATGATATGAACATTGTGGTTGTTTTCGAGTGCCCCCTTGACGAATGCTTCGTAGAACATTGGAACCTTCCTCACCATTCGAATATGACACATATAGTCGTCATGCCTCATATTACTACTCGAATGTTGGATAATTTCCTCAAAGATCTTGTCCGAAAGAGAAAAGTTTGGTATGGACATAACAATCTCGAGCCTCCTTGCGTTGCAGAAGAAATTGGAATCTCAAACTGTGTTTGTGTAGCTCATTGTAATAGCAAAAATTTCGGATAGCTGCTGCGAGTTCCCACGTTATATAAAAAAAAAGAAAAAAAAACTAGTATAGCAAATTGACATTGTTGAATGCAATAATTGTAAGTTTCTATTTTTATGTGTGCAAATATGGTCTAAACAATCATAATAATAATTTTGTTTTCAATAAATTTTTTAAAAATATGTGAAAATTAAAAATATATGCTCGATTCTTTTTCTTCTTAAGTATTATCAGCTCTTTTACTGTGAATAAATCATATTAGGACACTACAAGAAAAAATCATTTTTGTAACAAAACATTTTTGTCTCTAAATTTATTTTTTCCGTTACTTACATTAGAGACGAAAATAGGAATGGAATTACGTTAGCTACGTGAACTTTAGGGACGGAATTCCGTTACAAATATATTATTTTTTGCAGTGGGATTTATTGTATTGTTTCAAAAATTTTCAAATAATTCAAATCATTTCATGAAAAGTTGAAATATTTGAAATATATATATATATATATATTTATATAAAAGAGTGTACATGAAGATTTTTAAAGTTATTTTTTATGATATGTTATGAAATATTTATACCTCTAAAAAAAATATATTCTATAATCATTCATTTATTTAATTCATATGTTTGGTTATTTCCCTTGCATATATATATTTTTTTCACATTAAATTTCAAAAATTTTGTATTTGTTGATCTTTTATCTTGCGTTGAATCTACATTATTCAATAGCTTATTTGTTAAGTTCTTCGAATAAGTTTTCATTCCACATAATTTTACTCTAAATTTTAAAGGGCGACTTCTACATAAACACATATGATAAAAAAATATTTTTTCATATAACTCTATATCTTATTTTTATTCAAAATCATGCTCTTGTATGATATTTGAATACATTTGGACTTTAAAAACTCTTAAAAGTATTGTTTGAATATCACTAAATTTTAAAGGACCTTTAAAAATCAAATTATTTTATAAAATCTGAATCTAATACACCTCTGAATATCATGAGGTTTGTTCATTTTGTATTCTTGGACGGGATAATTTTTCATAAATATTATTTTTAAAAAGTTACATTATACACATTAAAACAATATATACATATAATATATATTTATACACTCACAAAAAATCAATAATTCAATAAAAAAATATTATTTTTTATATTATCAACATAATTTCTTTTATTCAATATATATTTTTTTAAAAAATTATTTAAAAACACAAAGTGAATAAACTCATACTTTTGTATTTGTTTATTATTTATAATTAAAAAAAAATTATTGTTAGGCATGTAGAACTTTAAATTTTATTATATAATACTATTTTTTAATTTTTATATGTATATATTTATTTATGTATTTTTTTATATATATAATATTTCTTTGTAATTATTAAATGCTAAACAAGCACATTACTAAAGTACATTAGAAGGATGCCAAACTAAAAGGATTGTATTTATTATTATAAATCTTATTGAAAGTGGCTTTCATTCAATTAATAAATAGCCTACTTAGCACGTTTTTTATTTAAGAATAATTATATTTCCAGTTAATTTGCGGGTTGCTTCCCTATGCCAAAAGTTTTTCAGTATCTTATCTAGATCTGATTTTATAAGAGAATTGGGGTGTTTTTTTCTTTTCTTTTCTTTTTTTTTTTTAAAAAAAAAATTCAAATTCTCATTATTTAATTTGTTCAATTTTTCGTTAATATGTGATATGTTGTTTGTCCCTATATCATGTGTTGTTGGTTTTATGTAGCATTTGTATTATGTTAATATAATCTATGTAATGTCTGTATTTCTATTGTGTGTTATCTAAATACTTTCTTCATCCGTTATAATTATATTAATTTTTTTTTTGTCCGTTAAAATTATGCATAATCTTTATTTATATAAACAAATTTTATCTATTCATAATTTTATTGTTCTTATTTTAACAAATAATAATCAAATTATCATTATTTATTGTCTTCATCCCACCATCTTTTTATTAATTTTTTAAATATTTTTTTATAATATTTTACTTTAACTTTTTACCTATTTTAATTTTTCTACGTTAGAATATAAAATTGAAATTCTCTATTTTAATAATGAGAATACGTACATATTTATAGTGATATGCAAATCGTCTAATAAGACAATAATTTTATAAATAACTAACATAAATATAATATATATATATTTAAATATATTTTAATATTTTATTATAATATTATTATTTTTTCAAATGCAAAATGACATAATTAGTTAAGACGACGAGAATATGATATTACATTTACTGACTTCTTTGCTTTAAAATTATTGAATTAAAAATACAACATAAATAAAACCCTATTTCAAATAGCTAATTTATTTAAATAAGTTGGTTGTGACCATTAATCGGACACGCTAACACTTAATTTTAGCATGCTTTATCATCACTTTAATTTATTGAACTTTACAATTATTTTGGTGAAAATTTCAAATGTATCTAAATAAAAAGTACATAATATTTTAGTAGGATTGTGTATTCCACTATATTTAGTCACTATATTTAGTTTATATATACTACATGCTAGTTATGTTGTAAAAAATTATTATTATATTATTAAAATAAAAAATGAAGAAATATATATTCCTTTGTTTTTCAAAAGTATTTTTTTTTCAGTTAAATTTATACATAATTTATTTATAATAAACATAATTTATTTTTAGTTTTATTATCTTTATTTTAACAAATAAAAATAATTTGTCATTATTTTTTTTATTTATCATATTATTATTTTTCATCAATCATTTAATAATTTTTTTATAATAATTTCATTTTACTTTTTTTTATTCTATTTTAATATTAAAATATTATTATTTCTCTAGTATTTGTATTCAATCAAATCTCTCTCTCTATATATTATAAATTTTCTTTAACGAATGAAGTATATGATAATAGGACTATATGATAATTTTTTTTTAGGTGTGTATATATTGAGAGAGAAATCAATATTAGTTCGTTTAGACAATAGATTTTTGAGAATTTTAAAAAATTTAAAAATAATTTAAAAAAAATAGTATTCTATATATATTTTATAAGAAAAATATATGTTTAATATATTTTTTTAAAAAAAAATTGAATAGTACCAAAAAAATTTAAAAATATTGTGTAATTAATATGTTTGGTAAATAAGTGTTTGTTTAGTAAAATTGTATAACAGTATATTTTTTTTATATGAGATATAGAGAATTGTGTAAAATATATAAAAAATAATAAATGTGTATAATAAACTACATAAATAAATGCAAAAATAAATTTCAATAAACATGCATAGTCTTCGATTATTAGTATTATTATTTTTATATAAGTTTAAGACATATTTAAATCAATAAAAATATGATGCCAAATTCAATGTAACACCTCAGCCGTTGAACTTATACCCTTTGCATGTATATATACACACACTATGACAAACTTCATAAATCCCTAAAGCAAATTGATAGAGATACATACAATAAGGTGTAGAATCCTTAAATGGCTAAATTTTTTTCGAGTGATAATAAAAACACTGTCATGGATGTGATTTCGACGACAGTCAATAATATTCAACAGGATTGTGATACGGGCAATGAAACATATTCTTACGATGTAATGGAACCACGTGATGAGGCTACATCGGATCATCTCCATCGATTCATGAGCAAAACAATGTTAGAATTTCAAGATCATCTTGTTAGAAGATCCCAGCACTTCTTGGGTATGAATACGCTTATGTTTTGTTTTCATTTGGTTATTATTTTTACTTTTTTTACTATTCAATCTTTATGATTTTTCTAAGGAATATAATATTTTTTTATCACAAAATATTATATTTAAATTATTCTTTAAAAAAGAAAAAACACCAACGTTGTTTGGTTATGTTTAGACATGTTTTAGTATGTTTTAAAATTAAAAAAATGAGTCGTAATAATTATTTACTGTAATATATATATGTATTTAATATGATATTTTAAATATAATTTTTGTTGTATATATATATATAATTAAAAATTAAAATAGGTATCTAATATAATTTATTGAGAAGAAAAAATTCAATTGTCGTAAATGAATAGTAAAAATGAATAAAGGAAATATAAAAAAAGTCCACGAGTTTTATTTGACTATTTGTTTATTGCTCCAGTTAAGTTTCATCATCATTTATTTGTTTGTCATTGCAGTTAGGTTATGTTAAAAAGAACTTATATATACTTATTTATGAATATTTGAGAAAAAATTGTAACACTTCTTATAAATGAATAGATATACATACATATATATATATATGCTAATTTACAATCTCAACATGGATGAATATGCTATTAGCAAACATATTTTTTAGGAGACTGACATTATATGACAAAAGTTATACTGAAAATCAATTTACATAAAAGTGAACATAGAATCTTAGAATTATTCATACTCAATCAAGTTTGAATAACACCATTATTTTTATACATACATCTTTTGTTTATTGTTCATCTACTTATGTATATCCGTTGTATGAGTTAGGTTATCCTTCGAACATGAATTACAAATATATGATGATTCTATCTCCATTGTTGCAACTCACCATCAACAATGTCGGTGATCCATTCGTTGAGAGCACTGTTGGTTTGCATTCTAAGAAATTTGAGATTGGAATTTTAAATTGGTTTGCTCGACTATGGGGGATCGATAAAGATGAATATTGGGGTTATGTAACCAATGGAGGAACCGAAGGCAACTTCCAAGGCATTTTGCAAGGGTAAACTGAATAGAATCATTTATATCAATTCGACAGAGCAGAGAAAAAAAAAAAAGAGAAAAAAAATATGATCTTCACGTGTAATGATTTTGTCGATGCAGGAGGGAGTTGTTACCAGACGGGATATTATATACATCACAAGAATCTCACTACTCTATCTTCAAAGCAGTGAAAATGTATAGAATGGAGTGCAAAGTTATAAGTGCACTGAGCACGGGAGAGGTCGATTATAAAGAATTAAGAGACAATCTTATTTTAAACAAAGATAAACCAGCAATAATCAATGTCAACATAGGTACTATTTTTAAAGGAGGCGTAGATAACATCGATCTCATTGTAAAAGTCTTGGAAGAATGCGGCTTCTCAGAAGGCCGATTTTACATCCACTGCGATGTTGCATTATATGGGCTCGTTTCTCCTTTTCTTGATCAGGTATAAAAGAATTCTTGTTCAAAACTTATTATCAATTTTACTATTGTATATTTTTATCCCACAATATTTTCATCCATTATTCGTGTTATTTCTTTTAGGATTCGAAATTTAACTTTAAGAAGCCTATTGGAAGTGTTGCTGTCTCCGGACATAAACTATTGGGTTGTCCGATGCCATGTGGCGTGTACATGACACGAAAAGAATATGCATCTCCTCTATTTCAAAATATCGATTATATACGTTGTGTGGATAGCACCATTAGTGGAAGTCGTAATGGTCATAATCCGATTTTCATGTGGTACACTTTAAGCTTGAAAGGTTATAAAGGGCTTAGGTACGACGTTAGAATGTGTCTAAGGAATGCTCAGTACTTACGAGATAGATTAAAAGATATCGAAATCAGTACAATGTTAAATGATATGGGCATTGTGGTCGTTTTCGAGTGCCCTTTTGACCAATGCTTTGCGGAACATTGGAGCCTCTCCCACCGTGGAAAAATGGCGCATGTAGTCGTCTTGCCTCATGTCAGTACTCGAATGTTGGATGATTTTGTCATTGATCTTGTCCGAAAGAGAAAAAGTTGGTACGGACATAATAATCTTGAGCCTCCTTGTGTTGCAGAAGAAATTGGAATTCAAAACTGTGTTTGTTTAGATCATCAATAGAAGAGAAAATAATTAATCATGATGTATGCAATAATTATATATTTTCATTTGTTATTTATCGAGATATAACAATCATAATAAATAAATATGTAGTTCAATTAAGTAAGAAGACCTTTAATCTTAAGACCGTATCTTATACATACAAAAAAATTATATACGGTGACGGGCTTCAATTATTGTGTTGAAATTTAAATTTAATATTGTGCTGACAATATATTATATACTGTGGGTTCCTACGTCATCCAAAAAAATATATATTATATAATATTGAATAATACATAATACAGCATCAATTAATAAATCAATTATATTAATAAAATACTAACGTGGCATTCCGATCAAAATAAAAAATAAAAAATACTAATGTGGCATATGAATCAAGAGCATGATAATTGTTCATATAATACATAATTTCAATTAATACAATATATGTTATGTTAGTTGAAACAATATATTATGTGTTTATTAATAATATGACAACGTAGTAAATGATAGAGAAATTATGAATTTGTTCATTTAGTATTTTTTTTATAACATGATTTTTCATAAATATGTATTAAAAATTTACAATATATATATAATATACATTTTATTCATTCATAAAAAATTAATAATTCAACCAAAACATTGTTCTTTCCGTCTCGTCACAAATAATTATTTTTGTTGTCCATTTCAATATAAATGCCAATTTCAATAAATTTATTCATTTTAAATATACTTTATAAATATAAATCAATACAATTAAATTTCTAACCTCTTTACGATCTACTCAAAACTTATTATGTATATATCCTCTCAATAAATTTTTTTTTATCTCTCTATTTATAAAATTAATTTTAAATTAATTATAAATAAATCATTTATTTATTTTTATTATATACAAAATAATATCATGAGATGATATATATTTTATTAAAATATAGTAAAAAAATTTAAATTATCAACAATATTACTACATCAACACCTACTTAATCCAAAAAAAAAAAATCAATTCTTGTCATTTTAATATTGATTCTGAAAAGATTATTATATAAATATAATAAATATTAAAATGGAGGAAAATTTGTGGTAGTTATTAAAGGGCCACGTAGAACATTGATTCCTGTTTAACGGGAAGCTTCGGACGTGTGACAATGAACCATCAACGAGTCGACTCAGCCGAGTCACCAATTTAATCGCGAGCGAGTCGCGACTTCCATTCCCAAATTCTCCAGCTGCCAACAATGGCGTCGTCGTCGATGGCCTTCGCTTCCGTTTTCTCAGCACCTCTGCACAGTTTGGCGCACCTCAATCTCAAGGGGAACTCCAATTCGGCTTCCATGGTGTTTCTCGATTTGTACTCCCGAGCAAACCTCGCTTCATCGAAGTCCGAGGGCTTCGGAACTCGTTTTTCGGCTTTATCGCCTACTATATCTGCGCTTCCGTCAAAGTCGCGTCATTTTTCTACTATTAATGCTAGGGCTGCTACTGAGAAGACGATACACGATTTTACCGTGAAGGTAAATTATTTTTTTCTTCGCGAGGTGCATACTTGTGTTAATTGAATTGTTTCCAGTTGCAATTGGTCGTTGGATTGTGTTTAAATTTTTATGGAATTGTTTTGTTAATTCGTTTGAAGTTCATTGTTTTGATTTTGTAGAAATTGTGTAAATTTCTGATACTATTTTGCGGACTTTGTGAGTTTCATTGAGTGTTTATCTATGGTTGTGTAAACAGGATATTGATGGAAAGGATATTTCACTAAGCAAATTTAAAGACAGAGTACTTTTAATTGTCAACGTTGCTTCACAATGGTATTCTCTTTCCCCTGTAATATGAAAACTTTTGTTTGCATAGCCTCGTTAATGTTGTGTATGTATATATATATATATATATACACCTTGGAAGCAGTATGAATTGATTCAGTTTGTTCATTTTGGATTCAGCGGTTTGACATCATCGAATTACAAAGAGCTTACTCATCTATATGAAAAGTACAAACCTCAAGGTAAGAGTTCTGGTTTGTTGAGCTAAAGATACAATCTATAGTGTTGCTTCATACTCAAATTTCATCAAATATATATATATATATATTTGTTTAGTTTTATGGTGCTTGCATTGTAACTAAAACAACTATGTTATTCGGTATGTTAATGCAGGGCTTGAGATCTTAGCCTTTCCTTGTAATCAGTTTGGGGGGCAAGAGCCTGGATCCAACCCACAAATCAAAGAGTTTGCTTGTACAAGATATAAGGCGGAATTCCCAATTTTTGATAAGGTAATTATGTCTTTTCTCTATCAGAATGCAATTTTTGGTTGATATTGATAGAAATGAAATAAAAGATAAGAAAAATCAAACGATATCAATCATTTACCAAAGAACAATCAAATGGTACCAACCATTTGCCCAAAGCTGACTGGCTATTTTATTTCCAAGTTTTAGAATGATAGAAAAGCAAGTAAATAAAATCTAAATCTGCGAACAGTAGGCCTAAGCTCATCCCCGTCGTCAATATACAAGCATTTGCCAAGACTCCGCTTTCTCTTTAATCTTAACTTCATGCTCTTTCCAATTTTGCTTTCTATCAGATATACTGACATGTGATTATGCAGGTTGATGTTAATGGACCAAATACAGCTCCAGTGTATCAGTTCTTGAAGTCAAATGCTGGAGGATTCTTAGGTGCCTTAGTCAAGTGGAATTTTGAAAAGTTCTTGGTGGACAAAAATGGCAAAGTTGTTGAACGGTATCCGCCAACGACATCCCCTTTCCAGATAGAGGTAAACTTCCCCCTCGCATTTTGGAATAATCAATACTGTGTTTGCAGTATGATATATAAATTCCTAATGAGAGACGAGCTTTTAACTGTTGCTTCATATACATTAACTTGGCAGATTCTGGCTAGTCTTTCTAACAATTATGATCTTCTTTGCATTGATTAAGAAAAAATTAGTTTGCAACTGTTATTGTGAAACTTAAGGTTGATGTGGAACTCACACTTTATGAAAGGATTATGAGTCCTGTAATTGTTGTAGGAATAGAATAATAAAGTGCTGAAACTGTATTGTCTTGAATATATTTTTTCTTGTGCACACTGCAACTTTAATTGGAAAATATGAATGAGAGTATATTCTGAGTAAAGTGACGTTCCCTTTCCTGTGTTTTTCAGAAGGACATCAAGAAGCTTCTTGCAGCCTGAATTCCACGAATGATCCACAATGTGCAGTTGTCGTCTTCAATGATGTTTGATACTGGGAAGAAAAAAATAACGCTAGACTCACTACATAATTTGCTTGCAATCTTATACTGATACATACGCCGAGATCATGTTCCAGCAACATTTGGAATTGTTGTCTGTCCGTATTCTGCTTCACTGGTCATGTATATATATGTTTTATCCCGTAACAGATCCATGCATGATGTTCTATGTTCATGTTACTATTTATGAAATGAGCTCTAGTTGCTAATTCCTCAGTCACTTCCATGTGCTAATCTTGGTGGTGCACCTAGTTGAAATTTCCACTGGATCTTCATTAATGGAAGAATGGCGAATATTGTTGGCTTTCTCGTACTATTTGATAAGCCCTACAGATACAAAGCTTTAACTGTCCCTGTACCTATTACTCGTATTTCCAGGAATCTCAGAGGCCAGTGTATAAGCATATGCTTCTGACCCCAAGAGGAGCATCACTGTTATATCGACGGTTAAAATGAGGCAAGTATTCTTTCTCTTCTTTTTTTTTTTTTCTACTTTTTTAATGAGTTATCAAAATATGCTTATGATCAGTTATAATATCCAGAAGTTGCACGAATCAAAGTCTGGTAATTTATTAGTCTATGGAAAGCTGCATACTCTTTTATTTGATTATGTGGCCACCAAACTGAACTGGTAGAATAATAATGCATTCTTTCTTTGTAGAATTTTATCATAGTGTTTGATGCCCACAAGCATTATTTACTGCCATATATGCTTAGAATCTCAAAATTACAGATTAGTGAAATACTGTGCACTATGAAACATCATATTTGCTCGGTAGCTTAGCTCCTACTCAATACTCATACTATGTTGTCAACTGAGAATAAAAGCATGCGATCGTATATAGATAAGCATCATGTAATGTTTCCTCTTTCACTGATGGAGAATCAACTTATCAGGTGAATAGGCTGCCTTCCTGATAGGATACAAAACATAAAGAAAATTAGACTATGTACTTCACATGGTGGTATGATACTATCACTGCATAAGAATACTTGATAGGAATTACACTGATCCCACACAACTGATATCCAAATGGTGGCTTATGAAATAAGAACGTTCAGCGAGACCGAGTTAGGGGAATAAACTAGGAATCTAATGCTATTCGAATCATATGGGTAGTTAGATTACAGGATGGCTGCTAACTATACATCTGCTAGAGTACATTAATGTTGGTAAGATATGCCATATATTTCATGATCAAGTTTTTGAATGTGTACATCAATCAAAACACCCTTAGCCGGAAAAAAATCCGATAGTCAGAATCAGGATGATACTACATACTGAAATCTTCAAGAAACATTAGCTTATTGCCGTTCATTCATGAGCCATTTCAATGGCTGCAAATGCTTTCCTTGAGAATCCACCTGAGTTTCATTCTTGGAGTCACGCTAGTCCACAGCCTCAGCCAGGGCTTTGCCGGCTCATTTTTCCGGGTGGTGGGTGACTACTACTGGAAAGATGTCCAAAGTTAAATCCATCAACAACACAGCTCTTTATGAGACTGCAATATATACCTTCACTGATGAAGCCCATTTGCGGTCTTCTGACAGTTCCAAATTCGATTATTAGAAAATATTATGGTAAAACTTCGTTTGAAATGATGTGGCTGCTAATATGCACAGCCTCTTCGGGTTTTCCTCATCAACAGGTGCTCTTTTGGGCTCCACCAGTGGTTTCTTCGTTCATCATCTTGGTGCTCAGGTGATATGTTATATTCGTAGGTGATACATATATTTATGTATTATGTATAATATGTGCAAATTGGTTTTTGCATGTTCTATCTATTGCTGGGGCTCTTGGCTATTCCAGCAGCTGGACTGATTGTGCTCAGTTTTATGACCTATGTGCCGAGAAAATCCTATCTTGATGAAGCTGATGTTGAGCAGGTAAAAAATTTTCGGATTCTTAATTCTCCCTACCTTGTGATGAATCAAACATTGTAGTAGCTTTAATAATTTGCGACGATCAACATCTAACAGGAAATGAATCGACTCTGATTCCTAGATTCAAGCCAAATTCCCATTCGCAGTACCAATATACCTTTGTTCTTGATGTTCAATCGTCGCGCAGGCAGCCGATGCAGAAGTTGAGAGAATCGTTATCTCTAAGCATTAGCACCCACGAAGGTCAGTTTTACTGGTACACCGATCCAAAGCTGGCCCTGCATTCTCCCAGGTTTGTCCCCATTTTATTTTTTAAAGCTTTTAAACAAGTCGAGTTGAGCTGAGCTGAGATCCGAGTTTCCAACCTCAACGTGAATAGAGTTTAAAATGTTCAAAAATATGTCGTCTTTATGGAGCTGGCTTGATTGATTGAATTGAGGTCAGTTGATGAGTCGAATTTGTTTCGAGAACAGTCAGGTTTGCGCGTCTTGTCTACAGGAATTTGTCGGTATGATATACGCAATAGGCACTACGGCTTCCTTAGCTGGCGTAATACTCTACCACAAGGCCCTTAAAAGACTACCCCCGTTCAAGACGTTAAGTTCGGCATATCAGGTATGCTCGACCTCATCTTCATCCTACGTTGGAACTTATCCCTCGGCATATATCCCCGACTACTTCTTCGTTGTCATCGAAGAATGTGTGTACCGGATCATAATCTGGATCCGGTGAATGCCCATGACGGCTTTGAGCTCGCAATTGTGCCCTCCCAGGATCGAGGGCACCTTCTTTGCACTGCTGATGTGCATCTATAGTCTTGGCTTGCTCAACCGAAATGGGTCGGGGAATGATTCTACATAGAGCTGTTAATGAGCCGAGCCGAACAAAATTTTAAGTGTTCGTGTTCATTCGTTAACATTTGGGAACAAGACTCGCGTTCGTTCGTTAAGCTTTTGAGCTCGCTTGCAGTGTTTGAGTTCAGCTGGTTAAGAATATTTATTGTTTGAGCTCGTGTTTTGTGTTCGGTTCGATTAGACTCGATTAAGCTCGTTCGAGCTCGTTTGTCAAGCTTTCATTAATTTATATATAAATAAAAAAGAAAATTTGAAATTATTTTTTTTATTCATTTTAAATTGATACTTTATTTATAAATTATAATTTTATATGTATATATAATATTTATAATAAATATATTATTTTAACAAACGTTCGCGAACAAAGTTCAGGCTCGTTTGTTAACTAAACGAACTTGTTTATGCTGTTCGGTTTAGCTCGTTAACATTTGCGAATGAGCTTAAAAATCGAATTGAGGCAAGTTCACGAACGGCTTAATTCGTTTAACAGTTCTAGTAATTCTACGTGACATGAACATCACGAGGACCGATTTCAAGCACTTGTGGCTCGCGGTTTTGATCCGACACCTTCTTAAACTTTTGACGTTGGGGCTCGTCTTCTTGATCCCTAATGTCGATCAATGTGATGAGCCAATCCCGCCCAAAGATCTTAGGAAATGGACAAACGGTATAAAATTCAGTCGTAGCCTATAAAAATTGCACAAAATTTTTCATTATTTAAAAATGAAGTAAAATGCAAAAATTTTTAAACTATAAGAAAATCTGACTCAATTTTAAGATACCATGTTTTCAAGATGAATAATTAAATTATTATAAATAATAAATAAAAATGACCAAAATCTAACTCAATTTTAAGATATGATAATTTCAAGGTGAATAATAAAATTATTATAGATAATAAATAAAAATGACCGGAGAAAAATGGGACAAAGTAATTGCTTTAAACAAACAAATAAATTCACATAAAATAATTGCATCTATAATTAACATATTAAGGGTTTGTTGCTTTTTTTTTTTCCGGACGACTCTTAATATATATATATTTTATCCTTTTAAAAAAATACTTAATATAAAATATTATTTTTTATATTAGCGATATAATTTTTTATATTTCATGGTAAAAATTTCAAATTAAACACTAAATAAATAAACCCTCTATATATTGGTAAAAGAAAATACTATTTCCTTTAGAAGATAAGTTATATTTTGCACTAGATATAATATATATACATAAAATTGAAGATAATTATATTTATAATAGTATAGAATTTCAATATACCATTTCTGTTAAAATTATTATAGTTCATTAATGTATATAAATGATGCATATATTTTGTAGAATTTTAATTATATTATCATACATGCACATTTCTCTGTAAAATAAATAATACTTAGTATATTATATTAAAATGCACCTAATATATCATCCATATATTGTAATATAGTGTGTAATATTACACTTTCACATGAAATATTCCAACGTTGAAATATCACTAAAAAAAATAGTATATTTGTAAAGGAATTCTATCTCTAAAGTTTACGTAGCTAACATAATTATATCTCTAATTTCGTCTCTAATGTAATTAGTAACAGAAAAAATGATTTTAGAAAAAAAAAAACGGTTACAAAAATGATATTTTCTTAGAGTGTATTACATAGTATTAGTAAATAAAATTTTATAATATAGAAAAAAATATGTTTATGTGTATTTTTATGTTTAAAAATTTTAATATAAAATTATTTATGTAATATGACATTTTATTATGAATAGATATGTATATATATATCATGTATATTTTAAATACAATTATAAGTACCTTTTAATTTAGCCAACAATTATGTAAAATGTATTCATTTTTTGAGTTCCAACAATAACTAGTATTATATATTATGATAACACAATATATTATGGTTATAATTCGAGAATAATATTATATGTCTAGGTAATAGAATTATATGTTTTATTTCAAAAATATTGAAAAAGACATTTCAAAATCTAATTTTGAAATAGTTATATATTTAAATGTTTTGGCCTCAAAACTCTCCCTACTTTGTATATATTTTTAATAAATTCATATAATTTTATAATATGGTCACGTATATAAACTCTAAAATGTCACGAAATAGTGAAAATAATTAATTTTATGCGATATATGTTAGCAATTCGATTCATGGTTACGTATTTTTATAATTTAAAACAAAAGAATGGCTAAAATTATATTAATAGTAACAACATTCTCAAATTGGTAAGAATGATTCTAAATTGCGTGTAATAATTAGTGTTACCATCAAAATTTAAAATAATAATATAATTATAGCTTCTATAATTTCTCTTTAAAATTATTAGCATAGCAAAAGTATTTCGAAAAAAATTTAAAAATGATAAATATTATTACATTATTGATCTAATATATATACATATATATATATATAAGATTTCCCACTATTCTTTTCAATTTGGAGACTTTATGCATTTACCTTTCAGTATTATAGAGAATTTAAAATAAATATAAAAAGCAATATAATATTTATCAAAATAAAATAAAATTTCGAAAATGAGTTAACTTGTAGAGGAAGATAAAAAAAATAAAAATGTATGCTATATTTTTTGAATTGTAAATATTTTTAGATAGCGGCAATAAATGCAAAGAAAAAATGAAATGAAATAAAACCGACAGGTAGAAAAATACCAAATTCTTTAATTTTCTTCACCAGAAAATAGTTTGCCTTCTCAGCGTAAAAAAGAGCACCAAGTCATCACTACGGCGCGTGTAGACCACTCGCTATTGTGTCACGCGAACCCTGCGAAGGGTACACGTGGCATCGGCTCCGAGCGCGTGACGACGCGTTTGCGTACGCGCAGTGATTGGCGGTGGTGCCGCGCGCGTTTGGCGCGTCACAGCTTTCCCTCTTTTGTAACGCATGGATGGCAGTCTCGTAATTATTTGAACCTTGAGTGGCAGTTTTATAACTTCAATAAAGCAAAATTAATTCCGGCCTTTCTTCGCCCTCGTATTTAACTCGGCATTTCTCTGGTTATAAGAACCGGACGATTTGTAAAAAAAGCCCTCAAATCCTGACGTACACGTGTCCTGGTCAAAATCTCGGCTGTTCATTAAAGGAATCCATTCGACATTTATGTTCTACTTTAACGCTGCGAACCACCAACACCATATATCCACCGTAGAGTTGATGATCGGACGGTCTGTATTCGTCCACGTTACGCAGTTAAAAATTCAAATTCCCAAATTTGGCCCTGAAATTTTAATAAAACCCTAGATAACCATTGCCGGGCGGAGATACAAACCCTAGGTTTTTGCCATTTCTCTCTCTGGACAAAATTGAGATAATTGTTTCTGAAAATGCAAAGAAAAAAGGAAACACCAGTGAAGAAAGGATCAAATTAGGGCTTAAAATCCAACGGAATTGCTTTGCCCCAAAGGATTTCTGCCCAAATCAAAACCCTTGCTGAGTTCGATCTCCACTGCGTGGGTGGGCGCCTTGATTTAAGTACAGGTTAGCCTTTTTTTCGGTTTTTGTTGGTGAATGTAGATAATCAGGCTGTAGGAGACATGTTCAATTTATCTGCGTGTTTTCAATTGTGTGGTATGTTAAGTTTTGGCTGTGTGATCGATCATACGTTGTTTTGAGAAATGCGTGGTGCTTGATTGATTGTTGTTAGTTTTTGATGCGTTGTTGATGGTTAATTACTGTTTGGTTTGTGTTGTCAGATCTATGGCAGATGAGAATCTGTGAATTGTGTGTGGGGGTGATTGAATTGAAGGATTGTTGATGGAAGATAGCAGTAAGAAGTCTGGTGGTGCTAGAAATCCCAAGAGAAATCGATCTCTGGATCTCAACAGCCTTTACAAACCTAGGGTTTCTAAAGGTGAAGAGGAGGCTAAGGGGGGAAAGGTTTCCCAGGAAAATGATCAGCAAAACTCAGGGAAGAAGAAAAGGAGAAACAAGAAGGAGGTTGCTTTGAGTCTGCTTGAGCCTGATGCTAAGAGAACTAAGAAGGAAGATGTAAATGAGGTGGATTCAGAGCTAGAGTCTAGCCGAAAATCGAGTGGTGGGAGTGAAGGGTTGCATGGAATTTCACTTTCTCTTGGCGAAAATAGTAATGCTTTTAATTTCCCTAAGCGTCCACGTGGTGCCGTGGGGAAGAAAAAGTTGGAAACTGATCAAGTTTCCAATTTGTTGGAACTTCCCAAACCGGGGGAGCACGAGGACGCATTTAATGCCAAATTTAAGGATGAGGATGGTACCAGTGGCGAACCGGTCGGATTGGATTCCTTTTCCCCAGGCAATGATGAATTACCAAAATCTGAATCTGTGGGGAAAGCCGTTGGATCAAATAACAAGTCAGGAGTAAAGGTTGGTAAGTTAAAGCCAAAATCCAGATCCGTGGAGAAGGCCGCTGCTACAAAATCCAAAGGTCTGGGAAAGATCGGCCCGAAACCCCGGGGGAAAGTTGCCAGCTCAGACGCAGAATTAAAGCAGAAGGAAGGTTCGGAATCTGACCAAAAAGGCATTAGCTCAAATGTAGAACTGAAATTAAACACCGATACGCAACCCACTGGCAAGGTTGTAAAGTCAAAAGTAAAACCGAAGCGCAAGGTAGTGACTGATGAACTTAAAGAAAGTGGGAATGGTGAGTCTGAGTCTGCCCGTGCTGCTGCGAAAGAAGATTCAGTAGCTGTAAATACTGGAGATGCATCTTCAAAGAAGCGACGGACCAACAATAAGAAGAAAAAGGACTCTGTCGGTCCAGATGGAGGGGAGACCTCAAAGAACAGACCTGAGCTTTCTGTTGGCACTGCTGTGTCAGATAAGATTGTTGCTGATTTTGATGAAGCTGGTGCTGAGGAGGAAAGCCTTCAGAAAAATTCTGGGAAAGACAGTGTTGTAGCTGTAAGTCGTGGAGATGCATCTTCTAAGATGCGGCGGGGAGGCAGTAGGAAGAAAAAGGGCTTAGCGGATGTCAAAGATGGAGGGAAAGCCTCAAAGGAGAAGCCTGATCATTCGGTGGGTATTTTGGTTTCTGATAAGATTACTTCTGGTTTTAATGAAGGTGATGCTGTGGAGGAAACCCTTGAGCAAAATTGTGGGAATGAAAATGTTGTAGCTGTAAGTGGTGGAGATACATCTTCTAAGAAGCGGAGGCCAGTCAGTAGGCGGAAGAAGGCCTTAGTGGACGATAAAGATGGAGGAGAAGCCTCAAAGAAGCAGCCTGAGCCTTCTGTGGGTATTCTGGTTTCTGATAAGATTGTTACTGGTTTGGATGAAACTGATGAGAAGAAAGAAAACCTTGAGGAAAATAGCAGGAAAGAAATTGTTGTAGCTGTAAATAAAGGAGATACATCTTCTAAGAAGCGGCGGAGAGTCAGTAGAAAGAAAAAGGACGTAGTTGAGAGTAAAGATGGAGTTGAAACCTCAAAGAAGGTTTCTGAAGAGTCTATTGGTGTTTCGGTTTCTGATAAGATTGTTGCTGGTTTTGATAAAGCTGTTAAGGAGGAGGAACATCCTGAGAAAAATGGTAGGAAGGAAAATGTTGCTGCTGTAAACACTGGTGATGCATCGTCTAAAAAGAGGAGGAATAGAAAGAGAAAGGACTTAGTGGATGCTAAAGATGGAGGAGAATCCACAAAGCAGGCTAAATCTTCTGTGGATATTTCAGTTTCAGATAAGATTGTTGCTGATGTTGATGGAGATGATGGTGTGGCAAACCTCAAGAAAAGTGGTGGAGAAGAGAGTGATGTAGCTGTTCAGAGCGGGGATACATCTTCTAAGAGGCGAAGGATTAACAGTAAGAAGAAGAAGGACTTGGGAGATGGTAAAGATGTTGGGGAAGCTTTAAAGAAGAAGTTGGAGCCTTCAGTGGGTAGTTCTGTTTCACAAAAGGCTGTTGCTGCTGATTTTGATAAAGACAATGATGAGGGAAGCCTCAAGCCAGATAGCGGAAAAGAAAGTGTTGGAGCTATACACAGTGGGGATACATCTTCTAAGAAGCGGCGAGTCAACAGTAGGAAGAAAAAGGACTTGACAGATGCTAAAGATGGCCCGGAAGCCTCAAAAAAATCGGAGCTTTCTGCCAGTCTTTCTGTTTCAGATAAGGCTATTGCCGGTTTCGATGAAGAGGATGCTGATGAGCCAAACCTCAAGAAAATTGGTCGGAAGAAAAATGTTGCAGCTGTGAATAGCAGAGGTACATCTTCTAAGAAGCGGCAGGCCAACAGTGGGAAGAAAAAGGATTTACCGATTGGAAAAGATGGAGGGGAAGCCTCAAGGAAGAAATCTGAGCCTTCTGTTGGAATTTCTATTTCAGATAAGGTCGTTTCAGATTTTGATGAAGATGACGATGATGAGGAAAACCTTGAACAAAATGCAGCGAGGATGCTCTCATCTCGATTTGATCCAAGCTGCACAGGTTTCCCATCAAAAAGAAAAGTTTCTGCATCTCAGAAGGCTATTGAATCCCCTGTTCGAGAATCATCTACACTGGACTCATTAAGCCAACAGGCTAATTCATCTGGTGGTGTGGATGTTGCACCTGTTGGTGATGATAGCAAAGCTGATGATCAAAGCAGAGCCCTTAGACCAAGAAAAGAAGATAAAGGCAAGGGGGAGCCGAGGAAACGACGCCATTTCTATGATGTTCCTGCCAAGGATTTGGAGCCAAACTGGGTTTTAGGCCTTAAGATTAAAGTCTTCTGGCCATTGGATGAAAGCTGGTATTTTGGCCAGGTGGATGATTATCATCCGGAATGTAGGCTTTACCATGTAAAGTATGATGATCGAGATGAGGAATGGATCGATCTTAATGAAGAGAGATTCAAACTCTTGCTTTTCCCAAGTGAGGTTCCTGGCCGAGACAAATCCAGGAAGTCTTCTAAAGCTCCGAAAGATGTGCATAAAGTAGAAACAGTTCAACCTGCAGAGGATGATAACGACATCGAGGCTGATGATTCTGAGCCTATTGCATCATGGCTTGCTCGGTCATCTCAGCGTTGTAAATCTTTGGCTAAATCGCTGAAGACACGAGGTACTTCTTCTGGTATTGAAACTGTTCCCCAAAGGTCGTCTGAGGACACTGACCACCTACGTAGCAAAGTAACTGATCCAAAAGGAAGATTCGAAGCAGATTGTGAATCTACATCTGCTAGTAAAGTTATTAAATCTGTGGCGGCAACTTCGATCGTTTATGCCAGGAAAAGGAGTCAAGCCAGCAGTGAAGGAAATGGTTCTGTGTCGAGATATGTCCAAGCATATGGAAGTGCTTCAGGGACTTCCGATCCTGTTGATGTTATTTCAATTAGCCTTCCGGCTGAAGAAAACGTTGATTCAGAGAAGCAAGTATGGTCAGTTGACCGTCGCGGAAGGTCTCATTTAAATTTTAAGTTGGTGGAGTCCAGCAAATTGAAGTTCTGGATACAGCTACCTTCATTGCCAAACTGGGAATTTTCTGTTCGAACTTCTTGTTCTCCCTTATTTAACGACATATTCATGGCACAACATGGGGTGCTACTGCCCACCTCTCCTTCGGTGGTGCTGGAGATGATTTTCATTGATAGCGACCGTGGATTGAACTTTTTCTTGTTTGAAGGTTCCATGAAGCAAGCTCTGCTTTCTGTCTTTGAAATTCTGATATTTTTTGGTCAGGCAGGTGAAATCATGGACCATGACATGCAATCACCTGTAACCTCAATAAGGTTCAGATTCTCTGGTGTTCCAGATTTCAGAAAGCGCCATGTATTTCAGCTTCATAGTTTCTCCAGATATGGGAATTCGAAGTGGGTTGGCCTGGACTCTAAGCTTCTGCAACATTCCCTTCTCCTTAAACGATTACCAGCCTCGGAATGCACATATGATAACATAAAGGAGCTCGAAGATTGGAGTTTAAAGCAATGGGAACCTCCTGTTGGTTTGCGACTCTCCTCATATACGGTATACCTTTTCTTTCAATGCATTAATAACCATTTCAGTTTATGCTCTTCTTGCTGTTATGACTGCTATATTGAATCTTTATATGAATTACTTCTACTTGCTTATTCCATGAAGTTTTTATTTACTACGGTGTGCCTCTTTCTGCTTTGGAACATGTATGAGGAATTGAGGATATAAATTTCCGATTCCCATTATAAAGATGTTCTTTTGGTGATGATTTGCCTGCAATGAATTCTTAAGCATTTCTTTTACGGGTCAAACTGCGACATGCCCTTACATTTTCTTAATTCTATCCACAATGGGAATCAATGAAAGTCTGGTCATATTTATGTGGATGAAGATGTTCCTTTGGATGCAAATTTTGTACTTTTATTTTATCAATTCTCCTAAGACTACCCTTGATTTTGCTTTTAATTATTTCAGTTTGTTTTCTCAATTTCCTGTCAATTTAGTTGGTGCCCTGTGAGAAACATTCATGAGACTAGAAATGTGAGTAGATATGTATTGACTAGTAATGCTTTACATGTTTTCCCAGTGTCTTAACAAGGGGATTTTGCCTAGCACATCCAGGGAAGCATATACTACCAGAACTAGTCAATCGGCTTCCTATTTCTCTCAAAAACATGGACAAGTTCCTCCATATGTTATTCTTTCTTCCGCAGCACCAAACTTCCTTCTCACTCAGCATCTTCAGGTGCTCATTGGAAACAGCTCTGCAAAGCACCCTTGTCAGGTCAATTTGCATGAGGAGAATGCAGAATCTCTTCCAGCTGCACCCATCCCATCACAAGCTTCTGATCACGGAAGTGATTCCAGATCTGATCAGATGATTGTTGATGTTTCATCTGCTGATCAAGTTGGTGTACCACACAATGCAAAGGAACCCATATCCAAGAAGGCTTCTGATGTTGCTAGGAGTGTCAGTGAAGGCTTTGATAAAACCCCCACTCCAATTGGAACTAGGTCCTCTTTGCAAGGAGGTAAAAATAGAAAGGTCTCTACTACTCCTGCAGATCACTATCCAAAGTGGACTGATGCAACTCCTAAATTCATGCGTCGTGGATTTAGCAGTGGCCCGAAGAAGCCAAGGACACTTGTTGAGTATCATAAATTGCCTGGTGCCGATCATGATGTCAGTTTAAAACAAAAAACACAAAACCAGAGATCTGTACCTGGTAAACGGATTAAGAGAGATGGCCTGAAGAGAGTATCTGATGCTACCAGTGGTAACAGGAGGAATTTTGATTTGGTGATTTGTTATGCAAATGTCCTGGTCACACGGGGTGACCGGGGATGGAGAGAATCTGGGGCGCTCATTGGCCTGGAAGTTGCTGATCACAATGAGTGGAGACTTGCTGTCAAGCTCCCTGGCAGCACAAAGTATTTATATAAAGTTAATCATATTTTGCAGCCTGGGTCAACTAATCGGTACTCACATGCTGTGCTGTGGAAAGGGGGAAAAGACTGGGTACTTGAGTTTACTGACAGGAGCCAGTGGAATCTTTTCAAGGAGATGCATGAGGAGTGTTACAACCGCAATGTCCGTGCTGCTTCTGTGAAGAATATTCCTATCCCTGGTGTTCAGCCGATCGAGGATTTTGATGATTATGGAATTGAAGCTCCATTTGTTCGGAATCCTATGAAATATATTAGACAGCTTCAAAATGATGTTGAGATGGCAATGGATCCCTCACATGTTTTATATGACTTGGATAGTGATGACGAACAGTGGTTGATGTCAAACCAAGAATGCGTTGATGAAAATGGATTTGAAGTGATAACTGATGATTTTCTCGAGAAGATGATGGACATATTTGAAAAGGCTTCATATGTTAAGCACCGGGATAACTTCACCAAGGATGAACTTCAAGAGCTCGTCGCTGGACTGGGGTCGTTGGAAGCTGCTAAGCTTATATATGGACACTGGTGTGACAGGAGGGGAAGAAAGGGTATGCCTCTAATCAGATATTTACAGGTACGAGTACCATGAGTTCTATATTTCATTTCCTTTTTTTTTTTTAATGCTCCTGTGAACATATTATTTTGTGCTCTACTTCTAGCCGAGTTTAGTTCTAAGCATGTAAAGCTGTTACTGATTTTGGCATACTTGATGCACACTTATTTGCCCACCATAGGGTATCACTTTCACAAAAAGTAACCTCACAAACTTTTTCTGAAGTACAATGCATTAGGTTCACACGGATTTGTAAACTTTTGTTACTCTGAATGTGGCAATTTGTTTCCAAATATAGGTGGTTTTTTTCAAATATTTATGTGTATCTGAAATAACCCAGTGTCAGATAATGCTGTGTGAGTGGCTATAAATACATATAGCTCTTGTTTGCTTTGCTCATAATTCATTGTGAATATGTAGATGAACCCTCGTCTGGATACCCTGCTTCGTACACTTACAAAAACATGTTTGAAAGCTTAGCCTACCTATTATTGATAGGTCACCAATTGCTGAGGGATAGGCCATAGAAGTCTTGAAGCTCTTTCTTATCCAAACTTTTTCACTGGAATATGTCTAGATTAGGTTCTGCGAGGCATTGCTAGCACAATAATCATTCAAAAATGCCTTTCTTTTTTTCACACTGTCAATAGGGAGATAGACATCCGGATCGTATTGGCCACATAATACAAAGTGAGTTTGCATCTAAAGAATGTGAAGAGACTAGACATTCTATGGTTTGTTCTCAATTTCACATAGAAAATTGAGGGATAGTGGAATTGTTTAATTAAAAATCTTGTTATAAACGGTTAGTTGGGCAGCATGTTAGCATCATTTTATCGTACATTGTGAATGATATATTGCAGCTGAGCTAGAGTTAGTCTGAAGCTACTTAGGCATGTTTAGCACAAGCGATTAATTAATCGTAATGTTGCTCTTATAAGAAAATTGCATTTTGCTTTTCTGTGTCTTTGTCCTAGCATCTCCTTTCATTTATTTTCAGTATGTCATATCGATATAAATTTGTGTTGTCACGGATTTTCTTCTATTCAGCCTCCTCTTTGGGAGAAGTACCAACAACAGATGAAGGAGTGGGAGAGTTCTGTTGGCCGGGGTAATCTCGCCGTAACTACTGCTGGTATTCCAGGTAAGGCTCCTGTCCCCGAAAAACCAGCCATGTTTGCTTTCTGCTTAAAGCCACGAGGCTTGGAAATTCGCAACAAGAGCTTCAAGCAACGGTCTAACCGGAAATATCCTGTATCTGCTGCACACCTCCATCCTGGTTCTGGAAATCACGGCAATTTTTACATTTACGGTATATCTGACTTATCACAAAGTTCCCGGTCATATATTCAACAGAGAATATGCATTCTTGGTTGTTACTTTCTGTTTTCTTGCTGTGACAGGGAGAAGATCAAATGCCAATACTTACGATGGCAAGAAGGCCTTGTATAGAACTGGCATGCATGAACCTTCCGACATTTCACCTCTTCCACCTTCGGTGAGGTTGCTGTCTCCCCGGGATGCTCATTTCACGCTGAGTGCCGCCGTATCTGTAGCGAGCCCCAGCCCAAGGGTTTACAGGGCCAAAAGGAGGAAGCACGGCCGGCATCCCGCTACTGATGTCCAGCAGACGTCATCTAGCAGGCGGAAGAAAGGACGAAAAGGTGGAGCTAACATGGGCTTACCCGACTCAGCCAGTCCGATGGACTTATATACCGAAAGGCCAGGCTTTGAGAACATGATCAACCCAGATAATCTTAACGAGTGCCGCCTACGTGATGCATCAGCTGCAGCGCGTTACGCACAAGAGGTGGCTAAGCACAAGCGTCACAAGGCTCAAATAATGTTCGAGCAGGCTGATATTGCTTTACAGAGAGCCACAGCTGTAATGTTGACTGCTGATGCAATCAAATTTGCAACCGATAGCGCAAATGGAGACAGTTAGATAGTCAGTATGCCCGTACCCATGCCCTTTATGACTTTCGGGAAAAAAAACAAGTAAAGAAAAAAGAAAATTGTGATTTCAGTCCTCAGGAAGATTCAAAATTCTAAACTCAAGCTACCTACCTACCTTGGTTTTGCATGTTTATGCATGGAGATTGGACCTCATTTTAATCTTTGTGCATATATATATATATTATAGATAGATTGATGGATGTGCAGTGTTGTTATCTGTAAAATGATGGGTGGGATAGATTGATGGATCTGCAGTGTTGTTATCTGTAAAATGATGGGTGGCTGATGTTGGAGAGGGATGTATTGCTTCTGGCTTGCCGGAGTTCTCTGCTGCGGCCATGGCCATCACCACCATCACCACCGTCGCTGCTGATTGCCATTCATATGGCAGTTTTGGTACAATGCTTTAGCTTTTCTTGACAGCTTTGGTGTTTTCCCTTTGCGATTATAAGTTGCTTTGCTCGTGATTGTTCCAAATTGTGATGTAATTGTGCTTTTGTTGTGAATCGATATGTATATAGTATCTTATTGTCATGCCCTTTTGTGCGTTTTGATTAGGTGTATCCGGTTTATAATTTTGGGTATTTTGATTTTGTATCGATGTATATAGTATTTTGTTGTCATGCCCATTTGTGCGTATTAATTAAGAAGAATTTTGGGTATTTTGTGGTATGTTATTGTCGTGTCGTGCCCTTTTGTTGTATATTGATCAGGTTTCGGGTATTTTGATTTTGTATGATGTATACAGAATGTCATTTCCGTGCCCTTTTGTGCCTGTTGATTGGGTTTCGGGTTTAGAATTATAGGCATTTTGGTTTTGTATTAATGTATCCAGGACCAGGATGTTGTTGACATGCCCTTTTGGTTTAAAATTTCGGATGTTTTGGCCTGGCCTTGTATTAATGTCTATCTATGTTGCGGATTTGAAATATTTTGGTTTTGTATTGATGTAGTATTTTTATTGCCATGCTTTTCTGTACTGTGTATGTGTTCGATTAGGATTTGGGTTTAAAAGATATTTCACTCTTTGGTCTACAAAGAGTTTGATGAATGTGGAGCCACACACACAGGGGCTACTCATCATGTGGAGTATACATAGAGAGGTATGTAATATACATTTAAATTTGATCAATTTTTTATCAAGTTTATATTTTTATATTGACGAATTTGTTTAATTTTGATTTAAAATGAATGTTAGATTTGAGTTTTTGTTTAATTTTGATTTAAAATATTAATAAGAACAAATTCAATAATTAGCCCCGAGGAAGTATAATTTTATCTTATTTATTTATTTATTAAGTTTGTGGTGGTGGCTAGGACGTAAGGAAAATAAGCATACCTCATTTAAAGCAAAATTGAAAACATGAGAACGACATAGGCAACTAGTAGTAGGAGTACATTTTAATTTCATAGAAGCATGCATATACTATTAATTAGATTAAATTAGTCAAATCAAGTAATAATAATAATCAATCAAACCAAGAAACACGAATAATAATCTCAATCTCAATCTCAATCAATAGTAGCAATAAGTAATGATGAGAATTAATGGATAAGTACGACCCCAATCACAAATAAATTAGTAGTATTTAATTGTTTTATTTCATGCAATAATTGGGTAGCCAGTAGCCTCCCTTCCAAGCCTCTGCCTCCACGTCAACCTCGTGAAATTCGGGTCAAACGTCGTATTCATTACCGCACACGTGTCCTAGCAAGGACACGCGTCATCCTGCTCGTCACTGTCATTAAGCCCCCGGCTTCACCCGACCGCCCCTACAGGACAAAACTACTCTGCGCTAACGTCCACACTAACTACCCTGCGCTCGCCTGCTCCTCAAATTATGAGTCGTTCATTGAATAATAATACTCCTTCAATCTCATATACTATGTTCACGTTGTCTTCGTCCTATGTTATTTTTTTTAAAAAATGATTATATATTTTAATTTTATTTTAAATTTAATATTAATTTATAATTATTTATATTATAAAATAATTATTTTTACTAATATATTTTTAATTATTTATTAATTATACTTCTTCTAAAATACATAATGTATAGTACTAAGGTACGAAGGACTGAGATAGTATTAAATAAAATATATAAATATAAAATTAAAATATTATGGTGCACCTACGCCTGCCCGTAGGTGATTACATCTTTGAATTTTCGATTACGTTCTTTGTCGTCATCTTTTAAGGCTTTTGGAATACTCTAGAAATAGTCACAGAAAGAAAATCCAAAAACGACTTTCTTATCGATCGTCCCCAAAGGATTTTTTTGTATCTATTTCTGTGTCTTGTGTGTGTATATATATGTGTGTGATACGCACCAGTTTACTTCCATGTCATCCATCAGAAACTTTCCTACGCATCGACGCTATTCACTGTTGCATTTGTTGTTTTCTGAGTAACTTTGGATTTGTATGAGTATATCGATATCTGCATCTGTTTTTTTGTGCGTGTGTGATTGCCAAGGGATTTTCGTGGGAGGAGTTCGCTGCAGGCTTGTGATCTGAGCGCACGGAGTAGCTGATTGAGAAGGAGATCGATCGGGGGATTTAAAGTTCGTTATTCTTAAAGTTCTTCCTTTAACTTTTATTTTGATTTTATATTTTTTTTCTTGCTGCAAGTGTTGTTTTGCGTTTTATTTTTTTGAAGAATTGATGTTCGGAAGCTTCTTGATTGGGGAATTCTGAACTTCCAGTGGATTTATTAGGCGGCGTTGTTGAGATCACTTGAAATTGATTCGCTGTGTTTATGTTTATTTTTGTGCTCCATTGATTATTTGTGAATATATATGTGTATGTATTATTTGTGAATCTGAGTTGCAATTTGTTGGCTGAATAACTGATTATCTTCGATGAGCTTCATTATCTCTTCGATAAACCCTGAATTTCACTGATTTAGAGCGGTATCGGCCGAATTTTGATTTAGATAACCATTGCTTAATAGAGATGAGAACATCTTCTAGGGAGATAGGTTTTGTAACATCGTTGGAGTTCATTTTTCGAGATTTTCCTCTACCAGGTTCTGTCACCTCTCTGTGTGAATCTTCAAGGAATGGCGATATATGGTGTTGATAATGAATTTATTGTTAATCTCATACTAACCTGGATGGAATAGTAAGGCATGTTTAAGCTGCCATATATTTGCACAAGTGTTCTGGTGCAGGGACAGGGGCTCTGTTCCAAATCTGATGCAGGTGTTCCTTTTCTATCTTTTGGTTTGATGTGGAACAACTATTTAGGACTTCTTCTTCAAACTTTTCAATACCTGTGTTGTTAGGGATATCTATCAGGAAATTTACATAAGGACCTGAGGGTTGTTGAACCAGAAGCACAATTAATATATATTGTGGAATCTTCTGTTCTTTTTTTGGAATTTTGGCAGCCTCATTGATGTTTTCGGGATCATTGATTGATAGGCTTATGATTTTGGATTCTCAGTAGAGTTCTTAGGATGTCAAATATTTGTACTCTGGGATTAAGACTCAGTGATGCATTCAAGAACAATATTCTTCACTTGTTATCCACCTTTGACTTATTCATTGATCAACTTTGAACCTCTTGTGTGGAACTCCTGCGTTGCTCGAGCTGTTTGGGTTTCACTGGTGATCGGTTGTTATTAGCCCATGTTTTTATCTGGGAATTTCCAAGCAACTGAACTCTCCTGCCTTGCTGAAATCGACCTTTCTAGGGTTCCCAAGAACATGCATTTATTTGTAGGTGAATAAATCACCTCCAAGAGTAGGTGGTAATTGCTAATGACCTGGTTCCACATTTCATGCTTGGAACTTTTTATTGGATGACATTTTGGACATTTTAGTGGTTTTGGTGTTTTATCATGTAGTGAAGACGAGATGGAGCAGTTCCTGGTTTGAGGTAGGCTTGTTCTCCCGAGGATAATTAGGATAACATGAGACATCAACCTATTATTATTTTAAGTTTTGCATGATTTTGTTTCTATTGCTTTTACAGTAGGTTGAAATGGGATCGAATTGGTGTCTGCTTAAAGGGTTTTGTCGAGAAATGGTTTGTCTGCAGCTTGAAGATTGAAGTGCTGGAATGCCACAATGATATTCATTTATCGAGATTCTTGTATTGTTTTGAGCAATTATCCTTCTGGGGATTTCTATTGTTGGAGCTTGTTCGACTCTAGTTGGATTTATTTGTTGCTGATTCTCTTGGTCTGGAGCAAATGTTCAACAAAAGCTACATGATCTTGAGGTGTTCGCCCATCACAAGGGCGACTAGATTAGCTTGCATGACTAGGTTTAGGCTCCTCCTAATTTTACTTTTGGATGCAGGTGCTTTGTTAATTTTCCAGCTTCTACTTAATTGGTATTATCAGAATCAACGAATCAAATGGCTTGTGTGGCTGCTGATTACTGTGGCACCCCACCCCATATGGAGGCAAACACTTCTACCTTCGAAGAAAATGATATGGAGAGAAGGATAAAGGCTTGTGAGTCTGAATTGCAGCAGCTCACACTAAAAGAGGATACTGTGGAAAGTGAAATACCGTGTCATGAAGAGATGTCCGATGCCGACATACTTGATAAGGGATATTTGGAATATGGGTATTTCTTAGCGTTACACGTGTAGCTGTAAATATATTGCTACCTTAGAAGTTAGATCTATTTTATACTTATATTTGCCTTGTTTATAGGTGCTCTCATTATCGTCGGAGGTGCCGCATTAGAGCCCCCTGCTGTAATGAAATATTCGATTGCCGTCACTGCCATAACGAGGCAAAGGTAACACGTCATACATTCAGTAACCATACAAACTGCGTCATCAGTATTAAAAATTTAAATGATACCAATATTTATTCCTTGTCATCAGAACAATATTTGCGTGGATCAAAGGCTCAGACACGATCTTCCCCGTCACTCAGTTGAGAAGGTAGACTTGTTGTAGCCTTTTATTTGTTTCTGTTTTTCATTTATGTCTTGTTTTTGTCTGAATCTTGAAAACTTTTTGTTTGTTTTCAGGTCGTATGCTCCCTTTGCAACACTGAACAGGAGGTTAGTTTATAAAATTCTCTGTTTCGACATATCTTGTAAGAAGTTGTTTTCTCTTTGCTCTTTCCACTTTGTCAACTCAGAATTTCCTACTGATGGTTGCGCTCAGGTCCGACAAGTTTGCAAAAATTGCGGCGTTTGTATGGCGAAGTACTTTTGTGGAATTTGCAAACTGTTCGATGATGATGTAAGGCATTCGTCCCTGTTTAATCAATTTATATATACATTATCGGCAGATCTGGAAAATGTTAGACTAAAAGTGTGCTGAATCTATTTTTGAGTTCTTTGGTTATGTTATATTTGTATTTCATGTTTCTTGTTTTGCAGACATCCAAACAGCAGTATCATTGCCATGGCTGTGGCATTTGCAGGATTGGGGGCTCTAAGAATTTTTTCCACTGCAACAAATGTGGTGAGTTATTTCTCCTCTGTTAACTGTTGCCGCAATCGTCGATTCATTTTTTCACCACGTCAGTCTCCCGTGTCCTTCAGGCTGTTGCTACTCTGCTCTTTTGACGAGCGGCCATCCCTGCGTCGAGAGAGCAATGCACCAGAATTGTCCAGTCTGCTTTGAGGTATTGAAATTTTTTCGATTATATACAAGTTTTGAAAATTTTGAAAAAGTTAAGTACTTCCTCAGCTTCTTCATAAAAGAATATTCGTTTTTTCTATTTTGATATTCATTACTTCTATATTACATTCTAAAAATTTTTGTTCTTCTTGGCAAATAAATAAACGGAGTCCGGGAACAAAGGGAGTACTTGATTTTAATAGTTCTTTCTTTTTTGTGAAAATTCAAAAGTTTCAAAAATATATATGTAAATAGTCCTTGAACGTGCAGTATCTATTCGAGTCGGTTAACGACGTAATTGCGTTGCTGTGCGGGCACACCATTCACAAAACATGCCTAGAAGAGATGCAAGAACACTATCAATACGCCTGCCCGATCTGCTCCAAGTCGGTCTGCGACATGTCGAAGGTGTGGGAGAAGTTCGACATGGAGATCGCCGCCACGCCTATGCCCTCATTTTGCGAAAACAGGATGGTAATGTTCGAACATTCAGACTCGAATAAGGTTGTCTGAATAATGTGATCCTGACATATCTTGATATTTCGTTCCCCCGACAGGTTTGGATCCTTTGTAACGATTGCGGGCGCAATTCAGAAGTTAAGTATCACGTCGTCGCGCACAAGTGCCCCGAATGCAAGTCGTACAATACACGCCAGATAAGATAAAGATAAAATAAGATAAGATAGATCTGTAACAAAAATATATAAATAGCATTGTTTGACTCGGACAGACAAAGTCGTGCCATGAAAGCATCATCAAAAATGCTCTCTTTATGTTGTTGCTCGAAGCACGCTGAAATGTCGTGAAGAAGAAGGCTTGTGTTCGTTTATTAGTACTATCTTTATGCATGTAAAAATGTAATGAGACTTATTTTATCTTCTTGCTTGAGATTATCGATTCAAACGGTTTAATAATTATAATTATTTGGAGTAACTATTAATTAAATGAATAATATTATTCTCAAGGGGTCGTGACAACGGTAAAATTTGAAAATAAAAGAGTAATAATTTGGATTGATTATTAATTAAATAAATTTACTAGGGGTGAATATATAATTAAATAATTTAAATATTTAAAAATGTTTTATTAAACAGAACCTATATGTTTTTAAAAACAAACAGTAAAAACTATTGCCATTAGTTTCCGTATCGATGCATCACAGTTAAAAGAAAATGGCGAGAATGAAAAGACGAGTCTAGCCTTGGGTTCAAATGGGACACGAATACAATCGCAAGGGCAAAAGTGGAATAAAAGTCCAACATGAAGCAAAGGGTGTCAACTTTCCTCAGCTCAACGCCGCCTCATACTACATCAGAATAAATTGGCATCTCATCGCCTCTGGGGATTTTACTTCCTACTATATTCACTCATTCAAACTCCGATTAATTGCTCGCCGGAAATTCATGGCCACGATTGCAGCTACCGGAACAGGCAGCCAAAGCGGCAGGGAAGCGCGCCGCCGTCGGATCCTCGAGCGGGGATCCGATAGATTGGCGCTCATCACCGGGCGCATCCAATCGCTGTCGCAGGACTCCGAGCAGTCTCGTAACCTAGCGTCTGTTCCACCGCAAACGCTTGCCGGTATAGACGACTTTTTCGTTTAGTGTTCTCGTCACGTTCTGTTTTGGTTCTTAGTGATTTTGGTTGGGGTTTATATGTTTTAGCGCAATATGTGGTTTTTGGCTGACTAGTGGACTCGAATTGGCTCCAATTTTGTTGTATTGGTTGGCCTTAGGGTTTGGAAAGAGCATTATAAATTAGTATTTCGTGCTTATTATTGATTACACTCTGGTTCCTGGTTTTTAGGGTTTCCTACGCTATGGAAGATTATACCCAATCTTCGGTGTGTGTTAATAGTATCTCTAAAGATGACTGGGTATTTACCGTAGGACACATGAGAAGCCTTTTTTTTTTTGTTGCTTAGATTAAATTTTAGTTTCTGCTATGATATATAGCTCAAATTAACTAAGTTGTATGAACTTAATCCATCTAGTTGTGTTCATATCTTTTTATGAATTTGAAATATCTTTTATGTCTTATAACTGCGGGATGATCGAGCAGGTCGCACATAAGTGTTTTCCGTGCATGAACTCGAGATTCAACTTTTTCCCAAGAAATAGTTTATTTGGTGGTTTGAATTTTGGGTTTTAAGTTTTGATTAGTAAAATTTTGAATTGGAATAGTTGTTTGAATGTAAAATTGATTTTTTTAGTGTAATATAAAAATAAAAAAGAGGTATTTGATTTGATATTTGGTGGAAAATTTTAGAGGAATAGTAGAAATCCTCTAAAATCTCCCAAACAAACACCCTTAGTATTCAGAGGGTGTGTTTAATTGTATTTTAAAGTTTTGGGTTTTGAATATCGTTAGGTGAAAATGAGTGTTGGGGGAGATGTTTTGAATGCAAAATAGGTGTTTGAAGAAATTTTGAAGGAATTAGAAAAGGCACTATAGATTCGACAGTGCGAAAATGGACACGAAAATGCAACATATCCTTAGTAATCAATCATAAACGGCTTTCAAATTTCTGACAGCATAGGTTTTCTGAACCCAATCTTTCAATCATACGGTTCCTTAGCAGCATAAGGTGTCAACTGTCGATTCCTTAGGATCCCTATCCTGTATGGGCGTTTAGGTTCGTGTTGAGTTGAACATTGGCTTATAATGACTTTCTTGTTATTGCTAATTACTGTGGTTTTGCAGATACTCCTCAATTGGAAAACAATGTAATCCCAGATTCAGCTTCGATGAATCATGAGCCTGGTAAGAAACCTAGCCAGTTTGAGACCGTCGACGAGACAGAAAATCCTTTACAACCAAACCTTGAAAATTGTAAAAACATATTGTCTGGGGAAGCATTGCTCGGTGTCACCAAAGAATTATCTCAAATATCATCACAAACGCACGATGGAAACAGGCACAGAGATATTACATCTAGAGCAGTTGCCTTGCTTGGCATCGAAAAGGAATTATCTCAGATCGCTTCATCCACAAAAAGTCTCTCTCAGGGCCATAGCAGCTCACAGAACACAGCCCGTCGACTCCAATCCGCCATTGCAGCTACAGAAAACATCCGAATATGTTCTTCTGCAGCAGCAGCGATTTTAGTGCTCTTGTCCTGTGCAGGATTTCCTATCCCAGGCAGGTCCGTCGTACTTTTCAGACCTCTTTATCTCCTTTTGGCGACAAATGTATCCATCGTGTACGCTCGCTACACTACTAGAGGGACGGATTCAATAGCTCAACCGATGAGCCGGAGCCAGCGTTGGGCTTCTGCATTTGGCGCCGGCAGAGCCATTGGGGTAGGCTTACTATTCCAATGCATTCTTACAGCTTTATTTATGGACTTTGGCATCTATGCAATCTTGCTCATTTGTGGCCTTTCCTTAGTACACAGACTTGGGTAGAGTTAAAAATCATTTGGTTTTTAAATTATTGTTCAGTAAAATATGTAACAAACAGTCTATTGTTGAATTGAGTCGAGCAGACTCGTAGTGCATAGTTATTTTATATACATAACAGCCTCTCTATGTTTTAGTTCAATAACAGGACTGTACATATCGGCGCAATTTGTCCCGACACGCAAAGCTGCCCCTGGAAACGCCTCCGGCGAACCATCGGCGGTGTTTTTGTAGGCGGCGGCGGCACGATTTGGTTCGTTCCACATGAACCTTTTTGATCGCCCGCAGCAATGTTCGGTATCTGAAGTCTCGTGTTCATGGCTTCCTTCTGATAAATCTTCTCCAAGCTCTCGACCGGAAACGCTGGCCGGTTATCTAACTTCTTATACGCACCGCTAACCCTGTTCGCCTCTTTGGTTAATCCGACAGCTCTCCACGACTCGGCAACCATCTGAAAAGTTGTCTTCTCCGGTCGAATGCTGAATTCCTCCATGAGGCCGAGCATTTCTTCCGCTTTCCACGGCTTCTTGGCCTCGGCGTAACCCCCGATCAGCGTTTCAAATGTTTTCAGATTCGGGGAAGTGTTACGCTCGACCATTTTCTGGAAAACCCGGATGGCTGATTCCATCGAACCGGCGCTACACCATCCGCTGATTACGGTTGTGAAGATCACCACATTCGGGTGAACGCCGGAGCTCGTCATGCCGTCGAGAAGCTCTTCCGCCTTATCAGGTTCTTGCGCGCGGACGTAGCCTTTTGCGAGAATGCTGTACGCGTGGACATCGGGCTTGATCCCAGCCGCTACCATGTCGTCGAAAATCTCGCGGCATTTGATCATGTACCCGGCGGTGCTCCACACGTTCATGATCGTGCTGAAAGTGATCACGTCAGGTCTCACTCCAAACTCGCCCATCAACGTAAGAACCTTCGAGTCGAAAAAATCATTTTATAGAGAAGCGACGACGACGGATGTAAGAAAAGAGTCGGGAAAGTTACCTCTTCGACTCCGTCTCTATCGGAGGTGTTGAGGAAACCTTTGATCAATGAGTTGAAAGCAATGAGATTCGGGCGCACGCCGATATCCTTCATCGTGTAAACGAATCTCAAAGCGTCCCGTATCCGACCTTCCTTAAAGTACCCGGCGATTACGATGCCGCAAGTTCGTTCGTTCGGCTGCACGTTATTTCCTCGCATTTCGACGATCAAGTCTTCCCCGTCGTTCATATGACCGTTTTGAGCATAAGCTGTCAGCAACGTGTTGTATGTGATCGCGTCGGGCTGTATACCCGACACTACCATCGACGAGATCACGTCCCGAGCTTCTTCGAACTTTGTTTTGTTACACCACGCCCGAACGAGAACGTTATACGTCCGCAAGTTCGGTTTGACGTTCTCTTCCTTCGACATCAGCTCCATCATCCTTGCCGACTCCTCGGGTCTTCCGGCGATCCCGTAACCTTTGATCAACGTATTGAACGTGCTCGTCGTCGGTTTCATCCCATTCTCCTTCATTCTCGTCAACGTTTTGACGGCTTCCTCCATGTCCCCCAACTCGGCGAACGCGTTGACGGCGGCGTTGAAGAACACGGAATCGGGCTTCAGTCCGTTCTCCTCCACCTGCGAGATGATTGAATGTATGTACTCGAAGCGTTTCTCGACGGTCAGCGAAGCTAAAAGCGTCGTGTATGTGACGAGCGACGGCTTGTGCCCGGCACGGATCAAATTGTTGAAAACCGTCCGGGCCTCCCGAGGCTTCCCGCGATCGAGCAGAATGTTCATCATCTTTGTCCTCGTACGAACGATGTGACAGCTGTCGTCGTTCGCGCAGAAAGTACACGGAATCGAGCCCGGCGGTGTGTAGAATTGGATGGCCTCATCACAAGATGTTTCCTGCAGTCGTAATCGCAATTTATGTCTCGAAAAATATCTCGAATTCTTACCAAAGACCTATAGTTTATACCAAAAACTTATTACCTCAGTCGAAAGCCCGTTATCACGATTGTCCTTTAGGATGAAAGCGCTGCCTATCGCGGCTTTATCGAATTCCTTAATGTAGCCCATAGGTAAACTTTTCAAATGTTCAATACGTTTCCAGTTTGTGTTTGTACGACATTAATCAAAGCATAGGGTCGACTACTTCTCCCGCAATCTGTAAGAAATATCCCCACAACATCGCATCATATGTGAATCATAAGATTTAACAAATCGAACACTTTGAAATTCATAAAATAGGGAAAATGGTGAATCGAAGATGCAACAATCCCCCTAATTTGAGACTGTAGATTATGTCGAACAACTATTTTATCTTAAACTATGACATGACTAGCCACCAAATTGAATCCTACATTGTCATCAAATCTCATCCCTACGAACCAGTTTAAATATCATCGGTTAATTGAAAATATTTGAATTTTAATTATTACGAGGTTCGCGGTTTCGAATATTTGTTCGGATAGATTTGAAAAACAGGATATCCCTAAAATTGACAAATAGCTGAACAGTGCCCCACCAGGACATAACACTACACTACAAAAACACAACATGGGCGTGTTTTCTGCAACTGTGCAACTTCTTTATTCGATTTGGATACCAAATATACGTAAATTAAGCACATAGCGGAACAGTGCACACCCGCACATAACACGGGCGTGTTTTCTCGCTACTGTGCAACTTCTACACCGTCGTCAACTACAATCCGACCGAATGAGTAATCATTAAAGACATGAATCTTCAAATATGATAACAACATCCATAGAAAGAACTTCCTTTCAACTAGAACACAAGAAATGTAATAAAATAAAATAATAATAAAAAAAAAAACACAGACACGCAGCTTAATCAAATATGTAATAGATCAATCTTTCTTGTCTCAATCCATCGAAACCCCAATCGTCATAAAATTCCAAGAATTCGTAAACCTAGAAACTGAAATCCCCCAAATTTCAAGACGAATTCAAAATTGATTTCAGACAGTAATTGAAAATAATAGCAGAAAAGCTACAGAGTAATTGACTGTACCTTCGACGAGCACGCAGCAGCCCTATCGATTGGGTATTTTTTCTTGTTCTTTTTTTATTTTATTTTTTATTTTATTTTTTCGATGGCAATGACGATGAAGTTGGAATGGGCAAGAAATTATTATTGATTGTGGAGTTTAAAGAAACCCCAATTTGTCCACGACAAAGCGTGGCGTGACAAGAAATCTTATCCATATATTTATCGTTGGACACAAAAATTGAGCCTATACATGTATTAGTCTATTTATATTTTATCTTGTAATACTACCTTTGTGCCCCTTTTTACCTTAAGTATAAGTTTTTGTTTTTGTTTTTATTTATTTTTTATTATGCTGCATTAGAAAATAATAAAAATAATATTTTAATTGAAACGAAATGAATATAATATATGTATAGATATTTGTTTATATATTTAAACTTGTTTTTTCAATATGACAATATTTCAAGTTGTTTATTTGGAATAATAATTTTATTTATTTTATTAAACTTTTATTTATATAAAACTAATATTCTTTACTATTACAATATCTAAATTCAACACTCCATAATATTTATCTTGTCTTGTGGGGGTGCTCTCTGGGTTAAAATTTGATCTACTTTATTATTATCATTTGTCTTCTGTCCAATTTATTAATTATTTTATATTTAAAATTTGAAATAACAAGCAAAGTTTTGCCAGTTTATGAAATATGTACTTTTAAAATTACTAAACAATATATTTATGCTTTATATCTAAAATGTATTAAAATAATATTTAATGAGATATTTTATAAAAAAATATATTTACTTTTGTTAAGCACAAAAAATAATAATAATAAATAATGGCAGTGGGATTCTGGACGGGTCTGGATATAAGTTAAATGACCCAGAAGTAGGGTGCAATCGGACAGATGCAAGGATCGGGAAGGAAGAAAGGTCGGGCGGAGTCTGAAAAAAGGTGTACCCAAGTCGGGTAAACCGTAGATCGGGTGAAAGACGAAGTCGGGCAGACGCGAAGGTTTGTCAAGAGAAAGATCGGGCAAGGAAGAGGTACGGACAGATGCGGAGGTCTGTCCAGAGGACAGTCTGTCCTTCTAAAGAGATAAGGCAAATAGAGCCGGTCGGTTGGTCCGTAGTCGGGACCACATTTGGTTGGTCCATGGTCGGACCAATTAAAGTCGGTCAAAGACGGAGGGCGGCTGATGCGGAGGTCGGCCCAAATGATGTCGGGCGAAGAAGCAGGTCGGGCATTGAGGTCAGGACGTGATACGAAGGTCGGACCAAGTGAAGTAGCATGTGCAGGTCGGGTGAGAGAGCAGTTCTGGGGCAGTTAGAGGAAGTCGCAACTGGCGAACGATTTTTTGAAGGTCGGACGTAGTAGAACGGTTGACACACGTGTCAATAGAAGAGAACTTTTGGGGCGGTTAACAACGGTTATGGTAACTGACCAGACGACGGTTCTGAACGTTTTTTTCAAAGAATATTTAAGGATTTGGATCATCATTTGGCAAGGCATCTTCAATCAACTTCAACAAAGCAAAGTCAGATTTGGGGATCACCACTTTAAATTTCAGTCTTTTATTTTCCAGTTTATTTTCTGTACCATACAGTGTTTAGAGATTCCTAATCTCAGGCACTAATTAATCAAGTTTAAGGATATTTTCTATATCTTTGAATTTTACTTTATTTTTGTTGAAAAATTACATCAACAAATTGGCGACCACAGTGGGAGAGAATGTTTCAACCAATATGGCAGGCACACAACCTCAATCATCATCAGCACCGGTGGGAGAGAATGTTTCACCACCAGTCATGCCAAATCCAGGGGAGATTCCCCCACCACCTACCGATTGGTTGTCTTATGTTCAACAAATGAACAACCAGCAAACTTTGGTTATGCAGAACATGTTGCATGAGCAACAAATGAACATGTTGCGTGAACAACAAAATCTAATACAGAACATGGTGGATCAGGCATTCTCCAGATTCACCCTGTATCCAAACATGCTTCCAGCCGTGTCACCTGCTCGTTTTCAGGCGATTTTTCCAAGATCAACGTTTGCAGGGCCAACGTACGTTGACAGTACGTTTCCAAGCGTCACAACTTTCAACCGAACAGATATGGGGAAGATTCCTCTAACTTTCCCAGATAATGTTCCTTTGGGACCGAGGGTTGATAATACCCAGCCGAATGAGAGATTAGGAGGACAGACTCATAATCCCATTCCAATCGAACCAGCCTTCTCTAGAGAAGAAAGGTTGGAGGGACAGACTCATAATCCCATCCCAGCCGAACCAGCCTTCTCCAGAGAAGAAGAAAGATTGAGAGGTCAGACTCACGATCACATTCCAGTGTTCGACCATATTCCACCCAAGGGACAGACTCATAATCCCATCCCAGCCGAACCAGCCTTCTCCAGAGAAGAAAGATTGGGAGGTCAGACTCACGATCACATTCCAGTGTTCGACCATATTCCACCCAGAGTAGATCCGGAGGATATTGCTCAAGTTCTGCGGGTGCATTTCGGAATGAATCCGCAAACGGTGAACAGGCCGGTTTACCAGAGGCCATTTCCAGAAAGGATCATTAACGATCATCCTCTCCCGAGAAATTATAGGCCACCAGACTTCTATTCTTTTTCGGGAGAAGACGGAGCCTCTACCATTGAGCATGTGGGTCGCTTCACGGCTCAATTGGGAGAAGTAGGCAACAATCCGTTTCACAAGTTACAATTGTTTGGGTTGTCGCTCACAAGAACAGCTTTTTCTTGGTATGCCAGTCTGCCGCCTGGACAGTTGCAAACTTGGGAAGATTTAGAGGCAGATTTTCATGCAAGGTTCTTTAATCCTCTGCCGACAGTCTCACTGATAGACCTTCTGGAGATCACGCAGATGCCAGAAGAGACCGGCTACCAATTCATAGAGAGGATGCGATTGATGAAGGGACGATGTCCTACGATGATCAATGAAAGCGAAATGACCAATTTGGTGGTCAGGAACATGCATACCAGACTTCGCGAGGCCCTGACAGCCCACGACTTCCAAGATCTGGCCAGTTTAGCATCCACGGCAAGAAGGTTAGAATCCTTTTTTACAGAAAATAATCATGACTTCCGTCAGGGGGGAGATGCTGAAGCAATGTTAGTGCAAGATCGATCAATGTGCAGACCACCACCAGTCCGCGATAAATGGAGGTCGGGTCCAACGTAGCCTCAGAAGATGGAGGTCGGATCTGAGGCTGATGTAGCCTCAGATGCTGACCTGCAAACTCCTAAAACATCACTGAAAGTGATGTTTAGGAGTCTTGAGGAGGAGGCTTATTGTTAAGCACAAAAAATAATAATAATAAATAATGGCAGTGGGATTCTGGACGGGTCTGGATATAAGTTAAATGACCCAGAAGTAGGGTGCAATCGGACAGATGCAAGGATCGGGAAGGAAGAAAGGTCGGGCGGAGTCTGAAAAAAGGTGTACCCAAGTCGGGTAAACCGTAGATCGGGTGAAAGACGAAGTCGGGCAGACGCGAAGGTTTGTCAAGAGAAAGATCGGGCAAGGAAGAGGTACGGACAGATGCGGAGGTCTGTCCAGAGGACAGTCTGTCCTTCTAAAGAGATAAGGCAAATAGAGCCGGTCGGTTGGTCCGTGGTCGGGACCACATTTGGTTGGTCCATGGTCGGACCAATTAAAGTCGGTCAAAGACGGAGGGCGGCTGATGCGGAGGTCGGCCCAAATGATGTCGGGCGAAGAAGCAGGTTGGGCATTGAGGTCAGGACGTGATACGAAGTTCGGACCAAGTGAAGTAGCATGTGCAGGTCGGGTGAGAGAGCAGTTCTGGGGCAGTTAGAGGAAGTCGCAACTGGCGAACAGTTTTTTGAAGGTCGGACGTAGTAGAACGGTTGACACACGTGTCAATAGAAGAGAACTTTTGGGGCGGTTAACAACGGTTATGGTAACTGACCAGACGACGGTTCTGAACGTTTTCTTCAAAGAATATTTAAGGATTTGGATCATCATTTGGCAAGGCATCTTCAATCAACTTCAACAAAGCAAAGTCAGATTTGGGGATCACCACTTTAAATTTCAGTCTTTTATTTTCCAGTTTATTTTCTGTACCATACAGTGTTTAGAGATTCCTAATCTCAGACACTAATTAATCAAGTTTAAGGATATTTTCTATATCTTTGAATTTTACTTTATTTTTGTTGAAAAATTACATCAACAACTTTAGAAAACGCCGAGTTGCAGTAAAATTTTGAAACTTTGACAAAAAATATAGAGCTTTACATATATTTGAAATTCTTAGCCATTACACAATTATTTTTTAATATCAAACTAAATATTTAATATTCTTGAAACTTTTTATAATTTCATAAGTCAAAAACTTTAATTTCACCAAAATATCGGCATTGGATGGGGCAGTTATTTTCATTATTCAAAAATATTTCTAAATATTCTCTAAAGCGATATACACAAAAATATACTACAATTATTATTTAAAGAATAATGTAATTGTATTTTATTATTTATATTCCTCAAATGCGAATTGAATGAAAATTCAACCATTTGACGGACTGCCAAACCCTTGCGCAATCCACCGCCCTCTTTCGTACTCTTTCCTTCAAATTACGATCGAAGATTGCGAAATTGCGCCTCGATTGGTGAACACAAGTTCTGGAATTCCGTGAATTGATCGTCGTATTAGCATGTTAAGGCTGTGGAAATGGTACCAGAATTGTTTGGCAACCCATCCGGTTAAAACCCAGGTGATTAGCTCAGGCTTCATTTGGGGATTTGGCGACATTGCTGCTCAAGCCGTCACTCACTACACCCCCAAACCGCACACGCATCAATCTCATGTCAGTAATCGATTATTTTCTTAAACGCTTTTGTTATTCCTTTTTTGTATGATGTTCCGCGTGATTGATATTGGCGTTTTTTGTTTCGTTGATTGAGTCAGTTGTTTTAATGAATTTTTGTTTGATTGAATGACCTTTCTGTTGGTTTCCCGGTTTTTAATCCATGAATAGGTTTATATTGTGGATATTTGCAAATCGTACTCGATGGATTGTGTTTTTTTGCGGATGAATAGGTTTATGAATGGCTTGAAATTAGGTTTTGTTTTGACGATAGATTGGTACAGTTGTGTTCTTTGAAATGCTAACAGAGTTTTCGTATGGATTGCTTAAATGAGAAATGTCTGAAGAAATCCGGCGAGTCATTTACAAACCTGTTATACAGAAACAGAAAAAAGTGATTATCAAACCGTTTTTTTATGTACTAAGCATACAGTTTAACGATTTCATCAAGGAAAATGTTTGTCGAAGAGAAATGATTGAAAAAGCTTAAATTCCATTACAATTCCTAGTTAGAAAATTGCAACAGGACATTGGATTTTCTACAAAATCTAATTAGGGTTTTGGAGACGGCATGCTTGATTTTGGTCATTCTTTCCATCCTCGGTCTTATTGCCAAAAAGCTTCAATGTGTCCTGGTTTCAGTTGCAGTCCATAGTGGTTTTTTTTTTGAAAAAAAAAAAAACTGGAATGAAACCTAACTGCCAATGACTGTAATATTGATGCGATTAGAGAGAAATTTGAGTTCTCAAAAGGAGTGTTTCTGTGGATTTTATCAAAAATGCGGAGAGGTCTCTATTGCATTCACTTCTTTCTAATTTCAGTGAATAATTTGTTGGGAAGACAGACAATCATCAATTAGGATATATATTCTTTTCTTTTTTCATTGTTATGCTATTTAGTATCTACTTTGAATTTCTGATTTCTCGCATATCTGGATAGTTATCATCTACTATGCAGGAAAGAGATGAAGAGCTAAAAATCAATTGGAAACGGGTTGCAACCACGACCATGTTTGGACTTGGATTTGTTGGCCCAATTGGTCATTTCTGGTCAGTATATATTTAACTGAATAGTCGTGTTCCTTATTCTTGAAAGATACAAAGCATGCTTTTCTGTCACGAGTTTTTCCTGCTCATATGTTTACCCCGGTCCTAAACATTTGGTTTAAATCTTAAATTCTCTGGCAATGAAGCCCAATGATAAATGCTGTTATAGCATTTAGGAATTTAGCTAGTATACTTTCATATACGTGCGCTTGAGTTAAGTTTTTGTAGGAAAACCATAATATTATGGCCAACCAAAAAGCACGAGCAAGTTAAGTGATCTCAAGTATACATGGGGTCAGTGCCGGTCCTGGGTATGGGAACCAAACAAACCCAAAAAATATCTAAAACTGATTCATATTATATTATTTATATTTAAAATAATTAAATAATGGCCCTGTTTTTAAGTTTTTCTGGTGTCCCATCAAAATTCAGGAACGGTGCTGCATAGGGTGGTCTGTTTGGGGGTTTGGGTTATGAATAGTTAACTTTTCTTTTCTTTTCTTTTTTTTTTTAAAAAAAATTTGAATAATTGTTTGACTTGATATAAATAGGTGATATGATGTTTGTTTTGATTTATCTTTTTTGGTGGGGGGGTGGGGGGAGGCCTGTAGTTTTTGCTAGCACTGAATTTTATTTTTTCCCAAAACATAAGAAGAAGCTCAAGTGATTTCTATATTAATTTTCGGAAAGAAAAAAGGGATCAAGCTTGAAAACTCACACTGGATCAATTTAGCTTAAACTTATTATCATAGTTAATCTCGTCTCTTTTTATTTGTTTACTCGATTTAAGACATGTCACTTATGCAAGTCATCCCCTTTTTGATCTTTATACAAATGTAGGTACGAAGGGCTGGACCGCTTTGCTCGGGTGAGGCTAAAGCTTCAACCGCATTCCTTCCGTTTTGTCGCCACAAAAGTTGCAGCTGATGGCATAATTTTCGGGCCCGTGGATCTTCTCGTTTTCTTCTCTTACATGGGGTTCTCTTCGGGTAAAACAGCTGCACAAGTGAAAGAAGATGTAAAGAGGGATTTTCTGCCGGCTTTAATTCTGGAAGGCGGCGTGTGGCCCGCTGTCCAAGTGGCAAACTTCCGATACATCCCGGTTCGCTACCAACTACTTTACGTCAACTTCTTCTGCTTATTGGATAGCTGCTTTCTTTCGTGGCTCGAGCAGCAGCAAGATGCGCCGTGGAAGCAGTGGTTCAAATCATTACTGCCTATGAAGGAAGAAGAACAAGGCAGGTGATTGATTTGATTTTCTTCGATTTCTTACATTTACAGTTCCGATTTGCGCAGCAGCGATCCAGTCTAGTCATAAGAACGCCGTGCAATCCTGGCTTCTTGTGTATATGAAAAGAATGCTTTTCGAGTTATCCATATTAAGAAGGTGGCTGGCTGGCTGGCTGTTGACATTCGATTTTCTTGGTGATATCTTTTTAGATCATCTCCAAGATATGCGGTGGCTAAGCTAAGGCAAGTTCTTGAAATCCTTCCTCCTTTTTTTTCTTTTTTGTTTTTTTTTAAAAAATTATTGGATGCTCTGCTCTGCTCTGCTCTGTCTTTGAATTCAAAATTGATCTTTTTGCTTGCTCTTATTTTGTGTTTGAACTTTTGCCCTGATTTTCTGAAAATCTATTTTTACGGCCAAGTCTAGAATTTTCTCATAATCATTGTAAAATCTAATTTGAGTTTTAACTTAATTGCTTTTGTTGTTTTCCTAACGCATTATTATGTGGTTATTATGACTGTGCATTATATATAGGCTTTATATTTTCTAATTTTTTTATCTCTTAGTAATTATATCAGAGGATAACTAGTGTGTTTTGAGAAGTATGTTCATCAATGGTTGTGTTCACTTTTTTTTTTTTTTTTTTTTACACAGAATGCCTTGGGATGATTCGCAGGTTAAGGGGGGTGGCTATGTTAGAAATTTTATGACTAACGTGGGTAAATTTTATATACTCATTTACTTTTTACATTTTTGTAGAAAAAGTTAAAAAACAATTGTATGAATTTTGCTAAAAAGAAAGAAAAAAAGTAATGGATTTATTTTTTATGGGAAAAAATAAAATAAAATAAAGGGTATATGTTCGTTATTTAATTGACATTACATTAATTGTGAGGAGAGTAAAGGCAGATAGTCAAAACAAATGTTTAAGGCCCAAAAAGAAAATAATTATTAGAAGGAAACTATTAATAGGAGTAACTTGGTGGCCCAAACAACTAACTAATCGGACCACACGTGTAGGCTAATTTTCGACAGGCCCACGTGATATCAGATATCGTGCTCCCTTTCTGATTGGACCGACAGGCCCAAATGTGGTGAATACTGCTGTTGGCCCATTGTGATAGGATAGGCCCAAATAATATGTACTGTCGGCCCATTTACGACGGGCCCAAATAACATGTAGTGTCGGCCCAATCGCTGACAGGCCTGTGGTAAACGGGCCGACAGCGTGTTAGGTACAGTGGGCCGGTCGGAAATGGGCCGACACCATGTGAGACATTACTTGGGCCTGTCGAAAATGGGCCGACAATGTGGGAAACGATTTGGGCCTGCATAATTGGGCCGAAAACATATGCTTTAGCAGCTTGGGCTATGGGCCTTGTTTGATTGTGAAATTGCGCCGTTAAGGCCAGTCAAAATAACCCGGGCCTGTCTGATACAGGCCTAAATGATGTCTCATAGAAACTGGGCCTGTCGGAAATATACCGACAGCATGTGATCCATGAGTTGGGCTTGTCGGAATTGGGCCGACACCGTGTGCGACATGATTTGGGCCTGTCGGAAATGAGCCGACACCATGTGAGACACAAATTGGGCCTCAGAAATGGACCGACACCATTTGACATGACTTGGGCCTGTCGATAATGGGCCGACAATGTGGGAAACGACTTGGGCCTGAATAATTGGGCCGAAAACATATGCTTTAGCAGCTTGGGCTATGGGCCTTGTTTGATTGTGAAATTGGGCCGTTAAGGCCAGTCGAAATAACCCGGGCCTGTCTGATACAGGCCTACATGATGTCTCATAGAAACTGGGCCTGTCGGAAATATACCGACAGCATGTGATTCATGAGTTGGGCCTGTCGGAAATGGGCCGACACCGTGTTCGACATGATTTGGGCCTGTCGGAAATGGGCCGACACCATGTGAGACAGAAATTGGGCCTCAGAAATGGATCGACACCATTAGACATGACTTGGGCCTGTCGATAATGGGCCGACAATGTGGGAAACGACTTGGGCCTGAATAATTGGGCCGAAAACATATGCTTTAGCAGCTTGGGCTATGGGCCCTGTTTGATTGTGAAATTGGGCCGTTAAGGCCAGTCGAAATAACCCGGGCCTGACTGATACAGGCCTACATGATGTCTCATAGAAACTGGGCCTGTCGGAAATGTACCGACAGCATGTGATTCATGAGTTGGGTCTGTTGGAAATTTCACATTTTTGGGCTTTTGGGCCCAATGATTGCCTGTCGGAAATTGGGCCTACAATACAGGTGTCGTTACTTGGGCCTGTCGAAAATGGGCCAAAACAGGCGATTTCTGACAAGTCCAAATAATGCCACATGTACTATTGGCCCAATATCTGACAGGCCAAATCGGCGCACTAATGACAGACCCACATCCTGTCTCACGCTGTCAGCCCGATTATGACAGGCCCACGTTCCGTCTGACATCGTATTGACCCATACTGCAGTTCCATATTAATTTCAAAGGCCTTTACAGCACAACATAGCCCTTACACTGAATCATGATTCACATGCTGTCCGTTCAGGTCCAACAGGCCCATACTATACACGACAAAATTTCCCACATATATGCTCATTTTCGACGCAGCCCACGTGGCCCAGAGTCTGTCGATTAAATGATATATGCAGAGGTAACCAGCCCAATATAACATTAACCTGGGCCTAAAAGCTCAAATTGAAAACTCATGTGATCTGGCCCATTTTCGACAGATAAGTCACGTGCTGTTACCTCAGTTCCTACAGGCTTACGCGATATCCAACATATTCCTATTGGCACATCACCAACAATACTAAAAACCCCACCCCCTCCTCATCCCTGCATATATTACATTACATTACATAACATAGCCATGGCTGGCTGGCTTTCCCTTGGAAACACCCACCCACCCACAAGACTTTTACAACCTTACCTTAAATCCATCGTAGTAGAAAATATCCATCCGAGAGACAGACGACAGTCATCTTCAGAAAGGTGTACTTTTTTCTTATCCCTTTATAACGCTTCATCCTCTGTATATTTAGATATTTTATAACAAAAGGAGGAAAAGGGAATGAATAATCTCGGAACGAACAAGAAAATTTACAACAGACACAACTCACATTCTCTTCCATGAAATTAAGACACCCAAACCAAACCAAGCCACACCACACATTACCACATTATTCAAATCAATGCCTCTGCAAGCAACCACAAGTAATCAATCACATCACATATTACACGTAAATCATGCTATAGAATAGATGCTAACTAGCAGACCCCATGGAAGAAAGCAATGAGATGGGATGATCCCGCAAATGGTTTCCTCCATTCATTCCCGCAAATGGTTTACCCTTCAGCGGTGAGATTTGAGCTTGCAACCATAGCTCGTGGTTTAATCAAAGGTATGCATTTCAAACTCCCATTTCCTAATATAATATAAGCACCCGACACATTTTGTCTAAGACAATAACAGAAAACTGGAAATGCGACACAGAATGTCTCAAACTTGCATGGAGCCTAAACCGGCTTTCACTTTAATATTTACGTAGCAGATATTCCAAAACACTAGGGGTGTGTTTGTTTGAATGATTTTGGTGGATTTCTACTATTAATAAAAATCCCCCACCAAAAAAAATCAAATCAAATCAAATTTATATAGTATTATACTAAAAATCAATATCACGTTAACACCTATTTATATCAGGTCAAACAACTAATTCAATTCAAAAATTTTACTAATTCAAATCAAAACCCAAAATTCAACCCTCCAAACAAACACACCCTACACCCTAGATGAATGATGGACCCAACTAGGTACTTAAGGGCCACATGAACCATCTACTACTGTTAACATAAATATTATTGGGACGCCACTAAATAACTAATTTATAATGCATCGCCACTCCCAGACCAAAATGCTAACAAGCATGCCAGAAACTTTGATTCGAAACAAAGATAATCAGCTAGGCTATGTATAGATCTCTAGTCATTAGGGGGTCACTAATGCTAAATGCGCAATTTCTTTGAGTTCCTTGTCTTTTATGTGACATGTTGCTCACATACCAAATCAATTGTCATTTGTAAAACAAACAACTATCGAGCCGACATCTTACATTTACATAATGGCAAAGCATGGATGGAACTATAAGTAGGTAATATACATAACAATACTTTAAACCACCAGTCATGGAACTAGTCACTTCTGGGGAGAAAAGAATCACTTCATTTTGCAAAATTTTGAAATGTGAAAAGTCTGTGTTTCCAAAGAAAACAAAAAAGAGGAACCACACCAATATCAAGGATGTTTTGGACTTGCTTTACAATTTTAGATTGTTTCGGGAATAAGGATAAGTTGAATACAAAAAAAGTCTTTGTAGAGAATGAGTTTTGTTATCTATTTATTTTATGTTTTAAAAATATGTTTTCAACAGAATGCTTTCTAGAGGGAAAATTTTAATGAATTAAGTACTAAAACAAGGCTGAAAATATAGGGGCACCATTTGTTTGGCATCTCATTTCCCATCTCACACTATGCAAACAATGTGCATCTCAAAATCTTCTCAAAAGCTTTTATCAAGATGAACCTCCTTACAATCTTATGTTTATATCTATATATATTTATAATCATTCAAAATTCTCTATTTTCTGTAATACTTTTTTGTGTTAATCATATATAGATGTAAATATTTTTCTATTTACCTGTAAAATTTTATTAATATTCATATTGATTAATCGATCGAATTATAAAATAGCTTAACATGAATCCCAAAACTTAAACTAACATCTCATTCCAAATCCAAAACTCACACCAAAGGCCAAACACAAAGAGACACCGAGTAAACAGAGGCATCAAGTCCCCAGATGATATATTGAAACCTACATACACCACTCTCAAACCTATGTGAAGAATATCGGAGCAATAGAAAATCGAACCAACAAATGAACGGAAAAATCGATACTTACGCCGCGCCGGGGGGTAAATTTCTATTCTGACTTTCTTCGGTTTGAGAAGAACAGCAAGTAACTGAGAAAAAACGAATCCAGACTCAATTGATTAACCTGAACAGAGAAAAATATAAGTTTCATAAACCCTAATGTAATCGAAACAAAGGAATTGAAATATCGAACCGATGGAACCGAAATAAAAAATCAAACCAATAGATTGAACAGAAAATCAATACTTACGCCGGCGGGCGGGCGGGCAAAACGAAACGGAGGCTCGTCTCCCCCCTCCCCTCCGCTCTTCTCTCCTCTCATCTTCTCTCTTTCTCTCGCTTTCCTCGTCTTTCGATTTCTTCCCCTCTCAATAGTCGGTGATGTCACCATATTCTAAATTATCAAATCCAGGGTTTATTATTATTATTATTATTATTATTATTATTATTATTATTATTTGTGTAACGAATTACGTAAATATGGTTATCAATTATAGTATATAAAATATTATAAAAATGAAAGAATATTATAGACTTCATTTATTTACATATATTTTATAAAAAAGTATTAAATTAAATGTTTAATTTTTTGCAATTTTCAAAAAGTTAAAAATTGAATTTTATATTATTTTTCAAATTTGACAAAAATGAACTATAGTAATAATATATCAACGCAATTAGATTAATAGGTATCAATATGATTCTTATTAATTTCTTAAAATTCAAAAAATTACACCAATCTTGAGTTATATACTATGAAGTATGCTTAAAATGGACCAACTGTTTCTGCTCTCATTATAATTTCCCAAAACTTCAATTACAAATTTCCTTAATAAAAAGAAAAGAATCAAACAAATCAATGAATTGTTCTAATTTTCTTTACCTTAGTGTGTTGTGTGTGGTGTTTAAGAAGAAGACAGCCCAAATTTGGCAAGAGCTGATTGAAAAACTTGGAAGAAAGCCTTGGACGTGTTTTGATCATCACATTTGATCTTCACCTGCACTTTACACGACGACGAGTTTATGATACACTCTATAAGGTACCCGGCGGACTCCGACTCCGATGACTTCTGCGCGAAGAAAAAGAACTTGAAGTTCGGGGCGTGACCTCCCGACGCAATGCAGAAGATTGAATGGCGTTGCATGTGCTGCGGGAGGGCCTGAGGATTCGTCAACGCAGCCACCCCTTGTGGTTCGATGGAGATTTCCTGAAAATGAAAACATTGACAAAGAAGACATGTTATGAGATAATCTCGAGCATAGCGACATTCATTCGCCGTTAATAACTTTCAACAAAAACCGCGGCTAGAACTGTTAAACGAACTTAACAGCTCACGAGCCAAGCTTGACTCGACTTGTTTATAGAGATAAACATGCTAAATTCAAGTTCAAAGATTGAACTCATTATAATAAATTATAAACAACATTATATTTATTTATTAAAAAATCATATAATATATATGAAATAACAGTATGTTCGAGTCGAGCTCGAAGAACAGATACTCAAGCTCACTCGGCTCGTTTAAAAGCTCTACCCGTCACAAATTGCAATAAAGTGCACGATCCTTCAGATTTCGCCTATAAACCGATGAATATAAGGCGAAAAAGGAAAAACCGGTGAATTTTTCAGAACTTTCGTACTATAAGCATTATAAATAAACATAAAGCTCGGAATTTTATAACCTGGGATTCAGAGACATGTAGTTGGCGCCATTTCTGTTGAAAAGTGTTTGGATCGATGGTGGCTTTAGGATTGAGCTGTAAAGGAGGCGTTCCCAGGCCGAGGAGTTCTTCGATCGCCAAGCTAGGAGTTTTATGTAATGACGGTTTGTCTAGTGATGCGAGGTCGGGCTGACTGTGAGAGACGCGCGTAGTTGTTTTGGAGGAGTTGTAAGAAGGGGCGCTGTAAGCAGATCCGTTGTTGGCGCAGCTCTGATTATCTTCTTTCTCGGAAACACTCAATAACAAGTCCTTGTCGTTTGCCTCGAATCCTTGAGCTGTAACAACATCGTCTGTGGATTCGGGGTTGACGCTACCGATGTCCCCCGAGAACGCAAACGGCCCTCTATACTCTTTATTGACGAACATGTATGATGGCTGCAGCAATGAATTTGTCGATGAACATGTATGAATACGAAGGGATTGATTTAATTTGTTTTCGAATGATTATATTGTAAAAGATTGTCACCTTTTGGTATACGACAGAGAGGCTGTTGAATTCGTCGAAGATGCGATCTTTGATTTCGCTACTTTGGATGTCTGCAAAGACTGAGACGGCTTGTTTGGGAGGATTTACGATCCGTTCTGCGACAGAAATATCATACTTTAAAAGTCTGTAGTAGAATAATGCCCGGGAACGAACATCCTGCAGTGAATCAAATTTTTAGCGGCTGTTTGAACAGATCGAAGCAATTAATTATCCAAACTCGACATCGTAAAAAGCCACACCTGATGAAAATCCGCAAGACCAGCGGCTAGAGCACCTCTAAGGGCCTTCTGAGCCTCCGGTGGTCGTCTGAAGAAACACTTCATTACTGCTGTAAGAAGATGCAAACGTACCTGCCGGAAGAATATAAATGTGGATGCTTCTTTATAAGGAATCGGGCGCATATCATGTTAGATAGCACCAGAAGAATCAATGCTCATTTCCTATAGTTTTAGCATTTGAAAACTTTGACGACTTTGCGAAATACAAGGCGGTGCAGAAATGTGTATATGTTGAATAGAAAGGAACATATCAAGTAGGCGAAAATGAGAAACCGATTTCAAGTATAAACACGAAAGTAAAACAAGGTAATGAAATTTAATCACCTCTGCAGAATGCTCCCCTTCCCAATTATCCACAAAACTTTCTAAAATGTAAGGACTATCTTTCATGTCTTGATCGTATTCAGCGAGCATCCAAATAAGGGCTGCCTTGGCTTTGGGTTCTTGAACACTTTTGCTACTGATATTCCCAACCACAGCTAAGCAGTCATGGCTCCACTGTGGGTACTTCCTTAGAAGATCTTTCACAAGAACCTGCAAACAGAAACTATAGATGGTCGAAGACTCCACAAGATAACTGCACCAGGACGACGATTGAAATTCCGGGACAGAGGAGGGTAGTGCTTACAAGGGTTTCTGCAGTCACGTGTTCTTTCTCCATTTCCAAAAACTGAAGCAGCCGATCCACAATAGCATTTACATCGTACTGTTGCAGCGCAATCTTTCCAACAGCTCGAATGGAAGCCCTTGCCATTGGAATATCAACATTTGCAACATATTCGCAAAGTTCGGTCACTGCAACAGATAGCAAAGATTGGTCATTGAGTTGAGCATACTAGCAAAGAATCCATATGCGAAACAACTTGCCTATCTCATATGTATTGCTCTCTGTTGCCACAGCAGTCAGCATCTCAAGCTTCAACCTTTTCACATAGAACAGCTCATTGTACTGGCAGTAGAAATGCTTGTATTCAGAAGCAAAAAGATATGGTGCACGCAGTACTAGCAGATGTAGGTGGCTTAGAACTGCAAAAGACTGCTCAGGACTCCCGGAGCTTGCCAAAGTGAGGAGAGGGGCTTTAATCCGCTCATACACCTGAGCAGAAATTTCATTAAGATTATAATATGATCATATTACAAAACTTAGCAAAACTATGTATGATTGACGTAACATAATTTATGCAATTAAAACTCCCCAAACATTAGGTGTGTGAATAGGTTAACACATTGCGAGTAGTACATGTGAGATAATATAGCACTGTTCAAAGCTTGATATCTAAGATCTAAAATGGTAGATGAATGTTAACGGTAAGCCATACACTCTAGAAAGGTAAAGTGGAGAAATTGAAATAATCATATTCAAGTGTTCTGCAGGAACCTCTGGGTTGGTATGTGCACCACGGTTTAGGAGTCAAAATCCACCTAACAAGAGAAACAGAACAAGATTCAACGGCTGCAGAAATGTAACACAAGGTGCACCAGTATAGTCGAAATAATCTAGAGATATACAAGATGTAAATATCCTGAAGAAGCTTTTGAAGGGCTCATCATATAATCAAAGGTCCACATAAAGCATTCTTTACTCGATCTCGATGTGTTATTCAGTACAAACTTATAGTAGCATAAAGGACAAGTCAAACGGATGCCATTGACATGTCGAAGTCTACAGAAAAATCATGGAATTAATATGTTCTCATCAATAACAATGAAAGCAAAGATAATGAGATGACAAGATATATATATAGTACCTGTTGATGAACATCGGGCATTGACAGGGTCATATGTAAGAACAACTTAATGGTAGCAAGGACAACCGCGCCGTTGGCATGTTGAAGTCTATCTTCAAGAAGATTCATAATGTCAAAGATCTCCTCACTATCCGTTGGAACGTAGTTTGAAACCAGCTCTAGGACTACACATTGTGCCCATTCATTGAAATTTTTTATTCTGCATCCATCAAATGCCTAATTAGAGACCTCATAATCTGCATCTCGCTTGCTTGATTATGTTCCGTACCTATTTAAAAAGTAATAAACCATCTGCTTGGTATGCAAAGCTTCTAACTCCCTTACTGCTTCCTCGGATTTCATTGCTTCCAGACTCCAGATCCCTTGTAAAGATTTCAAACAGTTTGCAACCACCTGATGAACAAGGAGAGAACATAAGACAGAACAAACAGGAGGTTTTTCTTATACATGACCCGCTATTGTCCTATCATTTGACACAGCCAGAAAATCCCGGATTCAACGCTATTGTTTCCTTATTTATCAACTAGACATAAATATATTAACTGACAGCTTCAACACAATTGATCACCATAAACTTAAAAAGTCACATCAATTGATGTGAAGGGAAATTACTGAATGAAGCCCAGTAGTTTAACTCCATTTCCATCCCATTGCACCAAATTTGGCGCAGCTTCACTCCAACCACTGCACTTAAAAGAAGTATTTACTTCAAATGCTTTTTATAACCCATCTCATATTCTTTATGATAAACTATAAATAACCCTTAACTTTAAATTTATTATCCTCTTCGAATCTGAAAACATATTTTATATCAATCTACACCATTACATAAACAATAATTCTACTATTTGACGACAGTGTTCTAAATGTATTATTCTCCTTTTAAAATATAATTTTATAGAGAGTTGTGCAGCAAATTTTTTGGTGCAAAATACGGCATGAGGTTGGAGAAGGTCTAACCTGACACTCTCTATCTTTAAGCATTAAATTCTTTAGAATAGATGGAAAATCGGCATCCAAACATGTTGAAGCTGAAATGTGATACAGCTTAAGCACTCCAACAGCTGCCACCATCCTTACATAACCATTTGCATCGCTCAGGCCATTATTCAATGGCCCGACCAAGTACTCCACCAGATTTGCCACACCAAGCGAACAAAGACTTCTCAAAGCTAAACCCCGAATCATTGGATCCTCATCCTTGCAATCTCTTTGAAGAAAGTTAATAGTCAGAAGTGCAAGATCTGGATTGTGTTTTGCGTAATTTCCAACGTATAAATAGCACATCTTTTTAAGAACAATGTCGGGGGTAACCGCACACATAACCATTTCACTGAAAACTGATGATACATCAATTCCAATAGTCATATAAGATATAACCTTCTTGAAAAGATCTCTCTTTGCATCATCAGTTCCAGGGGCTCGGCTACCTGCCAGCTGTCGAAGCTGCAGTTTAAGATCCGAAACCTCTCCTTTTCTGATTGAACCAAAACATAGATCAGCATTTCACCAATTATGGCTACACATATTAAATCGAAACAAAAACTAACTAGTTCTACAATGCAGGCAAATCCAATACACAATAAAGCAGTCACCACTCGTAAACTCGGACTTCCATCAAAGAAGGCATGAATTAGCCGTCAAAATCCATGCCATTGTCGTCCTATGATCTAAAGTTCAAAATTCTTCACCACACCATCAATAAAAAACTAACGGTAAAACAGTTTCCCCTTCTCTTCTGCTGTAGATCCACGCAGATGCACAAAAATTAAGTCGCAGTTATGAAGCGAATCAAACCATCAATCTCAGAACTACAGAATCTATCTTATCATACCCTCCGAAAACTCACAATGTGCAATAATCTCCATCGAACGAAGCACGATTTTCAGCATTCTAACAAATAATTCGTTTCTCTATCAAACACATCAACATTTCCATATCCGCCACAAGTTACAACAACACCAACACACACAGAATATACATAAATCAAGCTAGGAAGAGTACCCCGATGGCTGAGACGGAGAAGGATAACGCTGGTATTGAGGGGGTGGCGCCATTTTCCACTACTGATCTCTGGGAACACGTTGATCTGTAGAAGATTCGGAAAATTCCATACAAATGGTAAGAATTGGGAGATGCCTTGCAGTTTGCTGTAAGTCTGCGCTCATCATAAGTCGCGCTTCTCAAAAAACTAAAAGCGTGTTAGAAAAATTGGGTCTTGTGGGATTTTATATTCCTTTGCATTAAATACCCAAAAATTATTTAAATGGGCCTACGGCCCAATTTATAAACTTATGTTATGATATGAAATGTTTATAATTGGACTAAATTACTTCAGAGTTTACACTTGTTTATACAAGATTATTCAATATATTACAAAATTACAATAAAAATATGTATATATAAACTTAAGTTATGTTTTGAAATTTTTAAAATAGTAAGAAATTAAAAAAATAGTTTTGATGTGATATAAAAAATGTGAGATATGATATTTTACATAACAGTAATATTTTTAATTTAATAGTTTCAATAAAAATTAGGTATTTGATGAAATTTTTTTAATTGCAGTATTGATTCATTTAAAAATAATTTGAAAATATGTGTAATAATTTAAAGAAAACAGGTTTGCTTGGAAGAGTTTGAGTTATTATTAAATGCAATATTTTATAAAATAAATAAATATTTCATATGTCCAGAATATGATATAATATTTGTTTTCTATACAAAAATTTAAATAGATAGTATTTGTTGATTGACTTATAAATAAATAAATAGTATTTGCATAATGTATTTATTATTATTATTATTATTTGATCAATCTCTCATAAATTCCACTCCTATCACATAATATATTTATAAAAATATGATTCAATCGATAGTATTTCCAAAAACAAATATAGTACTATAAGATACAAGGGAGTATCATTAACTTATATAAAATAATAATAATAATAATAATAATAATAATAATAATAATAATAATAATAATAATAATAATATATAAAATCATGTACACGATTGAATTTGAGAGTGAGTGATGTGTATTTATCATTCATGTAATCATCATTTTCCGAAAATGGAAAATCCAGGCTTGAAGCCACTTACAGGATTTCATGGACCACAATATTTAATCATCTTTAATATAATTGCAATTAATTATTTTATTTCCAAATTTGACCAAATTCAATTTATTGTTACCTACCCATCACATTATTGTCGTTTTTAATTACTCTTACATTTCTTGCATTAATAATTTATAAAACTTCATTATTCACAATTTTTATTTCACTTACTTGGGTACATATAAGTGCAAACTATTGAAAAATTTAAAATTAAATTGCGTTAAAAAAAATATCATTGCAAAAAAAAAAAAAAAAAAACAAAAAACAAAAACAGCAATAATTATGCAATTCGTATACAAAATGCTTTCTCCATAGTACGGAGACTACAAAATAATTTTATTTTAATATAAAATTTTAGTAGGTAAAAAGTAAAACATGGTTATCATGAGAATTTTATTAAAAATTCGATAAAATAAATAATAAAATAAATATCAAAATGATTATTATTTATTAAAGTATAAGTAATAAACTTGTTGATGAATAAAGTTTTTTTTTTTTTTTTTTTTTGTATAAATAGATTGTATATAAATTTAGCAAAAAAATTAGGAACATAACTATTAATCTAGACGGAGTGGATATTAATGTATATATTGTATTTTTTTGGTAGTATTACGAATTTAATTCGTTGAATGACAAAAAAAGGAAAATTTATTTATTACTATTTTATTTTATTTTATTTTATTTTAAAAAAAGTCATCATATGTTTAAAATTATAAATTAGTGAAATGTGCATGTGTATGGGCTTGTTTGATTTGAGTTTGTAAAAAATAATAGCTTGATACAAAATTTTATAAGAGAATAATATAATAAAAGAAATCAAATCAAACACAATCTATGTATGTATGTAAAAGGCATCATCAAATCATGATGAACATCATGATCGTTGGACTGCCCCATGAATGGACCACTACTCATTTGTTAACTTATACCCACACAAAGGAATAAATAATTTTCTATAAATTATAATAGTTCTCTTTCTTTTCTTCTTTTTTTTAGAATTTTTATTTTTTATTATATTATAATCTATCACATCAATAACTAGTTAAATAACAAATACAAAATACAAAAAAAAAAATCCTATTTATTTAAAATATGTTATAAATAATTTATTATGTACAAATATATACATATCCAAATTAAATTATATTTTTTATACTTCCTCAGTCCCATAATAAAGTATTCATTTTTTTATTTTAGTCCGTTCCATAACAAAGTATCAATTTTCTTTTTCAGTAGCATTACAAATACCCTTACAACTTACAATATACTCCCTCCGTCCCATATACCGTGTCTACTATACTGTAGACACAGTATTTTAGGAGATGTGTAATTAGTAGATAATTAAGAATGTATTAGTGAAAATAATTATTCTATAATATAAATAATTATAAATTAAGATTAAGATAACTAATTAGTTTAATTAAAATTAAAAAAAATAAACTAAAAAATTTAAAATGAGATTAAAGTGTGTAATCATTTTCCAAAAAAGGAAAATGACATGAAATGTAAGACGGACAGAAACGGCAACATGGACATGGTATGTGGGACAGAGGGAGTATTACACAAATGTCATTACCTTTATATCACATGTAATAATAAGGTTACTTTAGTTATTTTTACTTTATTCCTACTATATCTCAATATAATACTAATATTTTTAAAATTACGTGCAAAAAGCAAATAGATATTTACTTACGGGACGGAGGGAGTAATACATTCAAAATCTACTATCATTATCATACTATTACAATATAAAATCTCAAACCTAACTCCAAAATGACATAAATTGTTATTTAAAAATAAAAATATATATTAAAGATTGCTTTTTTTTTTTCTTTTTTTTTCTTTTTTTTTTTATCTAAACATCACATCTAGCTAAGACATTAACAGTTAGAATCAATAAATTAAATAAAACTTTTGAAAAACACGACAAATTTTAATTACTTTGATGAAATAGAGAATTTAATTATGGTTATGCATGAAGCCAAGTAGAATGTGATTGTGTGGGTACCTTGGCAATGCACATGTCTGAAAAGGGCATTACTTTTGTTTTTAATTATTTTATTTAATTTAAGTTTTTTAATTAGAAGAGAAATTTCAATACAATATTTTATAAGAAAAAATTATAATAAATGTGTCTATTTAATTGTAATTGAAATTGTAATTGTTTTTGTTTTTGTGCCAGATATAAAGAAATATATAAATATTTTAATGTGAGGTATGATAAAATATATCAATAATATAAAAATAATATTTTACGTAGGATTGATTGTTGGCTATTTTATTTTATTTTATTTTTTAAATTTTGTTGGGTGTACGTGTTATATAGTAACAAATCGATTTATTACAGTATTTGTTAAAATAGTGATAATAAAATTGTTTATATTGTGTATAAATTTAACGAAAAAATTGTGATATAATTTTAACGCAATAAACTTTTGAAAGAGAAAGTATTTAAAATAATAATAATAATAATAAAGTTAAATTAGGGAAACATATAGACATGCTTTATTAATGCCATTAAAAAAAAAAGTAAAAATATTCCCATATGCATGGTTTTTTTTTTTTTTTCTGAAAAAATAAAATAAAATGTGATTGGACATTTTACAAGTGGTACTTTGATTTGGCACTGCAATTCATTTCTAAGGTTCACTGCATTATATTTTTTCTTTTACATCATTATTATTAACAATCAAAATGACATTAATCATCCAAATACATTATATACTTCAATCGTTCTTTAATTGTCATTTTTGATCTAATTCAATGTATATATATATATATATATTCAAAATTTAAATTAAAACTTTTTTAGCTGATTTAAACAGTAGTTTAATATGATATTTGGGAAAAAAAAATTGAAAAAAAAAATCATATATTACATATATCATTCAAAAAAATTTAGACCTAAGTAGGTGGATATTTTGGTGTCACAAAAAATAATATATTAATAAAGATTATATTCGAGAATAATTACAATCTTTATTATGCATGTATGTTCGATTTTTATTTTAGTTATCATCTACTTTTACCCAGTTATATGTAAGTTTGTATTTTATGTTGGAATCTCATGTAACATTCATGCAATTTCTAACGTTAAGATAAAAACAGAAAAAAAAATAAAAAAATAAAAAAATACATGATAATATATATATATATATAGAATATAAATTAAATCATAAAATATAGGACAAAATGAAAACCAAACATATATAATCAAATGTGTAAATTTCTCTATTTAATAAGCATGATAATATATACTCCTTAGCTCCCACTGAAAAATATATATTTGTCATATTAAAGAATAATGATATTTTATTTGTTAGTGAAAGTATATTAAAATAAATTTGATTTCTTTGTCCTTAAAAACACAAAAAGCCAAAAGGAAAAAAAAGAATATTTTTGTAAAAATTATGGCTATTTTTGTATTTATATATGATTAGTTTTATTATAATTAAAAATAAATACTTTTGAATAAAATTGACAAAAAATGATAAAAATAAAAAATCGAATTGAGATGAAGAGAATATATGCATGTATATATATACACTTACAAATTATTAACATTAAGAGGGAATTAATATGCTGTTTTCTTAGCTTCTATTGTTTTTATTTGAGATTGAAATTTTGATTTATTGTAGTATTTTGATATGATATTTTTATTAGAAATTGTTTGAGCTGCATAACAATTTTTTTTTAATAAAAGAAAATAAATTCTATATGTTTACTTATGTTTTCTATTGGATAATCGGATGTTTTCAACTTTATTTTCGCAATATTCATTAACAAATTTTCTCTAAAAAAAAAAAAAAAAAATTAAATACATAGTTCTTCATTGAATAATATCATATAAAAAGTTTATTTATAATTCAAAATATCACGTCAAATGTCTACTTGTATTGAATCAAACATATATTAATAACTCATTTGAAGTGGTCCTATATATGTGTGTGCTTGAAATTGTAATAATTGCACATCATCAATAAATTAATTAATTAGCTAGGAAGTGACCAAATATAATTTTAGAAAGGAAACTTCACCATCACTTGCTTTAATTCTACCAAATCAGTTTTGCAATAATTTGTCCTTTTTTAAAAAAATAAAAAATAAAAATACAAGTTATTATTAGTTGTCTTATAATTAATTTTGTTCTTTTCATTATTTTGATTCTATACTTGAAACTGGAATTTTTGTGTTTGCTTGTTTAGTGTTTTGATTTGTTTTTTTTTAAATGTAGAATACAAATGTTGAATATTGATTTTTCTGTGATTATAATATACATAGATTAGAAATTGTGTCCATGAATGTTGAAATATTTTAAATATTGTAAATTTAGATTTGATTTTACCTTAAATCTATATCTTATGCTTATTTATAGGCTTTCATGAATAATAATGCAATTTTTTAGTATTTATAATTTATTTCTCACAGCATATATTTTAATACTAGGAGGATATAATATGAGATAAATTAATGTATTTTTATAGGGAATAATGAATAACATAATAAAGAAAATGAGGGGAAAAAAAATCAAAGAGAACATAGAAAAAAAAATTAAAAAAAAATCTTACAATCTTATGAATCAATATGATTTTTTAAGTTTATTTGTCCTATAAAATTTATAAAAATTATATTATAGATCAAGTAAACAATTTGGCATCAATTTCATCATACGAATTCATTAAATAAGTGAGGAGCAAATTTAAATTTCCAATTGGTTATGTACAAGAATTTATACAAATGAAGAAACAAACCCTACAAAACCCTAATTCACACTTATATAGGATAATTGACAATTGACAATTTCTTTTTACCAGAAATACCTCCTTTTTTTTTTTTTTCACCTATGTCCCAAATCCTAACAAACCCTAATTTCATTTACTTTACCATATTGCCACGCAATCAATCAAATTTAATGTTTTCTTGCAATGAAAGTGTCCAAGAAATTGTTTTCAAATTATTTGCTTCTTCCCTCCAACAACTTCCTATGTCATCTGCAATGTTCTTGGCATCCATCGATGCCCCGAGAAGGCCGCGCTTGGTGAACCCTACTGCGTATAGCCCATCTTCGCCTTTCCAACCATTCGGGAACGCCCTTTTTGGGAGGCCATCTTTTTCCGAGAACATGTTGGTTTCCTAGAGTAGGAGAAATCATCCGATTAATAAATGTACATTGCTTAATTTTGAAGTACTACAATAGAAATTTTGAAGTTTTAAAAATATATATGTAAACGATATCTTTATTGATAAAAGAAATACATTGTGTTTACCTTTAGCCAAGACGGCACATTGCTTTTGTACCCTGTTGCTAGGATTACCGTATCAAAATTTTCACTTTTTCCGTCCACGAATTCCACGGATTGACGTCTTAATCTTTTTATACTCGGACGTACCTATAAATAAGTCAGAAAGATCATATTAAAATTACATTATTACAAAAAAAACTTTAATAATATATGGTATGAAATGAGAAATTAGGTAATATTAATTCTTATTTCAAAATTTAAAAATTTAAAACAACTCAAAACTATAAAAAAAAATAATAATAATAATGAAGTCAATACAAATAAATATATCTGAGAATTTCAGTAAAACCCTAACTAATCAACAAAAGGTGCGACAGGGATGGAATAAAAGCATTTGCAAATTGCCATCAAATTTGAAGGATGCACAAAAACAAGAAATCATATTTCCAAAAAAAGCTAATAAAAAAATAAAAGATAAACCCTGAAGAATAATCCCATTATCGGTACGTAGCATTACTGTTTAGCCAAAACAGGTGATTTTTGTCGCACTGGAAAATGGAAAATGGTATCTAATGAAAACCAATCAATGATTATATATCATTAGTGTGGTTTGAGGAAATAATTCGTACCTTTATGTCTCCACTTTTGATCTTGTCGAGTGTCCCGACGTCCAAAACTGGGGTTTTTCCGGTCAGATTCTTCTGCTCCAGCGGGCCCAGTTCCGGCCGTCTCAGCCCGAACCGGGACGTGTCGCCCAGAACGACCCGGGAAACGGCCAGCAAGAACCGGTCCACCAGACGGACCGGGAACCATTTCAGTAGCCACATCGATAAACCGAAAGTCGATCTCCCAAAAACCGATCTCGGCAGAATGTGTACCTGAAAAGTGAAATTTATTAATGGATTTTATAAAAAAAAATAAAAATAAAAATCTGAAAATTGAAGGTTAACGAACAAACACTCATTTTTTAACTGAAAATTCGATTAATTAAAAATATTTACAAATAATTCAAATTGAAATTAAAAATAAATACGCCAATATATAACCAAAATTCTATATAGTAAAAAATATTTGAAAATATATCAAACAGATCTAACATAACCGAATATAATTTAATTACTAATATAAAATTTAAAATATAAATAAATAAATAAATATATTCGATGAGTTAATTAAAAAATATTAAAGAAATTTCAATCGAACTGAATCAAATTTGTTGATTGTTGATTTGAATTTTTTATCCACCCTAAGTATTAGGGAAGGTAAGTTCCCGGACGAATCCACACCGTTGATGGTGTGCGGTCCAGATCGATTGATCGATCTGGATCGGGAGTCCCAGGAGTTGCAGAAAATGAAGCGGGATCAAAGTTCATACAGTGTCTCTGACGACGAGCGACGGTGCGGCGTGGTGGTTGCAGAGATCCAAGCAGACTTCCATGCCGGAGTTTCCACACCCTACGACGAGGACTTTCTGGCCTACATACACTGAGCCACTCCTATACTGACACGTGTGCACCACACCGCCTTTGAATTCCTCCATACCTTCAATCTCCGGCACCACCTCCTCCGCATTCTCCCCCGTCGCCACCACCACCCACCGGCAGAGATACTCCGTCTCCGATTTAGAATCCGCCGCCGCCGCCGTCGTCGTTACTCTCCAGAGGCGGAGACGCTCGTCCAGCGCCGCGCGGACGACTCTCTGATTGAAAATCGGCCGGATTTCGAACCGCGAAGCGTACGCCTCCAGATACTCGATGAATTGCTGCTTCGTCGGATAATTCGGATATTCCGGCGGGAACGCCATCATCGGAAGCTCGCAGAACTCCTTTGGCAAATGGAGCTTCAGCCGATCGTAGGATTTCAACTGCCATAGCGACGCTATGCAATTGGATCTTTCTAGAACCAGCGACGGCACGCCTTTCGCCTTCAGGCAAGCCGCCGCCGCCAGACCGGACGGACCTGCGCCGATAATCACCGGAAACGGAATCCTCACACATTGCTTTCCGCCGCTTCCAAATTCAACATTGATTTCCTGTAAATATTCTTCCATTTCTTCACCGCTTAAATTATAGAAACAAATTCTCGCAAAGAAACGACGCCAAAAGACAGATCAAATGCAATAACCGCCGAACACAACAAGCTAACGAAAAAAAAAATTAATTAATCGTCAATTCAACTGCAACTGCAACTGCTCTGCTACTGCTAATTAAAGAGATATAATCAGTGAGTGAGCTTGAAGGAGTGAAAATCGGGGAACATGTGGATAAAACAAGCAACGTGATGTGGATGCGAAAATGGTGAAAGTGAGGATTGTATGGATAAAATGTGGGATCGATCGATCAGGCGTGGAGTGGATAACGAGAAGGATTAATTCTTATCCAAAAATGAGAAATCAAACGGAAGAATCTCTGTCCGGTATGAAATCAGAGGGAGGATCGGAGATCAGGTGAGAGCGAAGTCTGCGGGAACGTAACGACGATTCTTTCTTTCCTCTGCCAATTTTGAAATTACAGAGGACTCACTCTCTCCCCCTCTCTCTCTCTCTCTATATATATATACACATACAAATACGTAGGGTTCAGAGTATGCATTCCTTAGGTTAACTAACTATGGTTAGGTTTATGGACTGTGGTTAGTTTAATTCGGTTTTTATTAGACCACTTCTACTATTACTATTATTATTATTATTACTATGGATTGGTTGGTTTATATTTGTGTTTTATGTTTATATAGCTAGCAAGTGAGATACTCCGACTTTGTTTTTTTTTTGTATTATTATTTTTAAAAACAGACGTATATTTATTATTTTTATATTTTATACCTAATTTTTTATACATTATATTTTTTTTTCAAACAATTTTACAAAACAAACGCATCCTCACACCCTCCATCCCTCCCTTTTATAAGTATATATATTTATCTTTTACATGAAATTTAATAAATCTTATATTAATAATAATTGATGATGCTTTTGTATATAAAAACTTATAATGTGTAAAGTTCTTGTGAAGTATTGACGTAAATAAGTATAAATTTGAAGGTATTTGGACTTTATATTTTTTTGAATAAGAAAATGATAAAATGTAAATTTACCAAGTAGACTAATGAAGTATGATTTTTTGTGAAAATTAGTTCGTATTTTCTCATTGAAATATTTATTTTTTTTTTTATTAAAAAAATATATATTGTCATTTTCTTAATAAATAATTATAGGAAAAAAATTGTTTTTGATTCTATTGTAAATTACAATAATTAAGGTATTTTTTATTTTTATAAAGAAACTGACAAATAGTATGAAAATAATCTTATTTTATGTATTTTTTTTATGTTGCGCACTAATCTCATTATATGTTTATATAGAAAAATAATACCAAATTAAACAAATAAAAAGGCAAAAGATAAGCATTTTTGTTATGTAATTATTTTAAATTAGGATCTATTGAAATTATTATCTTCATTGAGTGTAAACAAATATGTGTGTGTTTTTTTATACTTTATATCAAAATATTGAATTTTATTTGAAAAAAATAAAAATAAAAATTGATTGCTTCATTCTCGTTGTCTTCCACTTACACTTGATGATATTTTAGAACCTAATTTATTGGGATCATTCTTTGAGCCAATTTTGAAATATATTTCAGATGTATAAATAGCATAAAATTATTTAAATAATGTTTATTTTAATAAATTAAGGGTATGTTATTCTTGCTATTTGTGAATAATAAATAAATATAAAATTTTGTGATAACAAAAATAATATATATATACATAGTATTAAAATTTTGAGAAATGTATAATAGAAAATTGTGATATTTTCAATACGAAACCCTTATTTATTTAGATATAAGTTTTAAAAGTTTGGAAAATTTTGAACATAGTAGTAAAAAATTAAATATTTATTTTGATTTTTGTAAAAGATAAAAATATTTTATATGATATATATATATTTTTTTTAAAAAGTATTTGTATTTTAGAGTTCTTTGAAATAGACTTTCGAAAAATAATATACACATTATTGACATAAATATTTTATTTAATTCATTTAATCATTGTTCATCATTACTATTAATGAATAATTTCAAAAATATCCATAAGCGTGTTTAACATTTTTTATTTTATTTTATGTCAAATACAAAAAGATGTATCGATAATATATAAATAAAATAGTTAAATTATTTTATATTAGTAAAAAAAGATATAATGTTTTTTTTCTTTTGATAAAAGAACATATTCTATGTAACGAGAGCTTTCACTGTATAATATTTACATGCACACTTATAATTAAAATAGTTAACAATTATAGCATAAATTATAACAACAACAATAATATAATAATATTTTATTGAGCTTAGTTTTTATTTTTGGGTAGCGATTGCAGGTTATTCGTCAAAATAATAAATAATAATAATAATAATAATAATAATATTATGTGTGCCGTTAATTTCTTTCGTGACCTAAACTATATATAATAATATAAATAATTATGTGTTAAGAATATTCCCAAATAATTTAATTCCATGATAATTAATTTTCTAATTACACTTGGTGTATGCTTTTCTTTTACCCTTTCTTGAACATTGATATGATAGCAAAGAATAAGCCGAAGCACAATTCTATTTTTATTATTTTTGCTTTTCCATTTTTGCATAATTATTTATTTATGTTATTATTATAATTACTCACAAATATACAAGGAATAATAAACCCCTCCAAGGACATTAAATAAAATTTTATTTTATTTATTCCCTACATACCTAATTATCAAATTTGACTTTTCACTTTGCACTAGTGTCTTTTAATTTAATAAAATGTACTTTTTTTCTACCCCAAAAATTTACTATTATTTTAAGTTGGAATGTTTACAATTTTTTTTAAAAATTTTTTTATGCATTTTTATTTATTTATATAATTATTTTAAATAAAAAAGTATAAAAATATAAATAAAAATATACAACTTTAAGTGTGTTTGTTTTGTGAGAATCTTGAAAAAAAAAATATTTTATGTGAGGTATAGAAAATCGTGTAGAGAAAATAAAAAAAAAAAATATGTATAGTATCTTAATATTTTTGAAAAAACCTGATAAAAAAAAATTGGAAGAACAAAGCAGAACATTCATCTCTTTAAACGAAACAAAACCAAAATATTAAAATAGAAGGAGCAATAGTATGAAATTTTAACATTACCATAAAGTTTAAATGACGTAACAATTTACGTAACAACTTGTTAAATTATTAAAACTAAAATATTTTCGTTTAAATTTATGTTTATTTTTTAAATTTTATATTATATTTTATTTTTTATTATAAAAAATAAAAAATATATGCACTCACATTAAACTCTGTGCCTAAATTTATTAGTACAAATTTAAATAACTAGGAGTATCTTTTATTATTAAATGAAGTATATATATATAGCATGTAATGAGATTATAAGATTATTACTATTAAAATGAAGAAGGGGTTGGGGAATATCAATTTATTCCCTTTGTAGCTTGTTCCATTATATAAAAAATTATTTTCATTGGGTTTGTTTGATTTTAGTTTCAAATCAAAGTAATAATTATTTTGTTTGTACAATTTTTAATAAAAAATGTACTATTTGTTTATAGAAAAACTATTTTAATATATTTATTTAAATAGAAAATAAAAAACATATAAACCAACCAAACTCTTTATTTTAAGAAAATTGTTGTTTTGTTTATATACATCTTTTAAAATATATATATATTTTTTTTTGACAACAAATTTTTTTATTAGTATTCATTAACATTAATATTTTCAAAAAGATATTATACTATTAAACATACACACATATGTATAAATATATATTATAAAATGTCACATTACACATTAAGTATTCAATATTTTATTATTTTTGTAATTCTCGAAAAAAGTCCAAACTCTTATATGTAAACAAAGCCATATAATAATATGAAAACCTATAATTAAAAGTATGACAAGACATGTGATATTTAAATTGAAATATAAATATGTAAAGATACTATTAACTATTACTTACGAAAAATATTCAATTTATTGATATATATATATATATATTAAAGAGTAACATTCGGTGTACACTCTTTTAGCTATTCATTAATGAAGGATTTTAAAATTAGAATAAAAGCAAAGTTGCCACTTAATAGTAAGCGCTCCATATTAAATAATTAAATTTGATAACAAGTCTAAAAAGTGGTATGGAATAATCCCATTATTTAAATAATACTATATAGTACAAAATTCTACTTTGAGTTAATTGAAATATATAGTATTGTTTTTCTCTATATTTTTATAATCTTGTATAGTAGTTCCAATTATACTTCTATTACTATTTAAGTATAATACAATAGTCTTGTTTACCATTTCTGTCCGTCCCAAAACAATAGTCTCATTTTCATAAATAACCATATCACTATAAAATTACCCTTACTTTTTTTATTTTTATTACATAATTGTCACTACTTTTTACACTAATACACTCACAAGGGCAAAAAAAATTTTACCCATACTTTTTATCTACTACCAATATAATATCAATATTTCTTAAATCTCATGTCAAGCACAATCCAAACTATAATCCAAACTATAGTTTTGAAACTAAAGAACTGAGGGAGTAAAAAAGATAATTATTGTTTGATTGAGAGAAAAGAAAAAAAACCAACACAACCTTCTCCTTAATATTGTATTATATGTAGTTGTATTATATTGGTATTATATATAGTTGTTTATTTCCTAAAATCACTATATATTGTATTATATAAAATTCTATAATTTGTTATCAAAATATATATTGTATATTATATTAATATATATATATATATGCATTTTAATGTTATCAACCTTCTCCTTAATTAATGACAAGTTACTAATACGTTTACAATATTGTTTATATTAAAATATTTTGTGAGAATAAATTAATTTCTATAGACATTGTAGTGTTAGTATATATATGCCTTTGTAAAAACTATATTTCATTGGTCTAATCACAAATAATAAAGATTCTAATCTTCGAATTAATTTTCAATTTATTTACTATTTAACTCTTACTATTTATTTAAAATGAAGTACTGGTATTTCTTTTCATAAAAAGGTAATAGTAAAATAATTATTTTTTTTTTTAAAAAAAAAAGAAAAAAAATCGCTCATCTACCACTTAAACACAAAAAAAGAACACAATTGAAGGTGGATTTGTTAAGCGTGAGGATTTAACTTTCATAAAAGTGAACTAAAAACCAAAAAAATAAAAATGTCCTATTAAAATAATATTCCTTTCGTATTGTATAAAAACATTTTTTTGCCTTTAATTTCTATTTAAATGATTTTATAGATTGCATTTGAAATATAAAAGAACAAAAATTGTATATAAATATATACTTGCAGAAAAAACTGAAAATTTGAAAATGAAAAACAATTAAAATAAGATAATATCAGACGTAATTTATATCTAATAAACTGGCCAACAATTGAAATTACAATAAATATAGTTTTAAACGTAAATTTAATCTTTTAATCTTTCAGAAATAGCTAACATCACAATCAAATATCCAGAAATGTATGTTCAACCTTATCTATAAATAATAAACTAATAATTTTAATTCGTATAGTGTATCAAACTAACATGGAGCAACCTAAGCTCAAACTTTTATACTCCCTCCGGCTGACAAACTATGCATTGTTTTCATTTTAGTCCAATTTTCATTTTTTTTAAGTAATTGTATTGACTATCTAACATTACGAATACCCTTACAATTTACAATATATTACACAAATACTATTACCTTTACCTTATTTAAAGGACGGAAGGACTATATAAGTTCAAACCCTAAAATAAACAAATGTTTAGTTTATTAAACTAAACAACCCAGATGAAAATACAAACTTTTTTAGCTTCTTATGTTTGCGAACAAGCACAAACTTGTTCGTGAATGTTTCATAGTATTCATTATATATTTTTATTTTAAAAAAGATATTCTTATATATATAAATATATAACTCAGTTTTGTTCAAATTTTTTTTAGTGACGTGGGATCCCGCAGCCACTTACTGAAAGTGTACACTGGGTAAACCCTTGACCAAATCTAATATCTTGTAAACTAGGCCCGACAAGCAAGTCACATTAGGCGAACCATGTGTGGCAAGTGATCTGAGGCGTCGGGGGTTTGATCCTATGACCTCACGGTCACAAGTTCAACCCCCGCACCACAATGCCATCCCTCACGGGACAACTCAGTTTTGTTCAATTCGTTAGCAGCTCTATGGATCATGAGATCTATCATTTCTTGCACCTAAGTGTGAAAGTCCAAAATTTCTCTGCTGCTGCTTCTAGAGTCCGAAAATATTTTTGAGAAGAAAAACCAGTAACAATGCTACCTTAATCTTGCAATCTAAGTACTAAGATGATAGAAAAGTAGTAGTAAGATACATTTTGTACTGACAATTAAAATTAAAGTACGCTGTGTTCAGTTTTGTGCCGCATAGAAAAATAGGAACAGAGTAAAGCATGGTGTCTGAACAATCACAAAATTTATAAATTAAGATAATCGGCATAATGAAAGATTTACCTTACTTTTTGTCTGAAGAAATGCAAAAACTATGGCTTACTCTAGCTTCACCCGGTCGAGTTCTGTCATTACTCCCTCAAGCTGAAAACAAACAAGGGTTAGTTTTGATTCGTCAGACGATGCGAGGATAAGTGCTGGAGTCTCATACCTTGATAATTTGGCGCATGAAGTAATCTCCATACCGCTTGGCTGGTTTCGACTCCACAACATGGATTGTGTCCTGAAACCAAACAACCGTCACATGCTACGTCGACCGAACATTCTGGTATTTAAAGTTCAGACAGTGAACTATTTGATTTAGAAAATAATGAAAAATGGAGTTTCTTACGTCTTCGATGTAGAAGTCCATGTCTGCATTTGAGGTTATTTTTCCATCAGAATCGACAGAATGTGTCTTGTGTTTGTATGTCATCAAGAGTGCCCTGAGGAAAATGATATGAGGTTCTGATTATAGGGAACATAATGTTAAAATGAACGGTAGGATTGGTGGTGTTCATTTAGAACATATCCGACGGACCTGACGGTATGTTCATCGAACTCCATGTAAGCAGCGAGTTTGCTAATGGCGATTGTAGAGTACACCTTCAAGAATGCCCGAATACTGGACAGTACACTCTGCTGCTTCACTTCGAGAAGGAACAGTTTCAACTGTAGTTTATAAGCATCCTGCAATGGTTAATACGGTCAAATTAAGTTCTGACAAACAAACTCGGTAATGAAGTTACTATTTATAATCCAAATTAAGTATTTGAAAATAATGAAAATACCTGGTTGTAATTTACAAGAGGCTCTTCGTAGCTTGGGCCAGATGGGGTAATGAACTTTGGGCACGCATACGAGAAGATCTCATCGTATAAAGAGAAGGAGTCATCGTCATTTTTCTGCATCCTTATCATTTTCTCACCATACTTCTCCCGCAACTGAGTGTTGACAGTCTCATCAACAAGGTCCAATTGAGGGCAAAGAGAAAGGCATATGGCAAGCAAGCCATACATCTGCTCATTCTTTTTAAGGATCTGGTCGTACTGAGGAGATTTTTGATGATACTGCTTAGTCTTGAAAATGTACAGAAGAATTTTATTGAACTCCCGAATAGCATCTGTATACCTGTACAATATATCATATTAGGACTAAACAAAGCTTTATTCCAATTTGTCCATATCTTTTATACATAGCAAATCCTAGAATACCAAACAAATGGAAGATAACGATATAAATGTTCATGCTTAAGATATCACTTGGAATTTTCCAACACGGACAATCATCGTCTGCACTGAATTGTAAGAAAATTTCTAGTTTAAAAAGAAAACCAAACATAGAGCCCTACTTTTCATTTTACAAGTTTCAGAATGAACATCAATTGTATAAAGATCAATTTAAAATCACAGTTAAAAATATTAGAGTAATAAAAATGAAACCAAGAAAGTTGGTAAAGGACAGGCGTGGAAGTTATACAGAAACCTACCTTCGCAACATAAGATTGGCAAACCCGTAATGATATATAGTTGCAATGTGACTTCCAATAACACTGATGTAGACACCATGTTGACTTATGTCGATTGGAAGCAAACACTTCAGACCTGTCTGGTAATCTCCAAGCAAACAATGAACTCTTAAAAGCCCTACCATACTAAAATACCCCAAGACCTTCAACACATTACTGCCGCCATTGTAATCATATCCATCTGTGGCAGTGAACTGTTCAACACCTTCTTTCTCCTGCTTGAGGATTTGAATGATCGAGGACTTCTCCACAAGTGCCTGTAAGTAATTCAAGACACCATACACATTCCACACCTGCAAAACATAGCAGCATTTTGTCATAGAACATAAATTTTAGCTATAGATTCAAATTTCAATTACAATTGAACAGAATTATGTGAATAATGAAATAATATGTTGCATTGCAGAAGATTTTATGATAGCCATTCATTAGATTCAAGAATAATGTAAATCAAGGATTAAAGGTTAAATTGTAAGGAAGCTGTGAAGTATCCACTAGAAAACAATGGCAACTTACTTTACAAGCTATCACTAGAAAATGCCACCATAAATTAGTACTATTAAAGATATTTTCACAGGATACCTGATCATACTGCCTCAGCAGTGCAATCTCCTGTTCGGTTTTGCTCTTCATCTTAGCACGATACTGACAGAATGATTGAAACTGGTATACAAATTCATCAACCATGTCCCACAACCACTGGTTTGGCAATTGCATATTCACCACACCATGCAACACAACCTGTATCCAAAACAAAACGCATATACTTAAAATACATAGCAAAACGGCGAAATACTCAGAATCGCCTCACCACCATTACCCAATTAAACACAAACTTCATGGAATTTTATTTTATTTATTTTTATATCAAAAACAACTAACCTGGAAAAGATTACAATAATTATCCCACGAATCAATCCGGTGTGTGAGCGTAGGCACAAGCCTGGCGTACAAGTGCCGAAACCACATCTCACGATACAGCAAGCAGAAAACATGATCGTTATCAACATACGGAGCCACCGAATCCACCGAAGGCCACGGCGTCTCCTTAAAAAACCTGTCGCTGATGCTCTGGAAAGACGTCTCGTACATCTGGTGAATCTCGTACACATTCTTCTCCCGTATGTGGCGGTACATGTGAATTACGAAAGACTTGACGGAGTCAGGTACGAAGTTCGGATCATAACCTGCGGAGCCGGAGTCCCCGGAGCTAATTTGTTCGGAGTCGTACGCCGCCGCGCTCGCCATGACTACAGTTGAAATCCGGATCGAAGCGAATTCGGCAGTCCGCTGAGTTCGCCGGAGATTGAAGTGCAGCTTCAGTTCCACATTGTGCCCTAACCGACTATGGAAGTATTTGAATTGGGCTTTGGCTTACACCAATAAACCCATTGGGCTTTTATATGGGCTTTCAAGCCCACGATAACTAACTAAAGTTTCTGCTAGTTTACTTAACTAGAGTTTGATCTGACGGACGAATTTAGAATGTTTTGATCGGACGGACATGGTTGTTGCAGAGATATGCAGTGCAATGGACCAAATGCGACTTTTAAACTAAGGTTCCTTAAAAACAGTTTAAAGTGAAATTGGATGCATTGTAGGAATAGGAGCCGGAGAGAACTGCGTTGGATTTAATACTGGCATTGTACACGTGGACGGTGGAGAGTCATTCGGTAATTTGATACACAAAATCATACTATAATTTTAACTTTTAAAATAAAGTGGAAGTATATTACAAATATACCCTCACCTATATGCACTCATGACTCATTGCACTGTACTGTTTCTATGCTTTTATTTTGTTGTACATTTAGCTACTTTTGGTGTACCATATTTACCTACACTGACTCTAGGGTGTGTTTGTTTGGGGGTTTGGATTTTGAGTTGGGATTTGAATAGTAAAAATTTTGAATTTGAATAGTTGTATGATGTGATATAAATAGGATTTGATGTGATGTTTTGAATGTAAAATTAATTTTTAGTATAATATAAAAAATAAAAAATAGGTGTTTGATTTGATGTTTTTTGGGGGAAAAAATTGGATGAATAGTGGAAATCCACCAAAATCCTTCAAACAAACACACCCGTAATAAAAATTGTGCATTTATTTTGGGTCGGGCCGGGCCGGGCCGTTGTGTGCATTACGAGAGGACTGCGTATCACATTTTAAAAAAATATTTTGGTGTTTTTAAGTTACTATTTTGGGCATAAATAATATTAGAATAAATATATAATTTTAATTTCCTAGGAAGGATTTGTTATTCTTTTGTATTCTAATTGAAGTATGTATAATATGGATTGATTAGGTTTCAATTTTTGGTATATGTATTAAATATATATTGTTACACACTTTTGTGGTTTGTTTGGTTTTGATATACTATTTATATATTGATTAGGGTTTTGTTAACCTTTACTGTCACACATATTAGAAAATATTAATTGCATGTATTTATGTCTAATTTTCATAATTTTAATTTTTGTCCAAAATAAGATCACAAGGCATATATATATATATATATATATATGAAAATGATTATTTATGTTTATGCCATAAGTTAATAATATGCAAATAGCATGAAATCTTATCTTATTTAGGTAACTATATAATTGGATTTCAATTAATTTGAGGGAAATAACCATAACTTTAAAATGAATTTGCAAGTATGGAATATTTAAGTGTTCGTATGTCTTTTATTCAAAATTTTATTTTAAGTATCATATCATACAAATATTTTCATATGAAACGTATAGAACACACACAAATAAATATAATTATCTTCCACATAAATTAAGATCACGTTTAATAACTATTTCATCTAAAAACAACAAAAAACCAAAATATATAATTGAAATACAAGAAGAACACACCCCATAGTTAATATTTATAATTTGAAGATATTGATTTAAAATTTTGATATTATATATGTTAAATTAATTTATTAAAATTGGAAGAATTTCTATTGAATGTATTTAGTCGATGCTTCATCAAGATCGATTAGCATTAATCTAGGATTTGAAAGTTTTCTATTTCACCTCCATAAGTTGTTTTGAATGGATTTTGTTAAGAAATATCTAAATTCTACGGCAAGGAAAACTTATAGATTTCATTGTATTTTATTTTTTGAAGTTTTATTTTTTAAATGTAATGACACTTTATTGAATATTTTTTTGTTTCCTCATCGCATGATTGATTACGTACCTAAAAGTGAATTTCATTCTTCGTTCTTTTTCTTCTTCTTCTTTTTCTTTTCTTTTTTTTTTTTCTACAATTACCTTCATACACACCAATGTTGAATGCAACAACAATACTGCCCGTGATTTAAAAAAAAGTAAAGACCGCATCCCCAAAATTTGGACAAAAGTACATTGAGAAAAGATGTAATGGAAAGTTACACTTATTGGGTTTGTTTGATTATTATTTGAAATTTATTTGAAATGAACTGTTGATTTAAATTTTTATTAATTTAAATAGTATTTGACATGATCTTTTATTAAAGAAAACAATATATTTTATTAGAACTCCATGAAATTCCCTCGTATTCTAAAAAATATTTAACATAATCTCATTTTTAGAAATTTTTATGCAATATTTTTGAAAATAGAAAGAAATAACACACAATTTTTTAAATAATTGATGCGGTATTTCCTAAAATACGATGGAATCTAATGTAATAAAATTACATAGGAGGATTATGTATATTTTTCAAACTACAAGTGAGTTACGTACAAACAATTTTGCCGAGATTGTATAATGCGAATAGTATTGATTTGAATTTAAAATGAAAAAAGAACAAACTCGTTATCATTTTGATCATTTATGTGGATCGCATATAGAAATTATCTTGTACTCACGCGTCTTTATTTTAGGGTGTGTTCTTTTTGAGGTTTTCTTTTTTTTTTTTTTTCCAAATTTTTACTATTCACTAAACTATTTTCCAAAAAAATAATAATAAATAAATAAATCAAATATGTATTTTTTATTTTTTATATTATACTAAAAACTAATTTTACAATTCAAAATATAATATTAACATTTATTCATATCACATCATATACAACTATTTTATAATAAATATATTTTACTATTAAAAACCAAATCGAAAATCCAAATTAACCTCCAAACAAACACACCCTTAATGTAATATTTCTTTGTGTACACCAAAAGTTAATTCCTTAGAAGACACGGCGATGCTAAAAAATATATTATACGGTATTATTATCTATAAATTTTTCAAAATAAGAAAAAGAATTCAAAATATTACTAGAATTTCCAACATACCCGAAATGCTTATGTATAGTACATTATATATTAAAATATATAATAAGTATATAATGATAAATTCAATATACATATATATTGCAATTAATTCAAGAACATCTTTTCGATGATTTCGAAGAAAGTCGGCTAATCATGAAAAATCGAAGAAATTTACAATTTCAAAAATATGTATATGATTACCAATCATTTTTATTTTATATTTTATTAACCCTATGTATAAATCATATGATTTTTTACCTTTGAGATTAAAAAACAAAAAAAATTCACAATATTAAATGATTATATAGAATAATTAAGTAAATTAATGATATCTATACAAAATTAAGATTACAAATCATCCTCATCTACCTAATCGCCATGCAATGAGAGTTCTCATGGTAAATAAATAAAGAAAAGAAATTAAAACCCTAAAACAACTTTATCCATTTCCCATTTAGTTACATTCATTTTTCGTATCTAACAACATAATTAAATTAGGCTAATAAATGAAAAATATATGGTGATACATATATATATTTATATCTCGAATAAAACATAGCCGTAATTTTTTTTTCATGAGTTATTTTCATTAACTACAACTTAATGGCCTCAGCATTTAGGGTTATCCCCACATTTACCATTTCCTGTTTTATTACTACACAAATTAGGGTTTTCATTTTTTTCACACATCCCCACCATGTGCACCTCGACAAGACGGTAATTGTTTAGCTACCCTTCAAACCCTACGCGTGTTGTGTTGACCATGTCAACGTTGTCATTTGACTAGGGTTTTCGAACAGCACCACTGTAATGGCGGGCTATGATTGGGTGACGCAATAGATACGTACGTACACCTACGTGTATGTATAGACAGACAAAGAATATAAATACCATCGTAACAGTGAAGTATTACTTTATTTAATTTAGTGTACGTTGTTGGCGTCCATTCCTTTGTCTCATTGATTATTTTTTGCCCATCTTTCTCTCTCAAACTTTCCCCTATCTTTCTCTCTCTAGAGCTGAATTTCTATCAGTGAAATATCCTTAGGGTTAAATATCGCGGTTGAATTCATCCAATCTGGCTGGGAATCAGTCCAGAAGATTATAGAGATGGATTATCACATTTGTTTTCCTGTGGTTTTCGATTGGTTGGGAGTGAGCTGTGACAGGATTTTGCTGGATTAATCAGAGGGAGTTTTGATCGGAGGTTCTTATTTGTTCATCGTTTCTTACTCGATTGAATGTAAGGTTCGATCTGTTCGTCCTTCCTTCTAGTGTTTAGTGTTGTTCTTATTGATTATTGTGTTTTGAAAGATGCTTTGTTTGGAATTTGAATTGAGTTTAGAGCTGACTTCGAGCTGAAATCCGCGTCAGTACATCGCTAATTTTGTGAAGTGGGTTTTCGATATATTTATTATCAATTCGTCTGTTTATTTGGTGTCCTTTTCTGGTGTAGGTTTCTTTTGACGTTTTCGTCATTTTATGATACTTTTTTGCTTATTTACGGCTATTTCTGATTGATCGACGGAGGGGGAGTTGGAAAAATGGTGTTCAACTTTTTCATCCAAGGTTGATTTAAAGTTCGTGAAATGGATTCCCTGTATTGAATTCTTAGTTGATTTCGAGCTTTCAACTAATCTTGATTTTGGGTTCTCGTTTCAAGAAAGACGACGATTCGCTATTTTGAGAAAACCCTAAAATTTCTTTACCCTAATTCGGTTTCTATGGCGGCTCAATTTTCTTGGTTTTTTTGTGCTTTTCGATGTTTTTTCACTTGTACTCCATCTTCTCATTTCAATTCTTTGATCAATGGTGGTTTGATTTTTGGTGTGATTCTCATCTAGGGTTTTTTGTATATTGTTTCAGTAAAGGCTTGAATTACTACGCCGCCATATGTTGTATGTGTTCTTCTCTAGTTATGCATAAGATTAATCTCTTTTGATTTCATTCTATTGTTATATTTCATATCGAGATCTTATGTTGTGGTTCGAAAACCCGGAAAGAACTGTAAATGCCTGTCTCAGATTCTTAGATCTAAACCGATTAATTATATCATTGAATGATTTTCAGGTACTTATTATCAACAACAACGTTCCAGCTTTGAAAGAGAGCCAACAGAAGTTTGATATATCGCAACTTCTGCATCTAAATCTATGGGATCAATAGTTGAGATTGACTCGATTTCTATAGATATTAATTGCGCCATTGAAGACAATGCATTGCAGGAGCATGATCATTTCTCGATACGGTAAGCAATACTCTTTAAATGTGCTATGCACACCTCCATAGTGCTGATGAAACTTTTATATAGATATTTCTTTGAACAATTTGCAGTGCACTCGATAATGGTATTTTGCAATGTTCATTGTTTCAGATTTTTGTGTTTTTAAGAAATTGTTCGATTGTTTCCTCATTATTATGTTGTTTTTCAAGTAGTTGTAAGTAAAAGTAGTATATGTTTAACACCTTATGAGATTTGTATGAAAAAGTTAGTTATGGAAATATGTGATGCGATGCAGTGAGTATGTTGCTGAGATGAGGGATAAAAACAGAAAGATTTGTATGCCATTTGGCACCCAAGGTAATAAACATCTTGTGATGGATAATCTTCTTTATTGAATCTTCAAACCCAAATTCTGATGGTGAACATGTTTTACTTGTGTTTAAGATGTTATGATCGAGAGGGCAAACATGGAAAACAATGCCGTTGCGAATCCTCATTTGAATGATAGCAAAGAAATGCCGTCACATGACACACAAGAAACATGTAAATGTCGAAAATTTTAGATGATATCTCTTAATAATGCTCACATACATGTTGCAGCATTCGTGTCTTAATTGTCGTTTTTTTGTCGACTTCTTTGAAGATGATGGAGATCGATCACGTTGTAAAGAAGAACATAAAACTACATGTAAGTTTCTACAACGAGTGTTAAGCCTCAAGAATGACTTTCTGAGATCATTCCTAAACTTTAAAGTTCTCTAAACAGATGTCGGGGGCGACAATGGTGATTGTGTAGTCCAAGCTATTCCATTGCAGATTACAGAGATGGATCAAATGGCTGAAGGTAACATTACAAATTTTTTGTCTTCCAAATTGGTCATAGCTCGAAGATTTAAGACGGGACGTTGATACAATGTCTTATTTATATATATGTAGTCGAGAATCCTTTTGTCAGAGAACCCCATAATGCCTCATCGGGTAGCGATGGCCGTGATGTTAATGCAACGTATAGACAGCGAAGAAAATTGCGTTCTTTAGTCGATATCATGGATAGAAAGAATTTGAATTCTCCCGAAGAGAAATCTAGCAAAAATGACAGAGGAAAAAATAAGAATGTTGTCGAAGAAGACAGAGTACTAACAGAACAACATAATTCGATGCTTGGAGAAGAAGTGGAGCCAAATTTTGCAAGTTTCCTATCAAGACAAAAGATCGATGGAGTTTCTAATCTACCCAAAACATCGATGTCTGAATCTAGGACGAGCTGCTCGGAGGATCACCACATCCAAGAAGTAGAATTGGACCTCTCACTTAATAGTTATATCGGCGTCACGAAAAAATCCAGCAAAAGAGTATTGTCCGGGAAGCATCGCGAAATCCCCGACCTCAATGAATCTTTTACAGAAAATGTTTTGGTAATGACCGATTAGTGTTCGATTATTTTATGAGTACGTAAGATATGTAGAACTGACTGATGGTTTGTCTTGTTTTTCAAGGAAATGTCTGACGTGCCGGATAACAACGCCGAATCTGGTGGAGATGCAGACGATATTCCAATGGATATTGTCGAACTTATGGCGAGGAATCAATGGGAAAGAGCATATGGAAACTCTAACCAGCAAACCTTCGGTAACCTTAATGGTCCGTCGAATTTGCAGCTGTTCTCAGATCACATGTATAAGGGGAGGAATTATGTCATCAGTTCAAAGGTGGACGGGAAACGGCCTCTATGGAATCCATCCATAATCGATGATAGGAAACTCGGGTCGAGCTCGAAGCCAGATTCTTCCTCGAGCAAAAATATTACGTACAAAACGCCGCCACCAAAATGTTTCCTCGAGAACCATCTATCTCCATGCAGCTACCACCCGACTAAACCGTTCTTTTCGGGATTGTTATTCTCCCAAAACAGTCAGAGCGCCGGAATCGGAGTAGCGAAGCTGATCGACAATGTTTCTCGATTACAAGGTAAAAACAACGGACTTCATCAAAGCTTGCATTTTCAATTTTTGGATTCATTGCTGAGTGTTGGAATATAACTGATATGGAGAATTTTAATTTCATATTCTAACAAGGAAAGATCAATGCGATTTTCGCAGATGGAGCACCTCCCGGGGCATCGAGCGATGCGGAATTGGGAGCTTGCGCTTTAAACTCGAACCCGGCCGAATTTAGCGCCCCCGAAGAAGGAAACGAGTTCACTATAAGCTATAGAGACCTTATACGGCGAACGAATAAGGCTCCGAAGAAAAGAACACATCGTGTGAATGAAAACGAATCGAATACACAAAGAGCTCGAAAATAGTCGGGGCTGCGTCGGAGATACATGTTGACATATATATATATATATACACAATGTGTGTGGATAGAAAAAATAAGACTTGATGTTTATAAGGTTTGGCCATTGTAGTGAAACACTGGATTTCTTATCTCATGTCTGCTTTTCGTGCTGCTCTTTATTAGCAGTCCCTAGTAACTACCTGTCCTCATAAAGGGGAAACCTTAGCTTAGCTTCAACGTATAGTTTATTGTCTGGATATACATTTCTGTTTCCAATGTTTGTTTGCCTAGTGGTTATTATTTTTTAAAATAAATACCAGCGGTAGCATTAAAGAAAGTTTGTTGGTTATTTTAAAATACATTATTATTAAAATATTTGTTAATTTTATTTTTAAATACTTTAATAAGTTCAAGAATAATAAACTTTTTATAAAAATAGTAATACTTAAATATATTATAATAAATTTCTTTTTATAAAATATTTATCATATAAATAAGTGTGTTTGGGGGTTTGGATTTTGAGTTGGGATTTGAATAGTAAAAATTTTGAATTTAAATAGTTGTATGATGTGATATAAATAGGTGTTGATGTGATGTTTTGAATTTAAAATTGATTTTTAGTATAATATAGAAAATGAAAAATAGATGTTTGATTTGATATTTTTGGAAGAAAAATTTGGATGAATACTGGAAATTAAATCCAATCCCCCAAACAAACACACCCTACTTCGAATGAATATGTAATAATATAAATTATGATTTATCTTATATACTTGAAATAAAATATGTAATATAACTAAAATAATTTAATGCTAAAATAAAAATTTAGTTTATTATAAATAAAATCAATTAAAAAATAATATAAAAGCTATATATATTTAGATGTGTTTAGAACTTGATTGATTATGAAATGAATTATTTATATACATATAACAATTTCTGGTTTTTTTTTTCCTTCTTTGTTCCCGTTTCTTCTTTTTTCTGGTTTTTTTTTCTTTAACATTCCTCTATGCTACAATAAGTTGTGAAAACAAATCACTGGGGAAGAAATTAAATACAAAATGAAAAAGAATAACCATAAATAAATTCAAATTTTTAATTTCAAAGTAAAAAAAATATTCCCTAACAGCAGTAAATATAACTTCATGAAAAGAAAACATTAGCCAATAAAAATAAATCAACAAACCTAAATAAAATTTAGAAATAAAAGCGAAATAAAAACCAACGAATTCTCCAGCAAACAATTTAGAAAATAACAATATGACTGTTGCTCTGCACAAGAGAAATACACCAAAATAAAAAATTTAGAAAATAACAAAAAGAAACTATAATCAATACAAAAAATATCGGAATAATTATAAAAAATTGGGAGATATGAAAATAAGAAAATTGTGAAAAATAGAATGAAAATTTTTTAAAAAAATATGATTACTCAATTCATTTATAAACACTATCAAAAACTGTACAAACTAGTTTTCTCTACTTACAGTCAGTTAAAAATTTAAAACCAAATATTGAAAAAATAAGTAAAACCAACTCATTTATAAAATTATCTGCAAAATCACATCATTTATAAAAATTAAATATACTAATAATATATATATATACAAAGTAATACATCAATATGCGCATATATGTGATAATCAAATTTATATATATAATATTACAAAAATAAATATATATATATATAATTTTAGTTTCATAATTATTAAAAGAATTCATAAATAAATAAATAAAATTTTAGTAGCAAACTTTCATATTCATAGACATAAATATTGCAAGTTATCCTATCATAATTTGTATTAAAAAAATAAATAAAAATAGTAATTATAAAACTAATAAATAAAAATAATAATAATAAATTATAATTTCACTAATAAAAAGAGAAAAATCATAAAAAAAAAGAAATTTTAAATCTAAAAAAATAAATATGATAAAAATATATTAAAGTAATTTATAAATAAATAAATAAAATTTTAGTATCAAATATTACATATTTATAGGAATAATATTGCAAGTTATTTTATTATAATTTAAATCCAAAAAAATAAATATGGAAAACTATAAAACTATTTTGTATAATAAAAAATAGTATTTATTGATAAAGAGTTAAGACGGTAAAACAAAATAAAATAAATAATATAAATAAACAAAATTGAATATAATTATACTCTTCCGTCCCGCTGCAAGGTTGTCATTTGATTTTTTTCGGTCATTGTACTTGACATTAAAAATATCAATACAATATAAATATTTGTATTGATATTATAAAAGACTAATAAACATATTCTTGTCTTTTGTTTCGATTTGTACTACGTCTTGATATAATAATTAATATTTAAATATCAATATACAAAAAGTCAATGACAACCTTGCAGCGGGACGAATTGAGAAATATAAATATAATACTTAATAAAAAAAATTGAAATGAAATTCTTTAAATTTTTTAAATTTAAATAAAATTATTTGAAAAAAAAAAGATATAGGATATCACATGTTGTTACTAAAATTTTATTTATTTATTTATTTATGAATTATAATCTAATAAAAAAATAAAGTGATTACATATAAAAATTTATGAAAAATTTATATAATAAAAATAGTTAATTATAGTAGTGAAAATAATGGAGCGGGAAACTGTGATTTTAAAAACTGTACAAAAAATTTAAAAAAAAAAAAAGGGGCACACTTGAGCTCTTTTATCTATATATATATATATATATTATATTATTCTTATTCAATTTTATAATAAATGTCAATACAGAAAAATACAATCGAAAAAAATAAAAGAACGGCTGAACATGGAAAATTTTTATGGTTATTTGTTTGTTAGTATTTGATTAAAGGTAGCTACGTGGACTCAAACATCAGATGGATCCATACCGTCCGATGTATGCCCAACATCAACGGTGTGGATCCCTCTGGTGTGGAGGTCCCAAAACCACCTATGTACTTGTTTGTTTGGTTTATTTTAAACAAAGATAAATTTGTTCATTTTAATAAGTGCTATTTATTCAAATTCATAAGATTATTTGTTTAGTTTGATGTATTTTGTTACGTGATATATAGAAAGTTATGTTGATAATATAAAAATAATATTTTATATTAAATTATTATTTTCTATATATATATATTTATTCATATTTTAAAAAATTGTATCAACAAATATTTTAAAATCTCTACTAAATACAATGGAAGAGATTAGGAATTAGGATGTTGATTGACACTAACTATGATAAGGTATATAGTTTACACAATAGATAATAAAATAATGTGTGCTTTGTAAATTATTAATCATTATGTTTATTATGGATACTGATTTTAGGAGTGCCACAATCAGTAAATAATTAAAAAATATATTAGTAAAATTAATTGCTATAAAATAAAATTAAAATAAGTAATTAGTTTAATTAAATTTAAAAATAAAATAAAATATGATTCAAATTTGTGCTATTTACTTTCAAAAAATGAAAATATACATAATTATATTTGAAGAACAATTTTATAATTTTAGAAATTTTTATTGATTAATACAAAGAAAAAAAGTGTTTTACTTTTTTTGGTCTTATGTGTTAATTTTGTAATTAGTGCTTAATTATAATAAGGATTTCATTATTTTTAGCCGTAATTCCACGATAGGGTTTGGTTTCAATAATTTAATTTTGCCCCATTAGACTATGCTAATTGACTAACCCTTTTTTTGTTTTTTTATAACAATATTCTTCATTATCTATTACATTTGAACCTCTCCAATTTTATAATTATCCATATCTACATTGTATTTACACGTGTATGTCTATATATACATAGAATCCTAATTTAATTATGTCTATAGTCATGCCAAGTACCTAACCAATTATATATAAATGTAATTTATCTTTAAATTTATTTTTATTTATTTCCATTTTTTATTATATATATATATCTTCCCTTCAAAGTTCTTTCAACAAACTCTCCCTTCAAAGTAACCGCCATACATCAGCTACTATCACAGGTTCATTTATTTTTAATTTCTCACCTTATTTCGCCCAAATTAATGGCGAATCTTCATCGCCGGCGATTGCTCCGCCGCACGTTAATTGCACTGGCGGTGTGCTATTTGGCTGCCATGGGCGACGCCATGCTGCCGCCGAGCCCAATCCAATGCGACGGCGGCCGGAACGAGTGCACTCTTTCCAATTCCTACGGCGTCTGGCCGGACAGGGAACCCTGCCGCGTCTCCGCCGTCTTCTTCCCCACCACGGAGGCCGAGCTCCGGTCGGCGGTGGCGGACGCCGTCAAAAAAGGATTGAAGCTGAAAGTCGTCTCAAAATTCTCCCACACAATCCCTAAATTCGCCTGCCCCCAAATTGGGGTTCCAAATGCCCTAATTAGCACGGAAAGGTACAACCAGAGCATCGACGTCGACGAAGCGAACCTCGCCGTGACGGCGGACGCCGGCGTCGGGCTGAGGGAGCTGATCGACCGTGTGGAGGCGGCGGGGCTGAGCTTGGCGGTGGCGCCGTACTGGGAGGGTGTCAGCGTCGCCGGGATGATTAGCACCGGCGCCCACGGCAGCTCGTGGCGGGGCCGCGGCGGCGCCGTCCACGACCACGTGACGGCGATTAGGCTCATAATTCCGGCGACGGCGTCGGAAGGCTTCGCCAAAATTGTCGATCTGAAAAACACCGATCCATTGTTGAATGCTGCTAAGGTTTCCTTAGGTCTTCTTGGAGCCATTTCTAAGGTCTCTTTGCTTATTTATTTATAAATTATATATATACATATAAGTTTTTATTTTTAAAAAATCATTTCATATTAAAATTGTGAAAATATTCACTTTTACATTTTGATAGTAAAATTACTCATATATATGAAGAATGTACTAATACCATATGATATTATTTGTTTTTTTAAAAAAAAAATTTAAAAAAATACTTTAAGTTGAAACAAATAAAATATTAATCATCGTCTAAATTAAAATAAATTGTACAACTTAGGTTACATTTTCATTGGAGCCCGGGTTCAAGCGAAGAGTTACATTCAACTACACTAACGATAACGGGATAGAGAATGAATTCATGAATCACGGCAAGAAATATGAGTTCGGCGACATTCAATGGTACCCTTCGAGGCATTCTGCCGTATATCGATATGATGATCGTGTTCCTATCGATACACCCGGGGATGGTCTTAACGATTTCATTGGATTTCAACCTAATTTAATCACTATATCTCAATCTTTACGAGCATCGGGTAATTAGTCTATAGATTTATTCACTTTATCCATTGAAATAATTATTTGATATAATATTTTATACTACATAATTAAAAAAATTTAAAAATATATACATTTTTTATAACAGAAAAAGCGGCCGAGAATACAAAGAGTGTGGATGGAAAATGTGTGCTCGCGTCGACATTCGTAGCATACAAGAAATTAGTAGCTAACGGATTCAAGAACAACAAACTAGTATTTACAGGTACAATTTTTGCAATTTTGCTTCATCGATCTATTGGACATACATATTAGCTTTGTTCTATTTTGGTCTTTTATAATTAATTGATTTAATTCCATTGCCATAGATGAGTTCATTATTAATAGTTTATTTCTTTTTTTCTCCCAAACACACTCAACCCCCTAGAAACCCTAATTGTCCACCGGCTATCATTTAATTTTATTTGTTATAATTGAACAAAATTGAAAAAAAAAACATCAATAATTAAACAAAATTCATAAACTAGTGATCTTAATTATCAATTAATAGTTTGGATATATATATATATATTGAATGAAAATTAGTAAAGCAATAGTTGAAATAAATTTGACCACTTCTATACATATATTGGTGTATGTGTTATATATACATCTAATCACAAATTTTTTCTTTAATTTTTATGATTATATTTTTTGTATACTTTGTACCATTATATTTTAAATTCAAACTAAATTATAGATGTTATAAATATATATAACCCTATAGTTGAAGTTAGGTTAGGGATTGAAAATATTACAAATTAAATTTATATTGATACAAACACTTAACAAATTTATATTAATATATGTTTGTTCACTTAAGATTTGTTTTTTTGGAATATAAATTATTAGATATATTTATGTATATTTTTTTATAATAGAGAGAATCAAAAAAATTGTAATATTATAATTTTGGGGGGAAAAAATCTTACATATAAATGTTTAATAGATATTTTTATTAAAAATAATAAATAATGCAAATATATATATATATATATAATCATGATCAGGTTATCCGGTGATCGGACGGCAAGGCAAAATCCAAACTTCGGGGTCATGCCTGTACTCGTCGTCGCCGGCGACGGCGTGCGCGTGGGATCCACGCATCAAAGGCCTCTCCTTCTACGAGAGCGCCGCCATCTTTCCGGCCACGCGCTTCCGCGACTTCATCGCCGACGTCAAAAAGCTTCGTGACATCAATCCCCGCAGCTTCTGCGGCGCCGACATCTACAACGGCTTCCTCATCCGCTACGTCCCCCGATCCGCCGCCTACCTCGCCGCGCCGGAGGACTCCGTCGTCGTCGATTTCAACTACTACCGCGCCGACGACGCCGCCACGCCGCGCCTCCATCAGGACGTCTGGGAGGAGGTCGAGCAGATGGCGTTTTTCGGGCACGGCGCGCGGCCGCACTGGGGGAAGAATCGCCACGTGGCGTTCACCGGCGCGGCGGAGAAGTATCCGAAATTGAGGGAGTTTGTGGCGGCGAAGGCGGCGCTGGATCCGGCGAACGTGTTCTCCAGCGACTGGTCGGAGCGAGTGATGGCCGGAAATGGAGGAGACGCCGGAGATAAGGAAGATGGATGCGCTCTGGAAGGGAGATGCGTTTGTTCGGAGGACCGCCATTGTAGCCCTAAGAACGGTTACTTCTGCCAACACGGCCGTGTTTATACGCTGGCTCGAGTCTGCAGATATTCTTCTAATTCCACTTTCTCTATAATTTGATTATTATTATTGTTTAAACGAATTTATTTATAACTCCATTTATTTACTTATAAAACCTTAAAATTTAGTATACTTTTTTGTACGCTATATAATAAAAATATTTTAAATTGAAATACTAAATAAATACTACTATATTTTATTGAAAATTATAAATTTATACAATAAAATTGAAACAACTTAATCTAAATGGCCGGTGCTGATTGGGAATATACATATATGTAATAATTATTGAAAATGTATTATGCATATTATGATAAGTTATGTATTATATATATTATGATAAGTTCGGCTGATGGAAACATTGGAATATAACACAAACTGCTGAGCCAAAATTATCAATGGAGTCAAAAATTAGATTTATCATTAAAAAACTACTAATTTTCTGAAATTTAGTGTTTTTTTTTAAAAAAAAAAATGCTCAGGCTGTCTCTACATTAATACTGAATAAATTATTTTTCCAATATTTTATAAATAAATAAATAAACAAACAGCAAATAAAGACAAGTAAAACGAGCAGATATTTATTACAACAAATAATCCATTAATAGCAAAAATATCTCATTCATTATTACAAACGAATAATTAGGATAGGATAGGATGATGACGTCAGTGCCATCAGTCAAACCAGTTCCCTCTGACCAAATCCTCACCGTTCATCTCCCCTCTTCCGTCACATTCAGCCGTCCATTCTCCTGCAGAATCTTCAGAAGCTGGGCCCCCTTCCTCCTCCCCCTCGCGCTACACTCGCCCTGCAGCGCCAACATCACCGCACGCGCCACCTCCTCCGCCGGCGCCACCGCCGCGCCGTCCACAACTCCGCCGTAGATCACCGCCAGCACGCTAATCGCGTGCTCCTTCCCCCGCCCTTCCATTCTCCCCATCACCTGCACCATCATCGGCACCGCCAGCGCGTGACCCCTCACCTCCGCCGCCCCCTCCGCCGTCGTGCACAGAAGCTCCAGCGCCGCCAGCGACCTCTCCGCCACCGCGCTCTCCGCGTCCGCCAGCGCCTCCACCACCGCCATCACCGCCCCCGCCTCCACCGCCACGCGCCGATTCGCCTCCACCAAACAAAGCGCCAACAGCACCTTGCTCGCCGCCTTACGCGCCACCCCTTCCCGGAGGCACGCCACCACCCCACCAACCACTCCGACGGGGCAAATGCAAACGCCGGCGCCTCCGCCGTCGTCGCCGTCCCCCGCCGCAGTCCGCGGATTCGGCACCAACGACCTCTCCAAGACCTGCACGGCGGACGCCCGACCTGCGTCCGAACCCGACCCGAACTGGAGCTCCGCGACGTGGAACATCTCCTCAAAACCTCCTCCTTTCTCCGCTGCCGCCGCGGGACCCGGATCCGACTTGAATACCGAGTCGGGTCCGGGTGCGGGCGACTCAGTATTGGTATCATTATGCGAAAAGGGCGAGTTGGAGAGAGGGAATCGCCACTGAGTGAAGCTCTGAGATGTGTTTGAGGAGGAAGACGAAGAAGAAGACGGCGGCGGAGGCTGAGGCGGCGGAGTCGCCGCCGGGAGCGGCGGAGGAGCGGAAGTGGTAGGGCTGAGCACAGTTTGAGTGCAATGGCGGAAGAATCCGCAGGAGAAGAGGTGAGATCGCGGCGGAGTTTTGAGCTTCGGCTGATTAGTTTTCATGGCCGCCGGAAATGCAAATGAAAACAGAATTTGATTAATTATTGATTGAGCTGTTCTGTTCTGTGGTCTTTCTCTGCATGTAGAGAGAGAGATCTGTGCTCGATCTGCAGAGTTGCAGTAATGAAGAAGGTGGTGGGGTCTTGCCTCGTGGCAGCTCCTGGGACTCGGACGCCGGATGGGTATGCGGTACATGAATTTGTGAATTTTTTATAAACATGATAGCAAATACTCCAATTTTTTTAATACAAAAACAAAAGAAAAAAGAACATATCAATTCTTCGAAAAAATGTGTTTATTATGACTATATTATATATTATTTTTTTATTTTAAAATTATTAACAATATTATTTATATATAAAATAATATCATAATATATTTAACTAATTTAATATTATTATTATAAATACCATATTTTAAATCAAATGTATTATTTCAAATCCAAAAAACTTCATTGTTGAACTGTAGATAGAGGTGTGAGCATTAATTCAAATTTTTCAAAAAATTAAATTTGAATCAAATCGAAAATTGAAATTTTTGAATTAAAAAATTCGAATCAAACCTAAAAATTTAAAAATTCAAAATAATCGGAAATTCAATTTTTTTTATTATGTTTTAAAATATATTCTATGGAGTATTTTAGGTGTAGATGTGTTGGGTATTGTGGTCCGGGTCCTTGGACATGAATTCTTGATTTCTTGTTCACGGACACGAAGAGGTGGTGATGTGGGCCCAGTACAGATTTGGGCTGTTATTGGGCCCAATTTATTGGGCCTTAAGTTAGGCCTTTTGGTGATCAAATCAGCGTCAAGAAGTATTTTGTGTGTTTGATTTTGATTTAAAATTAAGTTTTATTTCGAATTTTAGTTTAAATAGTATTTTAATATGATATTTTATCGTAATATTTTTATTAAAGATTATACAGACAGAATAGTATTAATTTGTATATAATAATCAAATCAAACACACACTTAGGGTTTGATCAGTTGTGATTTAAAATAGAATATTTGATTTAAAATTTTTATCTAAATGATAATTCGATATGATATTTTATAAAAAAAAATAGTGTATTTTTACTGAAAATTATACTGAATGATTAGTGTTGATTTTAATTTTAAATTACAACAGAAACACAGTTAATTTTTATTATATAAAACGTAACATATAAGAGTATTATCTATATATAGGTATATATGTGTTGTAAGTGTGTACGATTGTGTAAAAATGTAGTGTGAAGAAGGATGGAAAATTAAAAGAATTCGTTTACATATTTATATAAATTTTCAAATATTTTGACACTCACAAAAGACTAAAGAGTTCTTTTTGGGACTTAGGCATATATCACAATATTGTGGTCCCACCACCTTTTTTAAAAAATAAAAAATAATAATATTAATCATGTATAATTAATAAATTACAATTAGTATATCGATTCATATTCTACTAAATAATATTGATAGTTGTAATTGATAGATATTATTGACAAAGTAAAAAATGTAAACGACAGGTTGGTTGTAATTAATCATTATTATTGGTTGCTATTATTGTTAAATGACTTTTAAAATTTAATTAATATTCTGGAATATATTTGATGTATTTGTTTTGACTTATTACTTGAAAATGCAATTTATGGCCTTTCACGTGAAAAGAAATTAACATTAGAAAATATTTTAACTTAAGAGAGAGAGCAATAAGTGAAATTTTTATAATTTCAATATCTATTAAGTAAATTATATTAATTTTTACAAGGTTTAGGATTTCGTGCATATGTCGAACTTAATTTTTATAGTATGAGAAAATAAAATCTCAAAACTATTACAAAATGTATGAAGACTAAATTATACAAAAAAGTTGAAAGTATTGATCGCAAAATCATCCTTTGAAAAAAAGTATTTGGAAAAACAAACTAGGTATTATTATTATTATTACTACATTCGCCCCACATTGGGTGTCTTGGTCAATGTAGATACGAGAATCTACTATAAGTATAATTAGTAGATAATTAAGAATGTATTAGTAAAAATAATTAATCTATAATATAAATTATTATAGATTAAGATTAAGATAACTAATTAGTTTAATTAAAATTTAAAAAAAATTAAATTAGAAAATTTAAAATAAGATTAAGATAGGTAATTATTTTTCAAAAAAAAAAATGACATAAGATGTAGGACGGACATAAATGACAATATGTACATGGTAAGTGGGACAGAGAGAGTACTATTTAGATTGCAAATGGATAAGATGTGAGTGGTGGCAGTGTGATAGACAATATAGACCACACTAAAATTCCAAAACTAATAAATAAGCATGAAAATTAGTCCGCAAAAATTAGTCTTGTTAGCCGGCGTTGAAATTAAAATATATATATATATATATATTACTAACTAAATTTTAAAAAATATTATCAAGTATTTTTATTTTTGTGTACTCAATAATTTTTTTCCTACCTTTTTGTGGGTATTTTAATATATGTAAAAGTTACGGGTATTTTAACATAGACTACCTCCGTCCCATGTACCGTGTCTACTACACTGTAGACACGATATTTTATGAGGAATGTAATTAGTAGATAATTAAGAATGTATTAGTGAAAGTAATTATCCTATAATATAAATAATTATAAATTAAAATTAAGATAATTAATTAGTTTAATTAAAATTTAAAAAAAATTAAAAAATTTAAAATGAGATTAATGTGTATAATCATTTTTTAAAAAATGAAAGTGACATGGTATGTGAAATATGCAGAAACGGCAACGTGCACGTATGTGGGACGGAGGGAATATTTAAATATAATTACAATTACTATAGTTGAAAATGAATACTTTTAGTAAGACAAAAAAAGAAATGATAAAAAAAAAAGTATATTAAGTTGAGATGAAATAGTAATTTTATGTGATATTTTATAATAATAATAATAATAATAATGTATTTTCATAAAAGTTGTTAAAAGTCATTGTATAGTAGTATATATAGTCGTTATTGAGTTTGAGAAAGACACAAAGTTATATAGATAGGGTGGGTAAGTAATGTATACAATTAGATCAGTGTGGCTGTCCATAGTGATTCTGGGGGTGGCAATAGCCATTCCGGGAACGGCGGTTCCCAGTAATATTCAGACAGCGATCGACAACGCTAATAAGAATGGTCCGTACTTAGGTTTGGTAATTCCGAACCTGTTCGAGATGAACCCTCTTCTTCAACATCCCTCCTACAAACCTAATTCTACTCTCACCATCGATTTCGCAGGTCATATTTAATTTATTAATTAATACTACTATATTAATTCAACATCAATTATAAATATATATATATATATATATTTTTCTTTTTTGCATGTCATCGAAATATAATCGACATACAATTTTATGTATGTGTGTAGGGAAGAGGTTTAGATTCGGAACCCTAGCCGGAGAGAAAGTGATTCTTGTTATGACCGGACTAGCCATGGTATGCAATATTCCTTAGAGTGAATAATATTAATTATTTTTATCTAATTTTTTATTATAATCGATTAAAATCCAGTATTTATTAATATTTACATATAAAGTTTATATTATTCAATATGTAAGCAAGCAAAGTAAATATTATATCAATTAATTTTATAATTATATAATCTATTGAAATGATATTAAGGATTATAATTTCATCCTAGAAAATAAATGAAAGATAATGTCAAACTGAATTGACCAAACTTTTAATTTCAATTACATACAAAATAGAATTATTTACCATCAATTTGTATAATATTAAATATTATTGTGCTATAAATCTATATATATTTCGATACTATTAATTACCACTGTCAATTAATTACCTGAAAAAGGTAAATGCCGCGATCACAACACAACTTGTAGTGAACTTATTCAACATAAAAGGCGTGGTGCATTTCGGAATTGCCGGAAATGCAAACCCTAATTACGATATCGGAGACGTTCTTATTCCCAGATATTGGGCTCATTCCGCTCTATGGTCTTGGCAGGTACATTCTTTCTATACATCCTACTTTATTTATTTACTTATTTATTCTTACTGAAATCTCTAATTTATTGAAAATGTGTATAATCTCTAATTTAATATATAGAGGTATGGAAATGGGCCGGAGAACCAACTCCCGTTGGAAGCCAGTGGCGACTACACGAGAGGCATCGGCTACTTCAAATTTTCGGATTATGCTATAAATGTGAGCAATTCCCCTCATCATGATAATCTCCTAAATAACATTTGGTACCAACCCGAAGAAATATTCCCCGTGGACGGCACTCCTGAGGAGCGACAACATGTTTTTTGGATCCCCGTCGATCCCTCCTACTTGAACCTCGCTCAAAGGCTAACTGTAAGACCATCTCTAACTTGTTATCCGATTCTATAATCTATATTGGATTAATTTGTGACCTAAAAGATATGTATATGTATCTATATTCAAAACTTGAAGAAAATAAGTGAGAAAATTAAACAAAGGTTAAAGAATTTTTTCTGAAATATTTTAAATTTAAATCTAATCAGTGAAAAATTAATATTTTTTCTGTCATCTAATTTTATTCTTTTTTCCAAAACAGTGAAACATTATAATTTTTTTGAAGTAAAAAGTTATACTTCTTTCGTTCCAATACAATATTTTTATTTACCATTTTTGTCCGTCCCAAAATAATAGTCTTATTTTCATAAATAATCAAATCACGATAAAACTCCCCATATTTTTTCATTTTTATTACATAATTGCCACTACTTTTTACACTAATACACTCACATGGGCAAAAAAGTCTTTTATTCGTATTTTTTTACCCACTATCAATATTCTTTAAATCTCGTGTCCAAACTAATTAAGACTATATTTACAAGGGAATATTATATCTTTTGCCACTATTTTTTTTATTTATATATTCCATTACATTTTTATAAATTTTTTTACAAACTTCTCATAATTAATGTTCTTATCTTATTTTTTATTTATTTATTTTACTATTAAAATATTATTATTTTTAAAATTATATTAAAAAAAAAAAAAACCCTGCAAAAGAATATTTTAATTTTACAAAATTCACATCAAATATTTTAAATATTTATTATTTTAATAAAATTCTCAAAATTTCCATGAGATGACAGAATCTTACACTGGAGAGGTGCATAAACGCGACAAAATGTGTGGCGTACAGTCCGAGAGTTGTCCCAGTGCTGCGAGGGATGAGCGCCAGCATATATCTCGATAACGCCGCCTACCGGAGTTTTCTTTCCGCCAAGTTCCGCCACCTCGGCCCCGTCGACATGGAGAGCGCCGCCGTCGCGCTCATCTGCCGCCAGCAGAAGGTGCCCTTCATCATTATCCGGGCACTTTCCGACCTCGCCGGCGGCGGCTCCGACGACTCCAACGAGGCCGACCTATTCACGCCGCTCGCCTCCAACAACTCCGTCACCGTCGTCGTCGAGTTTGTTAGGCTGCTGCGATCCAGCAACACGCCCGTGTTGAATACACCCACCCCACCACTTCCCGTTACTTGATTAGCAGCAGTAGAGTGGTTCCGTACTTACGCACGTGTCGCCCTTTGATTGGAGCGTGGAGAAAATAACGAGGGCATTCTTGGAAATGCACTCTTCTTCATTTGATGGATGTGTTGGATGGTCATTTTGATATTCTTCCTCTCGCACGAAAAATAGATATTTCTATAAGACATGTGATATAGAGCATATCATACACAATATATTAACTCACCCTAATTAATTTTTTTTAATAAAATAACATTATCCACCCTAATATATTATAAACACGTTCGATTTAGTACGCTCCAACATTCTTAATGCAACGAGCTGTAACCTCGACTACAGATAAGATAGTATATCATGTTGGCGGCGGCGAGGCCAGCAAGAACGAGGTAATAATAATCGTAGTGTCCCTTATCGATATCGCTCGATACCCAACTATCCTCGTCGCCGCCCCCAGCCCTCGACAAGGCGTCCACGGCATTCATAATCAAGCTAGCGACGATGTTCGCGACAGCCAGTCCGATCCCAGTCAAAGTTGCCGCTATGCTCGACATGCTCCTTGGGAGCTCGGAGAAATAGAACTCGTTTTGCGCGATGGCGTTCGACGCCTCTGCAAATCCCGACAGGCAGTTCTGCGGGACCAACCACAGCGCCGAAATGTGCGATCCCGTTGTCGTCGCCCGGCGTCGACGGAGGCCCTCCACGGCTGCTGCCACGATCATGCTGAGACAAGAGAGGAATATCCCGACTCCCATTCTTGTCATCGAGCTTATACGGAAGGATCTTCCCTTGAGGTTCGATGCTATCGGGAGGAATACGCGGTCGTAGAGGGTGATCCAGAGTATCACTGATATGACCATGAATACGGTGAATGAGGCTGCCGGGATCGTGAAACTTCCGAGGCGTCGATCCATGGAGACCGCTTGTAGTAACGGGATTGTGTTTTGGCTTATGTTCACGGCCATGAACATTCCCGCCGACCATATCGGGAGCACCCGAAGGAGAGCTTTGAGTCCCTCAACTTGGTCGACGGTGCAAAGACTCCAAGGATTGGTAGCTTCACCATCAACGGTTAGCTCGCTCTCGGGATCTTTCACTATGCACGCCATATTTAGAAACCTAAAGGATTTTTTAGTCAAGTCTAGTAAGGCTGTGTTCTTTTAATACGTATCATTCAATAAAACTAGCAACCATATGTATACAATAAAAATCAATAATTCACACACAAAATATTATTCCTTATAATACTATTACATCGTGTATGATAGTATCTAACAATCAAAACACTTAAAATTATAAATACTGAATAGACAAATTTTAAATATACCTCAAATAATATAGTTCATATAAATGAAATATCAATTTTCTATTATAAAAATATTAGCACCCTTCATTCACAAACTTTCATACCTACATTTATTCTAATTTTTGTTACCGTTTTTTTAATTTAAAATGTCTCAAAATTAACTTATCCTTTTACCTTTTTATATACAATTCCAAAAGTACTCTAAATTAAAAATAAAAAAAGATGATAAAAAAGACAACTATTTAAGCTATAGTACTTTACAAAATTGCATTAAAAGTTAGCTCTTTTGTTTTGAGATTTTTTTATGTCTACCCTTTTTTTTTTTTCTTTTTTACCACTCAATATTCAAGATTACTTATGGAAATAAATTATTCTACTTTATAAAATATAACATTCAACTTAATAATCAAACATATATATATAATATATATATATATATCACCAAGTAAATGTGACATAATATAGCGACAAGGACAATACGTCAATTAATGCTATAAGTGTTATTTTCTTTTGAAACTAAAAGATAGATCATTATGGAAGAATGACTTTCTCCCAAATATTGAACATTGCTAGATATGAATATATATATCATTTTAATCTATATATTTTTGGAAATTCCGGAGCTTATCTATCCATCAGACTCTCTTATTAGACTGTGAAATATACTACACACATTATTCCAATTTAGCATCAATAAGGAATTTCGTGTACGTTAATATAAATGGTCAAATAATTTTCTATTATAACTCATGTCATATTTTGTAAGAAAATTAATGTATTATTATAAAGAATAGAAGCAATGTGATATGAAGTGAAGAAATTGAAAAACAAAAAAAAACTTCACATAGTAAATACGATCCTACCCGAGTTTTTGGCTGGGGCGAAGAAGCGTCGAGCCGGGCTCACAATGGCACAGGTAATCCGTGCTTTCGGATAATCTGAGATGGCGATTCCGGTAAGAAGCAACGGCCACTTGAAACAAACCGGTAACGAGGTTTTTCTTAGTCTCCATCTTCACGTAAAAGGAAGAAGCAAAGAAGAAAGACGTAGCATTAAAGAACATCAGCACAGCTGGCACGGCGAACCCGATGGACCATCCGAGATTATCTTGAATATAAACAATGCAAGTCAGCGCGATAAGAACGGAAAATGTGTAAGAAGCATAGTACCACCCGAAATAGCATTCCTTGACGCCGTGCTTTGCAAAGCCACCGGTGCCTTTTTCAAGCTGATCCGCGCCAAAGGCTAAGCAAGACGACCGGATTCCTCCAGCCCCGATGGACATGAGCCCGAAACAAGTGCAGAGATATGTTAACTGGAGAACTGTAGGTGCGGTGCAAGCGATGCCATCGCTACACGGGGGAGGTTTTGCAGAAGGGATTACTGTTGTCGACCACAGCAGAATCATCCCCTGGATTCATTGGACGAGTAAAATTCAGATCAATATATCGACACAAATAGCGCAAGGATATGAACTGCTAGACCTTAACCTAATTGATTGGAACAAATTTAAAAGAGAATTACCATGAGACAGATGATGGATCCAAAACCAATTGTGTAGAATCTACCCAAGAAAGAGTCAGCAAGAATGGCTCCAAGAAGGGGCATGAAATTTGAGGTTGCAGACCAGAGGAAGAGTAGAGTGGATGCAGAGGACATCTCCATGTGATATTCGGACATTAGATACAGTGCCATGTTTTGCATCAGACCATAAGTTGCCATCTTCTCGACACCCTCACTCCCTGTGTATATATATATATATGTATGTATGTATGTATGTGTGTGCGTGCATTTATACGCCATTAAAATGAATGAAAAGGAAAGCTAAAGTGCAGAGCATTACAAGAACAGAGCTACAGTAACTGCCAAATTCCCCAATTTATAATAAAATTTCCACAATGTTCAGTTGCTATTAATTTTCCCAGCGAAAGAACTTCACAGAAACAGGTTAAATTCGAATATTCGACAAGCAGTATCAATCAATCTCTATCTATCGGAATTTGAAATTCAAACAACACATATAGAAGAACTATCTGATGAGTTTACTGCTTAGATGAAGATCAAAATACTCTATTCTTTCTTTCATTTTTTTCAATCGGAATCTAAATTAGCAACGAAACAAGGAACTAATCATTGCAAGCATACCGACACTGACAGTGGAAGAAAGTTTGACTATCAATTGAATTGAAGTAATTTGATGTTTTTCATTGACAAACAAAGAAAAATCCCCAAAATCCAACGAAAATTAAACGACGGAATTAAATTTGAGATATCGATCAAATTCAAGCCAAAACAATTGAGGATTCTCACCGATTATGAAAGGTAACGCCCGGAATCCGCCTTTTCTATCATTGTCTTCCAGCAGAGGCTCTTCCATAACCGCTTTCCTCTCATCCAAGTACTCGCCGCTCTCCATCGCTGATTAACTCACAAAACACGAAAATTTATAAAACAACGAAGCGTGTTCAATCAGCTGCTGAAATCTCTCACTCTTAATAATTTGAGAAAGCGACAAAACGTAGATCGATGATGTGTGAAGTTTGAACAGTGAGGAGATTGCTGCCGACGACGCTAGGAAGAAGAGGAGGAGGGCGGTGATCGAGAGGAAAGTTTTGGGGAAATGCCATGGCGTGACATCAGCGCTGCCTTGTCGTGAAGCTGCAGCATCAACAACCAATTGACAGCGTTCGATTACGTAAAATATTGCGAGCGGTGGAATTGCTTTATCGGTGACGACGACGACGGCCATTGTCACACAAGGTTAGTATATTATACATACATACATACATGAGAACGGGGCTAAATTTTTTAAATCAATAAATATAAACAAAATATATTTTTATTATAAATAAAATAAAAATACGTATGGTTTAATTAGAATATGTCATGTAACTAGTTGTTGAATTATATATATGATATATATATATGTGTTTATATTACTAACCGATCTGGTGGGATTTTTTGCCACGTCGAAATCCGTGTATAATTTCATCGCTAGCTGCCACCTCGTCTTTGTATCATGCACCCATGTAACGGCTATTTTAAGGGAAATTCTTTGAGGGTGTTTTTAGTATGTGTTTTGTTGCTGTGTGCCTCTCTGTGCATATAATATATGTATTCTTTAATAGTAAAATTTATTTTTATAAGTAATTTAATTTGATATTTTCATAAATATTAATTTTATTTTAAAAAATATCATAATCAATACTTCTTTTTAATAGAAAATAACAAAACATTGCTTAAAGCTGCAAGGTCAATGTTATTTCACGAATTGAGTAAATAATAAAGATAGTAGACTATAGGAGTGTTGTGAGATTGTTCACTTGATTTAGGAATGTAAGAAATTTAAGGTTTGATCTTTGAACTTTTAACAAGGAACCTCTCGCAACAGCCAGTAGGATATATCGACAAATACTATCAAAACTTGGGTCTAAAACAAAAATGTACCCGAAGCTAATTATAGTCCGATTGTTAGCTCGAAGCTTCGGCTACATTTTTGTTATATTTTACGGAATTAACCAACACGCTCTTCATGTGTAGTGTATGTGAATATATGCTACATATGTATCTTGCATGTGGACGTTGACGAATGAGTGGCAGTGAAACTCAAACATAGCACGTCCCATATATGATACTTATATTACATACAGATTCAATAGACAAATAATAACCTAACCTAATTTATATAATCAAATACTAATGACCTAATTAGATAAGAGAAAACTAATCTAAATCATAAATTATATATCTAAATATCTCAACATCGACAAACCAAGGAAGCTTAACATCAGTCATGCAAAAGATCATTTGGTTCCTATAACAAACTTCTCGAACAAAGATCAAGCTCATTCTATAACTTACAGTACAAATTCTAAACATAAGTTCTTTAAATGTTACTAAAATCCTACTACAGTTTTATCGATCAATAACTAAAATATTATTGATTGTATAATAGTATATCTAATTTAATCAACATTGTAACATGATTATAAATTGAAATTGAATTCACATCCCCCCCTAATTATATGAATCCCAAAGGCATTGGTGAAAAACATTACATAAGTACCTGACTTTAGGGTGGATGCATAAGAGTCGAACCAGGCTCACAATGGCACATGTAGTTTGTCCTGTTCGATAATTTCACATGTCTATAATGGTAAGAAGCTACTGCCACTTGAATCAAACTGGTAATCAAATTTTCTTTACCTTTCAACTTCATGTAAAACTTGTAAGCTGAAAAGAACAAGACACCACTAACTACCTAGAAAACAACTAGCATGCCATATTTGATAGCCATCCTAAGTTATCTTGAACATAAAATGGATAGCTCAATCAGAAGAGATATCAGGAAACTAACAAAGATATATGAACTGGAAAACTGTGGAGTGCTGCAAGCGCCACCGGATGATGATAGCATGGCGGAGGTCTTAATTGAGGGATCATTGTTGTAGAACACAGAAGAGATTTTCCCTTGATTCAAAGATAAAATTCAATCTAACAACACAACCATATATATATGATCTATGATGAAATATTTACCACGATTGAGATGATGGTTCCAAAACCAATTGTGTAGAATCGACTCAAGAAGGAATGGGCGACAATGGCGCACACAAGGGGAAAGAAGTTAATGGCTGCATTGCAAAGGAAAATTGCAGTGGAGGCAGAGGACACTTCCATATGATACTCTTTTATTAGATAAGGGGTAATGTTTAGAATCAGGCCATAAGTTGTCATCTTCTCCAATGCATTAATCGTTGTTCGTACACAATCATATATATATATATATGTTTTTACATACTGATCATGAACATAAATAGCAATTGAAACGAATCAAAGTAGAGGCTAATGTGCAGAACGGAATGAATGGCAATGGGCAATGTAAAGCCAAAATTCACCAAATCATGAACTACCAACAACCTCCAAACAAGCAACATATATAACCTATTTTGTACGTCTCTAACAAAATCTAACACTCAGCCCCGAAAGAAGGCATGGAATTTCTACCACGTTCTGCTATCGAAATTTCAACCGGCGGAACTAAAACATTTCACATAATGCATAAGAAAGCACTCACCGAAGACAGATCATGGAATTTGAACTTTAAATTGTGGAAATAACCGGGAGATTCAGCCAATTACGAAACTAATTACAGTTACAACACACAAAATATGTAAAACAACTGAGATTTTTACCAAGTAGGATACGCACAACCATAAACCCGCCCTGCTCATGTTTCTTCTCCAGCAGAGGCTCTTCCATTACCGCTTTCTTCTCGTCCAAGCTACTGCTGCTCGCCATTGCCGTTCCGTTGAAGCTTCACTACTTAAATTACTATGAAGAAATTATTTTTAAATATTATAATTTAAAATATTTTTAATATTTGGGTATCTTCTGGGCCTAATTACTATGAAGAAATTATTTGGGCCTCAGTTTGTATGATAAATTGGGCCAAAGTAGAAATTAAAAATTTATAAGGTTTTGTTTTTTTCATGTTAAAAACAAAAATAAAAATAAAAAGAAAATGAATATATGGAACAGACAAATGCAAAGAAGTTTCCAACAATGTCAGAACAGATGATGAAATGAAATAATTGAATCCAATGCCACGTACACAAATTATTGATGTGATGTGTACACACATTATGAATATATAGATATATACTTATTTTAGAGTATTTAAAATTTTTTAGAATATTAATAAAAATTTATTAAGTAAAAAATAAATGTCAGAACACACCTCAATATGTAAAAATCTTACCAGTATTTTTTACTCTCTTCTATTATTGCACACTTTTTTGTGTCAGGATATTTAATTCTCGTGTCCGAAGAAACGCAATATTTACGTTTCTATATCGAAAACAAATTTTAAAAAATAAAATAAAACCGTTATTGTGTATATTATATTTATATGATATTTAACTCAATTATACTACAATTTCACATTTTAATATTTTAAGATTCTATTTGGACTGAAGTTCTTTAAGTTTTGGTAAATTTTAAGTATTTAATTTAATATTTTGAAAATATATATTTGATTCGATGTTTTTTTTTTCAAAAAGATTATTATTAATTAATAATATAAAAACTTAAAAAATGTAAATATAATCGGAGCCTTAATTTAATTTTGCAAGTTACCACATTTTAAAATTTTTAAAATCAAGTGAAAATAAATAAATGTGGTAGTATATATTATTAAAATTATATGATAATAAAAATAAGATAAAAATTAATAATTGAATATATATGTATGGCCGAAATTATAATCTCTCTCTCGAAAAATAATAATACGATCTAATAAAATTATAGGACAAAAATGCTTTTTTGTCCTATAATTTTATTAGTTACTACACATCTAAACAATACATTTTTATTTTTATTTTTTAAAAAATGTCCCACATATTTAAAATTTGATTGAATTGGTCATTTGATTTTAATTAGAGCTTTAAAATTATTTATATATATATACTCTCTCTCCCACCACAATTGATACTATTTCCATTTTTGTATGTTCCGTAACAATTGACACATTTCTATTTTTGGTAAAAATTATTAAACCAAAACATATTTAACAAATATAATTAACTACGTAACATACAACATAATAAATGACATACAACATAATAATAAATGACGTAGGACCCACTCAAAACCCCTTTATTTTTACCTCTCTATCCACAAAAAAATAAATATTTTTATCTATATTTAAAACTATATATATTTTATAAAATTGATTTATATTAATTATAAATAAAAAAAATACTTTTTTATTTATTTCTATTATAGAAGATTTTATTCTCTACAAAATAATATCTGCATATATTTTTTAATTGCTATATAATTTCATATATTTTAATTTTTTTAATCATATATATTAAATTTACTTTAAAATTATAAATATTATTAATTATACAAAAAATAATATAATAATATCATAACTAATTATTATTATTAACTAATTAAATATTTTAACTTTAAATACTGTGTCCCTAATCAAATAGTTTTGGAACTGAGGGAGTATTATATATTACACCAACAATAGCAATTATTTAATTCAATTCTTGTATGTGGAGGAAAACATAAACTTAGTTTAAATAGAATTTTTTTATAAGAAAAAAATAATAAGTTTCTTTTAAAAAATTTAAAAGTAAAAATTTAAATATTTGATATTACATCTCCCATTTAAATTTATTCACATTCTCTTTGTAGAAAAATAGAAGTATTTGATGTGATATTTAATATATATATATATTATTGTTAAATAATATCAAAAATTTTAAAATTATAAACAGAGCAAGTCTGTGTGCGTTAAAATTTTGAATTTTATTTTTTAGGTAAAATAATTTGAATAGAAAATTATGTATAAAAATAGTTGTATATATACTAAAATGTGATTGTGTAAAAGTATAGAATAAAAGTGATGATGAACATCAAAATTATAAATTTTCTTATATATATTCAAACTATTTTATCTCGTTAGATTTTGAATTTAATAAATACTAAATTTGACTAATAAAAGTTAATTGAGCAAGGACATATAAGTGGTCCTAAAAAATGTGGTGCCATTGCAATATTAATTATAATTAAGGTTGTCATAAATATTTCTATAACCACCACTTTGAAAAAAAGGAATTGTTAAGTTAGGGTTTCACTCCAAAAATTTTAAATTTTAATTAAATCCAATTAATTAATTTAATCAAATTAATTTTGTAAATAATACGTTAATTTCGAGTACAGATGCTTTTCAAATCATTTAGATTAACAATTTTATATGCAATTACAACTTTTAATTTTTAATTTTTTAGTGACATGTATATACATTTAAATATAGTGTTTTGCATATATAGATTAACATTAAAAATAATGCATGTTAATATAATTCAATTCTTCACTGTAAATTGAATACTGAAATATATATACATATATTGAAAATTGCATAACCAAAAAAAAAAAAAAAAAACTCTGTTGTATATAATTATTAAAAATAAATTGATAATTAAAAAATATCAGATAATAGTGCAATTAATTTATCCTTGGCTATATATTTACACGGGGGGTAGTATTGAAAATTGATTTCCCAATTAGAAAATTTATCATTTCAAAAAATTAAGTTTCTAAGAATTAATAAGTTATTGCATAATTATAATTTTAGAAGATTTACATTAATTGTTCTATTTATTAGACTGAGCATAGTGTCTTGTTATTTATGTTAATGAATTAAATCCATACCTAAAATGTACCTATCATTATTATTATTATTATTATTATTATTATTATTAATTATTATTATTATTTTGTTAAATAATCTCCATCTATAATCACTGTCCACTCCTCTTTAATTTGGTTATTATTTTTTATTGTTTAATCCTCACTGTTTTTTATAAGAATATAATAATTCCCCCCACAAAACTTCATATTCAATTACTTAATATTTACATTAAAAACAATTCAAATCAAATTAATCATGAAAGCTATTGTTATAGTTATTACTATTAATTATTATTTCTTATATTGTGATATTATTAAAAAAAATTAATGTAGATGTAATTTTAAATATATATATATATATAGTAGTATTATACAATAATATATGAATTATTAAATATGTAATATTATTAATTCACAATGTTATTCGAATTTTGTTTTCCTTAAATTTATATTTAAGTGTATATATAAATCACTTTTGTAACATCAATTATTTAATGTGAATAAGGGTGTGTTTATATATGATATTGAAATATTTTAGTACTAATCGATCTGCAGTAAAATTATTTTTATGTAAAACTTATTTTACTTTTGAAGTGTAAATTAATGTAATAATATTGATATAAATAAATTTAAATTTATAAATATTTATGAAATACAATAGATCATTTTTAATAATAGAAAAATGAAATAATTACTTCGTATTTAAATAATTGAAAATGACACAAGTATATTTATATTTTTAAAGTGGACAAAAGAGTATTTTTTATATATTTAATGTTGTAATTAAAAATACTTTCTTCATCTCATAACTACGTATTTATTTGTTTTTTGCACAGAATTTTTAAAATATTAGTATTATATTATGATATATTATGAATAAAATAGAAATGAATAAAATAACCTTATTAGTATTGTGTGATATAAAGGTAATGATATTTGTGTAATATATTTTAAGTTGTAAGGATATTTGTAATGTTAGTTAGATGGATAGTATAATTACTTTAAAAAAAATACCTACTAAAATGAAAAAATAGATATTTTGTTATGAGACCTACTAAAATAAAAAAAAAAAATTGATAGTTTTTTAGAGGACAAATGGAGTATTATATAAACAAAATATCAGATATATATTTTGAAAATGTATAATAAATAATAGTATAAAAATAACAACATATTATTAAAAGATTTTCCCATTGGAGGAAAGCAAAAGTAATATCATTCGAATAATTGTATTTACTTTTGCATTTTCATTTTTTTTTCCAAAATTTATATTTAAATATTATTTCGATTTAGTTTTTTTTAATATAAATATTTTTATTAAAAATATTGAAAGAAACACAAAACGACCACTCTATTAGAATTCTGAAATTCTTAAATAAAAATAGTAATAATATTTAAGTAAAAATATATGCAATATAACAAAATAAATTGTAAATTAAAAATAGTAATGTAAATAGAGAATAATAATAATAACAGTCCATTAAACACAATAGTAATTTATGATAAATTAGATGAATGAAAATCAAAAAAATTGAATGGAAACAATAAATTAATTAGATGTGACTTTTGATGGATTGCAAAAAGTGGAAGATCAATGCAACTGCTACCAAACCTGTTATAAAGACAAATTAGGAAATTGGACCCCTCCATTGTCTAATTTTATTTCTTACAGTATTATTTAAATCAATGAGTAAATATAAGAGGAAATTATTTTATTACTTCTTTTTATTTTACTTTATTTACTCATTATTCTTATTTTTGTTCATTTTAAATTTTTTTTTTTTAAATGAAGAGATATAATATAAATTTTTACTATTTGATTTATCACATTTTCTGAAATATGGTACTCCTCCGTCCCATACACCGCCGTGCAGTATTTCCTTTTTGGTATGTCTCAAACATTATGCGATATTTTCAAAATAGGAAAAAATTAATTATACTTAATCTCCATCCCACACTTTATCCCCTCATATCGTCCAAATAAAAAAATAAAATATATATCTCTCTCTCCATTGTATCACCTAATTTCTAAATTATCTTACTTAATACTACCCACCTAAAAAACTCATACCCAAAAGTAAATGTTGCACCTTGTTTGTGACGGAGGGAGTACATAATAATAAATATCATATTTAATAATTAATTTACTTTAAAAAATATAGTATTTAAAATACACACAAAACTACAAGCTATATAAATCTATAATTAAAATTTTCAATTGTTGAATTTTTTTTTTTAGTTATTGAGTGTGTATCAGTGTATATAATTGATATTTTTTATGATACTTATTATTTTGCAAATTTGTCTGAATTTATTGTTGGATGAGTAGAGTGTGTAATTTTTCGTAAGATGAATTTTGAAATAATTAAAATTAATTTAATAATAATTTTTATAAAAATTAATAATATATATACATAATGGGTTTGTATGTTTAGTATTATTTTGTAATATTAGGTATAAAAAATTGCATCAGTAATATAAAAAATATTCTATTTATCCTATATAAAATGTTTATATTTTTAATTTTGATTCGTCTCACATAATTTGCAATTTTTTAAATATAGTTATAAATTTTAATTATATTTTAAATTTTATAATTTTAAAATTTTAATTAAAATATTTAATTTTTTTAATTTTAATCTATAAGTAATTTTACTAATATAATTTTTAATTACTTATTAATTATATTTTACTTAAATTATCGTATTTATAATAACATTAATAAAAAAACTAAGACAAATAAAGTAACGTTCTCTCCGTCCACTTGATAAGTTTACATTTACCTTTTTGTATAATTGTACTTAATATTAAAATATATTTATATTTGTATAACTTTTTATTAAAATATCATTTTATTTATGTTATAACACACTAATACATGTATACACTAATATATATATATATATACATGTATGTTCATAAATAAATACGAAAAGAGAGAAAAAGACAAATCTTTCTGGAAATTATAACCAAACTTGTCAACAATATCTAGAGAGAGAGAGAGAGAGCGCGAGACCCATGGCAGAAATCTTGAGGTCTGTTTGGGACCAGCATCAACTCACACCACAAACTATCCCACAATTTCTTAATTTTAGATTCATATCCAAACATAACATTATTGTTGAGGTTTCATCTCAATTACTTCTTCTGTTATTTGAAAATAGAAAAAATAAAAAATAAAAAAATTGTTCTTTTTATAAAAAAAATAGATCATTTCTCGGTCATTAAACATAGGGTTATTTGGTTTGGGTAGAAGTTTCAATATGATGTATACCTCTTCTTTTTCTATATAATAAGAAAATTAGAAAAAAATGTACGATTTTTTACCTAAAAAAAGTAAACAAACTTATTTTCTATTACAGATAAATAAAAAAATAATATATATATATTTATTTATAACAATGGAGCATTATTGTTTATATTTTTTTATTATAAAATTAACAAATTATTATATTATTTTACGGATACATTTCAATGAGTGAAAGAGTATTTTTTTAATGGATAATAAAATAAATTAGACATATATAATAGTAATTTACTAAACTGGAAATAGTAAGTTTCCATTAAAGACATTGAAAGAAGACCGGTAAGGTTTAGAATTTAAAGTAAAGTTTTAAAAGTTTGGTTATTTTGAAAATTATAAAAATAATATAAATTTATATATTTGATGTTATATTATATTATACTATAAAATAAATATTTAATATAATCTTTAAAAATAAATAAAATTGTTAGCGTCAATCAATAATAACACACCCTGGGCATTCGTTCCGGAGCTCAAGTCCAGGTGCGGCTCTAAATTACAAGCTCCTGATCGCGCACATGTCGAAATGGCTGTGTCTGAAAACGATAAAGTGGATAAACGTACAGTGCGTGCAGTTACTACAGATGGTAAATCCACAAATACATCCAAAGCTGGATTAAAAATAAAATAAAATAATTAATTAATTAAGAAATGTTTGCGTAGTCTATTATGCACGTTGGCCCCATTGTCCCCTCATTGTGGCCCATTTTCTTTATTTCCATAAATAAAAATTAAATTAATTGAAAATACCTCTGCTGAAATGTACGTATGTGTGTATATATACATGACTTTTTGTACTCTGAATTTCAAATTTTCAATTGCCTGTTCTATAGTTTTCTTAAAATCTTTTTCTCTCTCCTTTTTATTTATTTATTTCGCTCTCTAGGGTCTGCAAGAACTGCAATTTTTTATCGTTACATTTCCATCTTTGGAAATCTCAAATTCTGACATTAAAAATCATAATCAGGGAGTGTATAGATTTCTTTGTGTGCATATTTTTATGGTGATGACAGATGAAGAAGGCGATCCAACGGCGAAGAGCTCGCCGTCATTGCCGGAAACACAATCTCCGCCGTCGGATGGCGGGAAGAAAATCAAGAGGGTGCGGGAAGTGGCGAGGTCCAGCCCCAGCAAGCACCCGGTGTACCGTGGAGTTCGAATGCGGAACTGGGGGAAGTGGGTCTCCGAGATCCGGGAGCCGCGGAAGAAATCGAGGATATGGCTAGGGACATTTCCGACGCCGGAGATGGCGGCGCGTGCGCACGACGTGGCGGCACTGAGCATAAAGGGAACATCGGCGATACTGAATTTCCCGGAGATCGCCGCCGCGCTTCCCCGGCCGGTCTCCCTCAGCCCGTGCGACATCCAGAACGCCGCCGCGAAGGCGGCGGCGATGGTGAAATTCGACGTCCGATCGTCGTCGCCGACGAGCACATCGTCGTCTTCCGCCGTCTCTTCTTCAATCGACTTCTCGACGACGTCGTCTGATGAACTGAGTGAAATCGTCGAGTTACCGAGTTTGGACGACGACTCAGTTGAGTTGATGATGAACGAGTTCGTGTACATGGATGACGTGGCGGCGGCAGACGGGTGGCTGGACGGTGCTGCTCCGCCGTGGGACGGCGGAGCTCAGTGCAGCAGCTTCGAATCTATATTATGGAATTACTAATCGAATGAATTAATCTCTTGTTAATTAAACTAATAAATTAAATCAAATTCCCATTGTTGAAAACCCTAATCCCCAAAACTGTATGTGTGTATGCTGTCTTCTTCTTCCGAATCAAACTGTACAAAATTAGGGTTCTTCGGAACACCCAAATTAAAACTTTCTGTTTTTTTTTTTCCAATAAATAAAGAAATGGTTTGTGGATTGAAGATTGAAGATTGAAGTGAAGGTGGGGATTGATGAGGGAGGAAGAAGATGGAGAATCTGTGAAAATGACAACCTTCCTCATAAGGGCAAACAGTGTCGTTTTCGATCCTTGCGAATTGCTTTTTCTTCAGAGAATTACTCTTACTCCTTAGCTTGTAATAATATAAATAATAATCTCTATCTCTCTCTCTCTATATATATATATACAGACATGGATATAACCTGGAGCTACCTTAATTTGTTATTATTTATGTTTAATATATATATATATATATATTCATAGTTTTTGCCTAATTGTGCTTCTGTATTATATTTGGTACTATTTTGATTCTATAATTATATATTCCTTAACCCATATCATCTCCAACTCATTCTTTCATTTTTCAGTAGTTACAGTAAAAATGCAGTTATCTATATTAAACTTCAATTTTTCACTCAAAAAAGTATATTAGTATATTCTTCTTTTATATTATTTTATATAACATCTTATATTTATAAATTACACCCCAACTTTAATTTATTTTTACAATATAACCCAAATATATATAATTACACATTATTTTTAAAAAATAATATAATTATGTATCACTTTTCGATAGGTAAATTATATCACTTTTTGAAAATAAAATTATACATAATTTTTCAAAAAAATAAAATTATATATCATTTTCTAAAAAAATAAAATTACACAATATATTCCAAAAAAAAAACAAAAATACACAAGTGTACAGAATTTTGCCCACCCTTTTTTTTTGTGCAATTTTCGTTGTTGATGTCTGTTCAAATATAAAAAATTTGAAATAATTAAATAGCTTGGTTAATTGCAGGAGTGGCAAATAAGTTTGAATTAATAAATCAAAAGATCCATATATATTTTGTTGTTCCAATTTATAATTCATTATATATAAACAAGTCAATGATAGTTCTTATTTGACTTTTAATATTTTTGGTAAGTTTATACTTCTAATTTATTTTATTTGACTTTTTAAAATTCTAAATATATATACATAAAACTTGTCCCAATTCAATTCATCATTTATTTTACTAAACGAGTCAATTTTTTTTTTTTAATTCATATAAGTAACTAATCAAAATTAGTAATTCACTATTGTATTACATTATAAAACAGTGATTTAATATGATTTCAAATAAATGAAAAAAAGTTTGACAGTAGACATTTGAGTAAAAGAGATATTTCAAATGTGAGAACTTCTTATAATACTCACACATCAATAATTCCAAATTATTATTTGAAATTATTTTAAATATATAATAAATAATAAATGAGTGAGATATTTTAAGTTAAAAAAATATATTTTATATGAGATGTATTAAAAAAAAAAAAGTTATTTATTTATTTATTAAAAAGTGTATAATGCAAACTATATACATTGGAAAATAACAGACGACAAACATTCCTTTTGGAGTTAAGTAAAATAAAGTTTAATTAGAATTAGTTTGTGTGTTTACCCTGTAATTTTATTTTATTTTTTAACTGTTTTTTGTTTGTTTAAATAATGGTTTTGTAATAGAAAATATAATGTATTTCATATAAAATAATGTGAATTGAAAAAAAAAAATTGAGTAAACACACAATATAAGATGTGTTTTTATTTTTTTAATTCCAGTTTAGTCTTTTTTCTCGATCTTATTAAACTATAGTAGAATAAAATAATTGAACATTTTATTTATTTATTTATTTATTTATATTTATTAAATTAAAATATTTCAAAATTGAAAAAGGACAAGACAATGGAAGAGACATGCTCAATCCTATAAAGAAATCAAATACATATATATATATGATGTGGTTATTGTTGGCTGATATGATGTAACATACATAAATGCACTCCTATTTTATAAGTATATATGATTAAATAATTAAATATATAAGTAGTAAAAATCCTTGGAGGGGACAATCTCAATAAATGCAATATGACTTGCAAATTATTTTTGTAATAAACTTACAAAGGGACAAAATTGATGGGTCTCGCTGTCACTCTCCCTCTCCTATACTTGTAATTATTTTTACTTCAAATAATATGTGCAAGATATATATATATATATATTATAAAATAATAGTACAATACTTATATTTGTCTTTGGCATGGCTGCAACAATAATATTAGCATATTAGTGTATTTTGGTTCTGTAAATGTTAACATTACGTCATTGCATAAGCCTTCGTCATATAAGATTTAAATATGAAAATATTTGAAATATTTAATCGGACAGAATTACCATATATAACTTAAATTGAATCCTAAATTTCATTTATTTTATTTTTAACATCATTTCAAAAATTGAACAAACACCTTCTATAATATCTAAATTTCTGAATTGTAATTAAATGATTTCCTCGTTAATTGAGAAAACATTAATATTTTATTACTTTGAGTTATTTTATTTTATTATGGTTTGAATATTACAAAACACATAGAGAATAATGGGAAACAAATTATATCTATTTTTAACATTTTAATTCAAATTAATATTATTCACCAAATACAGTTTTCAATAAAAATACAATATTTTTTCTTATAAAATATTATTTACATAAAAATTCAAATTAACAACTAATTTCAAGTAAATTTCAAATCACAACCAAATTTAATATAGAAATTAATAAATTCAATTTATCCACTTATTACTATTTGGTATTTGTATTTGTATTTTTATATTTATGTTTATGTTTATTTTTCATCATCCTAAAAGGCGAATAATGTCTCATCTGTACACTATATAATTTAATATAACCAAATTATTCAACCTAAATAGCAAAATTAATATATATTGTATAAAATATAATATTATTCGTAATTGTAAAATTTAAAGTGATCGAGGTAGGAAACAATTTATACTGAGTACACCCTAATTTTATTTTATTTTTATATATTTCATATTTGACCCCATAATTTAATATATATAGTATTTCTATGGTCCTCATGGTTGCACGTACTAATATCCAACGTGTAACATATACAGAAACATATTTATTTTATTTTATTTGTCATATATACAATATAAAATGTTGCTTCAATATTGATCAATAAAAACATTCAGAAGCCTCGATATATATAATAATACATTGGCAATGGGTCTAAATATATTTTAAATTTTAGCCATAAAGTTTTTAAAACTCTGATGATTTGAATGAACACAATATTGAATTATCCAACATGTCAAATAGTATGTCTTGGGTAAACAAAATAATAAGAAAAAAAAAAAAAAAAAAAAAAAAAAAACTTTTAATTGAAACAAAGAATGTTTTATTCACAAATAAAATTAAAAAATTTAATATAAAATATTATTTTTTTAATATTTATATCAAATATTTCAAACTAAAAATACTAAACACACTAAAAAAAAAATTGTTGATAAATATATCTATTTTTTAATCGTCATCAAAAAAATATTTTTATTTTTTCTCGTAAAAAAATTACTTACTTTTTGTTCTTCACTATAAAAAAAATTATATTTTTATTTATTTTTGTAAAAGTTCGTATATGATCAAAGGTGCGGTGCACCGCACGGTTCCACAGTGACAGCTGGCAGGCAAAGAAAAGAACTTTGATATAGGGAGAGAGCAGTACATCAAGGACGGACAAGGAGGCACCAAAATCTTATTTGATTTATAGGGAGAGAGCAGTACAGCAAGGAAGGACAAGGAGGCACCAAAATCTTATTTGATTGATGTCGCACTTGTCACTCTCCCGACTTCTCTTCACTGACACGACTTTAAGTTTAATCCATGTTTCCTTGTTCTCATTTGCGGGCACTCCGCCACGTGACCTGCACGCGATACCCTTTTCCTCCCTTTTTTTGTTACCTTTTTTTTATTATTATTTTTTATTTTTTTCATAAAAAAAACAGAACAAAAATAGATTTTTACAATTGAATACATATGATGATCACAATTGAGACGCTAATTATAATATTTAAAGCCCAGTAATATTTTGTGTCAAAGCCCAACCTTTTTACTAAAGGCCCAGGCTCGATAATCTATTCTAATTTAGGTAGAATTGTAACAAAAATATTCATTACTGTATAAAATATGTAAAAAAAGAATTATTTAGTTATAATCACCTCTACCAGCACTGCAAGTCTTCAACTAAACCCTTGTTTATGCACTATAATCAGTAACCTAAATTTATAAAAGTAATCTCTACAAAATAGTAATATCTATTTTATGCACTTCATTAAAAAGGATCACTACAATCTATCATTTTAATTTCTGTAAAAAGAATACTAGGGTTTGAAAACCACCCTGGTATGAAATCCATATATGTAGAAATTAATAATATATATATATATATATAATTTTGTTACTCATAAAACTTACCAAAAATGCAACTAGAATAGCAGCCGACAATATAATGCATCAGCTGCAATGAATAGAAATTAGAACCAAAAAACGTGTATATACATATATGGTTAAAACAAGCATGCTATTGCGTTGTTAAGGCAAAAAAACAGATATTAATAGCCGGAACCGATCAAACTGAGCTCAATTGTTCAATCTTTTCAGTTAAATATGTCGTTAACTATTTGTAAAGATAAAATAATAACAACACTACAAGCAAACATTACCTAGAGTGAGTATAGCAAGTTACTTTTGCTTCGTCGTTCCAAATTTCCCACCCGGTATTCTTGATACCAAAAAGCCCTGCAATGCAAGCAACCTAAACATAAAGCTGGACAGGTCCAAATGGTAAAAACAGAGATCAAATGAAAGCAAAATGTCCAAATAGATGAGACGTGGTGGTCGAGTAGCAAACTTACCATATTTGGGTGTATTTGTATATAAGAACATAGGTGAATAAAATTACTCCTCAAGGATAGCCCGTCCTAGATTAGTGGCGAGAGCTAGTCTGACAGATTGTAATGCCTCAGGAGGCAAGACAGGATCGACAAATCCTGGGAGCAATCTAGCCAAGGATAGCTCTTGCAGCTTATTCAACAAAAGATTTGTCTGAGAAACATTGAGCAAGGGCCGTTCTTTCCACTCTAGCAATTTCAACTGACCACCACGAAAGATTTGGAAAATAAGGAAATGTAAAGAATAAAGAAAATATGCTAATGAGTAGGCGGAAAAATCTATGTTGTAATAAGATAAGAGGTTATAGTAAGAGGTTACTGAGTCATATAAGAGAGGCAGCCAAAACTGCCGAGGAGTAGCCGGATTTTTCATGAGCTGCCAAAATAAGTGGAGATTGTGAATTCTCAGATTACCAACATGGTAGAGAGAAAGAGGCTCTTTGTTGAACAGAAAGAGATGAGTGAATTTTTCTGAAATAGAATAACGCCCAAAATAATGGGTTCGGTTTATAATTTAAGAAAATTATCAAACATACTGATATAAGGGCTTCTGCGGCTTTCCAAGCACCGTCAGTGGTGATGCCGTCCTGAACTTGCTGGAGGGATCGCCTGAAATCTCTATACCTGGCAAGCAATGAACAATGTTGAAAAATGTAAATACATGGTGGAAAAGACTGAGTTTATATAGAACATTCTTCGTTGTCGTGTGATTGTAAGAGAACGTACTTTTTCAAGAACTCTAGACCACCGGCAGTTTTTGATTCAGTTCCCAACAATTCAATCATCCCTTCCCATTGCTGTTGGAAGAAGGTAAAATTACTCAAGATCCTGCAAGTGAATTCCTAGAGAGAGCACTGCTAAATTACCTTGAAACTTTTATCTGAAACTGATTGTCCAACAAAGTCAAACAAATGCTTAGCAATCCGGTTTAAGCGAACTTCATCTCGAGCCTGCTGAAGCCAGAACACAGCTGATCCTTTCTTGCCATGCTTCCAGTGATTAACTCCAGCAATCTGCATTTGCAGGGCGAATCTCAAGTTTAATAAACTTCATGTGCACAAGTAGATCAAGAGAAGTAGCAACTACAATGCTATGAAACAAAATGAACATTGATGGAACACTAACACAGTATTTTCCAATTGGAGACATACCTTCATCATATTGTTACTAATATAGTCGAGTCCATTGAGACGGCAGATCTCTATACTCTGCTTGAAAGAGAATGTAACCATAAAACCACACAATAAAGATATGATCAAATGAACTATGACTTGTCAAGGAGACAAAGATAAACAATATCTAGGATCAAATGTAAGCACAATTACCTTCAGTAACACCTGTTGATGTTGTACAGGTTGCTGGGATAGTAAATTCTCTAACAAGCCTAGTCCTTGCATCATGCATGATGTCAAATATATAGGAGCAATCTAAAAGGCAAAACAATCAAACACGATGGTACATTAGAAAGAGTGGTAGAGTGGTGGGAAATGTGAAATGTGAAATTTCTCCACTAAAGTGAATCAATTGAAAGCAGAATAGGCAGAAAGCAAGTAAGTTTGTTTAGACTTATCAATTATCAGTAGAAATACTGCGATAAAGATTTAACCTATAAAACCTTCTAATGTAGTTAAAGGATACATCGCATAATTGACATGAAGCTGGCATGGACAAGTTATTTATACTTCCAAAAACTTGAATTAGCACAACCTTGTGTACAAATCCATGCTTTTTAAAAATCTTGAATAATTGTGTGGGGGGGGGGGGGTTGTGGTGGTTTGGATTATTAATGATTAGTTTTTTAGATCATTTGCAATGATACTTACATTCCATGTCAAGGCATGAGAGGATAAAATTTGAGCATAAATCAATCGATGGAGTTCTTCTATGCAGATTCCTCCAAATTTAGACTGGGGCTCATGCAAAAGGGTTTCTGCCTCCATGCTCCCGGCAGTTAGCAGCTCTATAGCATGAGTTAACATCCTGATCAAAACAACTTATAAACGTTAGCACATGCAAAACCAATTCTGTAAGGATCTCTAGATTCTCTACCCTATCATGGATTGATTGCTCAATTCACAGGCTACAACAAAAAATGCATCAACTTCCACTGAAACAATTCCTTTCGATATATAGAATGCAACAAGAACCAGCAGTCATGCAATTACTTAATAATGTTTTTACACATTTCACAACTCCCATAAAAAATGCACAAGAGAAGAATGACAATTGAGAACATTTGAAGAAAAACAGTTGTCTCACCACGGGCCAAATGATCTTGAGCATTCAGCTAGAACAACCTGCATTATTGAAAGATTAGTCATTTATAGCTGGATGACAGACCAGAAGTTAATACACAAAGATGGGTAAATGAATAAAATTTCTTACCTCTATGTTTTCTTCTAGAATCCCTATCATAAGTTCCATCAACTTATGCTGGTTGGAAGTTGATTTTAACTGCATACATTTTTGAGCTAGACTGTACATGCTTTCCAAACTCTGCAACACAATAGATATTTTGAATGAGCTGAAAAAAGGAAAGATCGAATTCATGTTGTGTACTCTTCCACTTCATTTTCACAATATGGGCATATGTACTGCAGAAGTTAAATAATTACAATCTTACTCAGAAACATATATGGAAGTCGCACTGTACCATGGTGAAAGGCCTTATGTACAAAAAGTGGGCAACGTAAAGCTCTATCCAGTGGCATGTTGCATCGGTGAGAATGGAAGCATTGCCCACCATGATTTGAAGCATATTTTTCAATCCAGCTCTCGTCTTTTGGTGATCACAATCAAGCCAAAATCTGCTGCAATCCAATTTAGTAATTTGGCCTCGCCACTTCTCCCAAGCCTAACACATACAGTCAGGAGTCAGGATAGCATACTGCAGCATAGAATACAAGCAAAATGCCTCCTGAATGAACACTTCAGTTTAAGCTACTATAATCATTTAACAATTAGCCTACCTCTGCACAACCTTAGATGATCTTTAGATCCTATCATGGAAAAAGGTTTATAAATTGGTGGCATCAACATTTGATATCATGATTTCATATTTGTCTAACCTTTGATAACACCAAATTAAATGGCCACTTCATTAGAAGAGGAAGACATTAAAGAGGGATATCAGTTGGTAGTTAATTCCTAGGTCTATATAGTTACCTTCATGAATTCAGGTTTAGTTTTGTAACATTCTCCTAATTTTTCCGCTGGTAGGTCAGGGCGCAGACGTGGCATCTGTGATATAAGAAGAGCAACCGCTTCTACAAGCCCATTTTCTATCTGTTTCAGATAGATGCAAATGTGAGATAGTTACATCAATAACAACAGATTTTCTTCAGAGTTTGAACATGCAGGATATCGTTAACTGACAAACAAGGAGTATTAAATAGCTTCATTACAGCATGATTAATAGTGAAAATATAAATCATAAATGCAATGAAAACTATCAATTTCAAACTCACTGAAACCCTTATATACCTCGCGACTGCCAAGTTGATCATACTGATAAGACCCATGCAAACGCAAAAGTTTTACCTGCAAGAAATTTGTTCAATATGCTAAGCAAAATCCACTTAAACACTCTTCAAAAAAAGTATACTCTTATCGTAATAATAATAATTATTGTTATTATATAAAAGAAAGAAAGACAATGGTTCATTAGAATATAAAAAACTTACAACAACATCAAGCCAGCCAACTGCTAAGGCTGATGACATAGCTTCCCAATATTCTGGATCATTCTCAACTGCCTTCGGAAAAAATTAACAAATATCAATTCTGAGATTAAAAAAGTTGCTTGGCTAGTTGGCATACTGCAATGAGAAGGTAAAAACTGAAGATGGAAAAGAGCGGCATATCCAACAGAAAAGATAACAACAAAATAGCACTTAATATGATTTTAAAAATATACCAAGATTCACAACATTATTAATAAGTTGACATCATACATTGGACTCCATAAAGCCCTTCAAATAGCAAAAATAATGGTGTCAGAGCCTCAATGAAAATTAATTGAAGATGAACTTGACAAAGTTTCGCAGAACAGGTTTGAAATTGATGCAGTATTTCTGCAACCAAAAAAGTTTAAATGGCTGGTTGAAATTTTACAACTAAATACCATTACATGTTCTCTCTAAAAGCAACAATAGGCTGCAGGAAATAGAAGGGTCACATAAAGATCAAGCCAACTCAAGAGAAATGAAACACCCTTTGTACATCACGGAAATAGAGGAACAAACAAAGGATGAAGGAGTAAGCAAGTACCTGTACAGTAACAAGTTTATTTTGGAAAGAGATGAGTTTCGCATGCACAGTGGAGTGAGTTCCAGAGAACAGACAATCAAAATCCTGCGGAGGATCTCAATTGCAGTTATTCTACAAGAACTAAAGTATGCTGAAAACTGAAGATATAAATGTATGCGTTCGAAAAGTCCCATACAGCTATCCAATCAAGAAGCCGTTCTGGCATCCAGCTCTGAGATCGCTTGTCAACATAAAAAATTTCCATCAGCTCCCAGGCAGCTTTCAAAGCAGTTGGCTCCTCAACTTTCTGCTTTTACATAACAGCCAATTGCGTATAAACTCTATAAGTTCTTAATGGATGGTGTGCATGATTACATAAATACTTAGTAAAACCCAAATTTACCTTTAATACCATCCTTGGGTCTTCAATTGTGGGTGTAACAGGTGAATTTGAATTTCCAAGAAGAGAATTTATCTCCTTGCTATACGCCAATGCATGTTCCCACCTGTTAATTAAGTACATTATTCCAACAAGTCCTTTCTTGTGAAAATGTGGTTCAAGGATGAGAAATACATGTAAAGGTATCAATCAAATGAAGTTCAGCTTGAATCTCAGAACAGAATTCACAAATGCAAGTGATAAACTTTTCTGACAAATAAAGAAGAACAGCTAAATTCATTATGAATTGGTTCTTACTAAAAAATAAATAAATAATACAATTAGACGCTTAGCCACTTTATATCCCAAAGAAATACTAGGTCATGAACATAGAAGCATATCCAACAAAGGAACCTTATTAAATAATCAATCAACTAAGTCTACATCAGCTCCATAGAAACTAAAAACAAGTACCAATCTCTGTCACTGCGCATCATAGAAGCCGAATTTTTCCGGCTTTGAAGGAGCGCAAATGGAGCGACGGAGCCATAAGCTATTCTCCGCCACTGAGCATCCGAAATTTCCCCGGCGTCCGCACTCCCAAGTCTCACTTCCAGCACCTCACCGCCGCTGCTCTGCTCCGAAACATCCTGTTCCGATTGCATCAATGAGATTCGGAGAGTGCTGCCTCGCGCCCAAGAGATAGACACGCGAGAGAATGGAGGAGTAACCCGTTGCACACGTAGGTGGTAAACTTTCGTATTCTTCTCCGCGTCCGATGAGTGGGGCACGACGGCGAGGGCGCCGGATTCCGACGTCAAGCCGGGCATATCGCCGGAATATTCTTCCAGGGTTTTGAAAGAGTTTAGAGCACAATGGACGAAATTCAAAAGTCAGAAAATACTGAAAATAAATAAATAAATAATTAGCAGAGGGAAAGGTTTTGAACCAAAGTCGGGATTCTGAAACGCGCTTTTGGACTTAACTCTAGTTATCTAATTATGTCTACTTGTGCGAGTGTAATAACTTCTTTCAGTTCCATTTCTTAGCTAATTCATTTCTTTTCTTTCTCTGTTAATTAATAAAGATTATATATCATTCTTAGCTGATTTATAAATATTGAATTTGAGACTGAACCTGAACATATATATAATCGCATTATTAAACATGCAAAAAAAAAAATGTATGCTACCCCAATTTTATTTTGGTGTTCTGCTAAAAAATATTAAAATAATAATTATTATTATTTTTAATTAATTTATAATATAACATTAAAAATAACATTACCACAAACCTCCCATACAGAGTTCACTTAATGTAACTTGACTGTCGAGCTTAGGGTATCAAATTTTTTAAAAATTCTGGTCAAATCTTTTTCGGAAAATAAAGCAATAAAATTTTAGATTAATTGTTTACCAAGAGCAAATTTATACAGCAATGAATGATTGTGGTGCATAAGTAGAGATGATCACATGTAAGAAACTATTTCATCTCATCATTTCCTAAATGATTAATAACTTCACAACTCATTAGTAATTATGTTTAATTAATAAAATTGCAATCAAAACGCAGAAAGTAGACATCAAATCATTATGGCAAATGTAAAACACAAGCACAACCAAACACATCCATATCCATATCCATATCAAATCAGATAATATATTGGTTCAAATTTTTACTATTCTCAAATCTCATCCAAATACAAATGTTAAATAAACATACTCAAAATAACCACCCTTAATGCTTAACCAACCACATTTTGGAGTTTTAAAAATATTCCTTTTGTTTAAAAAAAAAAAAATATCACAAAATATGCTAGTAATGTTTTCCAATTTCCAAAATTCTAAACCTCCAAAAACTCCCAAAGATAAACAGAGCCCTAGATTTTGGATGACAAGTTCACAATTCTCATTTCACAAATAATTATAACCAAAATCAAAACTAGAAACCAAATCAATATCAAGAGTTGGGAAAGAAACAAACAATGGCTTTTTTTGAGGATCTGAAAAAAAAAAAAAAAAAAAAAAAAAAAAAAAAAACCCTGATATCATCAAGAACTAAGAACTGAACCATTATCAACCCATGAGAAAGAGGGGAGACTGAGGCACCAAAGAGACAAAGTACCTTTGAGAGGATACATTTAGGTATTTCGACCGGACAGCATAGGGATGAAATGCCAGCCATGGTCGGACATCTGACTGCATATATTGACTCTCAATCCCTGTCAAGTGTAAAATGTCAAAAGGGCATAGACAACAAAATCCACAGCCAAGTGTAAAGTTTCAAACCGAGAACATTTCTTTGTTCTCCCGGCAGCATCATGCACAGCATAGAGACGTGGACATGACACTACAAGAAAATAGATATATGAAAACGAGACAATGAAAATCATTCAACAGTAGCAAATCGCTTGGCTTAGAACTTCTTAACAACGAAACTACGATGCTTTACTAAAAGGCCAATGATAACAGAACACAGTTTCATCAGATAAGCAGATTAACAAGTGCAGGTATACCAATGAAAGTGTTCGATTCCTAATGTCAGAATTCTAACCCCATAAATCAGGTAAATAAGTAGAAGCAGAAACCGAATGGATCAATCAGGGAACTTAATCAACAACATCCAGTCTTTTACTGAAGATCAGATTGTTATAATACAGTCACAGTCAAAATGCAGCCTGTGACCTCTGCCTTCGAGTAATCATTCTTCAACACTGTACAAAATCTAGAACAAGTATGATCACAGGATCTGAAGTTGCCAACACCACTGCAATCTAGGGAATAGGCGTCGCACATAATTAAATATGTTAGTGTGCATACATCAAGTTCCCGATCAGGACAATGAATCTGTCTGACCACAAATAAACAAGTGACCCCACATTATCCAATAGAGAAAAAGCAGGCATTTTCTCACAGCACAATGAAGAGCAGTTTCCCTCCTGACGGGAAAAACCTAGGCGCCTCAAGATACGGTCCTCCCATAACATACAGACGCAATGTAAAGATTCTTTGCCCATTTATCCTGCACGTAGAAATGACAAACAATTTAAGTACCGGAAGAAAGTATCCCATAAACACAATAGAGGATAGTGGTCAACCTTGACGTGGTTGCTTGGGAAAGCAGAGGTCCGAAGTGTCTCTTGTGTTTCATCTGCAGGCTTCCTCCGAGGGATGCTGAGAACTAAGGCTGATTGATCCCATGTTGCAGCAGTTGATGTAATACGGTAGCCAGCATCCCATCTCTTATGAATGCCTTCACTAGGATAAAGAAAGTCTAATTCCACAACCTGAGAAAGAAACCATGGTTCATCTGTTTATACAATTGGAGCACAGGAACAGTGCAATTAGAGGAATGTCATTGGGACAAACCTGATCGGAAAACCCAGCCCCACGAGACATAACAACAGCCCACCTAGATCCAGCTGTAGCCATGGCAGTAACATAGAATCCCTCTCTCCATTTTTTATTGATCCACTTAAATGGAAATGACTCGCTCACCTTATAGGACTGCTGCAGATACTGGGTGCCTGTATTTTGACAGGTAAATCCGTTAGCCAAACCCCATGTTGAATTAGATGATATTAAGAGAATTCATTGTGAGACTAACCCTTGGACATTACTACTAATGAGCTCCCATTACTAGCACCTGCTACGGCACTGATATAATAGTTCTTCTCCCACTGTTCCATGATCCAGTCCTGCAGTGAATACAAAACATACCATCAAACACCAATATACGTATAAATGTCCTAAAACAAGAAAACCAATGCCGAATACGCTGCAATGGATAAACACATAGATAGAAAGGGGGAGTAGTCCCAAAGAATGTAAAAAGACCTTGTGTAGGAAAAAAGGAGACAGTTCATAAACTTGTGCATTAAAGCCAGTCCCAGCATCCATTATTAGGGCCCACAAGTTTGAACAAGATGCCACACTGCTAATATACAGTCCATCAGTGTTTCCCTTCTCAATGTGCTGATCCAGTCTCACGTCCGCAACATTGTAGTGATATCTGCAACACCAAAATCTGCAATTGACTCCGGCATTCCCCCATAAAGTTTAGCAACTAATGAGTTAAACCATGATACCTTTGCTTCATTGGTTTACGAGCATTGTACACACTAATCCACTGTGTAGCTGGCATCCCCATGCGAATCTTTTTCTTTGGTTGCTCATCATCATTGTCATCTATCATAAGTCGCCCTCTCTTATGGCCAACTTGATATATTAGCTTCAGATACAAAAAAAATTCAAAAATACAGTTTAACAGAGAGGGAGAGAAAGACCAAAACTTGTGAGGATAACTGGAGGAAAAATTATGACAATACCTTCTGAGCACCTTCAGTATTGATGGGCCTGATGTCTGGATTCGGACCAACTATTCCATCAAATAGGGATATATATTTTGCATAGTTAGGCTCCTCATCAAACTTCAAGTTAACAACATATTCAACAAACTGCCTAAAGGGGGCAGGACAGAAGCAACAAAGTGTTTCCGGTGAAGTCGCCATTTTCTTTTTACACACAAGGAAGCCTTTATTCTCACCCTGGATAAAGAATACATTGTAAGCATCAGAAACGAAATATTAATGGCCGTGGAAAAATGCCGATTCCAGATCAGTAATCGCCAACCTGATACCCTTGCCAAGGAAGCCGGCCGCGAAGAAGAAAAACAAGTGTATAAGCAAGGGACTCTAAATCATCTCGACGGCTACCTGTTCTGCCAAGATGAGCATGCACACTGGCGTAACGCACAGTTCCTCTGTAGCAACCAAATTTATCATAATGACCATTAGATGGGAGAGAAGTAGGATGAAAACAAGTATAAAGGAAGCAGGAGTGCAGGAGTTACCGGAATACATCTGGTCGTTGATCATAATCAACATGAGCTCCAGTAGTAATATCACGCCACCTGGTAGCTGCATATTCAACAAAGTAAATATATACTGTGATTTCTATTTCCATCCATACGGATATAAAGTACTGGTAGATACCAACACTAGATGTATTACCCAATCCAAGATCAACAAGAAAAAGCCTTTTCTCATCAGGTGTTCCTGGTGGCCCAAGCAAAAAGTTCTCTGGCTTAACATCCCCATGGACATATCTGCAGGACTCATACAAATAAATAAATAAATTCAAGATACTAGAGAGGAGAAGAAACTGATACTTTGGGTCACTGTAATAACACAATCTGATAATCTAACAGGTCTAATCTTCGTAAGAATAAATAATAGCTATAGAATTTAACTAGAAGATGATCATGCTCTAATTACACATCATCAACTAGATGTTTTGATCTCTACTAGCCATCCACCCAACTAGTTAGTGCAATCAAATATAAGAAAATTTTCCTTTCCATATACAATTTTCTCCCAGCGGAAACAGTATACATTGAAAGCAAGGCAAAATTTATTAAAAATATACACTTAGAAGTTCAAATTTCCACAAGAAAGGGATAGGCTTCACTTAACAACTGAACCAGCCCTAAATGCACACTTATAACACATCTTCATTTCAATTAAATTGAGAGCCATAAGCAAGCTTGTGTTACTAATAACAAAATTTCACCAAAACTTATTAACTGTGGCTTACAAACATAAACACGGAAACATAGTTTTCATCAATAACATAATATTTATGTCCGAAACCAATAAATACAGGATATACAGATATAACTGACATGTTAATTAGCAGCATATAAATAGTTGAATTAAAATGAAGTTCTGCAATAATAGCATACTAGTTTTTGTTTCATCGAAAGTAGTACAAACACTTATCAAATACAAAATTTACAAATATGGTAGAAAGCGTGCACATTAATGATAATTTTTCAATGTTTGATTTTATATTTGTGCAATTTATAGGTTCTCCTACACAATTCACATTCCTGCAACTGCTCTTCAAACATTCACGCACATCTGGAAATCATAGATTCGAGAGATAGAAGTAAAGTACATCAAAGATTATTTCAAATTACCCTCTAGAGTGCAACTTTTCCAGAATAGATATTGCTTCAATGGCAATACACGCCACCATTTCTATTGACATTCTGCACTTTCAAGATTAAAGGTGTGAAAACAAACTAACTTTTATAGGAAACCAAAAGAAAAGAAACATAATAATGACGGGAAAACTGGGTACTAACGAGTGCGAATTGGTGTTCCACACATCCCACAGACTAGGACCAAGCATATCCATAACCTGCCACAATTTTCAAAGCAAATTAGTTAAATAGCAAACGTAAATATGACAAGAAGGATAAAGGGAAAACATTAAAATGCAAACAACTAGACACATACCATAATGTAGTAGTCACCTTGTCGCCCTTTGTAATGCACTCGAGGTATGCCATGGCTGCCGCCAAGTGCACTTGAGTGCGAAACAAATTGGTATTTAGTAACATTTAACAAATGAGGATGTATATATATAGAACACAATTACAAAACCGTCTTACCTATACACTTGCCATTCGTAAGGGGGGCCATAATTGCAGCCTTTGCTGTTCCGATGCTCAAATTTCAACGCAACCTAAACAAGATTAAATAGCATTACATATTGTCAAAACAATAGTGCTTGTAATGAATTGAGATAAGGGGCACAAGTATATACTTCCACTGCCCCTGGGCCAGTTCTTTCATGTGGAATGCTTGGATTGATTCGTCGACCTACATATACTTGTCCAAATCCCCCTTTCCCAAGCTTCTTATCAATTCGATAAGCAGGGGACCCACCAACCTGGACCTGTGTCGACAAATCAAACACCACTCAACACAACATCTAAGATGGATTGAACAACAAAGTATCATAGCATCCAAAATCACATTCTGCACTGCACTAAAACCTCGACAAATGTTATTGCGCCAGAAACATCCAGCCTCATACATCCCAAACCAATTGTCTGTTCAACTTTAAAACAGCATATGGAAAAAATAACACATACTGTATATTAAGAACCCTCCATTTCTCAAAGTATTCCGCAAACAACTTAATTCAAATCCCTTTTAGCATTATCCATTCTTCATATTTCTTTACACCTAAAAACATCCCTTCATATACCTATTTCCCAATTAAAATTTCACATCTAGACCAATTTTTGATTCGATACATGAAATCAGTGACCTATATTCCATTAAAATATAGAATCTAAAACCTATTTTCCATTAAATTTACTACTACCAAATCAACCCCAAGACAACCAGTTCAACTCAACATCATAAAATGCCCAAATCTAAAACTAAAAACAAATATAAGCACCCAAACTGACAAGAATCAAAAGCATCGCCATCTAAAGTTTCCTTAAAATCAGCTAATTATGAAGCATCACAAAATCATTGATATAACCAACCCTTTCCGGAAGAGGAGCAGTGCTCCCTTCATCCTCGGCTACCAAACCCTTATCACTTCCACGGCCACCACTTTCACACTCATCCATCTTCTTCTCCGCAACTTCCTCCTTCACCTCCTCTGCAACTCTAATATTTTCCTGACTCTTAACCGGCTCAGGCACTTTCACTGCGGCGTCATCATTCCCACCACCATCGGCATCTCGCGCCACAAAAACCTCCTCCTCCGCCTCCTTGTTATTACAGTTATCCTCAACCGTTCGTCTTCCCGCAGCAGCTCGTCTAGTCCCCCTTTTGCCTAGCGGTTCGCTTCTGGGAGCGGGTCGGCGGCCTCTCCGCACTCCGCTACGCAGTTGAGGCATTTCGATGGCCGTCCATCAACTCTGCCGGTGATGCAGATGACTTCCCTTCATCAAATCCTAGAAAACTGCGGCGGATGAAGAAATTGGAGTCGAAAATCGAAAAGAAACACTAAGCAGGCAACGGATTGCGCAATCGAACAAGCGGGATTGGGAAATTTTGGGGGGAAATTAGGGTTGCGAAATTGGGGAAGACAAAAGAAACGGAAAAGGACTGGAAAACAAGAAAATAAAAGAGAAGGGAACAAGGGCAGAGAAGATGTAGAGACCAAACTTTCAAAGCCACGCTCTCTCTCTCTCTCTCTCTCTCTCTGGGTTCTTCAGACAAAACACACATAATTAGTACTCAGGTTGCGAGGGGACGGACTCGCCGTAAGGCAAGGCTTCAAATTCAAATTCTGACATTTTAGTAAAAATTGTTACTTTGCAGATTATTAGGTTTCACATTCGATGTGCATTCTTCTAATAATAAATAAAAGGGTGTGTTTATTTACACTCTAAATTCAAAATTCTGCTATTTAAACTTTATAATATTTCCGTTGTGTTTCATTTATTTTTTGTTTTTTTATTTTTAAATATTAATTATTATATCAAAAATATTATATAAATTAAAAAAATATATCTTATAATGCCAATAAAAATATATTTTTACAAAAATATAATAATATTTTTAATATTAAGCACCAAAAAATAAATGTGATCATTATACGGACTATAAAGTATTTTTTAAAAAAATATACATATTATTTTTTTATAGAACATTTCATCATAAGTTATTTTATATCAAATTCAAACTAAAAAATTTCAAATCTCATAAACAAAACACACTCAAATTTTACTATTTAAATTTTAATTTTTTTTTTTTCCTAAATCATCCCATCAAATATTCCTTAGTTCCTATTGAAAGGGGTTTGATTTTTGGGGTATGTATCATTACTTTAATAAACTATTTTTTTATTTTTCATTTTTTTTATTAGATAAAGTATTAATTTCACTGCGTACCAATGTAATATTAATATATATATAATTCAATGGGGGTGGGGAGTATTATTTTATTAATTAATAAAATTGTGTAATAAATTTTGATTTTTTGCTATTTGATAATATAAAATAATTGAATATATAATAATATATTTATAATTTAAGTAAAATTAAATAATATTTTAATATTAATATATAATTATTTTTTAAAAAATAAAAAGTAAATATTTTTAAATATTAAAAAAGTATTCTTAAACATAATGAATGTAAACTATAAAACTAATCATAAGTGTATCATTATTCAGTCCGGTGTGTATTGCTGAAACGGTGGAATCTTCCTTTGACATTTGAGGTTAGAAATTCAATTTCTATCGGGTGCATGAAAGTGTGGATAAAATAATAAAGTGATATATATTTCAAAATTTATAGTGAAATTTTAAAATAAAATTAATTTACAATTTCAAAAAAATTATATATATATATATAGAAATATTTTAACTAAAAATCTATAATTATCCAATAAAGATATAAATTATTGATGTTGTTTTAAAAATTTATAGTTAAATATTATAATTTTTTTAAAAAATATTTATATTTTTATATTTTAAATTATAATTATGGATTATTATAATTTTTTTATTTTAAAATTATATAATTGAAATTATTAATATATATATTAATTTATTTTATTTTTAGTAATTTATAATATTTTTTTATATATATTTTAAATAATTACAAACAAAATTATGAATATGAGCATGAACCTGATGGTATTCGGAAAACATAATGACAGTAAATAGGAGTATGAACACCAATGTTCATAATAGGATAACAAAGTTCATTCCCTATGGATTAAAATTAATTAATTTTAAAATTAAAATTAAAAAAGCAAAAAATTCAATGAGAATATTCAATGGGTCCAAAAATATATACAGTATATTTTTTCTTTTAAATTTTATTATTTCAATGCTATCTTTTTTATTTCAGTCAGCTGATTAATAATTATTAGCTGAACTCTTTTTAGTGTAAAAAATTATAGGATTTTTAATGCTAGTTATTGAAAGTGTAGAATTACAATTAGCTGAATGATTTTTATTATTATTTAAATATTTTATAAAACAAAATAATATATATATATTTTTATTGAGAATTAAATAAGAATTTATTTTAACTTTATTAGATAATAAATTTTATTTATTTAAAAAAATATTATATCGAATAATTTTTTTACATTCATAAAATATCAAATCAAATATTATATATTTTTATTTTATTTTTAAATTTTGAAGGTCTTCAAAAACATCTGTTGAACAGAGCCCAAACACATCAATGGATCTCTCGTAAGCTGGCCCAATTTAACCACCCGTTACTAGTAATATTATTTGTTTATTAAAATAATAAGAAAGAAAAAGAACACGCCATTAATTTGAAAGAATGGGAAAGGATACATGTATATATATATATATATATATGTATGTGAATGTTGTGGAAAGTAGAAGTGTTGCCTGGCGCAACCACACTGCATTTTTCCCGCAATTCTGCTGCTTCGGCGGTTCTGCCCTTGTGATTTCGGTGATCTGCGTCTCCTCATAAACCCAAATTATCCCCCAAATGGACGACGACGGAATTCCGGAGAACGAAAGGTTGCAGATCGAGCAGATTATGGAGCTGGAATCGGAGGAATTACAGGTTGAAGAAGTGGACGATGAGGGTTTGTCTGAGGATGATCAGTAGGTCTTCGATTAACCGTTCTATAATTATGTTTGGCTATTGGGGGAATTCGCCTTCGTGTTTGAATTATTTATATATATATATATATTTTCACGCCGTGATTCATGTATCGTTGCTATTAGTTCGAGTTTGGAGAGTCTGGGTCGATTGTTGTTCGCTGAGGCGTGAGTGATCGTATTGAGTTTTTAGGGTTTCCGGAGGGGAGAAGCATTTTATACACTAATTTAATTAATTTATTTATTTTTTAAATTCCATATAGTTAAATAATAAGCAAGTGAAATTATTAACGGTTGATTATTTTTACTGGAATGCTACATCGAGCAACTTGAGATTTAGTGAACTCCTGGTTGATATGGTATTATTCTTATGATTTTTGAGAAAAGGACAGAGATATTTATTTAAATGCATTGTGTTAGTGATGATGCTTTTGAGGAAAATAGATGTGTTATGCAGCAGTACATAAAGGACAATGGATAGATTAAATGATGTGTTTACAGCTAATTTTACTTGTATTACTCAATAATTATTAACGAAATTTGTATTGTCTATGTTGGCTGTTGTAGTCATCAAGCTTTCATGCAAACTTCTCTGTCTGGTGACTATACATACAACACATCCTTAGTTGCCTTGCATTCATATCTTGGTGGTAAGAAGCTTAATGCTAAATTTTATTTTCTCCCACCCTTTTCGATATTAGAGAGTTTTATTTGAAAGAATTCAGCTTATAAATAACTTCTGTTGTACCAGCTGTTGAAGACACACATAATAGGGTGGCATTTTTGGATGGTGGCGCTGTGCTAACCCTTCCCCTGTTTTACTTGGAAGGTACTTGGCTTAATCTTGAGGCAAAGTACCATTGATATGTTTCGATTATTTGGTCGGCCAGCTTCTCATACTTGTCAGTTTCAATTATTTATTTTCAGTACTTTCTTATTAATGAATTCCGTTAATAAGATGTACATCTTAAATGGCATGGTAGCTGTTGATTTTATGAGTTTCTTGGGATTAAACATCTGTAGAGTCTTTTTAGAATCTTTTTTACTCTCACACGCACCCACCCGGTATCGAACCGGGACCTAGCCTCTAAGGAGAAGATGTCTTACCACTTGATTTACAAAGGCCTGACAGTCTTTTGGGATGTTATGACACTGCAGATGTTGGTTTTATGAAACATAAACCAACAGCTACCAGGTCATCCCAAAAAGACTCTACAGTTGTACTTCTTTTGGTCTTATTTTCTGTAGTTTCACAAGATTTATTCTCATGTTATGAAACATCTGTAGAGTCTTTTTGGGATGATCAGAATCTTGAGGAAATACACGGGTTACCATGTTGTATGAACTATTATTTTGCAACTATTGGTCTAAGAGTGAAAATGTAGTATGTATTGTGATATATTGGCATTTATTGTCTCCATGTACTCACTCTGTTGAGCATGCCTTGTGATAGGTGCACCTGATAATTGTGGTCCCTTTATCTTTGTTTTTTATTTTTTTTTTATTGTTATATTTCTGCAGGAGTTGTTTTATTCCCGGAGGCGACACTTCCTCTTAGAGTGATTTTCCCAAATTTGATAGCTGGTATTGATAAAGCGATGAGCCAAGTCAATGCTCCTCACACAATTGGAGTGGTATACATAGTCTACTTCTTGCTATGATTACTTGGTTCTCTTTTTGTTTGTACTTTATTTATCACTCCTGTTCATGTTCACTATGCCTTTCAGGTGCGTGTTTACAGAGATGTTAACACCGGAAGAACAAAGTTTTCAACAACTGGCACCACTGCTGAGGTGAGAGACCTCCTCTCTTTAGTAATTCTCTCTGTAACTGTTATTCTAGTTGTGGCTCAAAGTTTCAGGCACTTCAATTTTATTGACATTCACACAAAATCACTGTTGATAGGCAGTTGTGTTCTTATTTTTTATTTCAAGTAATACAATGAAGTAAAATGTTATACAATAGAGGAATTAAGCAAAATACTGGAATTTCTTCTTGTGCTTCAATGATCCAAATTCTCTCAATCCTCAACTCATAAACATTAACTATAGACAGCTACTTGTGGAGAGAGTGTAGCTCAAACGGTTGACCTCCTCTACATGCTTGAGGTTGGGGGTTCAAACCCGTGAGTGGGTGTGTGAGGAAAAAAAAACACTATAGGTAGTTACTTATAGCGAAACTAATTAACCTAACAGGCATTTGTTCTACTAGCATTAATATCTCTTAGTCTAATGGGTTTAGCTGTGATACTCTTCTTCCTAAGGATTCACCCTCGTAAAATCAGCCTTGACCTCAAGATGGGGTTGGTTGTGGTCAGGAGCAGCTAGAAGGGGTTGTCCAGAAGCTGCAGTGCAGATAGTTACTGCAGTAGCAACAATGCAAGAAGTTGGCCATTTGGCTCTCATTTGGGTGAGAAGAATAAGGTCAATGTTCCATTTCAGGCTGGAAGCAAGGGTTTCGACAGTTCGGAGATTTTTTTTTTTAATTACAAAGAAATTAAATAAAACGAGAAACATACTAAATTTTCTTAATGTCCTATGAAGAGATTCTGCCCCAAGCTATAAGGGCCATTCCAAAAACTCTCATAACCCCTAACTATAAACCCTAGGCACCAATTTTTACCAAAACTAATCAACTAACAGTGCCTAATGAGCTTAGCTCAATACTTTTCTCCCTAACTAACAACTGTCGTGTTAAATTATGTTAGGGAATGGAAGTTGCTGTGACCTCCATTGCATTACCCTCTTTTAGCTATTTACTGTAACTGTTCCATTGCAGATTGAAAGTTTTCTATTTATTGATTTGCTTTCATGGATAATGTACAAAATATAAATGTAGTTCTAGTTTGGGCTTGTGTGTATATTGTATGAATCATATTTAGTTGGATGTAAATGGCAGATTCGGCAATACAGGAGGCTCGAAGATGGTTCAGTAAATATTGTTGCCCGTGGACAGCAGCGATTTATCCTGAAACGTCGATGGATTGATGCAGGAGGATCAGTACGCTCTATAGAAAATCATGTCAAAATATCGATGTTTCTCTTCTTGTCATTAACACCCTAACTTTTTTTGTGCTTCTCTCAAACAGCTATGTGGACAAGTTCATATCATTGAGGAAGATACTCCATTAAGAACACCACGGGAAGCTGTTGGTAGGCTAGCACCATTGAGAAACTCATTGGCTAAGAATATCTCAAGAAAGACACCTTTAGATGGTTCTCAGCATACTGGTCGTGACAGTTATGAAGGCATTGATTCTGACACAATGTCAGAAGGAAGTTTTGAAGGTGAACTTTCATCAACAGAAAGAAGACTGCACCGATATGCTCTTGTCTCTAGTCATGGCTCTGATATATATGATGAAACTTCAAGTAGTGATGATGAGAAATTTGAACACCATTTAGAGTTACAAGCTGGACCATCTCCGCTAGACAATTACACTAGGTCAGTGCATTCAGAATATAGCAAACAGAATGCAGATGACTGTAAAGTTGGGAAGAGACCTTTATCAAATGTTCAACTTTGTAATAAGTACACGTTGAACCAGCTACGTGATGCTCAAACAGCCTTCTGGCCTAGTTGGGTCTACAACATGTACGATGCTTATTCACTTGCTAGGAGGTTAGCAGGTAATTGGATCTATTTATTTATTTGCATTTTTCCTTGTGCTAGTCAGTTTGTTGATTGTTGGTAGTAATGCTCAAGTTGTAAGTTTGGAATATTGCTTTGTGCACACCTGTGCCTCATATATAGAAGTAGTGAGTTTCATTGGAAGTAATATCTGTTCTCTTATCAAAATCTTAATTTCCATGTTAATCCGCAGGAAAAAGTTATTTGAAATGGCCAAATGGTTAAAATGAAGCTATGAAAACACCAAATCTTGGCTTAACAAGTGTTTATTGATTGTGATGCTGCAGATCGGTGGAAACAGATTGTTAAAACACCAAGTATGGATGGCTTTGTCATGAAGCCACATCTTCTTTCCTTCCACATTGCAAGTAAAATTCCAATATCTGAATCAGCCCGGCAGGCACTCTTGGAGATTGATGGCACATCTTATAGACTGCGGAAGGAGATTGAACTGCTTGAAAGCTTTGATAAAATAAAATGTAAAACTTGCCAGGTAATGTGGGTTGCTAACCTGATGTTCCTTACAATGCATCAGAACCTATCAGGATCTATTCTTCGGAAATGCTAGATTTGAAGACTTGTTGTGTCTGGAACATAGTTATTTAGGCGTAAGAATTACCTTGATTTAGGATTAAGCTGGATTCAAAATTTTCCCAAAACCTACTTTATCTTTTTCGCCTGACCTATGCATTCGTTTATGCTCAGACCTCGGACAGGTTCCTTAATGTTTTAGTTTCATGCAACCTTGAGATCCTATTTTGTGATTGCTATAATACCACCCATCATAGCGTGTTGAAGCTAAAGGGAGCATAAAGGACAATAAATAATTTTTCCTTTTGAACTCCTGCGACTTGTACCTATCTGAACAGACAAACATAAATGGTGTTATGTGTCAGATGTTTTTACTTTTCTTTTTTATTTTTTTTCTGCCAATTTAATCTTAGGCCTTTATAGGGATTAGTTATAACACTATGTACCTGACACGCTTCTCTTACAGAATCTCATTGCGAAGAGAAGTGACATGTTGGTCATGTCTAGTGATGGCCCAGTCGGTGCATATGCAAATCCACATGGTTTTGTGCATGAGGTGTTGACACTGATGAGAACAAATGGAATAGCAGTGACTGGGCATCCAGTGAAGGAATATAGTTGGTTTCCCGGGTAACATTTCTTCTTTCGCACTTGAAATTTTGCTTCATTCCAAACATGCATGATGTGGGATTCCAAATATTTGTCTTTGCCTTCTAGACATTTGTTTTGCTTTGTTTGTTTCATTTTTTTGTAAATTAAATTATGAACTTGTGCTAATTAAGAAGATGGTTTCGTGTAGATCTAGTTAATTTGATGTATGAAACTTAAAGGATTTTTTTTGTGTGTGTGTTTGAGTTTTGGTATTTTTGAGTTTTTAATGAAAATTGGTTGTTGTATGTGATGTATTGGGAGATCGAATAATAGAAAAATTGAAACAAATTGTAAAGTGAACACTTAATTGTGCTATTTTTCTCAGAATACAAATTCAATAATCAGTATAAGATCTTCCACAGTATTCAACTCAATCTTGTTAGGTTCACGAGGAATAGAAGTTCATTTGAAGCCATAGTTCTTGGCAATTGATGCCATGTTTGCTCTATACACATTGCTTGAAATAATTTATTAACTGCATCTATCTCGCTGCAGTTATGCATGGTCAATCGCCGAATGCATCACGTGTGGCGAGCATTTGGGTTGGTACTTTTCGGCCATAACGAGGAGTATGCGGCCCCGGGGCTTCTGGGGCATAAGGAGTTCCCAAGTTGCGGATGGGGTACAATGAACACAAACACACTATACTCAGCAGCTTCAGGTATGTCTATATATATGTCGTAAAAAGTTTGATAGGAGAGGGTACTTGAAGGTTTTATGATGTCTTAATCTCTATGCCTCTGATTTGCTCATATCTCGTGCAAAGCAAATCAAATCAAAACTTCAGATATTGTGAAGCTAGATGTTATATGCGATTTCTGCAATTTTATTACTTAGTAAATTCAAATGTTTATTTGATGCTCATTTTGCTTAGTAGATTTGAAGCAATTTTATCTGATGCCTATTTTGCCGACTGTTTTGTGAAGCTAGATGTACATATTTCACATGTGATTAGTGCAATTTTATCTGATACCTATTTTGCTGAGTAAATTTGAATGTTTTGGGAAGCTGGATGTACATATTACACATGCGATTCCTGCAATTTTATTTTATGCCTATTTTGCCCAGTAAATTCTGAATGTTTTGTGAAGGTAGAACGAATATAATTTATTCTATTCAAAAGGTTATTAATTATTTACTTATATCTCATCAAATTTGAATAATATATTCATTCCATCATCCATAATGTTCATTTGAATTGTATTTTTAGAGATAAATTATTGATATTTTTTATTTTTTTATAATTTTGAGTAATAATTAATTAATGAAATTTTTAATTATTTGTTTTAAGGTAATGGATTCTTATAAAATTAATAAATATATAATAATTGTATTTTTTTTTATTAAAAATAATATGTATTATTATGATAAAAATCGAAAAAACAAAACATGACTTTTAACATGCTATTAGAAAGACGGCCTTTTTGTTAAGCACGCAAATTACATTTAATCTCTTTAATTATATTATTATTATTATTATTATTAAGGTTATAAAAACGCAGGCGTGGAAGTTTCCTGCGAATTGGCATTTGCTGCCACGTCACTCGTGGAGATGATCCTTTTTGCCCGAGTGAGTCAACCGCCAGCAATACTGACTAATTCAAAACTGACAAATATGTCCCATCCATTCATGAGGTGAGTGAGTAAATAAGCACACATTTTAAATAAAATATAATTAATAAGTAATTAAAATATATATTAATAAAATAATTACTTTCTTCGTCTTAATTTAAAAATATATTTTTTTTATCATTTTTGTCCGTTTTATTTTAAAATGTTACTTTTTTATTTTATAAAAAATAATAAATAAAAATACTAAAATATCATTCACTTTTACTTAAATTACAATAATTACAAGACAAAAATGTCATAATCTCAAGGGTTTCGTTGATAAATAACGGAAGAAGTATTATAAAATAAAATTAATTATAAATTAAAATTAAAATAATTAAATAATTTAATTAAAATTTTTAAAAAAATATAAATTATGAAATTTAATATAAGATTTAAATATATAATTAGAAAACTATATTTTAAAAAATAAAATAACAAATTAGATAGAAAATACAAAATAAAAAGTATAAATAATTTATGTGGGAAGAACGAAGGAAGAATTTTAGTGCGTGTTTCGTTGCCTTTTGAGACCAACTTAACACTATAGTCTAAAAAAAAAAAAAAAAAAAAAAAAAAAAACTTAACACTATAGTCTCAATTTTATTTTATTTTATTTTTTTTGTCATATGAGATCCATTTATAGATAAAATAAGTCACATTGGACTAAACAAAAGGTGAATGTAATGCCCAGATATTTTAAATTATGTTTAATAAATAAATAAACAAAAAGTAATTTTTTTTTATTTTTTTGTGAAATACTACTTTATTTTAAATGCAGGTACTAAATGTAATTAATTTTGGGAGGATTATTATTTTTCCATAATACGAAAAAGATGGGTGGGTTGAGCTAATCCGACGATATCACATGCTGAATATTAAGAAATTAATTATTTTAATTTTTATAATTAAATTGTATTACTAATATAATTGGAATAATTGCTGATTATTTATTTATTTTTTTCAGGATGTGATCCTAACCGATATATAATTACTACTTATTAATTTTGTTTAATGTATGCATAGTTATAATTAAGCATTCTATTGTCTTAAATTTATAGATTGAGCTTTAATAATAATAATAATAAGTTATATGATAAACTCAGTTTACTATTTATTAATTAGTTGACTCTATTTGGTAAACTTTTGCTTTACATAATAATTCACAACGTGGTCATTCAAAAATATAAACAAGATCATCACGTGCATTACACATATATGTTGATTTTGTGATATGAATTTATTTATTATTATTATTATTATTATTATCACGTGTTTTACACATATCTATCAACTTTAAATTTTTACCATTTCCAATATACATGGTAATTAATCTGTTTTATATTGGTGGATTAATTTATTTATAGAATTTAGAAGTCCGATTAAATTCCATGAATGTCACACAAAAATTGCAGGCGGCTGCTCTGCTGCCTTCTAGAAAACAATAAAGAAATTTAACAAACTTCACTTTAGTTTTGGTACATCGTCCAAATACGTAAATTTTATTTCATATTGTCACATCGGCTAATTTTTTTATTCACACACAATTAATTATTGCCACTCACTCTAGCCATTGGAATAATTAGTTTAATTTAATTTAATCTATTGAAAATAATATAAAGCACATAAATATTCAAACTCCTAAATTTGACCACCGTTAGGTAACCACTCATTAGTCACAAGTACCGCCTCCTTCTCAGCTCCCTCCAAATTCCGCCGCCGGCCGCCGGCAAAATGACGAAACTACCCCTGGCTCCGCCGCTTCTCCTCCTCCACCTCTTCCTCTTCTCCTCACCTCTACTCGTCATTTCACAATTCTCCACCGGCGAACGGCAAACTCTGTTGAGACTCAAGAAGGCGTGGGGCGATCCTCCAACCCTACGATATTGGAACGCCTCCTCGTCGCCTTGCGATTGGCCGGAGATTCGCTGCGCCGGCGATGGCTCCGTCACCGGAGTGATTCTCAGGGATTACGGAATCGACGCCAGCATCCCCGACTTCATCGCTGATCTCCACAATTTAACCGTCCTCGACCTCTTCCTCAACCTCATCCCCGGGGATTTTCCGTCGGCGGTTTTGAACTGCTCCAAGCTTCAGATGCTCGACCTGTCGCAGAACTTGTTCGTAGGAAATATTCCGGAGGATATCGATCGGCTTGGAGAGCTTCAATACCTCGACCTCAGTTCGAACAACTTCACCGGAGATATACCTCCAACGATCGGAAATTTATCGCAGCTACGAACTCTGTCTCTCCACAGTAACATGTTCAACGGAAGCTATCCTAAGGAGATTTCGAATCTGGCGAACCTCGAAATTCTGCTTATGGCATACAACGGCTTCTCGCCGGCGATTATACCGCCGGAGTTTGGAAAATTGAAGAACATCAAGTATCTATGGATTAAGCAAGCTAACGTCTACGGCGCACTACCTGATATCTTCTCAAATTTCTCGAGTCTCGAGCATCTGGACTTATCGTTGAATCAAATTGAAGGAGAAATTCCGAGCAATCTGTTCCTGCTGAAGAATTTGAGTAAGGTTTACTTGTTTAACAATCAGTTTTCTGGTCCCATTCCTCAGGAGATTCAATCATTCAAAATTGTTGAAATCGATCTTTCCAAAAACAACTTAACTGGTAGAATACCTGAGGATTTTGGGAAGTTGAACAATCTGGAGGTGCTCAGTCTGTTCGCAAATCGATTGAATGGAGAAATTCCTCCATCAATCGGATTAATCCCAAGCCTGAGGAATCTGAGGATCTTCATGAATAACTTGAGTGGAACATTGCCTCCTGAAATGGGGAATCACTCAAGGCTAGAAGCCTTCGAAGTTTCCGACAACCAATTCACCGGAACCTTGCCGGAGAATTTGTGCGCCGGTAAGGCTCTGTTTGGTGTGATAGCTTTTAACAACAATTTAACCGGTGGAATTCCAAAATCCCTTGGAGATTGCCAAACGCTTTTCTCGTTGCAGCTCTACAGAAATGAGTTATCCGGCGAGATACCACCGGGCATTTGGTCTGTTCCGAACATAACTAGTTTGATGCTTAGCAACAACTCCTTCTCCGGCGTGCTCCCGAGCAGAGTTGCTTGGAATTTGACTCGTGTAGAGATCAGTAACAATGAGTTTAGAGGTGAAATTCCTCAAGGGATATCGACTTGGTCGAAATTGGTCGTGTTTAAGGCAAGCGAAAACATATTTTCGGGTCGAATTCCAGAAGGTTTAACCAGCCTTCAAGAGCTTACAACTTTAGCTCTTGATGGGAATTCTCTATCTGGTGAACTTCCCTCTGAAATAATCTCATGGAAATCTCTTAACAGTTTGAATCTTGCTAGGAATGAGCTGTCCGGTCCGATTCCAGTATCCTTCGCCTCGTTGCCGGACCTTACGGATCTCGACTTATCGCAGAACCAGCTCTCCGGGAAGATTCCTTCTCAGTTAGGCCATCTGAGGCTCACTGCTCTAAACCTTTCGACAAACAAGCTCTCGGGAAGAATCCCGGATGCATTCGACAACATGGCTTTCGAAAACAGCTTCTTGAATAACTCGAATCTCTGTGCCGCGAACCTATATTCTGTTCTTCACAGTTGTGATTTAAGCTCAAGGGGAAGTAAGAGGATGTCGCCGGGGATTCTTGCTCTGATCATAATCCTTGCAGTGGCTCTTCTTGCAGTCGTGATTTTTATGGCGCAGTGTATGGTCAGAGACTACCGAAGGAAGAAACTCGACTGCGATCTTGCGACGTGGAAGCTGACCTCATTCCAGAGATTGGATTTCACTGAGGCGAACATACTGTCGAGCTTAGTCGAGGGTAACATGATAGGCAGCGGCGGATCGGGTAAGGTGTATAAGATCCCGGTTGACCGGGGAGGACAATATGTTGCAGTGAAGAGGATTAGTACCGGTGAGAAGCAAATGGATTGCATGCTCGAGAAAGCCTTTCTTGCGGAGATTCAGACGCTCGGCTCGGTTCGCCACTCGAACATTGTGAAGCTGTTGTGCTGCATCTCTAGCGGGGATTCGAAGCTGCTCGTGTACGAATACATGGAGAATCTGAGTCTTGACATATGGCTTCATGGGAAGAGGAGGAAGGGGTTGTTGTACGGTGGCGATTTGGTCGGGGAGGTTGTGCTGGATTGGGCGGTGAGGTTGAGGATTGCGATCGGGGCTGCGCAGGGGCTTTGCTACATGCACCACGACTGCGCGCCGGCAATTGTCCACCGGGACGTGAAGTCGAGCAACATATTGTTGGACTGCGATTTCAAGGCGAAGATTGCGGATTTTGGACTAGCCAAGAGTTTGGTGAAGAAGGGGGAGAACACCATGTCCGCCATTGCTGGCTCCTTCGGCTACATTGCACCAGGTAACATAATAAGCTTTTGGTTGGTTTTGCCATGTTCTACTAATTTATTTGAATTACACACCTCAACTTGGGAACGCATCTATAATATCGTATGGAGATTAAATTCTGACCACCTTGCTATATAAATCCTTTAAAGAGTCTACAAAAGATACTTCTTTTGAAATTGCTTAGTTGTTTATTATGGATATATGTGTGAATATGAATATATATATATAAAGAGAGAAGGGGGGGTTATATCGATATAATTTGACCTATTTTTATCTAGGAAAAACCCACAAAATTTGATGTTAGCATGTAACGAGAAACTTCATTGTGTAAGGTAGGAGGGGTTTAGTTACCCTACCTCTAGTGTACTGTGTCCCTCTTATACCGACCAATCACTATCCGCCATATGTATTTAAATTTTTTATTTTATTAATTTATTTTGTTTTAAAATACACATGACAAGATGATGATAATTTATTTTATTAATTTATTTTGTTTTATTAAAATACATTGGAGTAGAGTAACTGAACCAGATAAGAGTGACGTATTGTAAACAATTGTCGAGTTAAGTGTGGTAGGATGACCGGTGACCATGAGATCACTATTATTTCAAATTTTGTCGATATCTTCTTGATCGAGTCTGTTATATAAAACTTGCCTTTTATAACTTGTCTAACTATTTAGCGAATACCATACTAGATAAAAAAATTTCAATACGAACTAAAACCATATAATAGCCAAATGATTCTCATATTTCTAATTTTATGTAGTGCTAATATCAATTATAATATATTGAATATATAATTATTATACGTCAGTTCATATATTGTATTTATATATTAAGTGCGCTGTCAACACAATACGGCCGCAGCCTATAATTATCTGCAAGAAACCATATTTACTTTAGATGATTATATATATATATATATATATGATTCTTATTTAGGTTATGCTCTTTTATGCACTGAATTATGCAAACCTTTAGCCAACCATGTAAAGCTAAAACTAATCCATGCAACATTATTACAGAGTACGCCTATACAAACAAAGTGAACGAGAAAGTCGACGTGTACAGCTTCGGGGTTGTGCTATTAGAGCTAGTGACGGGGAAAGAACCCCATTACGGCGACGAACACTCAAGCCTTGCCGAGTGGACATGGAAGCACTACGGACAGGAAAAGCCAATGGTGGAAGCACTCGACGAGGATATCAAAGAACCACAATATATAGAAGAAATGCTTACGGTCCTAAAACTAGGGATGATGTGCACGAGCCCGCTTCCTACAAGCCGGCCCACAATGAAAGAGGCTCTGCAGGTCCTTCAGAGGTGCAGATCCCTTGAAGGAGACGAGCAGAAGGTCGGGAAAGTGGGCGATGTCTCGCCACTCCTCGGTACAGATAAGTATATTTCGAGCTATAGGTGTAGTTCTAAGAAGATGATGGAATGTAGTGAGAGTAGTTTGGTTAGTCTGGTGTAATACTAGTAGAGCATATAGACATAGTTGCTACAGGGTGGGCTAAAGGGGACTTCATATATATATATATATATATATAACATTTATAGATACTGCCTATTTATATCTTAGTGTGTTTTTGCTATAAGCTAGGCACAATAAAACATCCTTTCTTTCTTTAGACTTTTACTAGCTGCACTTGATCTTGCACTATTTGTCGAAAACTAACACTGCACACGATTAAATCAAACATCTATTTTTCCATTCTAAATGTCACAACAATCACCTATTTAAATTTCATCAGACACTATTCTAATCACTATTAGTCAAAAAATTTCACTTGGATTAAATTAAACATCTATTTTTCATTCAAAATATCACAACAATCACCCATTTAAATCTAATCGAACACTATTCTAATTCAAATATTTACTATTCCCGAACCCCAAATCTAAATCCAAATCCAAAACATAGAGGAACACACAATTTTGGTAGTGTCTATCCAACATTTAAATCACCACATTACACATCTAAAATTTAGATGCAGCCATAAGTGTATTGAAAAAAAAATAAAAAATGCAGCTTTTAAACTAAGTAGAGCAAAATTAAAAAGAACAGAGCATGGGGCAAGCCTTAACAGCAACGCTCTGCCAAGAGCCAAACGAGAGTTCACATATTCGACATGTCCAAACATTAAAAAAAATAAAAAAAAAGAAGCCATGCTGCTTTACTTGCATCGAAAAATATATAGCAAGAACATCATCTCACGGTGTCTTTTAGCATATGCACACATAGAAAAGAAACAATAAAGAAGAGAAGGGGATTTACCAAAATTGACCACTTCAAATGAGAAGAGAATTGTGGAACGAAAGACCCAAGACCGCACCAGAATGCACAAGGAGTTCAATCTGCCTACAAAATATTCGGAAGCTGGGAGTCCAATCTTTGTTGCAACTCCTTTACTTTTACTGAAAGCTCAGACTTCTGCTCCTTGTAGCTCTGCAGCAGGTAATCTTTTCCTTGAATCAGTTCTTTCAACTCGCTAACTTCTCTTTTCAACTGCTCGATCTTTTCTCCTCTCGCTTTTTCGGAAGGTTCGAACCTTTCAAGTTCTGGGTATCCATTTGCATGACCATTCATCCCCTCAGCAGACCAGACAGGAACTGTTGGAAGCTTCTCACTTGAGTTAATATGCCCCACGCAATGATCTGCAATTGCCTTTCTTAATCTCTGAATTTCTCGCTCTGAATCAAACAAATCCCGGTTTGTTGCGTCAAGTAGAGATTGAAGATGGGTGGAGTGAGAAAGCTGGTTGCTGAGAGAGTTTTGGAGTTCGGCAATTTGATCTTGCATTTCCAGGATCATGTCATCCCTTCTCTTCAATTGCTGCCTCAACTTTTGTATGAATTCTCTCTTGCTGAAAATGTCAGAGCCTGATTCCGAAACACATGGAGAGTCGGAGCTGTTTGACTGGTGAAAGGGTTTTTGTGGCAGCTCGAGGCGATCAGGAGAAGATGACCACATCACACCATTCTCTTTTTTGAAGTCGGGATTGGGAACAGTCACCAGGGGAAGAACCATTTCAGGTTCCGATGCCATTTGTCCGTTGCAGTGCTGTTTGATTTCTACAACATTCCTGGATCCTGTTCGGTGGGCATAATAGCAGAAAACATATAATAATAAAAAACGAAAAAAATATCAGTTCAATTTCTTACAGGGCAAAATATTGCAGTCAGTGTGTAAAACAATTCATCAGGTAATAAACAAACCTGTATAATGACTACGGAAACCATCTTCATTTTGGGTAAAGCAAAAGCCATCTGAATGCAAATGGCAGTTCCCCGACTTCTTCTGATCAGCAGATTTTTTATTTACTGCAATTACAAGCAGCAAATTTCAAATAGTATATAGAAAATTCCAGATTACACGACATCAACAGGCATTGCACACCTCTTAGACTTTGACTGCTGTTGTCCTGTTGTTTAGAATCAAACACCTGCTTAAGTTTATAACCCAGGCGAAATGACAGTGTACTCAACAGAGCACCCCCTGCAATGAGGATCCAGTTTGGACCCTCCGCCTGAAGATTTCTGGACCTCTTAGGTGCCTCGTTGGTTCGTGGTTGCATTTTGAAAACTGTTGAATTCTTGGACCAAAATATGCTATTGCATGCAAGCGGTGCCTGTGTTTGAAAATATTCACCTAGTATGTAACATGAAAAAGATTTATACAGTTATTCAGAAAATGAAATTACTCATAGATAGAGCACTTTGGTCTTTTGCCGAGCACACCTTCCTTTTACCGACAAAAAATAACTAATTGATATATGCAAACTTTTATACATACTCAATCTTTGATCAGAAAATTGCTATAATATGTATTTTGATTCAAAGGGGTAATTAACCTCAGTTTGTTTAACATTAAAAATTAATAGCCTGTTCAAATTGCAGCCACATAACCAAATTGAACCATAAATCCAAATTCATATTGCTTCAGCCATGAAAAACCAGTATTGTCATACCATCAAGAAACAATTATCAAAACATATAGTTTCAAGCAATATTATACTATAACATCAAATTAAAGAATACATTTATCCATAAGAAGACATGGTGCGGGGGTACCAAAAACAAAATGATAGAAGAAAATCTGCCCGGACATGATTTTTTTCTCCTTCAAAAGAGCTTCAATGAATGAAATCACAGTTGGTACACAAGGAATTTGTATTGACACCTTAATTTTCCTTTCCTTCCCATACAAAATCATCCTTAAGGAACAGACAAAAAAAAAATGCAATAGACTACAATTACTACACAAAACATAATAAAACAAGAAAGCATAATGTAGTCCCGGAAACACATCCTTGATCTTTTTAGATAGATATGTTTATTTCTTAGAGATTCAAGACATAGTATCAGAACATTCAGCCGTTTATAAATATTTCTTACACATTTTCTGACATATCTATTTCAATAGCATTTCAGTGAATTTTTCACCGAAATAACTAGAAATCCAAATTGCCGAACAAGATCCTGGATGAAAACATTTCCAAACTTCTACTCCAAATTAAGAAGGAAATGCGCCTAAATCGTATCTCCTAACTCCGTTTTATCTACATAGCTTCAAAGTATATGATCTTCAATCCTGTCCTTACCAAATAGCACGCATATCCACAGTTCATTCACGCAAACAATCACCTCCGATTGAGGTCTGTAATGCGAAAACCTAATTCGATCATATTTCTATATATATATTGAAAATGATAATAACAATGAAGCATCGAAAAAACATAAGTCACCCCAATAATCACACAAAAAAAAAACGCGAATCAGTTAATCGGGGAGTCATGGAGAACGACGATACCACGCTTCTGGCGAAGCTCAGATGACCGCCATTCCAGCTCACAGCCAAATTTGACGAGAAGTCATTCCAATGGCCGAGAATTAAATGACGCTACAAAACAGTGGTCCAACAACAACAATCCAACGACGACGGCGTTGCAACTCTACGCCGGCGGCGGCAACGGCGAAGCGGATGGACGGGGAACAACCGAATGGAAGGAATTGGTAAAATGATATATTAGGGCTTTACACTTTCCCTTTTCCATTTTTGTCAGCACACTCCTCTAAACCTTTTCCAACCACGTGACCCATTTTCGTTTTTATCTTATAATAATTTATTTATTTTTGGTTGTTCGGATGTTTTCAAAATTTTACTTTTTTCTTTTTATTTGTTTAATTTTTTTTAGAAAATAATATTTTAATTATATTAGATAATTAAAAGTATTGTAAATATAATTAAAAATAATAATGTTATTTCTATTCATCTCCATTTTTTTTTGGTATGTAGCAGTTTTAAAATGATTATTTTATAATTTTTGATTAAATAAATATGTATAAACAGTATATTGTTATGATACATTTATGTATGTTCGCAAATAAAAGGTAATAATATTTAAGTTGTTAATAATAGTAAATTTAAAAATATTATAATTTAAAAATTATGTGATTTAATAGAGAGAAAAATATATATTTTATTTTTTTTTTTTGGATGATGTGAGGGAATAAAGTTTGGGGTAAATATTAAGTATAATTAATTATTTTTTATTTTGGAAATATTGTAGTGGTGTTTGGGATATACAAAAAAGAAATGTTGAAGCTATTTGGAATGGAGGGAGTATTTTATTATTTTCAATATAATCAATAGTACGGATAGTTTTACAATAAATAAAATATATTTTATTAAAAAAATTTAGAATATATATTTAAATATTTTCTCCATTCCCCAAAATTAATTACACTTCCTTAAGTATTTGAAAAAAATATATCGCAATAAAAGATATATGGTATTATTTCGTAAAAGAAATATATATATATCATACAAGTAAATAAAATAAAACTTTTATTTATTTATAATTAATATAAAATAATTTTATAAAATATACAAAATTTTAAATAAAAATAAAAATATTTATTTTATTAAGAGAACATGTAAATAAAAAAGTTTTGAATAGACTTATATACCCTAACTTTTATTCTTTTTTTTTTAATTTTTTTTAGACATTAGAGAAAAATGAAATATATATATTCTCAAATTCGATTTATCTATTTTCATTTGTTGTTTATATTTCTTTTTATTTGTACTAAGGGTGTGTTTGTTTGGGGATTCTCCCCCAAATACATTATTCATCCTATTTTTCTTTCAAAAAAATATCAAATCAAATATCTATTTTTTATTTTTTATATTATACTAAAAATTAATTTTGCATTCAAAACATCACATCAACACTTATGTATATAACATCGTACTACTATTCAAATTCAAAATTTTTACTATTCAAATCTCAACTCAAAATTCAAACTTCCAAACAAACCCACCCTAAACACATTATTGGATTTTGTTCGTTATAACACAAATTTTTTTATGAATATTAATAATAATAAAAAAGAATATATACATATATTATATAATATAAATAATATATATTATACTTTCTTATAAGTTATTAATAATTTAATTTAAACTATTAATTTTATATTTTACATTAAAAAATAATAAATTTCAAATTAAAATACAAATAACAATTTGGTAGAATCTTTTCCAAATTAAGAATGGGAATCTGGGAGGAAGCCGATGGCGACCCGCCAAAATGGATAGACAGTCTCAGCCACTCCGGGGAGGTCGGGACCCAATTTCACATACACCGCAAAAGGAGCGGATTACTCGGGACTGAGACTCCTGGAGTTTCTGACAATTTACTCCACGAGGAAATATTCCCTGCCACGTGTAATGACGCTGTAGGATCCTTTTATGAAAATATGAAATGCTCACTCCGTTTCAAATTCAATGAACAATTATATTATTATTGTTTTATTATTTTCAATGAATTAAAACATAATGAGATATTAATTAATAGGAGTCGGTAAGATAATTATGATATTTTCATTCTTATATATAAAATTAATATTTTATAAAAATTATAACTATTTTAATATTTGCATATGAATTATTTATTGAATATATAAAAATAATAGAAAATAATTTGAATTGAGACATAAAAAAATATAAAATTATTTATTCAGGCAAAAATGAAAACATTACAATTGGTAAATATTTTATTTAAAATATTAAATAAAAGACAGTTTTAACGTTCAAAACATCAAATTTATACTCTTTGTCCGTAACAAAGTATCAATTTTTTCATTTTAGTCTGTTCTATAACAAAATATTCATTTTTTTTGTAATGGTACTATTTACTTACGTAACATTACACATACTCTTACAGATTATAATATATTATACAAATGTCATTACATTTATATCATACAATACTAATAAGTTATTTTAGTCATTTATATTTTATTCTTACTATATCACAATATAATACTAATATTTCTGAAACCCAACAAAAAACAAATTGATACATAGTGATGGAACGGAGGGAGTAGTCAATTTTTCATTTCATTCGATAAATATTTTATTAGTGTTTAGGATATGTTTGTTTTGAAATTTTTACATATTATCTTTTATTCGTAAAATATTTTTCTTAAAAAAATAAAAAGAATAATTTTTAATACTAGGTTAAAATCTAATTTTATAGTTAATTAACATATTAATACTTATATATAAATATAAAATAACTATTCAAAATTAAAATTTTATTATTAAAATTTTAAATTCGAATTAAAAATTAAGATTATTTGATTTCAATTTAAAATTGAAAATTTAATTTAAATTGAAATTTCACATAACTATAGTTAATTTCAGCACATAACAACACAATATATAATCCGATTATATATATATTATGCATAGTTAACAATATATATTAACAATATGCATAATATACTTTTCTGGTTGAGTTTAATTTACAAGTATTAGATTCGACCGGAGGTTCACTATTCAGCGGCAGCTGCAGATTTCCACATTATCAATATATATATACACACACAATATACTTGCTTTAACAACAATTATATATTGTGTTTATTATTAGATAGTATTAGTCGAATTTAATTTACAAATTATTAAGTTCAACTATATATTTACCAAAACTTTATTAGAATAATATCGACTTATAGATTCTCGTATTATAAATAATAATAATAAAAAAATAAAATAAAAATGAAATACTATTATTTACTTGCATCTATTATGCAACATATTTAACATATCAGGTGTAGTATGTATACTGTGTGAAATGGAATATCTAGCAATATACAATATTATATTATGTATTTGGAAAATCATTTTGAGAACAAAAATTGTAAATTTAGTGCAAAATATTCATTATCTTTTATAAAATATTAAGTAATATTATACTATCTTGTATTTTTTATTGAAAGCATTAAAAATTGTATAGTAATTGTTAACAAAAATGGAGCTCTATGCTTGATGTAAATCTGATTTTGATTTTTTTTTTCTTTTAATTCACTAAAGAATTGTTTATTTAAAATTTGATATGATGTAATTATGTTGTTGCTTGCTTAATTTTGGAAAGACATACTTTATTTATTATGGAATGTTCTTAAGAAGCATGATCTAAATTTACAACAATTATATTTAAATGGGATAGGTTAAATAAAAACAAAGGCAATGTTCTTTTTGTTAACTTTCTATTATTCAATTTCCGCTTGGTTATGTCTATAATATTAATTTAAGGTATTTTTTAATAAAATAAATATTTAACATAATATCATTATTATTGTTATTGATGTTCCACTTAATATTAACTTTGTGCCACTTTGAAAATAGTTGGATTTTTATTTTGAATGGTAGAATTTTATTTTATTTTTTAAATTTTGAATAGTTATTTAATATAATATAATATTTTATCTGTAAAATTTATTTTTGCTATAATACAAATAATAAACGTTTGATTTAATATTATTTCTTAAGGAAATATTTGATAAATAGAGAAAGTATTGAAGGAAAATTCAACCAAACACAACATAAGATAAAAATAAAATAAATAAAAGTAATATGACTGATTCTAGCTAGTAGTAAATAAAATATAAACTTTGAAAATCAAACAAACAGACCCTTAGCTCATTGAAATAACGGCAAATCCTATGGGTTTGCAATGGGAAGTTGACCAGAACCTTCTCGTGCATCAGACAGCGAACAGTAACAGGAAAAGAAATCGCTACAAAGTTTGTACACGGTTCCATGTTCAATCGCAAAACCAGTGACGCGAAAGCTGGGGGAGTTTTCTGCGGCGGATCCAAGCTACGAGTGAAGCTGCGCTGCTTGTTTTTCTTTTTGGATTCTGAAAATCTCTAATTTCTTGATTTTTAAACTAGACAATTAACCCTGAGATCAAGCTGTGCGGGGAGATTCGAGGCTTTTTTGTATTGCTAGTTTTGTTGTTCGCCGACAAGGATTCAGGGAAGTTTACGTTTGGAGAAGGGTATGGGTTCGCCGAGCAATTACGAGACGAAGCTGGTGGAAGGGGAATTCGGATACGTTCTCGAAGATGTGCCTCATTTAACCGATTACATCTCCGATCTTCCGGTGAGTTGCTTTTTCTCGCATCATCTGGACACTTTGTATCTGTGGTTTCCGCGTGGTTTGCTTTGCAGAGTGTGTTTGTATGTGGATATCACGTTGTTGTTTTATGATCGTGAGCTTTGTGTGATGCCTTTTTTCGTGTGTTTGTTTGATGCGGGCTGTTATATAAAGTGTTTGCGATATCTCCAACATTGTTTTGTCGTTTCTTGTCATGTTTGGTTATGCGACTGCGTTTTCACTAATTTTGCCACGATGTTTTAGATTTGGGAAGCAGGTTGTTATAATTTAGTTTTATTTTGTAAACTTTAAAATAATTAATTTACAGTAAGAACATTATCCATTCTTTAGCCATGCTAATCTTTTACATTAATAATGCATCCCTTTAGCCTTTCTGTCTGCCTAATGTTAGGCCACAGCATTTCTGGTTGTCCAGCTACACTTGTTAGCAGTTTTTATTAGTATTGATTGTGACTTCATTCGTACCAACTTGCCATAGGTGATTCATGATCAATTGATCATTGTTGATCTATGATTTCTGCACGTGCCACCTCTCAGCAACCAGTGCCTGTATTGATTTTCTCATAGTTATCGTCACAATAATGGGTGATGACTGTGATGCTGCTCAATACAAGGAAAATGTTAATAGCCCACTTGCTATGCAGTGTTTGAGCTGAATATTTTGTCCATTTTGTTGTCCAAGTCGAGCATGCAGCAAGTGTTTGAAATCTATTTAATGTGTGTTTGTTTCTTGATTAGAAAATGGGTGGATGAAGTTTCTTCCTTTGTGTATGGCTTGTTGGTAGTGCTTTCTTTATAAGCCATTCAAAATTTTGATGCACTTTATATTAAGTTTACTCATCCCAGTGTATTATGTTTTTGGCAGACCTATCCAAATCCACTTCGCTCCAATCCTGCATATTCTGTTGTCAAGTGAGTTTTTCTTCTATTTTGTTTTACATTGCTTCCATTTAAAGAAGTTTTGCAATGACATATTACTCTAAAATGCCTGTTAATACATTGCAACTTTGCTTCTGAATTCAGGCAGTACTTTGTTGACATGGATGATAGCGTTCCCCAAAAGGTAGTTTATACTTTTCCCCCTGTCATTTGCCTACCAGGGTCATGTGTCAGATTAGCATTTGAATCGCAGTTGAACTGAATGCCATTCAAAGTGATGTTACTGATCATGGTAGATGTCATAGTAGAAATATTACATTTGAATGTCTATAGGTCAAGATGGAGCCACAATTCTTTGACTTTGGTCTTGCTAGCCAGTAACTTGCTCTGTTTAGAATTCAACATTTTTAGATGGTGCTTTTATGCACTTTTCCACATTGTCTTATCATCTTATGTTTTAACTTGGATTTGGTAACTGAAACAGATTTCTGTGCTTTATTTGTAGACATGGCCTACAAAATACTTATAATTGACAGTTTGATTACAGATTGTTGTTCACAAGGATACTCCAAGGGGGACACATTTTCGGCGCGCTGGTCCTCGCCAGAAGGTCCACATTTGTGGTTCTCTTGTTAGGTGTTGGGATGTTGGTCAGTTTTTGGTTAAATTTTATATCACATGTGTGCAGGTCTATTTTTCCTCAGATGAAGTTCATGCTTGCATTGTTACGTGTGGTGGTTTGTGCCCGGGGCTAAACACTGTGATCAGGGAAATTATTCATAGCCTTGATTATATGTATGGGGTCAACAAAGTCCTTGGGATTGAAGTAAGTTGGTTGATCATTCAATATATATGTTGTTGTGATATTTACTATCTTCAGAAAGTGTCTGGCCCATATGCATCTATTCTGCAATTGCTGTATTTCTTGACACCTGCATTTGCTGTGTGACGTATCATAATACTCCAATGTTCTTCTATGCAGTTTTGTTTATGAGGTTAATGTCATTACCAAATGACATAAAATTAGACACCTAATGGGTGTGTATTTTTTCTAGGGTGGCTATAGGGGTTTTTATGCAAAGAATACCATTACCCTGACACCAAAGCTTGTAAATGACATACATAAGCGTGGTGGTACAATCTTGGGAACATCTCGCGGTGGCCATGATACCACGAAGATTGTTGACAGCATTCAGGACCGTGGAATCAATCAGGTAGGTTAAAGATTGCATTTAAATCTGTAGGCTTCTTCTACACCCGTTTTCAAGAATTTTCATTGTATCTAGCATTTATATAGACTATTTTGTCATGTAAAACATGCATTTGTTTCTGAGAAGTATTTTTGTTGAGTCAGGTTTACATAATTGGGGGAGATGGCACCCAGAAAGGAGCTACTGTAATCTATGAGGTATTCTTTTATAGGAAATAAAAGTGCCTTCTGGCTTCATGAAATGACTTTGCAATAGGATTACTTGCTTCAGCAACTCCTAGATGCTGTTTTATTTTTATTTTTTATTATCCTAGGTTCTCTACTGTGTTACACATGATGCTTCAATGATCCCAGGTAATTATGTTTAGTTCTTTTTTCAGTAGAGTTAAGCCATCCTCTAGATTATCCTATCATTTTGATACTGTTGCTAGATGGGACACAATCACTTTAGCTGTAAAATTTCTTGACAAACATGTCTTGAGTGATTCTTTGCTTGTATTATGTGAAAATAACATGGTTAGGCGCTGTTTGATTTTCATATCTCGTAGCAAATATTGGCTTTGAAGGACATGGTTCTTTAGAGCAATAACTTTGTATCCCGAGACAATTGACTTTGTATTACCTCTACCTTTTTGTTATGTAGGAAATCAGAAAGCGTGGTCTTAAGGTTGCTGTTGCTGGAATCCCCAAGACAATTGACAATGATATCCCGGTATCTCACGTCTATTGGGTGGATTTCTTTGTTTTCTTGGGCTCCTCTTATTGACTTGTGTAATGTCCATTCATGTGGTTAAGAAAAGCAATCCTGTTAGCAGTTTAGGCAGATCATATCTGCCTCAGAAGTCTACTAATAATTATTTGGCATTTAACACATGTTTATGCAATTGCCCAAGTATAAAGTATTCTGTGGAACTCATTTTGCTGTCTCTTTAAAAGTTTCTGGTGAATGGATCACCCCATTAGCTTGTATGCATTTTTTTCTCTGTGTTTATATGATTTATTTTGATTTTTAACATCTTACTTATTATCTGGTTTCTATTACCAGGTCATTGACAAGTCATTTGGTTTTGATACCGCTGTAGAGGAAGCTCAACGTGCCATAAATGCTGCACATGTGGAAGCTGAGAGTGCAGAGAATGGGATTGGTGTAGTGAAACTGATGGGTCGCTACAGTGGTAACATAAATTTTCTCTCAACTTTCAAAAATATCTTGATTGTGAGTCCTGACCAAAAGAGCTTCTGGTTTCTGAGCCTTATATGTGCCTTGGGGTTTTCGTTATTAATATATTCTTAGCACATCTAACAATAAACTTTTTACCTTGTTTGAAAATCGGGATTTTGCCAGGAAATTAAACAAAGAAACTCATAGAGGCCTGATAAAATATGGGTTTAATCTTCTTGTAATTTTTCTATTTCTATTTTCAATTTTTTCATGCTAATACACACAGTTTCCTCTAAACATGTTGCAATCTTTTATGCAGGTTTTATAGCTATGTATGCTACGCTGGCTAGTCGAGACGTGGACTGCTGTTTGATACCAGAATCACCTTTTTATCTTGAAGGAAAAGGTGGACTTTTTGAATATATAGAGAAAAGGCTCAAAGAGAATGGCCATATGGTCCTTGTTATTGCCGAGGGAGCAGGGCAGGAACTTCTTGCAGGGAAAACTGAACAAGATGCTTCTGGGAACAAGCTTCTTCAAGATGTTGGGTTGTGGATTTCTCAAAGGATAAAGGTATGGACACATGTAACATTCTGTGATGAAAATTTTATTTTATTTTTATCTTTTATGATTTTGGTGGATTTAGATATATATATAATTGTTATTCTAATAAAGTGTGGAAAACTGGGGAGTGATGCAACAATGTGTTTTACAGTCAGAAGAACAAGAATGCTGACACATTCCTGTGACTGTTATGTTGTTTGTTCGTTTATATGTTGCCTTCTTGAAATTTACTGTTATAAGCAGCAGCTTGAAAGTTGGGATGGAAATGATCAATGCAAACCAAATTGTGGCTTGAATTAAACAGATTCCCAGTTTTTGGTAATTTAATATTTGACAAAGAAGTGAAAGACATTGTTACAGATAACAATGTAAGAATATGCATTTTTAGAATATGGATACTGTGTTGTAACTTCAAATATTTTTGAACCTTGAAAACTATAGACATTTTATTTCATGACACTACCCCTACCAAAGGAATACCAGTATTGTCTCTCTTCTTTGCTAAATTTAATCAAGCTTCATATTGGGAAGGACTGAGAATAACAAGCCTTTGATGTAGTGAATTTGAGAGGTTGGTTGTAGTCGAGTCTATTCTGTTGTTTTGAGTTGGTTATGGTGGAGGTTTCATTTCTTGAAAAGGCTAGTGAGCGGTGTCTAGCCCAATCACATTGTCCTTTCTTCTGCAATGATTATAAACTTTTGTTATCAGAATTTGGAAGGAAAATTATCTCAATTGTTCTTCAACATGGCTGCCTTTCTTTTCACAGGATCATTTTGCGAAGAAAAATAAAATGCCAATTACTCTAAAATATATAGGTAATTTCTTCATTCATACTGAATTGATTTCTTCCATGTTCCTTACAAATAAGGAAACTGACTTTACAGATTTTTGCAGATCCAACTTACATGATTCGAGCTATTCCGAGTAACGCGTCCGATAATGTGTACTGCACACTTCTTGCTCAGAGTACTGTCCATGGAGCGATGGCAGGATACACAGGCTTCACATGTGGGCTTGTCAATGGCAGGCATACATACATTCCCTTCAATGTAAGTGTTCATAATTTTAAGAAAACATTAAATGTTGCACTTCCTATTAAATTTCCTTTTCGGGTGCTGTTATGTTGATTTACCTCTGTTTCAAGCTACATCTAAAATAAGATTGCCAATAGAATAACTGGGATGGGGATGCTCTTGTTGCCTTCTGGACTAGATTTTTAATTTTTGATTTAGACAAGATTCAATTCTTCTCACTCTATCTGAGAGCATCCATTTACCCGAAACTGATCTGCTTAGACAACCTGAAGTTTTCTAAAATAGAGGTAACTTTAGATGCCTTTATATATCTTCATACTTACTTCCCCTGCTATTCTTCACATCCAATTTGTTGCCAAAATTCCTCCTGAGACACCAGGCCAAATTGCCTCTTACCCATCAACCCAACAACATAAATTTTGCCTTGTCCATTTTCTGTGTAGTTAAAGACATATCAATTATACTTTTTTTTTTTTTTTTTCTTACTGTGTTGAAAAGCTTTCGATTTTCCTGCTCTACGCTTGACGATCTGTGACAAATATTTCCATTTTCAGCGAATCATTGAAAGGCAAAACCAGGTTGTGATAACAGACAGGATGTGGGCGAGGCTTCTCTCGTCCACCAATCAACCAAGCTTCCTGGAACCAAGAGAGACTGAATCTGTAAAGGAGAATGGTGAGAACCCGGACGCCTGCGCAGATAACATAAAGGGTACTTGATTTCTCAATCACTCCTGTTTGCATGATTTCACCTCTTAAAATTTTATATGCTTCTGTCACAGTAAAGTTAAATTTGGTCGGGTCTTTGTGGTGAATAATCCTTGAGGTAACTTTTGTGTTAAAAAGATGCCTCAGCTGAATGACTGATTGTCGAACCCTTTTGATTTTGAGAATGCTCATACTGAAAGTTCCTTATATATGTATGTATGTATTACTTGCTGCTGCCGTTCCCGATTAGTTTTTATGTAAAGCTTCCAGAAAGTATACATATGACTTAATAATAATTTGGCTTTGAAGTAATTGGAAAAGGCAGATACTAGTTACTTGAAGTGATTATTTGCTTTGTGTCATTTCAGCATCTTTGATCATTTATATATATATATATATATATAGATATGTATTTATTATTATTATTATTATTATTATTATTTTCTATCTGCTTCCTGCTTCCTCGATTACCCCCTGTGATTTAAGTTCCCTATGTGATGTTTTACTTAATGAGTATCACTTTTTTGTGTGGATCTTTAATGTTAATATTCTCGAGGATAAGTTTGTCGACATGCAAATCATCTTATTTTATTTTGTTTCAACTTGATCCACTCTTGGGTGGTTCAAATTGAGTTTTGGTCTGAGTTATTTTATTTTATTTTCTTTCAACTTGATCCACCTTTGAGTAGTTCAAATTGAGTTTTGGTCGAGTTAATTTTGTTTTATTTGTTTCAACGTGATCCACTTTTGAGTTGTTTAAATTTTGAGCTTTGATCGAAGAATAGTAGCAACTACAAATTTTAACGTCAGACGAAATAAAAAAAGTTTAGCTGGTCGAACTTTAGGTTGTTTTTGTAAGCTGGCTCAGCACATAAATATTCTTAAACCTTTTCAAATTTAGTGGAGTGTTTTTTTTTTTTTTAATATTTTTTTTATCATAGTTCAGAAATGGGATGGATTCTTATAAACAAGCAATATTCAATAGAGAAGAAATTTTCTTTACCAAATTATGTATTTAGTGTGTTTGAGTCTAACTTGCTAGTCTAATTTTTATTTATTTTTACGATTTTTGGAACTCAGGTCGGTTAATTCTATGCAGATTAGGCCCACGCGAGTCACACTAGTCTTACTTATTATCATTTGATATATTTTAGGGTCGGATGTTTATTTTTGAAATTATGAGTTTGATGAAAGAAAAAATAAAGTAAAAAAGATTTTTCAAATACAATTCAACCTTAATTTAAACCATGAAATATCTTCAAATGGGCTCTCGGACATTTATTAGTTTTTGAAAGAGTTGGCAATAGATTCGTTTCGAGTTTGTGTCTGGTTGAATACTTTAATCGGATTAAATTATTCAACCTTAACTCAATCGGTTTATTATCGTGTCGGGTTCGTGTTGATCCGTTTATTATCGTGTCGGGTTCGGGTTGATTTGTGTTGATCCGTATACATAATTAAGTCGAATTTTTTGATTCAAATTAAATAATTTTTTTTGTTGTGTCGTCATGTTATGTTAGTTTTTATTAGTTTGAGCCTAAATTAGGTTGAATTATTTAAAACTGAACTTAGTTTAAATTAATTTATGAGAAAATTAATAAATTATGATTATTTTATCTATATAATAAATATATTAATCAATATTAATATATTATAATCGGGTTGTCGTGTCGGGTTCAAGTTGAGAGTTTCAACCCTAACCTGAGGGGTTCGTGTCAACCCTTATATATAATCAAGTTGAAATTTTTGACCCAAACCCAATTATTTCGTGTCGGATTGTTGTGTCCGGTCAGTTTTTGCAAACTCTAGTTTTTTGTTTGAATTTTACAATTGGATTTAAATAATACTCTCTCTCCCCGTTGCAGTGATATGATGTGATGTGAAGTAAAGATGTGTTCGTTTGTAAGATTTTGATTTACTATTCATTAAATTTTTTCCTCCACGTGAAAAAATAATTGAGTATTTAATGAAATGATTAGATGTCCTAAAATAGAAATATAAATAAAAATATATATACTCCACTTATAAATAAAATGACAAATTATATAATACTTACATACCTTCCAGTACAAATGCATTGTATTTTATTTATTGTTTGAAATTCTTGTATTATATAAATAAAAAACTTAATTTTTAAATAAATTAAATAAATATATAACAATTTGTTTAAAAAAATTATAACAAGAAGAATTAATAAATTATTTATCTATTTATTTTATATAAAAAAAAATTTAAGATATTTTATCTCTTGTATCCATACAATTATATTTATAATCTCATGAATAAAACACGAAATATTATTTTATACATTTTTAGTAAAACATCCTTAATAAAATAATAGCTAGTTGACTATGAGGTAAGGTTAACCCTTCATAATAAAAAAATTTTGAATGTAAAATTATATTTTAGTGTAATAAAATAAATAAAAATTGAGTATTTGATTTTATGTTTTTAGAAAAAAAATAAATTAAAATAATAAAATTAGGAGTAAAATGTTAAGAGTAAACATATTAAACTCGAATCGCTTCAATAGAAAAGAATATACGGTAACAGGATATAAAATTAAAATAGTAAATTTTATTAAATACAATTTTAAATAAAACATTAGGTGCTGCTCATTAATGGCAATAATTATCCCTAGTCTCCGAGAGAGTAACCGATTTGAGATTTTTGACCATTTTGTGCAAAAGTAGTAATATTTAAATTAAATTAATATTATAAAAGTGAAGGTACTTCTACCGTATTCACACGGACGATCGGCTGTGTCATTTGTTGTGCGCGCTCGTTTTCATCACATAATCACATTCACTCAAAAGGTGTTTTCCATCGCCAAATCGAAAATTTGAAAACTCAATTCACTTTGTGGATTTGATATCGTAATTTATCTCGAAAATTTTCATTTCTTTCTCCATCTGTAGCAGATCAACATGGATTTGATGAAGGTCTTCGATCAAGCGGTTCGCGAAATGTATGTCGGTGTTTTGCGCAATTTTAATTCGTTTTCGGTTACTTTTTCATATTTGGTACGGAATTTAACTCTTGTTCCGTTTGATATTGGTGTGATTAAGAAAAAGGGAGGTAAATTTGAAGGTGTTGAAGGTTCCAGAAATCGAACAGAAGGTAATCATGATTTTATGATTTTACGAGCTCGATTTCCGTTGAATCGATCTGCTCGAGTAAATATACATTGTTTTTTGTTGTACTTACATTATAAATCTAAATAGTTAGAGACGGTAAATCTATAAACATTCATTTGTTGCATAAAATGATCTATTACTTTAAGTTCTTAACTGGTTAAAAGTGAATTTTCGCCAGTTTCTGATAGTGACAGGATTCAGAGTTACAATGGACTGTACTTCTTCAATACATGCATGCTTAAGATAGTATGAGTGTGATGATATAATATATATATATATACAAAAAAAAAGAAAAAAAGAAGATGCAATGAGTCAATCAATATAATAATATGAACAGTGAAGTCAAAGCAAGCCGAGAGTAATGTAAATCACTGCTCATCATTCTTCTGTGCATTGTAAAATATTTTTGTGCATGATTGCATGTAAATGTTATGTAACACAAAAACTATGTGGTTATCACAAGGATCCACAAGTTCCACCTGCTCATAGTTATTGCTTTTATACTCATTGCTTATGAATCATATTAATTTTTTACTTTTCAATGTATAATAGGTTTTGGATGCTACAGATGACGAGCCTTGGGGTCCACATGGCACAGTATTGGCGGAGATAGCACAGGCCACAAAGAAATTGTACGATTAGATTCATTTCCTGCATGTTTGAATATCGTGATTCTTTGTTAGTGGTTTGAAAAAAAAAATAAAAAAAAACTGATCCATTGAGATTTTCGTACAGCTCTGAATGCAGGATGGTTATGAATGTCCTGTGGACAAGACTGACTGAGACGGGAAAGAATTGGCGTTTAGTCTACAAGGTAGTGGCTGAAAATTGTTTTATGGTGAATTCACTGTAATTCACATGCTCTATGAAGTATAATATACATCTGATCTCTCTTTTTGTTGTCTTTTTCTTATGAACTTAGGCGTTGTCTGTCATTGAATATCTGGTGGCTCATGGATCTGAGCGTGCTGTTGAAGACATAGGAGAGCATACCTACCAGATATCTGTATGTAGCTTCTTTCTGTTGTAAAGTGTTACCCTGAGATGAATGTTGTCAGAACATTACCTGATCCATTAACTGATAGGAGTTGATTGCTTGATTATGCTTATTTTTCCCACTCTTTTCACTTTTTGATTTTCTAGTCTCTAGCAAGTTTTGAGTATGTCGAGCCTAGCGGGAAGGATCTTGGGATAAATGTAAGGAAAAAGGCTGAAACCATCAGCGCTCTTCTGAATAACCAAGAAAAGATACAAGAAGTAAGGAACAAAGCTGCTATCAATCGCGACAAGTAAGCTCATGGAGCAAATATCTAATTAGTGTCTTTGTTCTGCTATTCTTGGAATAGTCTTGAGAAAAAATCTATATAATTCAGGTATTTTGGGCTTTCGTCATCTGGAATAACATATGGGTCAGGTGCAGCCTCATTCAGTAGCAATAGCTTTAGGAGCAGTGATAGATATGGAGGTTTTTGTAATACGGGAGATACTGATACATTTAAGAGCAGCTACAAAGACGGGAATCGATATGGTGAAGAGAAGTTTGAGAGGATTAGCAAATTGACAAAAGAGCCTTCTAACTATGGCAGGTGTGCTCAGTTAGACCCCTTGCATCATAGTGTGGTTTGTAGGTTCCCTTTATTTCTTGGTAGAATGTTCTTACCATATCATGATTTGTCTGGCCTCCTATATATAGATGATCCATACTCTGTTCCACTTGCCTGATGTTCTTTGGATGGCGTCTTAATCTTGGAAATTACTTCTCTATTAATGGACTCTAGCTACCATGCATTGTTTAGTATATATCTTTTTCTGATCGGATTGTTTAGTATATATCTTGATTGGACGAAACTATGTTGATTTAGAATCTGGTTTAATTTCCCTGTAGCAATGTCAGGCATTCTACACATACAGATGTAAGGTTCTTGCATGCCGTTGCACAAAGCATCTCTGCAGTTCTATAATTCCTTAAATTTTCAGATATCTTAGGATCCAAAATTGATTTCTTTGGGATGGGGACATTGTCATAGGTTCCCATCAGATTTAGCGATATTATTATTTAGTTATTGGTGATGTTTGATACCTGGTTTAATCAATCTAAACTTCAAGAATAATTTGCAGTAAAGAACAAGGATCAGCTACATCTGGTACATCAAAAACTGCAAATTCAGATGCATATTCTTCCACACAAGGTGCACCATCAAACAAGTATGATGAAGATTTTGACGATTTTGATCCACGGGGAACTTTGACTTCAAGTAAGCAATTAGTTCCTAGTTGCAATATAAACTTAAAACATTATTTCAAATTTCATTGCATTTGAGGAAGCTCTTTGTGTAGGTAGAACATGGGAAAATATGTTGGTATCCACATTTCATTGACTCATCCAGAGAATAAAATTATCAGAAACTTGAAAAGCATCTTCATAATTCAGCTAGCACAAAGATGCACAGGCTTGATGAGGAAAGGAACTCTACTTTCTGATACACCTAATATTTATGGACAGGCTTATGTTATCATCCAATATTGACATTAAAACCAAAGTATGCATAAGCAATTAGTCATATACCAAGCATAACGGGAGAAAATATCTTTGCGCTTAATCTTGATTATAAGATAATTGTCACACTGTGAATTCTTTTTTATGGCAAGTGTCTGATCTGCTGTAGCCGCTGGTCATTTCAACAGAAACAAAGATGTATTGTTTCTTCGTTGAGACTCACTCATATGCCATTTGTCTTTGCTGTTGAACAGAATCTTCTACTGGAAGTAACCAAGTGGATCTCTTCGGACAAAATTTTGTTGATTTTTTTGATGCTCCAGTATCTCATGCAAAAGATAATTCTACTTCTCACAAAAGTGGTCAACCAGAGGTGGATTTATTCGCTGTTTCCAATAATTCTACTTGTGTGAAAAAGGATCAGCCAGAAATCGATTTGTTCGCTGATGCCAATAATTCTTCTCTGAGAAAAGATCAGGCAGAAGTTGATTTGTTTGCTGATTCCAATTTTATATCAGCTACACCGGAGCTGAAAGTAGAGGAAAGTTCAGTATCTTCGGTGAGTTTCCACCCGCAAGAAACTCAGTGTGTATATTCTATTCCGGCCTTTGTTGTTAAAGCTAAAAGCATGAAACTTCCTCCTGGTTAGGAATTATAGGATGAGATTGGAGCATCTTGATTTATGCATCTGTGAATCAACCTTTTGTCGAAAACTAAATCTTTCTGAATGATCAAACATAAATGCTTCTCTTGTTCTAATCTTACTTTACACGTTTCTTATTGCAGGCCAATGTTGATCTGTTTGCTGCCCAACCAACTCCTGCTCTTTCATCTACAATGGATTTTTTCGCTGCAGCCAATCCGGTTTCGATGCCTGACAACAAGGATTCGAAAAGTGGTACAACTAGTTTCACCGGTGACCCATTTGCTGCAGTTCCACTGAACAAATTCGATGGACTGGATTCATTTGGTGCATGCACTTCTCTGAGAGATCCTTTGTCAACACTATCTAGCAGTAGCTCTCCTAAAAATGGTAGTCATGGAAATGCAAATGAGTCTTCTGTAGAGACCAAGACCTCACCCAAGAAGCAAACATTTCAAGTCAATTCTGGAATATGGTCAGATTCCTTGAGCCGAGGATTAATTGATCTAAATATAACTGCACGTAAGTACTTCTTCACTGGTTCCATATTTTGTGCTGTCAGGACATTACTGCTGAAGATTAGGGAACTTAACACCTTTTCTGCACCGGAGAGTTTATATGACAAAGGGCTATATAAATTTATCGCTTGAGTTGCCAATGCATTCAAAACTCAAGGAAATATATTAGTCAGAAGTATTCTGAGCATTCATATTAGTGGTATCTTGCTAGATTAATTCTAAGACTTGTGATTCTCACATGGCAGCGAAGAAGGCGAACCTAGCAGACTTGGGTATTGTTGGTGGATTGACAGACCGTTTAGAAGAAAAAGACAGAGGAGGACGGGCATCTTCTTTTAACATGGATCAAGCCATGGGCTTTGGATTGGGTGCTGGTAAATTCACATTGCCCCGAACATCAACAAGCGGTGATTTCTTCTCGAGCCTAAGCAGCCAACACTACCAACATGGAGCCTCCCAGAAATGAGTAAACTTCTCTTCTTAAGTTCTACTACAATACTGTTTATTCCATGCACTTTATTTACTTGCAACTATCATCTACTAAATCCAAAATCGTCAATTTGTGTGAACATAGTTTCAGTATATTGCGTGGAGCACACCTATACACATATATGTATGTTTGAAATACATGAGTTTTGTTCTTGGACAGTGGTTTGAACAGAATTATAGACATGATTTTTAGGGTGTCTATCAAGTAAAATAGATTAGTTTACATTTTTGAATAATCATCAAGGTAAAGATGGCCATTCAGGTGCTGCATGCCAAATAATGTGACAGTTAGAAAGCCTCATTATCATCTAGGTACAAATTTTAGTGTTTCTTTGTTACCCTTTAGTTTCAACAGTTTAGTAATGGTAGAATCTACACTTCCGCGTCTTTTAAGTTCAAGTTCTGGAATTTTTTATTTCTTTTCGTTTTTTTAACACTCAAGTGTCTCTGACTGCTGTGATGGTACCATGAGTATCATTTCATCGGGGCGGGCACAACCGCTGTGTAACCTTATTACAATGAAATCTTCTTCGAAACAAATGAACCTTGAACAAAACATCAAATCAACAGAACTTACAACCCTATTAAGACAACAAAACTATGACACAGCCAGTAGTATTTGGTTGAAAATAAACTCAAACCCTCCCTCACCAAGAACTTACATAGAGATATACCGTCTTCTTTCTTCCTGTATGGATCGGAAGATTCTAGCAGCAGACTCGCTGGCTGATACAGCATTGTGAGGCACAACCCTTATCACTCGGGCAGGATGCTCAGCCTCCTGCCTGGGTTTGGGAGGCCGAGCCTCCGACTTGGTGGCAGGATCTCGAGGTGGAGACATAGGGAATAGTGTAAGAACATGCCTTCCTTCCCTCAAGCCACTTTCTTGACTATCTTGCATTCTCTCAACAGGGCTGCTTGATGTGCTAGCCTGTACTTCCATATCCTCTTCGGGGGGAGCCTGTTCATTGCGAGTCCACATAGTAGGCACATTCTGGCTATCGGGGTCAGATTGGGGATTCATATGTTCCGCAGATGAACCAAAGAATGGAGCCACATTCATAACTGGCATGCCATGTTGAGGAAAGTAGCCGGGATGAGGTGGAAGTTGATATTGTGGATGTGGTAGTGCAGGAACTCCACCGGGCAAAGAATAGAAATTACCCATGCTGGGATTTGGCACAGGGGGGCCGCAACCTCCAGGGTATGGTTTATATATTAGACCTTCCGTGGGAGACATGTAGGGGATCAGCCACTGCTGCTGCCCTTGCGGTTGATTGAAACACCACGGCCCACTATTTGTGAACGGTGCTGGAGTGTTTCTGGCCGATGTGCTGTTTTGAATGGAGGGTACATGATTTCGGCTAATAGCATTTTCAGCAGAGCTTTCCTTCTTTTGACTTTGCTTGTTATCTGATTCGCCTTTCTGCTTGGAGACATCAGAAACCTCTTCTGTGTTGAGGTTTAATGGGATTTTTTTCATGGAAGATGACTTTGTGGATTTGCCTGAGTAAGTTGAATCCTCGAGCAAAAGATGTGGTGATGCAGCGAGTAATCTCTGAACCTGATGAAAAAGACACATCCGAATTTTAGTGATGGTAATATGCATTACTGTAAGTGTGAGCTTTTACAGTAATTGCTCTAACCTTTACCAATCTATGCAACTCAAATACTTGAATTGCGAGAACTCTCTGTTGACTGCAAAGAGGTAGAATCGTAATCATGACCGACAACAGAATTTGCAGGTAACAGTCTAGGATGATACTTTTTTCCTGTAATTTCCTTATAATCTATACACCCAACCTCAGCTAAACAAATTAGGTCAGAAGCTGGAGTGGGTTTAGTTCTTAGGGGTTTCTAAAACATCTCCCTATAAGCATATGTTTAACACAAATTTACATCATTATTACCAATAGTTTAGAAAGGTTAAAAACATTGCAGAAAGCAAAATGACTTACTTAGCAATAGTTCTTCTGGCTTTCCAAAAGTGTTTCTGTCCGATTACTTGAACCACGTCATCAGGAGTTACATCATGTCTAGATCTGGAGTCCTCGCCAGAGGTTTCGGTCACACCACTATCACTCATCTTCACATTACATGACCTGTTTTCACTGGATTCAGTATCGTTACTGCGCTCGCAGTGTATATTCCTAACCTCAGACTGATCAGCCGCTACTGAAATAGAACTTCTTTTGTCTGATGTTGTAAGATTTTCTCTGGAAACAACAGCATCATGCCTTTCATTCGCAGCTTGTGCCTTGGAACATAGTGCCGGACTGTTACTGGTTTCTAATCTGTCAATGCTACCAGTAAGCTTATCTCCCGGTTCATAGTTTGTGAATAAGACATTTTGCTTTTTCCGGCCCTCAGCCTTTTCAAGGGCTGGTGTATTCGAGACAACCTTGACGAATCCTGTCGAGGAGTTTTTTGAATTCTCTTTCTTCTGCAATTTACCTTCTTGCATTGTACTACTCTCCATTTGTGAATTTTGAAGTTTTGACATTTCATTGGAACAAGAAGGCTTAGAGGCAAGTTTTCCCCTGTCCTGGTCGTTGCTGCGGACACCATATTCTTGATTCGGAACAGGCTGAACAAAAATAGGGACTCTAAAGTCATCTTCATCCAGTTTCTTTCTTGGCTCAACTTGCATCGATGGAGTGCTTATATCAGAATATTGGCTGTATTGACTCTCAGATTGCAGCTTATAAGACGCAAAGACATCCCGTTCGCTAACACCCCGCTGCAAGTGCAAGTTCAATTCTAGTAAGAAGGAAAACACCTTATGGATGCAGTAAATGCTCTTGTCAAAGAAAGGGGGCACGAAATCGATCACTCATCCAAGAAAAATTTCAAAAGCAAGAGCATTCCATCCCCATAGAATCTAAATCAATCTTCCAATGCAAAACCAACTACCCAACAAGACATAAACAACTGCATCTGTCCTATAGTTAGAGCCTATTTATAATCTTTCCACTCTTAGTGATTTCCATATGGATATCCACATGGCTAAATCTTAACAGCTTTTTTCTAATCTAATACTCCCTCCGTTCACAAATTAATGTCCTATTTTCCTATTTGTGACGTCAAATATACAAAAAAGACAATTACCTAAAAAAAACCTTGCAAATATATTTAGGACAATTATAAATGGACGGAGGGAGTAGTAATTATCATTTCAGGATTGTTTCCGTGCAATTCAGAGAATATAATCGAACATAAGGCTAAATCCAAGAACATCAAATAACATAGAAAACACCAATATCACCCAGAATTAAAAACCTGATAATTAATCACCTGAGTAGAGGAAGGAACCGTAGCAGTGGGAACACGAGGAAGAGACAAGTGGTTGTGTCTCTGAGAAGGAATGCTGAACTGCTCATACAGTGCCATCTTGTTTCTGGGAGGCGCTCGCGGCCCTCCTTTATTAGCATCCTTCACATGGAGCCTTGGGAACATTGGCCCCATCATCTTCTCCTCATCTTTCCCTCTCTTCATCCCCACCTTTCACGCAATCTCCTCCTCCACTTTATTCTAAGTCAAAAACTAGTAAAATTTTCAGTCCTGGACGAGCTCCGAAGTCACGCCCCCAAACTTCCACGATCAAACCCTAATTTTACAGAAGTTCAGATATATCATCACAGAATCTCAGGGAGTTTTTTTTAAAAAAAAAATAAAAATTGTGAAACAACCACTGAAATCCGAATCCAGATGATACAGAAATCGATTAAAACATCTCAATCCCTAACGAAACTCGAAGAAACACAAAACACGGACACAGTAGAGAGAATCACGCTCGCGGTATCCAAAATTTCCACGAAATTCGGAAGCACGAACAAGGAAAAAACAACAAAAAGGATACGCAAACACACAGCACAAAACTAGTAATGAAAAGCAAAATAAACCTGAGCAAAACGGAGAAATGGATTCGATTGGAGATTAGGAAAGAGGTGTGGAGGTGAAGAAAAAGATATGTGTTGATGGAAAAAAGCGAAGTGGAAAAGGGCGGGGTGGACCCAACTTGTGGATAGAACAGAACCCAGAATCTCCTAATAAGTGCCCTTTTGTATTACATTTGCTTTATCATTATTTTTAACATTATAATTCTATTTTATTTTTAAGAAAAAAAATTAATTAACTGTTGTCACGTTGTACTTGTACTATAGATATTTTTAATTTGTTCACACATATATTATTATAGAATAATTAACTAAATATTTGTATTTATTATTGTGTGGTTCGGACAGAAAAAGGTCAACTCCTTTTCACGTTAATAATGTTCGTTACAGTTAGATACTATTGTTTCGAGGTCTAAACTTGAATAAAACTTTGTTTAGTACAAGTTTTAAAAGGGGTAAAAATTTGAATGTTGAATGTAATATTTCCGTCTCACCTAAAAATTCAGTTATTAAAAAAAATAGGAGTCTCTACCCTATATGTTTAATTTGATATTTTAAAAAAATATATTTTTGAAAAATATTATCAATTCAAAAAGTTTTTGCAAACCGAACCTAAATATTTTTTTGGTTTTTATCTATTATATATATAATATTTTAATAAAAAATATCATATTAAAAGTTAAAATTTGTATGTTTGAGTAATTGCTTACGAGATTTTAGAAAATGAGAATCAATTTCAATTTGAACACATTAGGTATCGAAGTTTTGTTGGACCACAGCCATTGCGGTTGCTCTCAGCTACTGCTGTAGATGGGACCAGTAGGTGCTGCCCTAGGACCTTTTCTAGCTGGATATATTTGGATGGAACAACATTTTCTTTGTGTATGACTAATATAAATATTAATACATCAAAACTCAAATTACAACTTCAAATTCAAATCAAAACCAAATAAATTTATTGTTAAGTGATATCAATATTTGTTGAAATATGTGTTCACTAAATACTTTTTTTTAGTGATATGGTTATCGAATAATAATATCAAAATAATATAATATATACATATTAATACAATTATAAAAAAAAAATACCAATTCTAATATAAAATATTATTACTTTATTACTAATATACTTTTTATACTAAAAATATACTTTCTTTCAAGATGATTACGATGTATTTGCATTTTTATTTTATTTTATGTATACGTTAATCATAAATATAATGATATATTTTTAATCTACTTTAAGAAATAAATATTTTTGAATGAAATAAATAAAAATTTTGAAAAAAAATATATATTTAGTTTTTGTAACAAAAAATTATTTTTTTAAAAAAATAATAATTTTTTTTTTTATTTTTGTCGTTGGTTTAAAATATTCATTTTTCTATATTTTTAAGGGATAGTGTATTAAAATCCCTGTCAGAGAAACCCCATTGTAATTCAGTCCATTTAAACTGCAGTCCCTACTTTATGAATTAGATTTAATATAGCTCCCCAATTTGTATTTCTCTCATAATCACCGTTGTATATGCAAAAGGTACTTGAAATAGATTGATCAATACTTCTAGTGTCGTAATGTATACCTACATTACTTCACGCTCTACCCCCATTATAACCTCATATGCTTCTAGTTAAATATCGCGTACCTTTTTTTGTGAATTAAAAAAAAATAGTAAAAAAAGACAGTTACCCACGATTTAACAGGAGTTGAGTAAAAAAAACCTCCCATAACTTCCTTCACCCTGATTTTAAACCCTACATCTTCCATCTTCAGGCGAATTGATGTTCTCCAAACCCCGACAATCAAGTAACGATCAATCGGTGCAAAACTAGTGAAGAAAACAGCTGACCTACTCTCATCCCCATGACAAGCTCGAAAAAAATAAGACCTTTTTCGATTTTTTATTTTGTTGACATTATTTGTATTTTATACAGTAGTTTGTTCAATTGTTTGAGATATAAGTCTTGGTCCCGTGTTTGTATGTCTCGATAGATTTAGTGTTGAGGAGCTTTGGGTGATCGGTGTATTTGTATTTGTATTTGTTAACTGGATTTGAAATTGTTTGTATGTTTTCCCAAATAGACCGAGTTGGGTGTTTTATTTTGGCACCGATTTGGGGTAATTTTATTTGTTTAATCTGTAATTTTAGTTAATTTTGTAGATATCCAGTTTTTATAATTACCTGGAGTTTAGTATTTTAGTTTTTTTGTTTGATTGTTCGGTAATTAGTATGTTTGTGAGTTGGTAAATGTGGTATTGTTAGGTACCCCGAGTTACATTTTTTAGGTCTAGTTTTCTAAGTAATATAATTTTAGAGGACTACTGTGTACTCGGAATTTGTTGTTACGTATTCCTAATAGATTATGACAAACTTTTTAAAAATTCGAGATTGGGGTATTGTAAATTGATGGTATTTATGTACAGATCGGATAAGAAATACAAATCGGTTATCAGTCGATTTGCAGTACCGTTTGGTGTGTATGTTTTCCGGGTGTTACATCCACGCGAATCCGACAGTATCGACAATGAGTTTGATAATGTGAAGAGCTACCGCAGTAAAATTGAGGCCAAAATACTGAAAGGTCTGCTTTCCGAACCGTAGACTTTAATGTGCAGCATAGGGTGAACGTTGTATTGAATTTGGATTGTGTTATTTGTTCTTGATTTGGGTAGTGTGTTATTTTGATTGAATTGTCGGTTGAATTGGTTTGATTTGCTTCATGTTTGATGAAATTGTATTAAGATTGATTGAGAGATTGAATCGTAGGTTAAATTTGGTGAAATTTAATTTTTGGAGTAATGCTATGAATTTTGTCGTGAATGATTGTATGATAAATTTGGTTAAATTGGAATTAACTAATTCACTACAAGACATTCCGATAGTTGAGGTAATACATGCAATGTACATAAGTGCATTTACGGATGCCTGACTAAATTAGTGGTGCACCTAAGAAAGAAAAACATATACATATACTAGAAAGGTTTATGCCCTCATCATATTAATACATACATCTTGTCAAAACACGATATGCGTCGGTTATTTAATGACATACCTATATTAAGCTAGTAAATACCCCAAGGTAAGTTACTTATGCCCAGAGGGTCTAAAACTTCATATCTCGATCATTAAGTGAAGTATAACATTATCTTTAACAGTACCCGTACATGAGATGTATTCATCTTTAACATAGTCAGTTATACCAATCTAGAAGATTAAAAAATTGCTTCGAAAAGTTAAGAATATGATCCATATGCGTGAACAATAAGCAATGAAGTTACTTAGTTGTATTGTTGGTAATGGTAGTGCTTAGTTTTACTGCACATGCAATGGTTGTACAGTTTAACAATGGGGAGTATTAATATACTAATACTTTATCCAATTGCATTCACAATAATAAATTTCAAAAACTATGGAAACAATATAATATTATAACATGTCATTCCTTTACACAGGTTAGCATCAACGGATACCTCATTCGTTTACCAATAAACCTTGGAATTAGTATCTCATATGCTTCCATAACTAGTATCTATGCCCTGAAAACCTGTGCTTGGGAAACAAACTATTTTTGGTTCAAAACATTCAATAATTGTCAATAATCAGGGATAAATTCATCATATAGTATTTATGTGAATTCCATAATTGTATGTAAATGTAAATAACACATATATATTATGGATGGCTAAATAAGTCATAAATGACTTAGTTAAATTATATTTTTTTGTTACTCCTACATGTTTTGTGGTCTTGCTATTGAAAAGTATGACATGAGCTATCGAATATAAATGTACCGTGTCTAATTTTTTTCTAACAAGACTAGGAGAGGAAGTACTCTCACCGAGTTTGTGAATTGTCCCCTCCGTCAGCGGTCAACTGAAATCAACCATATTCACGGATACCTGATACTATACAGATAATACCTAAGCAATCATTATTCATACCTTAAGTGTCAGTGTTCGTACCCAAAGCACATAGTAACATACCTGCATAAAATACCGACATACCCTGTCACAAATCTTACGTACCTATAATACTGGTATCATATGCTTTTGTAACGAGTATATATACTTTAATAATTTGTGCTTGGAAAACATACAATTTTTTGATCAAAATATTCACTTGTTGTCGGTAACAAATGATTAATTCATCGTGATAGTATTCCCGTGACACCCTGAATTGTATGAAAAAATAAATAATATATATTTACTAAACAAGTGAGAAATAACTTTGTTATATTGTATGGTATATTTACAATTATAATCCAACATCCATTTGTAGATGACTAAACAAGTCATAAATAACTAAGTTAAATTATATTAGTTGTTTGAGTAAATAATTAGTACCATGAATTGAAAATCTTTACACTTATTACATAGTAATCCACACCATAACATACGCAACAACATTCAAGTGAAAGTGCGTTGTAATCTACTACTAGGACTTCAAGTGCTTTTTGTATAATAGAACAAACACATATTTTCTAAAGTATTTTAGATGACTAAACAAGTGAGAAATAACTTAGTTATATTGTATGATAAACGTACAATTATAATCCAACCTCCACTTGTAGATGGTTAAACAAGTCATAAATAACTAAGTTAAATTATATTAGTTGTTAGAGTAAATAATTACAGCCACGAATTAAAAATCTTTAGACCTATTACATAGTAATTCACACTATAACACACACAACAACATTCAAGTGAAAGCACGAGTTGTAATCTACTACTAGGACTTCAAGTGTTTTTTGTGTAATAGGATAAACACATATTTTCTAAAATATTTTGACCCATAACATAATAATCCGAATTGTCACACACTCACAAACTCAAATATCAATTAGTTAGAAACTTTTTAAAAAATAGTGACTCGGTTGAGCAGGCAAGTACTCCAACACAACTCCGATGTACCCCTTTTACATTTTCAGAAACCTCTGTTGTCAACAAGTCATATATAAAAGAGCATCATCACATACCTGCAATTTTCGTTCATCTATCATAATATATCAAATTTACAAAAGAGCTTCAATGCAACAACACTTTTACTGTTTTATATTTACGTACAATATTACATTATGTTTAGCACACCAAAAGTAATTATAAGGAAATGATTGACGGACATCCTATCAACAAAAAAAAATTACACCTTAAAATATCTACAACAATCGCGTCTGGCTTTAACCAAGTACCACAAATCAAGTTGAGTACTTCTGCAGCTGTAATTAAGATATCAACTTCATGAAAAATTTGTTCTGAATTTTCGGTAATGGATGAAAAATAATCACTTTTGTATGATGTTTCTGCCCATAAATGAATAAAAATATTGATGTTCAGTAACTTAGGGAAACAAATGTGATTATATAATTAATTGCACAATTATAGTACATAAATATAATATTTTTATGCACTAATCTAAATTTACTAGACTAAGATCAATTATAATTATATATACAATATATATATATCAATACCTGAATAAGTAAGGTTTCAGGTAATCCATCAATGCTACTTTTGCCAATCACCACAACATTTTTTCACATAATAACAACATTAGACTGTAGAAGAAACTCAATGCAATCTTTAGGAGTACAAGATATAAACAATATTTTTGATTAATTTATTATCTGACAAAACCTAATTATTTACTTACGGAGCTCATTTTTAAACTACACAATATGAGTTTTCCGTCACCTCACTTCCAATTTGTTGTTATCCATTATCTACGATTAGAAAATATTGAGGTATGCCTCTTTCAGTTAAGCTGCATACATATGAATAAGTTGTTCCCCAAATTATTTGCATTAATTTCTTTTCATTCACCGTACAAAGGTTATGTACTTAAATATGATAATCTAAAGCATTTTGATTTCATTTTCTACACCATAAATTGTCACAATAATGTAAAACAACATCCTATGTGCACCAATCAAACCAATCCAAAAAACAAGAATCTACACAATTAATTGTTGGGTGGTGTATATACATATCAACATAAATATGAATCTTTTAGAGTCCATCATACTTAAGTTCGAAATGTAATCAAACACATGTAATACACCATACTCACCTCTCCAAATACAAAAAAAACGAGAAAATAAATAGAAACCAAACAAACACTCAATGTTCTGTGTTTTAATTGTAATTTTCAATTACAACCGAGACCACAAACTTATTTGGTGAAAATAGATTTAGCAACAATTGTAATTTCAACTTCTTTTTTTACTATTACATTGACTGAATTCTTCCCAAAAAAATTGCAATTACTTCCGTTCGAGATCAAACTATTAGGGTCAATACATTTAATTTTACAATAAAGAATCACCTGAGTGCTCCAACTTTTCTGCAAAATAGGATGATCATTGTGAATATATATCCCGGATCGATAAGTTTATTCGAACAAACCTAATAAAAAATACAAAATAAATTAGCGGAAGTAAAATTCAAATCAATATTAATACGAATCGAAATTAAAATTAACATCGTAAAAACGAAAGGCATAATAGAGAAATCAAAAGAAGAAATGCAAACAAACACATCTAGTTAAGGACAATTTAAATAATTGTACTCACACTCTGGAATTGAATAAATTTCCAATTCTTGCGTCGATGAAATCGATCGACTCGGCGGCTTGGCGCGGCTGGATAACAGCTCTCCTCCGAACAGACCCGACCAGCCTCGGACATTGATCGGCAGCAATCGATTCTCCTTAGATCTACACCAAAATAACACTGAACAACGACAGACAGATTCATCGGTGGACAGCGACAAAATCGCGCCCAACTTTCTCCGATCTCCCTTCGTGATCTTTATCGTCGGGTTGTGGCGCCAAAAGGAAGGGGCTGACAGTCGAAATCAAAGGCTTCCGAAATCGTCGATTATCACCGGAGTTTAATTCTGTGGCAAGAGAATCGCGCGAATCTAACCAACGATTTGGAGTGGATTTGAGAATTAATTTGGTATGAACAAGGAGTAAGAATGAAAAAAATTTGTAAAAAAGGGAGTGCAGTGTAAAAAATTAGTATTAAAAACTTAGTGGGAATGAAGATTTAATTCCAATTGTACCTATTTTTGAACAATATTGTTGTATTTTTGTCCAAGTACAAATTGAAAGCTATGCAAAATAAAAAGAATGAAACACGATTTTAGTAGTCTACTGTGGGGAGTGAAGTCGCATTTATCTGATTATTTATTTTCTCCCCACGAACGAACCGACGAATGGACTTCCAAGAAAATTTTGGAGAGCTCGAGAATCGAAGCGAGAGAAGGGGTAGGGAGTAGCCAAATTTGGTGAAAATGGTGAACTACTTATTGTTGATAACTGCTCAGCTCGATAATCTCACCGATTTTCAGCCTCAAGGCGGCTGCGACGATCCTAATTTCACATACTACTTCAAAGTAATTCTTCACTTTTCACGTTTTAATCCTTTGTGTTGTTGAGTGATTATTTACATCTCTACGCAAATTTCGTCGATGTATTTGACTGGTCGAAGAAGAATTTGCATCAGTTTTACACCTTGTTGGCTTCAGTTATTGCATTTCCTGTTGTAGTTAGGTTTTGACTAGAGTTTTGCCATTTGCAAACTTCTCTCGTGCTTTATATCGGATTTTGGTTATTAATTGGTGCTGTTCCTGTCCTTTGATTATTCCAGACTCTTGCGTAAACATACCACTGTAACGCCGAATTAGGGCCAATGTTAGGATCGAAACACTACCCAGACCTAACTTCTGTTTTATTTGTTCTGTTGCCTATTTGTAGCTAAAATGTGGGAACTGCGGTGAGGTGACCCAAAAGGAGACTTGTGTAAGCTTGAGTGAGACAGTTCCTTCGACGAAAGGAAAGGGCGAGGTTCATCTTGCACAAAAGGTATGGATTTCTCTTTCCCCTCTCTGTCCTATACCTTGAAAAACATAAGTATGTGCATTCTAGATTCTGGGATAATTTTGCAAAGTGTTGAGAATGGAGAATAACATATCATTGAATTTGAGAATTTGGTTTAGGTCAAATGGTTTCTGACTAGATTCTCCTTACATGTTTCCAGTGTAACCAACGGACAAGATTACAATTTATGCTATCTCTGTTATTATTCTTTAGGTGTTGAATGTGATGGTGTTATGTGATCCATATTGTGCCATAGTGGTAAAAGGGCTTAATGCTGACAACGGTAGTTGATATATTTTTTATGCTCCTTGAAACTTTCAGTGTAAGTTCTGTTCCAGGGAAGGAACTATAACTATGATTACGGGCCATGGTCGTCCTTTGACTTATGAAGATTCTGAGGCTGCTAAATTTGCTCCTCTAATGTTATTTGACTGCAGAGGCTTTGAGCCTGTTGATTTTTCATTTGGCAGTGGGTGGAAAGCTGAATCTGTAAGTTCTGGCTCCTGCTTAAAGTTAGCAATTCTTTATCTCTAGAGAAATTGCCACTAAACTTGCTTGGTATTTTTATTATTTTTAGTCCATTTATCTAAACATCTAGCATCTGCCTCGTTGAATTCAAATTTGAGTTTTGATTATCTGCGTATGTTTTGCTTTGCGCAATACATTATTAAATGTTAATGTACTTCCCCTTTTCGCTATCTTCTTTCACTAGAAGTGCTTAATGTTAGGTGATTAATTGTTAAAACCATTATAGTTTGTTTCCTATCAATTCAAATTTGCTGTTCCTATTATTAACTCCGATTAGCTAATTTATGCGTCTTTGATATCACTATCTTTAACTGATCATAGTTGCAAAAAAATGACATTGTGTTGTTTGGTTTGTTTCGTTTGAGTAGATTGACGGGACAAAGTTCAATGATATTGACTTGTCAGGAGGGGAATTTTCTGAGTACGACGAGAAGGGAGAGTGCCCTGTTATGATCTCCGAAGTCCGTGCCATGTTCAATGTGGCCAAGTAGGTCAGCTAACCTTCACTTTGTGTTTTTCTAAGGCATGGTGCTGAAATAAACTAGTATCTCTTGTTGCAATAAATTGTTAAAAAGTGATCTGGTCTTATGTCATTGACGAACATCCTTACCTTTAGACACATGTTGAATTTGGAACTGCTGCTGATCTGTAAAGATTTTTAGTTTATAAAAATGCTTGTTATTATCCATGATGATATTTCTTTTATTTTTGTCGTACACTAATAGCAAGTTTCCATGTCCTATTCTATCCGAAAAGAGCTCAAATTGTTCAATGCATGCTGGTAATAATTAGAAATCCTAATTGTGAATGTGTCTGAATTGAGCTGTTAAGGTGTAAGGTTTGCAATATATTTTAGTCTAGATACTGCAGCTGTAGTAAGTTCTAGTTCATATGACAGCTTCACATCTGATTTACTATTATGATTGATTCCATACCTGGCAACAATATGAGTTTTTTTATTTAGCTCTTGGCTGGACAAACTTTCCAGTAATAATTGCTTTCTTGTTTGGACTACAAATGTACTGAAATTATTGTTAGCACAGCTAAGGTTTTGTCACCATGTTTTGACATGGACATAGATTTATTCTTTGGACTGCATTAAGATATAGGGGGGGGGGGGGGGGGGGCGCTATTGGTGACATCTCAACCATTAGTTTTCTCTACTTCCATTGTGTTGGTTTCTAGAGTTTAGTTATCCAACTGTTTGCAAATACTTTTGTATTTGTATTTGGCTTGTTTATATTTCTTTATTTTTCATATATTAATTGAGCTTGATTGCATGTTTGATTGGATTACCTTAGCCTTTAATCCCCAGTCTATGTTGGTGTTACTTCTGAAGGAAATAGTAAGATATAACAGAATCTTGACTCACTGATAGTAATGTGTATTTTGTTAAGGGGAAAAAATGAAGATTATTCCCATGAAAAAGCATGGTTAGTCAATAATAATCCTATTATAAAATTTTAACTAATTATCATTTTAATCAAAACTCAAAACTGGTCTTGCTGATATCCTATCAGTGGATTTTATTGATTTGGCTGTTGTCTTAGGTTGGTTGACCATGAACTTGTTTAGATACCCTAGAAAGTGCTATATAACTGTCCAAAAATAAAACCCTAAATTAAACTTAGACCATAGTTGCAGCCAAAAATGGGTTTGTTTGGACATGGAGTGAGAATTATTTGAGAATGGTAAAAGAAAAAAAAAAAGAATTAAAATAAATTCTGAGTTGATGCAAGTAAAAGAATTATTTATGTGTGTAGTTATTGGAATAAAAGAATTACTTATTTGCAGCATTTATATTTTATTAAAATATAATTTTTTTATTTACATATATTATAAAAAAAAATATTAATTAAATGAGTCACTCTTGTATGCAATATTATTCACTTGTGTGTAGTTATTGGGTTAAAATGGATGTTTGAATTTTGTTGATATCTTGAATGTGAGTTTCTAAAGTATTCGATCAATAAAAGACATTGTGTAGATATGGTTGTTTATCTCTATTTGTCTCTCACTTCCGTATAATTGACTTCAAATTATCTTATTAATTCCCATTTCCGAATGATCTGATCAGATTCCTAACTACTCGATGCTTTTCTTTTTCATGAATTTTTTTACTTTCCCTCATGTTGAGATTTCTCTTCTTGCATTTTTAGTCTTATTGCCCGTCATCAATGTTTGAAATATTGTTACTGTACGTGTGAGATGATTGCGTTTTAATTAACGATATCCATTACACTTTTTCTTGGGAGTTGGGAACTAGTCTCGAATCAAATTGCAGTGAGCCCAACTGAGCAGCGAACAACATGTATACGATAGGTCATCTCCAAATACGTTGCCACAGTAATTTTATTCAAACTATAATTCTATTTTTTATTATTATTCTTCAAATATTCAATTTTTTCTATTATTTTAAAAAAATTAGAAAAATAAAAAATAAATTTTAAAAATTAAAATTTTAAATTTTAATTTTTCTTTAAAAAAATAAACAACGCCATTTTTTGTTGTTGCTACAGTGCAATGCCAAAAAATAGTGTTAGACAACCGACGTCAAATTATCCAATCCAGAGCCATCATTAATGGCTTTGGGTTGAAAATGTCTTTAGTGCTTTGAACATACTTTTGTGTGTTAAGAGCAAGTCCACTGGACTCTAAAATTTTGAGAAATACCCTATTTTTTGAGCTAAAATACCAATCGACTCACATTTTAATTAAAAATAGATTTTTGGGGTTAATATGTAAATAGATAAAAGTTGAATAGAAATTATATAATTTTTTAAAAGTAAGAATATATGTGGAATATTATTTTTAGAGGAAAAAATTTAGTGGGTTGAAATGGAGTTAAAATTTAAAGAAAAATTTGAAGGAATTTTAGAGAAAATAAGGGAACGGGGTTGGAGATGACTTAAGAAGATGTTTATATGTTACATTATACTTTTTATTTCATCCAAATTTATGTTTATTTTTTTCAAAAAAAATAAAATAAAATTGATTATCGTATTAATATAATTTCATTTATTCTTTTAGTTAAAAAAACACACTACTTTATTTTTATTAAAATCTATGCTACTCAAATGGGCATAAAGTAATAGTATGCTGTCTCGTCTTGTGCTTCTAACTTAATCGAACTTTTCTCAGCCTCCATTCTATGCTTGGCCCTTGATGTTGGCCTTGTAAAAATTTAATAATATGTCTTTTTATTGATATTGTGAGAAATATTATGGTTTAATTAAGAGTAAGAACATGAAAATAATTTTATTGTACATATGTGAAAGAAGTCGTGCTCCAACCAATAAATTTACTTATAAGCAAGTATAACAATAAATCAACCATGTGTGAATTTAGTTACGTGAAGAGACAAGGGTCTTACCGAAGCTTTAACCATGAGGTGAGGTGCACGAAAAGACAAGTTTAAGACGGGACAGCCACGCACCTCTAATTGGCTGGCTTGCCTTGTTAATAAATTAAATAAAAGTAAAACGATGATCTGATCTTCAAGGATTTGGTTAACTAACACGCCGGCCGGCGTATGTATGCATCATCACGCACGCTGTTCCGCCAGACTGTACTTCTCGGGCAGCTGCCCCTACACCCTAGCGCCTGCCCCACATTCTCTCCTCTCTATATATAGTGCCTCGCATCACAATTCACAGCCTGTCTTGTCTGCCATTCACTCCTTTCTTCCGATATTTTCTGCTATACTTACTAGTATTTGATTAATTAATCTACTACTACACAACACTCCCAAGTTGCTGCAATGGCGGTGTCTCTGGCCAAATCTCTCATGTTTGCGGCGGCGGTCGTGGCGCTAGTCGGAGTCTCAGCGGCGCAGGAAGCGTCTGCGCCTGCACCGTCTCCGACGTCGTCCGCTGGAGGAGTGTCGCCGTCGATTGTGGTTGGGTGCGCCTCTGCTGTGGTTTCGTTCGTCTTGGGATCCGCACTCCGGATCTGATCTGCTGCTGCTGCTGCTACTCTCACAAGTAAGTAGTGGAGAATGTTGTAATGTGTATGGTATGGTATGCGTGTATAGTTTTGGATGGTGTTGTAGCGAGTAAAAGTATATTTGTGGGTGGCGAGCGGGCAGATCTGTTTGGTCTGTGATTCGATTTCATTTGATTTGAGTTCCTTGTGTTGTGACATTCTTTTATTTTCCTTTGTATGTATGTATGTATGTATGTATATGTAGCGCTGCTGAGAGATGGATGCATTTATTGTTATTATTATTATTATTATTTATTGACGTGCATTTAATTTAATTTAATTTAATTTAATTATAATGAATGGTGGTTATGTGCTCGCTCACTTGTTTTTTTTTGGCCATTTTTCATCAAGAAATTTTGCGTGCGAGTGAGTGAGAAGTGATGAATGTAATGCTGTTTCTCTCTCTCTTCTCAATTGGCAATTAAACATCACAAAAATGCATATCCGACTAGATCGTACTATTAAACATCCATATTTCCACTCACCAAATATCACAACTCTCTCAGACCACACAAACGACGACGGTGCAGATTTCTCATTTTCAATCTACAACCGCTGAAAAGCAAACCGACGGTTCAGATCTCTCCAAAATCCTTTCCTCTACACGGCGTTTATCCGGCTTAATAACAAACCGATGTCTTTCACGGCGTTAATGAATCTGACGACGCCGTTTGCTTACGGAATCTTATTAGTTATATGTCTGTAATGTTTAATTAATTCAACAAAAGGAGGCACCCCAACGTGGGTTAAGATCTGCTGTAATAACTTCAGCCCACATTATTCGGGTAATAGCTTCAGCCCAGCAGAGAGCATTCAATATTTTCCAGAACCTTCTAGGGCTTCCTCTCGACTTAAGGGACGGTGTAATGCAAGATGTATCATTTCTTTAAGGCGCATCTTCTAGAGCGCGACATATGATTTCGACCTCTCCGATCGCTGCAAATCAAGCCTTTCCTGCTGCACCTCCCCCTCTGAAATTCAAATTATTACTTGCCCGACGATCATCTGGTAATACCTATTGTTTTCAGTCCTCTCCATTTTAGACGTAATATGGTTGTATGTTGACTATTCCTTTCATGATAATTTGGTTACATTTAATTCTTCTTTTGTTGGAGTTGATGATGTATTTCGTAAGAATTTCGTTTATTGATAGTCGATGATTTTTAGAAACTGTCTGTGTATTATGTATATCTCCTCAAATTTGATCATGATATCGGTAGGTTTTTAAGTTCTTGTGAGGTGTTGCGATTCTCATGAAGAAGGCGGTTTCATAAGATTGAGGATTAAACGCTTTTTGTAATTTTTTTATTCGGCAAAAGTAACAACGGTTTGTTTTTACTTGTTTATTGTTGTATCCGTAAGTTGTATGAATCTGAATATGTGAAAAAAAATTGCAGTGTAAGATTCTAAGCAATTAGGCGATTTCAACCTAATTTTTCAGTTGATTGCTTGAAAGGTAGAAACCCTAGTCATGGTAATTGGATCGGTTTGATCCTGACAAAAGTGGCCGACGAGTTTCTGTGCATCATCACCGAGCTATGGAAATTTATCGCTCTTACCGTTGATAGCTTTTTTATGGGATTGAAACATTTGCTGCAGTAGATGGCAGACTTATTTAATTTGAGCCCTAAACATAATATAGCAGTTTATACACTGATAAATGCCAGACTCCACTCAAGTTTGAAGTGTTGATCTTGGTGCATTTGAATATTGCGCTATAAATTTTACAATATTAATTCTGATACATACAAATCATTATATTTGCTGCGTTCCTGTGTTTATTAAACAATATGTGAAGAATTTATTCTTCTGGTCCTTAATGAAATTGTTAGATGTTGTTATTTGTCTCAATGAGATATTAAAACTACCTGTTTTTGAGCTATTGGCTGTTCCTAGTCTCAAAGACTGCTTGTTTCTGTAAAATCTCAACTACAACGTTCTTCAATTGGATATTACTCTTTAAGTGTTATAATTTGTTTATTTCTTTCCCAGAGAGCTATGAACCAAACAAAATGCAAGGAGGCAGAGATCTATTCTTTCTGATAATGAGAAGATGAAGATGAACACGGGGAGGAGAATTAAGGTAATTCAAGAAAACATTGCAGATCTACTCAAGAGCCATCAATTGTGGATCCTGATGTTTTGGCTTTTGGAATGTTGATATAAATGTTGGTCCTAATGTTGGTTTAGACTGATGGGAGTGATAGACTTAATCTACCCTGTTGTAGAGAAAAAGAATTAGCATATGTCTCAAAGAAATGACAATAACCAGACACGCTCAACAAGGAGTCAGTCCCACTCACATGCTTCACTTTTCAAAGCTCTGTTGTTTCTTATCGTGGTGAAAATGGTGCCTGGCACATATCTTCTAGGAGCAAGTGGAATCTTTTTGCCTGAATTTTGTTGCTTCATTTATATTTTTAGTCACTGTTGAATCTGATTCTCATTCAAGTATGTTGTATAATCTAGTTGACTTTTGACGAGTGCAAAGAAGCTAATTAAGCTATCTGCCATGCAATTCAGAGAATTTCAAGAGGACTTCATGACAAGGTATTGTTTTTAACTCTTCTGCTACTGCTTGCTTATCGAGTATATCAATCTCTAATCTTGGATAGAGGATTGTTTAACCAGTGAGATAATGTATTTAGGGCATTCTGTTGCACTAGGAATCTTCTTGGATGGAGTGAAGAGCTTTCTATTCAAGATTCTATGGGTACAGTATCTTCTGTGTTTCTCTACCACTCTCTCCCCCTCCCCCTGTTTTTCTCACAGTGAAACACACCGGATATTAAACTCTGGTTCACCTTGTTTTTCTCCTGGTACAAGGGATAAGAATGCTGTTCTGATTTTAGAAGCATAAAGCATGTATGATCCTATCAATGCATTTGGTGGTGTGGTCTCTGCCAAATTAATTGTTTGTACTGTCTTGTTGATATTGAAAATAGGCAGTTTTTTGCATGTGATGCGACATTGAAATGTGGTTGCTTCTTGAATTCTTGATGCAACTTGTTCCAACTTTGCTTTATATATTCATTTTTAGAAGGTATTCATGGTTTAAGCATCTTCCTTAAATTAAATCAGCATGAGAAAGACATTTTAGTAAATGTGTGATGTAATACCTTCTGGTTATTCTGTTATTATTCTCAACCATTGTATTTGTATTCTTATCCATCTTGCATAGTAGTTCCTTGATGGTTTTAATGTTACTTCATTCAAAATTTCTTCCAGGGTCTGAACAGAAGGCAGTCAGCACAGGACCTAATAGAGGCGGCTGGGCACTCCCTCCTGTTGCTGCTGAAAGAGAAAAAAATGTTGGAAAGTATGGCCATTTCTGAAAAGAATGAAAACTGTATCATAATGATCGATTGAACAAGCTCCACACCACAGGTCTAAAAGGAAGCAGCTCTATCTGTCAAGCTGGTAAGCTTTAGGAACCTTCTATTTCTCTCTACATCCATGTTACATCTATGATCAAGTAGCTGCACGTGATGAGGCATTCAATGGCTAATAAGGAGAGGAGAGCAATATGCTTGTGGTGGTGTGTTTGAATGCTATGGACTGTACTGTATAGATATATGTATATAGGTCATAAATATGTACTGATTTTGGGTGATATAGTCTCTGAGATTGCCCTCCTATATAGTATCTTCAGCTAGTGGGCTTTGCTAGAAAGCCTTGTTTGGGAATATTTCTGCAATAGGCTGTTTTATTCCATTCCCTCTGAACTATCCAGGACAAATAATCTGGGAGGCGAGACATGATTATTTGCCTGTTGTGAGCCCAGAGTGCTTAAGGTAGAGTCGGCACTTATGGGTATGGGTGGCGCAGATACTTGGAGTGAAATAGGCCAATAAAGCTGTCTGCTCCGTTTGTGGGGTGGGGGGCTTGCATTGCATCCATGTCTTATTGTAAGCCCAAAGTGTTGTCTGCTCTTCCATTAGGCCCAGGTGGTTATAACGTCACCTGTAGGTTCGGGTCCAGAATTTTGTCCGCTTCTTGAAGACAATGAGAAAAGCTAGAAAATGCCGGTGTGGGCATATGTTGTGGTCACTGTACAGCCGACAGGCCCAACCCAATACATTCCGCGGCAGTCCAATAATATCGTTTGTTAAATGCCCCACCGGCACAATGTATTAAAATAGCCAATGGGACCAGTGAAATAGCGGTGCAGCCGAGCAAAATAATAGAGCAGAGGCCCAGATCCTTGACCGTTAATTGCCGCCGCACCCTGGAAAATTGACGGCACAGGCCCGGTACTATTGTCGGCATATTGGTGACAGGCCTAGAAAAATGCATAATTTTTGTCGGCTTAGTGCCAACATGTTCATAATTATGCCGGCTCATAGCTGACAGTCTCAGTCAATTGGCGGCGCAGACCAATTGGGCCAATAAATTGCAGCGCAGGCCCAAAACAAATTGCAGTGCAGTACAATTGGGCCAGCAAATGGCAGTACAGGCCCAAACAAATGACGGAGCAGGCCTAAGACATTGTCGTTGTATTGCCGACAGGTCCAAGAAATTACGGCGCAGATCAGAATAATGTCCGTGTATTTTGGACAGCCAAACGGATAAGTGTTGACAATCTAGGAACATGTCGAGCCTTGCCACTCTCTTGTCGGCTTAATGCCGACAGCCCAGAACTTTGTCGGCCCGCGCCCAACAAAATGTCAGACCAAGCCCACGGTGCAGGCCAATTGGGCCAGTAAATTGAAGTGCAGGCCCAAACAAAAGATAGTGTAGGCATGTATTGTCATTGAATTGCCGACAGGCCCAGTAAATTGACGGCGCTGATCAGAAAAATGTCTTTGTATTCCCGACAGCTAACGGATAAGTGCTGACAATCCACAGACATGTCGGCCCTTGCCAGTTTGTTGTCGACTAACGAGCCCAATCTTTAGATGCACAACAAAATGTCAGGCCAAGCCCATTGTGCTGTCGGCTCTTTGCTGACAGGCCCATAATGCTCTCGGCTGTGTCCAAACAGGTCCAGTAGAGTGTTCGTGTAGGCCCAGATATTTTACCTAGTTTTTGCAAGCTCATTATGCTTTCGGCCGAGGCCCATTTTCTTGGTCCAGCACTAGAATTCTCTCGGCCTATGCAATGCACTCCCAGCACACTGCGCTAGGCTCGATAGGCCATTCTTGCCCTCGGTCGAAGCCCACAATGATGAAGGAGACAGGTCCAGCTTTTGTAACAATTTAATTAAAGTAATAATTTATATTTACATAAAACCAATTCGTGCAAAGCAACTAATTTTATCATTTAAAATTTAGTGAATTATAATAGAGTTCTATAAACTAGTGAGTGCTAATTTAAATACTAATAAAATTTAGAGTGGCTGATCAGTAAAATAAGTTATAACCAGAAAAAGACGAAACGCAGAAAAAACATAGAGGCACACAATCCATCCATCCATGCGCATTTTCTCCACAAATAATGAACACGTCACACAATGCAATGAGCATCTGAAACTAAGGCCACATAAACCCCCCACAGCATATAAAATAAAATAAAAACACAATGTGGAACATGGGTGAGTCAGTGAGCGCTCCACAATGGTGGTGCTATGCAGCCAAGGAAATTATTCGCTTCTTCTAATTTGATCTTTTGTTCATATTTAAAAGGATAATGGGATCTTTATTATTTAAATGTTAAAAATAAAATATTCATTTATCAGCACCTACCTTGATTTGTGTACGTGGCAAGAATCCCACAAGTACTCTCTTAAAAGTTTCCTAAGCAACCGAACCATCAGAAACACCTAGCTCTAGCTACACAACACATAGGCATGTTAATCTTCACAAAAAGATAAGGAAAGCGAGATGTTAGAATAACTAGATAAAAAACAACAAACTGACAGATCAAATACAACAAAATTCAACTTTATAACGAAGCATTTGAGTCCAAACAACTCAAGATAGAAAGAAAGATCATAAATATGAAATAATGAATTTGAAAAACATGCCCAAAAATCAAAGCAAATAAATGTTGTTGGCATGAGTTTATAGTAGAGCTTCAATAAGACCCCAAATAACTTCATGTCCTCCAGGAGATTGTGGACCACATAAAGTCACTCCAACCCAGAGATTGGATAAAGGTGAAATATATATTATATATCTTTCAGTAGAAACCTAGTAAGATAGCATCATATTAAGATGCAATGCCAATTGCTATAGAATCCTAATATAGCCAATGATCGGTTAGCAGTCATGTATTCATGAAGTTAAATATTTGAACAACCACTGGAATACCTAACTACAGAATGCTCAGTTATTATCTGAGTATCAGGAACCGTGGCAGTGGCCTGCAGGAAATATGTGCAAGGTTGAGTGTAAGTGTGAGGAAAAGACCTACTCATGATGCATAGTGTCCCCAGTAGATGTTACATCACCAAAATCTACACCAACCCTTTCCCAGCCAGCCCAATAAAAAGAGATATCGCACTGGCAGAACTAGAGAATTTTAAAAGTTGAACATAAAAAATGTATATAGAAGAAGTATACTGTAAAATCAACAAAGAATGATCCAAAATATCATAAGTTCAAGTATGACATTACTACAATGCTCAAATGGCTTTAAAAGCAAACAAATGTTTCAATTGAACCAAGAGATAAAAGCCAAGATACGTAGTCAAATAGCAAACTCCAATGCACAAACAGGCATGCCTCTTCTAGAGTTCTATGGAAAGAGACCTTCAAACAAGTTGTAGCTTTGAATATAAAATATTAAAGGGTTTCAAAAATTCAACAGCAAGATGTTCATTAATCTTTGGTAAAGTAAAGCACATAGCAGCAAATAAAGATGAGGAAAAAAATTGCTCGTGAAAATCAACTAACTTAAGAAACATATTAATACCAAAATTTATGGCAGTGATATGTTGCAGCAATTTATATTCGCTAAATTATATACACATCCACATTTTGATTTAGTAACCAGAGCCCTATACTGAACAAAGCATATTTTTAGTTGAATTGGAAAGTAGTCCGGGCAAACATTCAAAACTCAAATGTGCAACTGAGAACCTGATGCAAGGCAAACTACAGTGGAATCTTTGGTTTCTTCTGAATTCCATAACTTCATTGCCTCAGAAGAAGTTCCAGCTACCACCAAAACCTTTACTAAATCCAAGGGGCCAGACTCAACAGGACTTGTGTGACTAATAGGATCAGAGGCTACTTCCTTTAGGCATATCCGTTGATGAAGAAAACAGTCACTGATGGTTTTACCCAAACTGAATTATCAGAACAGTTTATAAACTACAATATAGAAGAACAAATGCCAACAATACTATATAGATTACAAGGAGCGAAGCTTGTACAAATATATGGCTTAGATCAAATATCTATATATTATGGAGAGGACAAAAACATATGTATCCCAAATTATATCAATATTTCTATCATGCTATTTCACTGCTCGGAATGCGTAATAATTCATGAATCACGGATATTAACAAAACAACAATCTCAATTGAAAATGAGCTACGTATGTCACTAATTTAGGAACACCCACGTATCTTCATGATTCATGGAAACTCCATCACATCCGATGCACACACAACACATAAACACGTGAATTCAAAGATTTTACAACTTAAACCCTAAAATTCCATCAGAGGATACGCAATTTATACCCGCGCATCGCCATTCTCCCAAACCAAGGCCCAAATCATCGAACCGGAGTCAAGCCCCAACGGAAAATTGAATACCGAAACCAGAGGACAACCACACACAAGGACCGGACTACACAAACAACTGATTTCCAAAACAACAAAAAAAAGAAAAAGAAAAAGGAAACCCAGCGAGACAAACCGCAGTAAGAATTCGTCCTCTTCCTTTCTTCAGCCGGCTTCGTCTCCCACAGCGCAGATGATTCCGTGAACGATTCGCCGTCGATTTCTTCTTCTTCTTCAGCGGGCTTCTCGTGTTGCCTATAGAGATTTTTTGGTGAACGGTTCCAAAGAAGTTTGGAAAACGTGAGCATAGAATGTAACCAAGTTCTTTCTTTTTCACATTGCGCAACGGAACATTATATACGACTTACAAACCCGGCCCGAATAAACCGGTCTTCGTCGTGTCGGGTTAAAAAAAAACTGATCCTAGAGCAACTAATTTTTCGTAAATAAATTAAGCTACTTGTACCGTGACGTTAATTTCATAAATAAATAAACAATATATAGATCGCTTGGAAAATTGTCATTTTAATGACCTCTTCAACTGAACACACTACTAATTTTATTTTTATTACATATGATGATACTACATTGTTACTGTATTATACAGATAAATACATAACAAGTAGATAATGACACATAAAAAGGCGTGTGAAGTGTGGGGCATGTTGAAATGAAGAGATTTGATTCACATAAACAAAGCAAGCTAAGAAAGCAAGCAGTAAGTAAAGTTGTAGATGAATATGAATATCCATCACCATCACCATGATCAGGTCAGGCGGAGAAGCCTCTGTGGAGAGAGCTCCAGGAATTGGAAGGGAAGCTGGAGCAGACTTGGGCAGAAACCTCAGCCATCTGTTCTTTCGTCACACCGGCATTGCACATATTGGCCATCGATCGCATGTGTTTCATACCGTACTGGGATAGGGATCCGCAGTAGCTCTCGAAAGTTCTCACCTGCATAAATAAATTCAGTTCATGATATTACTTACATAGGGGTCGAGGAGCTTATCGATGTAATAGAAGAATTTACCAGAGACTTGAGGCAAGTCCAATCATCCACAATAGGCGCTTTGGCTGGTCGAACAGCTTTCAGCACTTCAGGGCCCTTGTCAATGCCAAATAGGAGTTTTCCGATGAGTGTAATACTACCATCAACATGTGTTCGGTGCGCTATAGCTTCGGCAAGCTGCTTCTGGGCGTTTGATTTCCTTGTAGAGCCTTCAGGGGCCTTACGAAACTACAATACCAGATCAAGCCATAACTCAAAATAAGCTTTTGGATAAATGTTCCAATAAAAGCAGTAGTTCATAGGAGGGTACTATCTGGAGCTATATTCTTGTTTAAAACTCGATGAAATGGAACAAACAAATGTATAATTTCAGATACCTTGTCCCAAAAATGTAAAAGCTCGGCATCACGCTGGTTAACAGCTTTTGAGGGTGATCCGAGATGCAGCATGTTGTCTTTTGCAAAAGTAAAATTGTCGTTTGCAGGATTTGTGCCTATATACGAGTAAAGATCCTCCATACTTAGTTGGAGATCACCGTATTGCATGACATGGGATCCATATGAGTTTCCACTGAAAGCAGTTCTCTGTCTGACCTGCAAATTCCAGCAATTCATTATGAAAGAGAAATAAAGACAAATATGAAAGTTTTGGCATGATTAGCAAATCCTGGATACATAGCCTGCTTCATCATCATAAACATTTGACGGCATGCATCGAAATATGCAAAGCAATTTGGTTTTTGAAAACTTAAATCAAGTAACTGGGTGGATAAATCAGGATAACACCTGCATTAACAGATTCTTACCAGATGATATTGTTGCCTCAAAGTTTCAGACCGAAGGTTGTGAATGTCACTGTTGATAATGGCATGTAGTGAGTAACATTCAATATAAATCAACAGAATATGCATTTGGAGAAAACAAATTCTACATAATACCACCCATTTTACATTCATATAGTTGTTAAAAAATTCAAGCTCAAGTATGGAACAATATATGCATATACCTGTCCTCCATCCAGGAAACACTGTATAGATCGCCTAAGCAGGTTTCATATTCATCAGGAGGACCAGGATTATCCCCAGGGCAATAGGTTCCCCAACTGTTTTCTTCGGCATTTGATGCAGTGGTTGCATATATATTCAAGCCCAGAGGAAGTAGGCCTTCAAAGATACTTCCTGATTCGCAAGCTTCAACATAAAATACCTAGAGATAATAAAGATAATTAGGCATGGCACAATTATTGCTAGAAAGATCAATAATGTTAATGTTAGGCAACCAACTGACAGACCAAGCTTTTATATGTCCCTGAAGCGTGTTTCTTTTTCAAAACTTCAATCAGATCATCGGCATACAGATAAGGATTGGTAGGCATACCTGAACAAATTTAATAGCACAACCAGTTAGGCTGAAAGCAAAAAACAAGACCTCATCATATGAAATAACATTGCAGAAAAAATATATTGTATTAATGGTTCTAGCAGAACGACCATAAATTTTCTCCACAGCAACAACGGCCAGAATCAACAGAATGTAGTTGCTACAGAAATTAGTGTTCTGACAGGTGATTACTCTTATCAGGAAGAAAAAAATCAGCTAAGATATTGCTTACAATTGGTTCAGCAATCTCTACTTACATTAAAATGCTATCAAATGGTGAAAGGTTGGAGTAATTTGTTTATTATGCAGTAATAGTATAGTTCACGAGCTAGAATCTAGAAGTTACAGAATACTAACCGAGCACCCCAGCACCACCATGATCAGAGTAAAATATGAATATATGATCATCTGGACCGCTGTTAACCACTTTTCCGCTGCCTCCTCTAACTGCAGTCTTGTTCCCAAGCAGAACCGCAAAAAAGTTGCTGACGGTAACATCATCTCCAACATAATCCTGTTTCATGAAGGTTCAGCATGTCAAAATTGAAAAAACAACTTCAAATCAAATGAACAAAATTGACTTGAGAATAAACCTTTGGGACTCCCTTGTAGACATCCTCGCCATGGGGACTATTTATGATCACACCAGGCCTTGGATTTTCTTCATTATAGGCAATGTCATCATACATGAAAACAACAATGTTTTCGTCTTTTAGACCACCTTTTTTTAGGATTTGGTACGCATGGCAAACATCAGCCTAAACAACAAGACATGTTAGTATCCATAACTGGATGAGTAACATTTAAATGAGAATTTGAAAATTTCTCATAATGAACCATTTTCATTTTTGGGAATAGCACGGTGGGGCAACTACATTGTAATGCTAGATAAACTATGCAAATTGAGATTAATTTTTGGTAGTACAAGGTTATGATTTAGATTAATCGGTATCAATACATTAAACAAGTACATACCACAACATCCAAGAATTATGTAAAAAGCAAAACCATTGTCAATGTCCACAACTTATTTACGTTATGAGCTGGTCCCGAATTCATACAATCATCAAAACATATGCAGTGGCAAAATTACTACAAATTTGAGGTATAGCATATGGGCCTCCTCACCCATTAAGTATGACTACATGTTGGAGATAGAGTGAGCTGATATTTTAGGGAAAAAAAAAACCAAAACCTCCTGGGTCCAGCCATTTAATCCATTATGTAAAGATTATATTGCCGTTATGAACACTATTCCTGCAGCATATAGGTTAGTTTGCATACATAAATCTTAATAACCACAAAAAATCAAGGCACAACATTTGAACATGAACTCTCCGAGATGGAAATAAGTTCAAAACTCAGGAAAATACACTAATTTATAAAGATGCAAATATTTTGGATATAAGCTAAAAGACAATCAAGCTCAAGTCGAGACACCTGGAGATAATTCCATCATCAACAGAAAATGACAGACAAAATTGCAAAAAAACAACAGCTAATTTACTTGAACAGAAAAAGGTAAAAACTCACTATCCTTGGACATGATATACTATAGAATTACAGTAAATAGAAAATACCGAACAAATAAACAGTTCAATATTTTGTTATGGTATGTATTAGTTTCTCAGGTTCTTATCTCTTTATAGTAAGAAAGACAAAATAGAAAGAAGGTAAGGCCAGAAACAATCAACTCTGGACTTTGAAAAAAAAAATTCATTGCCACGAGAAACTCTATGTACTGAATTCCATACAAGTAACACTAAAAAAACTTGACCTGGAACAAGAAAAGCGTTCTCCACAGAAAATTTCCTAATTCCTCGATGGACACAAAGACCAAGAGTAAAAATTCTAGATTGGATTTTATTTTTTTGCAATTGGATTGGCATAGTAATCACCTGGTGTCGATAATTCCAGTAACCAGTGGATCCAGCCAATAGGATAGCCCATCTCGTCCCCGAAAATCCGTTGACTGGTGTGTCGGTGAATCTGCGAGCTTCAGACGGAAGCTTAATGAAATCCTGGCCATCGGCGAAGGTGAAGATCGATAGTGCGAGGAGGAAGAACGCAGCAACTGCGTCGCGCGTAACCATCCTGTCGTCCCCAGCACAATACAATACACGATGTATCAGCAGGGTTTGATTGAATTTGACGACACCACTATCAATCTGTGTTGTATATATATATATAATATTGGGAATATCAATCATGTATGAATGAATTGCGTGAGAGTGAAGTCCCGGATAATCCCAGTTGGGCCTACCAAACCCACGGGTCTTCATCGGGTCGGGTCTAGGTAAGATCGAATCAGGTAAAAGGTTAGGGTCGGATCTTGGAGATTGCCATACCCGACCCATGCCATTGTAGGTGTGCCGTGTAAGCCGCCATTGCTGGAAGGGTTTGCGACTGAAAAGTCATCGTTCTCACCAAACTTGCATTAATTACTGTTCTCATTTCTTCAAATATCAAGGAATCCTCGAAAACCCTACTGCTTTCTTCTCCCAAAGAATAACGCTTTTGCTGCTCAGCTCACGAAGATCGCCTCCTCTCTTCGTTGATCATATTTCTTATTATTAACTTTGGAAGGGGTTTTGTTGGTTGATTACACTGCAAGATGGAGGCGGCAGCGGGATCGGGGATGCTTTCCCAAATCAATTGCAATCAGAACCCTAAGTTGTGAGCGCTTTATGCAATTATGATTACGATTTGTATAAGCAAAGATTGATGTATCAATCTGCTGTATGAATACTGAATTCCTGTCGTCCCCAGTATTTGGTGTTTTAGTGGGATTGTTTAGTGATTGATTTTCATCAACATTTGAAAATATACTTTTATGTGTGTTATATACATTGATGATCACGAACAATTTAGGATGATCCCGGCATTTGTATATCATTATGTAGTAGAATGAGTTGGAATTAGGCTTCGTTATGAACTTATAGATGAAGAATTTAACCTATATATCAATGAAGGCAGGTCTTTGATATTAACCTTCGTACTTTTGCAGGTTGCGTAGGGTACCTAAGTTTGCACCATCCTTTGTTAAATCCGAAATCACCGGGAAATCTAATTCAAATCAGAATGGGAATACTGGTGCTGGTAGGCTTTCGATCAGTCAATCAGCCTTCCAAAGGTACATGATTGGGCGGACTTTTTGCTCGGCTGGAGCATGCATGTTTCCTGTGGATGCTATCGATTCACATCCACAGACAAAAGAGGAGAAAATAGGCGTGATGCTTTTGAATCTTGGAGGGCCCGACACACTCCATGATGTTCAACCATTCTTGTACAACCTTTTTGCCGATCCGGTATGTTGTTGTGTATGCTTATCTAACTTGGTTTGATGGTTTGATGGCTCTTGATGTTGCTTAATGTAATGTTACAGGACATCATTCGCCTTCCGAGATTGTTCAAGTTCCTCCAGCGACCCTTAGCAAAGCTAATTTCAGTGCTTCGAGCTCCCAAGAGTAAGGAAGGTTATGCTGCCATTGGAGGTGGTTCCCCTCTACGTAAAATAACCGATGAACAGGTATATTATGCTGCAATTATTTCTTTAATGCTCAAAAGCTTGTCACGGTTTGAACTTGACTCGTTAATTAGCTTAGGCAAATATGAAAGTAAAATGTATTCTCGAGTAGCTTGGTTCACTTGACTAAATGAGGAGCTCAAATTTGTAATTTGAGGGCAAATGTATCATCTTGCCACATTCAAATGTATGATAGGAATTTTGATATGAACAGGAGTTGTTTTTGGAATTAACGACACTTTGGCATCTTATTGACTCAAATTTGGTTACTCTTTACAGGCAAATGCATTAAAATCAGCTCTCGAAACTAAGGAAGTCAATGCTAATGTCTACGTGGCAATGCGGTATTGGCACCCTTTCACTGAGGATGCAGTTCATCAGGTAGCTATCCGAGGCGAGCTGGATTTTGTTATTAAATTGTAATCATATATTTACTCTTCATTTCTTGATTATAGATTAAGAGAGAGAGAATCACAAGGCTAGTTGTCCTGCCACTCTACCCTCAATATTCTATCTCAACAACCGGATCAAGTCTTCGTGTTATTCAAGACATGTTTATGTAATCCCACTCTCATTCTGCATCCATCACTTGATTTCAACAATCGCAATATTCTAATTGAATTCAATTATCTTATCAGGCGCGACCCATACTTGTCCAGACTACCTGTGGCCATCATACAGTCATGGTATCAACGACAAGGTTATATCATGTCTATGGCCGACTTAATTGAAAAGGAGTTGCAAACTTTCCCAAACCCCGAAGAGGTAAGGATTCTTCATGAAATGTGTTGAGTTAATGTGTTGTAACTCCAAATAGTAGTAGCAAGATTAAATGATATGTTTTTGGGTTATAGGCGATGATATTCTTCAGCGCCCACGGGGTGCCAGTTAGTTACGTTGAGGAGGCAGGTGATCCATATAAGGATCAGATGGAAGAGTGTATTTTCTTGATAATGCAGGAACTTGAATCTAGAGGAATTAATAATGATCATACTTTGGCTTTTCAGGTTGGTTTTCCCAATTTGTGCTACTTAATTCTTTGCTACTGTATCTGCTTTGTTGCTGACTTCTTTATGGGCCACTGTTGATTGAAAACAGATCACTAAATTATTCTGATTTAATTTTTCAATCTTGCTCTAGAGTCGCGTAGGACCTGTGCAATGGTTAAAGCCGTACACTGATGAAGTCCTGGTGGAGCTCGGCCGACAGGGTGTGAAGTCTCTCCTCGCAGTTCCAGTGAGGTATGAGTTTGAAATTATGCTTTTTGTCTGTAATATAGCTGATTGGGTCAAATGAATTATAACCAGAGTTAAAACTAGTTGATGAAACTGATATATCTCCTGCGCTTGCAATGTTTGACATTCAGCTTTGTAAGCGAGCACATAGAAACACTTGAGGAGATCGACATGGAATACAAAGAACTGGCTATTGAATCCGGGATTGTCAATTGGGGGCGCGTCCCTGCTCTCAACTGCACACCATCGTTTATTGATGATCTTGCAGATGCAGTCACTGAAGCGCTGCCTAAGGCTACGGCACTATCAGCTACAACTACGCCTAGTGCTGCCTCGGAGGAAACTGAAACTGATACTGACATGCTCGGATATGTTGTCAAGATGCTGTTCGGTTCGCTCCTTGCTTTCATTTTGCTGTTGTCGCCTAAGGTGATCATGGCTTTCAGGAACTTCGTTGTGTAGGAAAACAGGCCAGGCCGAGGATCGTATGGTTTTTGTGGTGCGGAGAACTATACAAATAATAGGATGATGCTTCCTAACCTTACATATGGTGAAATTTACAGAATACTTTTGATGCATCTGGGCTTTTGATTACACTAGTCTTTCTACAGAGATATGTGACAATGTAAGAGGGGATTGATAATTTGGTGATTGCTTATTGCTTATTGCAGCCATCCTTTTTGTGCACCTGAGTTCTTGATTATATTTCAACTTCAAATACAGTAATGTTTTGCAATGTATGGCAACTAACTAACACTTAACGCCTGCTGAATGTAAAACCTTCTAAGTCAAGCAAACCCTGTCTGCAATTGTCACGATTAAAAGCAAACAAAAAATGACACAAGAATCCCCAAAGCAAAATGTTAAAAACCACCACATCCACAGTCACTAAGTTTAGACTCCAGATATTTGATAAGGCATAAAAAAAAAAAAAAAAAGAACTGATCATTGTCTGAACAGCAACAACAGTATATCATTTACCAGTCATGCTGACTAGCTGGGCGGTGATGCTTCGGCGGCAGCGGCACTGCCACCGGGTTGGGCAGGTTGAGTTTGGGTACTACCACCAGCAGAGCCATCAGCAGGGTAAGCCTGGGGCTGGGAATATCCACCGCCATAATAACTGTTATACTGCTGTTGTTGGCCATAACCAGCTTGAGTTGCTGGCGCTGCTCCATAAGGCTGCCCCCCATATCCCGGCTGCGATGTCATATAACCACTGCCTTGAGCAGCAGGGGCGGTTCCATAGCTACCCTGGGAAGATGGAGGAACTCCATAACCTGGTTGGGGTGGGTAACTGGGGTTGGGAGCAGGTTGACCAGCTGAATTGTATGACTGTCCGGATGCAGGTGGTTGAGTGGGTTCGCCCTGTGATCCATAGTTAGCAGTGTTGCCATCAGCTGGAGGGTTGGACACATTACCATAGGTAGAGTTGTATCCTTGGGACTGTTGGTCGTATCCGGAAGCAGGGTTTGATTGTGGTTGGCCATATCCAGATTGAGCAGTGTTATATCCCCCATATCCATCTTGGCCGTAGCCTTGACTGTAGGATGGTGGCTGCTGACCATAACCATATCCAGAACCATCTGATGGAGCACCAGAGCCCCCATGTTGTTGCGGTTGCATTTGCTGCTGCTGCTGCTGGTTGTAGTAGTCGTAGCCACCTCCCTGGGCACCCTGCTGATTTTGTGATTGGTCCCAGTTCGTAGGATAACCACCGGAGGTGGGTTGAGTAGGATAGCCAGAGTAAGGGGGTTGGTTCATGTTGTATTGGGGTGGCGGACCAGGGTAAGGACCAGACTGGGTATAACCATAACCAGGTTGCTGCATAGGAGGTGGCTGCCCCCAATTAGTTGGGGGTCGTGCTTGGTACCCTTGCTGATTATATCCTCCGGTCATTGAAGAAGGATTTCTCATCCGATTCTGCAAAAAATGCCATAACATAACAAACAAGAACATACAACATATATATGCACACATAAATGAGGGACAATGAAACACAAACATAATAATAGAGCATAGGCGAGAAACAAGTAAGCAGCAGAAAAAGAAATGTAGCATATACTATCAGGGCCGATTCAGATAAGCACAATATACATTGCACAATTGCATCAAGACAGAGAATAGTTGCCTACATACCGTTCAAGTTGATTCGTACTTACTGGGTACCTCCGGCAGAAGCCCATCTTCTTCCTATTCGAAGTGAATTGATGCAAAAGAAAATTGCAAAGACGAGACAACTATATCCATATATAAGCCGGATGGCTGGGGGCTAATAGGACAAAGGTATAATACTGAAGGCTCTAATATCCCAAGTCATGTTTTCAATCCAATCAAACAAACAGTTCACAACAGTATAATCCATTAGAGTAGATGAAAGGCTGTACACATATGTTGCTGTAATCAAACCATTTTGTCCCTAAGAGATGTTATATTTGTGGATTATATATTTAGTTCACATAAGGATAGGTTGAATAGAATTTGGACCCCCTAATAAAAAATTCATATTTAAAGTGATTAAACTTAAAAATAATAAAATGAGTTTTTACAATACTCAGAAGTAGCATGAATTGTTAAAAGTACCTCTGATAAAGAACAGTAAATGTGCAGGACAGAAGATGTAAAATAATGGACAGACAGAGACAGTGATGAAAAATCTTGGGACATTATTCAAGCAAATGCATACTTTGAATCTTTGTCTAATAGACTAATACATATACACCCATCACCATCCACACATAGGCTTTTGTATGCAACCTTCTCTAACATGGTAAACAATCTCTTTTTACTAAGGTCACTCTTCCTCTTCCCTTGTCATGCAAAACAAGGAGTTTTATTTGATAAAAAATCATTTTAAGCATATAAATTCAGTAATTTTAATCTGGTAAGCAATACTATCTTAACTCTAATAGTCCATAATATGAAATCTATTATTAAAAAGCTCCAACAAGAGACGGCAAGCTATACACGTCAACTAAGAAAAATAATAAAAATCCTGCTTAGTTACCTCAGTGTCAAGATTGTGGACAACCTGTCACACAAAAATATATTTGGGAGAAAAAAGAGGTAAAACATCTAAAAAGTCCTCCCCATGATCACCACATCATCAAGCTGATACATAATGAATCAAGCTACAGCAATAATGGATGGGGAAGAACACAAAAAACTACTACCGAATTGGACAAACACTAAAATATGACAATATAGTTAATCATTATTATGATGCATAGACAATTAACTTGATATCTAGAACCTACACTGCAACTAAAAAATATTATCCAAACCAGACATCACGGTGTTCTTCATCCCACAGAATAAGAACAGCAAAGGCTGGACTCCACCATCCAGGGATCTTTGATAGTAGTGGCAAAAGAAATCTGCAAGTCTCTATATATACAATGGCAAAAATAGGAAAGGCAGAGAGACATATGCAATACAAACAAAGTTTAATGGTGGAATCGCCAACAAAGTGATTGAGAAAGGAGACGAAAACCAAATAATTCAATTGAACTTATTACTTCCTGCATTTTATATCACATATATAATAGCTAGACTCTGCACTCTAGCAACTGCCCACAATACACCACAATAGTACAGGAAGCCATGAGTTGCAGAATGTTAGGATCAAGAGGAAGACTGAACCAGAATTTGAATTAATTAATTCGACTATTATCTGAGCTGAATAAAAATATGGAAAAACAGGTGCATTCACATCAGATAAATAAAACATTATAGATCAATTTTCTGGTGAAGAAAATAATCATACAAGAAGATATGCATGAGATCAAAAAAGCAAATCAAGCATACTGGAGGAGAAACAAAAAAATCTAAGATATAAAAACAAATACTCATATGCAACCATATAACAAACCTGGCTGATAACTTCTTCAACTAATTGTTTAGCAGCTTCAATCTGCTCACTGGTTCCATCAATTTGAACAGTCCTTTCTTTTGATGTATCACCAGGTGGCAAGTGCAGAGGAATAACCTGCAATATTTAATACAAATTACCAATCATGACTTAAAAAAAAAAAGGATAACAAGAAAATCTTCAGAAATCTACACCATATAATCAAGGAATATGCTTGTAACCTGAATGCGAGCTCCAGTCCTTGCTTGCATGTTTTTGATGGTTTCACCTCCCTTACCAATAACAAGGCCCACCTGAAAATGTCATAACTACATTAAATACTACATAGATGATGAATAAATATCAGCTAACCAAGAAGATTACAACTATTACCTTATTGTTTGGAACCTTCATCACAAACTGATCAGCTCCTGATGGCTGCCCAGTTGATCTCTGAGAGGCGATACCGGAATTACCAGCCTCAGCCTGTCAAATTGAACCAGAAAATAACAATTGGAAGAAATATTCCATCTACATAAATAAGAGATCTGATAATTCTAAAATGACAACCGCAATCAGAGGGGAATAGAAATCAATTTCATGTTAAGGTGCAAATTAAAAGGAAAAACAAAGAAACAAGATAGACCGTTACACAATACACAAGCAGGCACATAGGTTATTGTATTAAAATTATCTTAGTACCTCAGAAAGAACATCATCAATCAACTGTTCGGCCTTGGCTATTTGATCAGGTGTACCCGTGAGTTCAACACCTCTTGTAGTACAGTTAGGATCAGAGTCAATGTCTCTAGTAACCTGAATTTTAGCACCTGACTGATGCTGAAGATATTTGATGGTCTCCCCGCCTTTGCCAATAATAACTCCTACCCTGTTATTTGGTATCTCTATCTTCTTGCTCCCTCCATAACCAGCTGAAGCAACTGATGGTGGGCCACTCTGTTCCAAACTAAAAGGTTTTTGACCGCCTGCAAAGAACAGATAAATCAAAATTGGTTTCCCAGCCTCAATCAACTGAAGGCAGCCTATAGAATAGCTTTATACATACATCACCAGCAAATGCTTCATAGAGAACAGTTCTAAGGGTTCAGGTATGTGACAAAGAAAACTAAGAATTGATATGCACCGATAAAGAAGCATTCATATCTAACTTCGGCCAAGAAGTTTAGCAAATTAAGTATATAACCACATGAGTGGAAATCTCAAAGGAGCCAAGACCGAGATCAAACTTTAACCAATATCAAACACTCAAGGATGCAATATCACAAACGCGAACGAAATGGTGTAAGATAAACACCAAGAACATCTGTTTGCGCGCAAAAGAAAATACACCAGGGAAACGGCAGTTAACTAAGCACCAAACAAAGAAACCCCAAGGACCAACCCTTACCATAATCAGGCGAATCGAATCCCCCAACACCACCACCGGCTCCGTTCTCAACTCTGGCCCTTTTCGATGGATCGACGCTATTCAGAAGCCTCGCCGCGATCTCCTGCGCCTTCTGCTTGGCCTGCTCGATCTCGCTCATCGGAGGCGGAACGCTGTTGTACGCGGCAGCTGCGGAGTCAGGCGGCTGCGAGAAACCCGTCCCTCTGCGGACCACTGGAGACGGAGAATCCTCATACTTACGCTTCTGCGACTCCCCCGCGTAGTGAAATTCGTCCGCCATTAGAAGGATGGAACGAATCTGAGAATGAGAGCGTAGGGGCGTAAACCCTAGATTGCAAAAGAGATAAGAACCGACGATGCCTGTGATATGGCACCAATGCCGCGCAGAGTCGCTTTTTATAGTGGGGCACAACCCGTCGGGAAGACCACGCTAGATATTCAGCCTTTTACATTCTTCAATTAATTAATTAAAAAAAATGACAAACTTTAAAAAATAAAAAAAAAAAAATTCATTTATCTTGTATCGTTAATGTATGCTATTAGAGATTATTATTATCTCGTGTTGTTTATAAACTTTTAATAAAAGGGTATTAGTCCGAAATACACATATATAATATAATAGTTACAAATGGCATTGCATAATAATAATAATAATAGTAATAAAAGTAATTGTTTTACACAAACATGATGCATATACAGATCGTAGTTTAAATAGAAGTGGGGATGGTTTGGATTTTAATTAGGATTAAATTCTAGGTGGTTTTCTTGATCTGTTGATGTTAAGCTCGGCATACATTTCTTCAATCATTGGCTTCCACAGGCGAACACGAGCATTGATAAACCAATTGGACACCTGCGCACACACACACACACACACATAACATCAAAATCAAAATCAAAATCAAAATCAAAATCATATATATATATATATATGCATGCTGTAAGAACAATCTTTGCAATGCACATTATACCTGATTCCTCGTAAGACCACTCTTCAAAGCGAGCAAATGTTTATCCGCATCTTTGGGGTACCTGCAATGCGAATATTGAGCTGTAGTTCTACGTAGTGTATACATACACGAACACACAATATCATCATAAACGACTACGGAACGTTGTCCGTCGTCGCATTTTGATCGATAGACGGACACACTCACGGGTGAAGGAAATTCTGAAACATCCAGGCTCTCAAGACGGAGACCGATCTTTCGGGGAGACCTCGTTGTGGTTTCCATAAGAGCTGATGGCAATCTCGATCCCTATCCCTATCCCGATCCCTCTTGCTTAGCTGCTGCTGATGATGATGATCCCATGGTTGTTGTTGTCGTTGTTTCTCGATAATGCACTGTTGTCCCTCGATTCCTAGCGGGAGAATGTGGCTGCTGATTCGCTCCCTCAGGTTCTTGTACATCGAAGAAATTGCCGGGAGGGCGAACCGGGCGTGCAGATTCGGGTCCAGCTCCGTCACGGCGTGGAACGCCGAGCTCACCGTGTGGATTTCGTGCAAGCATTGGTTGTACTTGTCGTCGACCTATGGGGAACAACGATCGAGCACATCAGCCATGTAAACATAATTGATCGTTAACGTACATCGGTGGATGAATGTACCGATTGCAACAACGCGAGAAGATGTCTTTTCCTCGCTTCGATGTGGTGAATGTCTTGCGACACAATGGCCTTGTCCGCGTCCGCGTCAAGGGGCGTTCGGGCAGGGCGGCTTGAAGATAAACAGAAGTTCGTTCCATTCTCATCGATGCCGGCGTTTTCGAGTGCGTAGAAAGCTATTTCCACGAGGATTTCCTGCATTGCTTGGAGGAATATAGACCCTGGCAAATAAAACGACGAGCTAAGATGATCGCATCTTGAATCGAATCCAAATTGTATTTTCTGACAGTCAGTCGACGCGATGTGAGATGCACCTGATGATGAGCTATTCTCAGAGCACGGCTCCCGGGCAGATTTCACGACGCTAGTCGAATACTCGTTGCTAAACCGCGAGGATCCGCCAGGGCTATTGCAGTTCAATCCTCGGCTGCTGTCAGTGATCATCCATTCGATCGGGAGGCTGTAGCTTCCGGTGAGCTGAGCCAATTGAGCCGCAGTCTTTCCGGCATTGTCCGAAGGGACTGCGCAATTGTTCGAGATTCTCGACGAGCTAGCATTGTAGGGATCATTACCATAACTGTAATGAATAGGCTGAAATGAAGAAGGATGCACAAAAGAGGCTAAAGCTGCTGTCTTTTCTTGATCAACATATCGTCTGCTGCCTGGATTGATATTGGGGACAGAATCCCAAATGCTGCTAATTTGAGGGCGAGCATAACTGTCAATGGCTTCACCAAGAACTAAAGGCAGAGCCAATCCATCAACGCCATGGTTTTGGGAGCTCATTCTTTCAAACTGAATCGGAATAACCAAGAGAGTTATTAGGTAATAGAATTCGATTTTGTCGACATGTTGGAGAAGCCCAAAGCTGAGCCATATGCAAAATACATTTCAAGAATTTGGGATCATACCATATACATATAGAGCACATGTGCAGATGCCTAATTTTGTGCTGAAAAAGAGTGAAGAAATCAAACTAAGAACACAAAAAACAGTTGCAATAGAACAGAACAGTGAAGAACAAACCTTATTATGCTCGAAGGATTTGCTGCTCCTGCTGCTAAGGAAATCGGTTGGGGTAGAAGAAGGGGTGGTTTTATGATACTACATTGATCAGAGTAACCATATGTAGGAAATCATTGGTTTCCCTTTCCCCCCAAACAGTATGCACAAAAATCATAAGGCAAACAAGGAGCACACACACCTGAAAGTGTCCAAGTTAGTGAGTGAGTAGGTGTGCTTGCATTCTTGTGTATTTGAAAATATAATAGTAGTTGTAGTGAGAGCAGAGTAGAAGGAGACACACAACCAGAAGAAAGGAAAGCAATTGAGCAGCCCCACCACAGTTCTGAAAAAAAGAAACTAAAAAAGCAACAAAGAATATAATGACAAATGCATAAAGTTAGCTGTTTTTACTTGCATGGAGAAGAAAAGAAAAGTGGGATTTCAATTCAGAATCCAAAACCCAAGAAACTGTGTAAATTGGATCAGAAGTCTGAGAAACCCATTAAGAATCTTGATCTAAAGAAAAATAAAAATCTTCACTCTTTTTTTTTTTGGCCTCAAAAAGGATTATTAACCATGAGGTACTTTCGACACACAAAGGGTTTTAGCAGAGGCTGCCCTGGAGGAGGAGGACAACACACAAACCCCATTACCCATCAGGCCATCACCCATTACCCCTCCCCTCATTTCAAAGTCTGTTTATATAAACTAAAAGCTGGGAATAAAATTGGAGAATATTTTTAAAAGGATGAGATTCTTATTTATGGAATGGAAAATATGAAATGAATGCAGATGGACCCATATCGATAATTTGCCAGAAAGAGTAAGAACCATAGATGGATTATTATAAAAACAGTGTGTGTATATGAATGTATGATTGTATGATCACAGAATTATTATTATTATTATTATTTTAAAAGGATGGAAATTGGAAAGAAAAATAATGCAATACTACTATTTGATGCAGCAGCAGCAGCAGTTCCACTCATTCTCCTGCAGCCTTTTTTCAGGGCCAGAGCCAGCCAGGGCCCATTGTGTGTTTTTGTATGTATGTATGTATCTCTGTCTAACGCTTGTATTGTAGTATGTCTCTCTCTCTCTAGACAATACTCGTATTTAATTTTGCCTTCTCATTAACTCACTCTCATCGATGTTCTCCTGTACCCTGCAAATCTGCAATGATCATCACAAATATCTAGATATGGTTTGCTGAAGATTTCAGCAAATTTTTTAAGGGTTCCCTGGATCCTCTGTCTCTCTCTCTCTCTCTCTCTAGTTCTCTCTCACACCAAGCCAAATCCAGAATTCTTTTTAATGTAAAAACTACTTTTTGAACCCAATTATTAGCAGAGAGTAGTAAACAACAACACTATACACAAAAACATGAGAAATGTTCCCCAAACATAAATATATATATATATGTTGTGATAAGTAAAGAGCATTTTGACTTGATGACATAAATAAGTAAAAGGGTGTATGGGTGTGGGTGTATTGTTCAAAGTTCAAAGTTGCAGAGGGTGTGCAGGAAGAGGGATATGTGTTTTTAGCAGCAATTTTCATGGGAGATAATAAAGGTGTTCACTTTTATCACCATAAATTGGGAGAGAGAAAGCAAAAAAGGCAGTGGTGACTAGAAAGGAGAGAGATAGAGAGAGCCAAAAAAATAAATAGAGCAAGAAAACAACATGCTTTTCATACCTGAATCAAACAAATGACATGCTTATGGCAACCCAACTAGGGGGAGAGAGAGACAGAAGAGTAAATATAATTCAATCTTTTTTTCTTTTTTTTTTTCTCTTTTTTTTCACTGTTCCACCGGCAGTGTACTATAAGCATTGAATACATACAGCAATATCATATATATATATATATATATAGAGAGAGAGAGAGAGAGATGAGGAGAGAGAGATTTGTAAGGACAAAGAATGGAGTGGAAACAAGAATGAACAGTAAGAAAATGCAGTGATGATGCAAGCAAAATTGGAGGGGTGTGAAAAAGGAAGATCTATTGGGGAGATCTTTGAATAATTATTCATCCATCCTTGGTCTGTCTCCGCACAAACCATAATAATTATAAATGTGTCTGCTGCCTCCCTTCTTCTCTTCTTTCGATATTTGTTTTTAACTTTTAAACTCAATAAATTAACCATAATATTAACCACAGCACTATTAATACCTTTAGTTTATAATCCCAACCATTATGGACTAATTGATTAAACTATCATGCCAACAAATTATTCTAGTCAGATGTATTACAAATCCTATTTATACTAAGTTAGTTTTGATCTAACACTTTATTTATTTATTTTTTTAATTCATCAAATGAAATATTTATTTTCTATTTAATATATATACCCTTCTTTCCCCACAAATAATTCTTTTAATTTGTGATATGATAATGAAGTTTAATTAGATAATAATAATAAATTATAATACTATTAATTTTATTATTTTTTATATAAATAATATTATTAGTAATTTTAAAATAAAAATTATATATATAATTTTAAAAAAATTTAGAATATCTATGTCAATATTTCAAAATTTTTATATTTTAATAAACTAAAATACTCTGTTCGTCCCTTGACAATCTATCTATTTTTCTATTTTGGTATGTTCCATAACAAAATATCAATTTTCTTTTTTTAGTAATTGTACTATTTATTAACATTTCAAATGCCCTTCCAATTTACACTTTATAAGTTCCAACTCCACTAGTACGGGGTTTTTTTTGAGAATATCTAAAAATAAATTTGTGCGGGCTCAGCCCAAAGCGAAACAATATCATACTTAGTGTTGAGTTGGTCCAATCCCAAGAAATAACATAATTATGACCGAGAACTAGTTGATAGTAAAAAATGAGTACCGGTTTATGGAAAAACCCCATCATCTACTCTATGTTGTTACTCTACACTCAATCTACAGAAAGAAAAATAATAAAATAAATAAATTTAACGAGCACAAAATTAAGTTGAACTAATGAAGAAGCTAATTAAATTCATTTTTTATATATATATAATAAAAAAGAAATAAATGTAGTATTAGAATTAATCTAAGGGTTATTTTGTGAGCTATATGTAATACTACTCTACTCTACACTACTATTATTTTATATTAGAATTTAGAAATAAAATAACTCAGAACTCATAAGGCCCATGGATGTAATTTTATGAATCGGCCTCATAAGGCTTGTTTAAAATTGGGCTATACATACTGTGGAAGGACCCAAAAACAATATTAGTAAAAAAAAAAAAACAGTTTTTTATTACACTTTTGTCTTTTAAGAAAAATCAGCCCAAAGAAAAAAAATCATCTTTTAAACTCAATTCCTTCATTCCATTTTCTTTTTTTTTTTTTTTCAAAAAGATTGCCAAAGAAACTACTCTAAATGTTTTATTTTATTTATATTGAACCTTGGTGTAAAAGTTCATATATATATATATATGTATATATTAATAAAATATGAGATATATTATATTCATTTGAGTTTGAATAGATTAGCAAACATAGAAAATATTAATAATTTAATTATAGTAATCTTATTTATAGAGTTTACACACACATATATGAGTAAGATGGAATATATATATTCATTGAATTGAACTTAAAATGCTTGATATTTTTTTAGTTATATTTGCTTGCTTATAATTTGTCCATAGCCTAAATCAAGCAAGAACTTGAATTATTGGTTAAAGTGCAACTAGAAAAGGATCCCAAATTGAGGAATTATGTGTGTGTGTGTGTAAAGGAGAGAGAGAGATGTTGAGTAGGTGGGATAGTATTGTTCTTGTAGTTGATAATAATAATAATAATAATAATAATAATAATAATAATATTTTGTTGTTGTATTAGTAGTTGTTGCAACATTAGATTTAGAGGCACCAAAGTCAGAAAAACATGTTTCACAAATGTACATATGAGAGGTTGAAGTGTGTGTTAGGAAGCAATCTACATTTATATCAATGCTTCAATTAGAAAGTCAAGAAGGTAAAGTTGGCTTATCACCATCAATGATTTTATTTTATACATCAAATAAATTAACTTCCAAAATTAATGTGAATAATTGTTATCCCCCTCCACTCCAAATTTCTTTAATATATAGATATTATTATTCCATATCTTATTCATGATTAATTACTTCCACATTTACTAGGGATGGATATATAAATTTATAGTTCCTTCAATTTGAATCTCCACCAAATTATTAAAAGAGGAAAGAATATATGGGGCACCCTCTTTTTTGCCCTTATTGATTTTGGTTTTGGTTTGTATGTATTTATCAAGATTATATATATATATATATATATTATGTGAATATAATGGATAGATAAAATGTCAGTGTGTGTGTGTTTAATGAAATCTTAGTTGGGAGGGGAGGATGAAAACCTCATGGTAGCTAGTATATTATATTGTTAGTACCTACCATAAGAAAAGATATTCAAAATAATATTTGCATGGACGATAATATACAGTAGAGCTTATGAAATAAGCAATACAATGATCACAATTATGTGAGATTGCCAAATTAATTAAATTCCCTCATTTTCATGGTCGTCTCTCACAATCCTCCATTACATATAATAATGTGTGTGTGTGTGTGTATGTGATTGTGTTGTATCTATGATCTTGGATATGTAAATGAATACATGCACACATCTATTATAATTAACTATATATATATATATATATATATAGAGAGAGAGAGAGAGAGAGAGAGAGAGAGAGTATCAGATAGATGGCCTGGTGGTGTAATTAGTTTGATGGAGTGAGAGAGAGAGAGGGTTTGCTTGCATGAGGTAGGAATTGAATTGAAGTAGTGATCGATATAGCGATGGGACTGAGGAAATGCTCGCAGTGTGGGAAGACAGGCCACAATTCAAGAACCTGCTGCAGAAACAACAACAACAATATGATCGCATGCACAAATTTAAAGCTCTTTGGAGTGCACTTAGCACCACCTCCCGCCGGATCTTCTTCTTCTAATTCTGGCAGCTGCAGCACTGATCATCCTCCTCCACATCAGAAACTCAATAAAGCAGCTGCTGGGCTAGCCAGCTGTAGACAGATGATGATGATGAGAAGGAGAAGAAAGGGTAATTAGTAATATATTATTAATATATATATATATATATACATACATATACATATAATTGATTTGTTTAATTAATTATAATGAATTAGTAGGCGTGGCGTGGAGTGAAGAGGAGCACAGACAGTTCCTGGTGGGGCTGCAGAAGCTGGGGAGAGGAGACTGGAAGGGGATCTCCAGGCACTTCGTCACAACCAGAACCTCCACCCAGGTCGCCAGCCACGCCCAGAAGTATTTTCTCCGACTAATACGACAAGGACGACCACCACACAACCACAAATTATTATTATTAAATCAAAATAATAACAATACTTCTTCTTCTGCCTCGTTGAAGTTGAACACCCTAATTAATATGATGAATGTTTCTTCTTCATCATCACCGTCGTCGCCGTCGTCAGTAGTACTGCAGCACCATCAGGACTGCAATGGCATCAATTATAATAAGTACTGCTGGCGAATGAGGATGAGGATGAGAAAGCCACCAGTACCAGCAGCAGCCATGTGTGATTCCATGCTAACTAATAATATGCCTAATTATAATTATTATAATAAGTCGCCATTGTTCAATACTCCTTCTGCACCAGGAACACACGACTTACCCAGCCTGGAGCTCAGCCTTAATTGCGGCGGCGCCGCCGTGGAGCTGGATGGATCGATGAAGCTTAATTAATTGGTTAATCATTATATGCATGAATATATATGGAGTTTAATTAGTTATGTATCGAAGGGTTTCATTTTATTTGAATTAATGAGGATGATGGCCCCTCAAAAGTAATTAATTAAAGATTGATTAATCAAATCATCTCTAATCTTGGCTTCATGTTGTATGTATGTATATATATTATATACTGTTGTGATCATGACATTAATTAATTAATCAGTGATGATGCATGAATATAATAAAGTGCATTGTAAACTATCAGCACATTACATGCATGATTACAAACTAATTACAAGCTAAGCGCTTTAATTTGAAAATTGAAACCATGTATTATCTTCTTCTTCTTCTTTTTTTAATTAATAACCATCTAACCATTGTTGGGATTGATTTGATTGAATATTGTAGTAAAATTATGATTTAAATTAATATTTTTTGACTCCATCAATCATAATCAATCATATTAAATTTGATTTATTGATTTTCAATATATATAGCAACAATCATATTAAATTTGATTTATTGATTTTCAATATATATAGCAACAAGTCAGCACCTTATCTTATCTCCGTTCCACTTAATTTACTTTATCATTTCCGTTTCGGAATATTAATTTGGGTGCTCATCATCAAGCATGTGTTAGAATTAATTTGCTCCACTGTTATTTTCGGAATTTAAAATTATTTTTTTAAGGATAAACTAGTGTTAAATACTTAACATATATATAATATTTTATTGAAAATTTATACAAAAATTGATAATTAGATCTATTTAATATGTACATGGAACAAATTAGAAAATTAAAAATTATCACAAGTATGAGAAAATAACAATCAAGATTGATTTACTTACTCGGAATCAATTGTACAATTACTATAAATTAATACTAATAATGTTCTTATAATAGTATATAATATATATATATATATCTTGCAGTGGCTAACTCACATCAATACTTGTAGTTTTAATTTGAAATAAATTGAAACAATTGTATAGTAAAGGATAAAAATAAATAAATAAACAATCACTTGGGTGTGTTTGTTTGAAAGTTTGGATTTTGAGTTGAGATTTGAATTGTATAAATAGATATTGATGTGATGTTTTGAATTTAAAATTATTTTTTAATATAATATAAAAAATGAAAATAAACATTTGATTTGATATTTTTGAAAAAAAAAATTGAATGAATAATTAAAATCTTTACCAATCCTCCAAATAAACACATCAATTTCATAAAAATATTGAATATATTTTATAATTAGTATTATATATAAAAAATACTTTAATGTATAAATGTGTTTATTTTATATTTTGAATTTATTATTATATATTATATATAAAATATAAAGAAAAATATGGCAATAATTAAAAAAAATTATATTAAATAGTTGGTTTTTATTAATAGATATAGTGTATATAATCTATATTTTTGAATATTAATTATTATATAAAAAAATATAATATAAATTAAAAATTTATTAAAATATAAATATATTTTTAAACATAAACTTATCGAATAGACGGAGAGAGTATTAACTTTATACTACAAATATTTTCGTATGTAAAGTAAAAATTAAAAATTTTTTAAAAAGTCTTAAATTAAAAAAAGAAAACACTATGGGTGTTTTACCCAGTAATTTTAACTTTGATTTACTATTCTCAATTTTTTGTTCCAAAAATACATTAAATTAAATACTTATTTTTATTTATAATATTACATTAAAATTTATTTATATATTAACATATAATATTAATATATATTTATATTAAATTAAATAATTATTTTAATTCAAAATTTAATAATTTAAGCGTCGGGTTCATAATCAATGCTAGGTAGGAGTTGGGGTCCAGGAGCCCCTTTGAATTCCTTTGATGGAAGAAGGTGGTCCGAGTTTTGTGGCATGGTAAGTTGGTAACCGATAACTGCTATAAATTTTATTTACTTCACGAAACTTCTTGCTTCTTCATACAGATTGCATACCAAAAATTAATGAAACTTTATGGATTGAATCCTCTTCCTTCCAGCCGGTTTTCCGGTATGGATCCGACCACCAATTCGCAGGTGTTTATTTCTGTATTCTTTTTTTGTTTGTTCAGTATTTGAATCGAATTTGTTGAAGTGATGTACATTGATATTTATATCAATGCCTACAGATTTTGACGTTTTTTGTTTGCTCTCTGGTTATGAATGCTCGTTCCTGGCGAGAAGCTGGGTTTTAGTTCGCTGAAAGTTACGGAGAAGCTCTGCGCTGCGGTTTTCCCGATTATAGTTGTAATCGATGCGCTGATTTTCGCGATTTCCGGTTGTTTTGGAAGCCGAGATTCGAATCGTAGCAAGAAGTTGCAATATGGGCACAAGGAGATTATTCGTCTATCGCAGGAATCTAATTGTATGGCGAATTTAAATTTGAATCTGTTCGTTCTTCTTCACTTGAAATTTGTTGAGCTAATGAGCTTCGGAACTTACTTCCTGTGGCTGCTATTGCAGTTACGGTAAATGAGATTGAGGCTTTGCACGAGTTGTTTAAGAAGTTAAGTAGTTCAATAATCGATGATGGATTGATACACAAGGCAAGTTCTTTAGTTATTATAACAGTCTGCACAAATGGTTTGAGTTATAATTCATCGGTGTGAGTAATCTTAGATCTTGATGTATTACTTCTGCCCTACAATCCTTGTGCTAGTTGAAGAAATTGGCAACTGAAGGATTATGAATTTATTGGACTTGGGGTTTGATGGTTGGGAGGACAAATCATAGCTCTATCTAACTTTCCATGTGAAAATACTATTTCTCAGGTGTTAGTTTAGAGAGTTTTGGAATTTTACATAATTAGTACTTCATTTTATTTTTATTTTTCCTTCTTAATCAATAACTGATGTTTGGCCAATTCAAGTAAGTTTACAGTGACTTGAACTGTAAATTTAAATGTTCTTACCTGACTATATTCTAACCTTGTGATCAAATTCAGGAAGAGCTTAAGCTAGCATTGTTCAGAACAGCATGTGCTGAGAACCTTTTCTTGGATCGGGTAATCACTATCTTAACTATGCCGTGTTGTAATTAATGCTATATTAGTGAAGATTGAATGACACTACATGAATTCTGACTTGTCACAAGATTAACTTGCTAGAGACTAGTCAATAAAAGCAATTTGGTCGACCTTTTGCTGATTGTTTTCTTAAATTTTCAACCATAAGACAGATCTTTTGCTACATTTGCTTTCCTCTTGTAATTTTACAAGAATGATTACTGACAATTGGCTATGGTCAGTAAGTGTTAGTTGGCATAAACATCTTCGTCTTCATATTCTTCTAGTCGTGCACAGTTTGTATGTTTTTAATCTGTCGTTTCAGGGCAGGACTATATTGGCACAGTGAGTTGCTGCAATCTTATGTTTTGTTCTATCTTAATATACGAAAAGGTTTTTGTTCGTGGCACTTCTGTTGTTGCTTACAGGTGTTTGATCTTTTTGATGAGAAAAGAAATGGCGTGATTGACCTGGAAGAATTCATTCATTCACTCAATGTATTCCACCCTAATGCTCCTATTGAAGACAAAACTGATTGTAAGAGAAGATAACTATGAGCTACAGTCCATCAATTCATGAAGTGATTTATGCTTTTATGATAAGTACACAGAATAATTTTTGTGATGGCTATCCTTATCATGCAGTTGCATTCAAGCTTTATGATCTTAGACAGACTGGTTTCATAGAGCGGGAAGAAGTGAGTATCCTAATTAACCACTGTTAGTCTAGTGGCATAACAAATGCCAAGACAACTAATTATTAGTTTCTTGCCCTATTAACTATGCAGGCAAGCAATGTTCTTTCACAGTATGAAATTCTATAGTTATCTTGCCACCCATATTTTGTCAATTATCACTACCATGTGATGCGGGTGCTACATTTTCCGGAGGATTTTTTGTTTTTCCTTTGTGTGTTAATTCCTTTGGCAATTTTAATGGCATATTTGAACCAACACATATGGTTCCATTTTTGTAATAATCATTCTTGACATCTCAAGGTTAAACTAGTAACATAATCAAGAGGTTGGCATGCATGAGCGCACGTGTGTGCTATCTCCTAAATATAGAGTTTTATGCATTATAAGGTTATTGTTTATTATTTTTTTATCTTTTGAAACAACAATTTTCAGGTCAAACAGATGGTGATTGCAATACTAATGGAATCTGATATGAACCTAACTGACGACCTGGTAGAGCAAATAGTTGACAGGGTATGATGACTATGTATGGGATTACAATTATCTATTCAGATTCTTCTGCTTAAACCAGGTGTTTGTCATTTTACCAGACTTTTGCTGAAGCAGATGCGGATGAGGATGGTAGACTCAGTAAAGAGGACTGGAACGCATTCGTTATGCAGCATCCATCTCTCCTGAAAAACATGACTCTACCTTATTTGCAGTATACCTCTTGTCTTTGCTCCTTTTATCACTTCATATGTTTTCCCCTTTGCTTAGATCAGTTATAGTACAACTTTAGCACAGATAGCCACTCTTTGTGAAGCTATAAAGCTCCTGGAATTATGCAGTCCCTAATGAATTCTAAAACAAACTTGTCTCTTGTTGATTGTTCATTTCACTTTCTTGCAGGAACATCACGACTTGCTTCCCAAGTTTTGTGATTAACACAGAGGTTGAAGATTAGAATCTCCTCAGCACAGCGTGGGGTCTTTTATTCAGTTTAAATCTTTGGTATGTTAGTGGGCACTAGTTATTTTGTTCAGAAATTTGAAACTAGCTACTTCTCAATGGTATCAATCTCATCCAATTCTGGGGTTCTTTTGTATGAATGTTTTTTTATTGCTTGGTTTGTACGAACATGACCGCTGTAAATATTGCATCTTGCCTCTCTCAAATAGTAGTCGACGAATCAAATTTGTGTCTGAATTATTATTATTATTATTAGAGCTCTGATGATAAATGAAGAGGACACAGTGAGCAAATAAATCATAGAAATCATAATTAATACGAGGCTAATTCTGTGTATAATGGAGTATATAGATCCGAAAGTCTCTGTCATAAGACTTGCACCTTATTGAAAATGATTGCCGTGAAGGAATACAGACACTTAGCAATCCAACAAGTTCTTCAAACAATAAGTACCTATCAGAAACCATCCGATGAGGAGGAACGAAAACGAGAATAATCCGATTAAAAAGGGCCAACCAACCATGTAAACTCCCAAGGAGAGCACCACTATGAAGGGCAAGAATGATCTGACGACGGACAAGGCATCAGCCCACTTGCCCTTGATCAGTACAAGAGCTGCAATATTGATCATGTTCCAATTCATCGATCCTTTGTAGCAGAGACGATTTAGGCAATTAGCAACAAATGAGTGGCAATTGCATGTGAAGAGGTTGTAAGATTTGTGCTCAAAGTGGCGGGAGCTTGACAGCAGGGTGTCATCCCATGTGATTGATGTCCCGTATTCTGTGTGGGCGTAGCGAAGCTTGCATGTATGTCCAGCAAGATTTTGAGGAAAACAGCACTGTAGTAATAAAAAACATACTACAAGTTATCTATCACATTCTTGTGATAAATGCCAACAAACGAGATTTAAGGAATGGAACTAAAGTCAATCCCATGATTTCCTGCTGAAATTTTTATATCAGTGAAAAGTGCAAAGAATTAAGTATAGAAAGATATACCTGTGCCCTGTCCAACTGAAGGTATCTTGCCACAGAGCCAAAAGCAAAATCATCAACATTAATGAGGTTGGTGCCGGAGAAATCTAAAATTTTGCCATCCTCCCTACATATCCCAACATGCCCGATGAAAGGAGCCAACCACGACACTACAGGCAGAGGCGTCCATACAACACAACACGGGAATGTTGCCTTTTTAGGATCAATCGGATCAAGTGGCCAGAATTCATGGTGAATATTTCCGCCATAGTTTTTGGTTTCAGCTTCTTTGGAAAGAGTAAGTTCCATTATAGGAAGCAGTTCTGAAGGCAGATGGCGAAATACAATCTTGCACTACTGCTTGTTTTCCAATCAGAGAACATTATAGAGGGCGTTGACAATATTCAAAACCAGGAAAGAACATCTATTCCGTTGGCCCTGGGATTCAAAGATCAATCCTGCAAGATACGACAGGTTAAGAGTGTAAGATGCCAATGAAGAAAAACTGATGACGACATAAAGAAAGTGCCAAGGTTTGTGGCGACATAATTAATTGGAAAAATCATATCATTAGATAACGAGCAACAGTCCATAAGGAGATTCAACAGTTTATACTAACCAGCACAAGGCAAAGCAAAAGGAGGCTTTTTTTGCTAGTTCAATTACGTCATACAAAGCTCATCCAGCTACGAAAGAATATTGCAAATGATGCATTAAGACGCAGGTGCATTTGTCAGGGCCATCGGTAAATAAAATGAAAATTATTCAATGAAAGTGTCTAAACAAACAGCATTGTGCTAGATTTATGTTTCTTGCTCGTTTCTTAAGACCTTGAATGACCTTAAACAAACCTATAACTCACATATATTTGCAATGTAGATTTCCAAGAATTTAGACTTGTTTGTTCCTTGAAGCATGATAATCAACACTAGGGTAAGATGTTTCATTAATTAAGCATTGATTCAATACTATCTTATCTTGAACCTTTTGAAAATTTTAAAAATTTCCAACAAGCTTGTCTTCCCACAAACACATATTATTCCATATATACACACATATATATTGGGCATCTAATTTAAGACAATTGAAACATGGACATATACATAACCTATAAAATGGGTGAAATTCTTTCACATTTAGGTGTTTGAGGCTGTAAATCACCAAAAAGGGGGAATTCAATTATTCTACAAAAAAGAGTTGTGTGTTTACGGTGGACAACTAATTACGGCTACAATTTAATTTATCTATTGAGAGATGAGCCCTAGACATTGCGTGAGGCCTTCTGGAATAGGATCAGAGAAAACAAAAGGGGTTAAGAATAATTGTAAACCCAGAGAACAAACAGCAATGAATTTATCAAAGGTTGATTGCCACAAATCAAATAAAGACACTCAGTTTAAGCAAAAAAGCAATTTTGGCACTTGAAAACAAGTGTACGCAAAGAAATGCTCCCAATCGAAAAACAAACAAAACAACCAGGCACTAGCTGCAATGGATAAATCTGACGATGAACTGAAGTTGAGGCATTCAAGACACAGAAGCAAGCAAATCAAATGAAAGTAATAAAAATAAAATAAATACCGAAAACAGCAAGGGCAAGGGCAAGGGCAGCAGTGAAACACAGCAGCGCAGTCTGGAGGAAAACTCGAGCGGCCTTACAGAAAAGGAGAAATTAAGCATGAAAAAATGAAATACGCGGAGAAGCAGCAGCGATGGGAGAAAGCGAAAGTAATCTCAATTGAAGTAGTAAGGAGGGATCACTGGAATGGTATGATTAATTAATTTAATGGCGAATGGAATGGAATGCAATTTCCCATAGAAAAAGACTGGATTTTTCTGGAGGGCGAGGGCAGGGAAATGCGATGAAGCGGCAAGATGCATGAACCTTTCCTCCTCCTCTCTCTCTCTCTCTCTCTCTCTCTCTCTCTCCCTCTGACCACTTTCCCTCTTCACGGCGTGAGGGGGGTCCCACTCTTAGTTCAATATTTAAATAATTAAATACTAGATGGATAGAGAGGAGGTTGTGTTGTGCTAGGTAAGAAGGAAGAGGAAGAAGAAGAGGAAAATGAAAAGGAAAAGGAAGAAAAAAAGTTGTGTAGCCAACCAACACCAACCAGCCCACAAACAGACCAGTAGAGGAGGAGGAGTAGTAGCAGTAGTAGTAGTAGTAGTAGTAAAGTCCACCTTCATTTATCCACTATCTCATCCATCTATCTATCTTATCAATATTATTATTACTAGTATTAAAGAAAGCCCATCATCATCATCGTCATCATCCCATCCCAAGGACGCCCCACCAGCACCAGCACCAGCACCAGCACCAGCTGCATTAATTAATTAATTAATTAAACAAAATACAATAAACATTTAACCCGTGCATTTCTTGCCATTGTTTTTTGAATTTTGATAGGTTCAAAAGAAATATTTGATCAATTTCGTTTGTTTGTTTGTTTGTTTGTTTGTGATAATCAATTAAGTAATTGTTGAACAATAATAACAACAGTGCAGTAGTAGTAGGTTGTTTTGGTATTGTCGGAAAAGAGGGGAAATTTTGGAACAGAATAGATGATAGTGCGTTAAAATTTTGGTGTTTGGTGTATACTGTATTGTATGATGCATAGTGTAATTTGAGATTGAGAGGAGCACATGGACATGGACATGGTGGCAGGCAGTAAGTAGCAGGAGCAGCTGCCAACTACAATCATGCATGTACCATTATTCATTCATTCTTTTATTATTAATATTATTGTTATTATTATTATCCTAGAATACAACAAGTAGTATGCCCATAAAAATATAAAAATCAAGGGAAGGGAAGGGAAGGGAAGGCATACATACATAATGAAAGACAGACAGACAGACTTACTTGTTATTTATAAAAATAAATTGTTACCGGAAAACAAATTGTTACCGGAAAACGAAAAAAAAATTAAATAAAGAACACAAATATTTTACGTGATTCGATGACGGTGTGTCAACGTATGTTTATGGGCGAAATTTCATTATACTGATTCAGAGATTTATAATTATGTCATCCGACCATAGTTGTCTATTTATAAGCATTCCAAAACACCCTAAACCCTAAGCCTATTTGTTATTAATTAGAATAAGTCCAAAAGGAACACTGCCAATTGAAACAACCCTTTCGCTTTGGATTTACGATTATGTCATCCGACTAAGAACTATAGTTGTCTATTTATAAGCACCTCAAAATACCATAAACCCTAAGCCTATTTGTTATTAATTAGGATAAGCCCAAAAGGAACTATGTAAATTGAAACAGCCCATTCGCTTTGATTTTGGGTCGGATAGACCGCTAAATCCAAGTAACGTTTCAACAATCTCCACATTGAGTTGGAGTTTCTTCAACCGCCAAAGATTCGTCAGTATCTCTCAGTCGTCTCCTTCCTGCCAGATGCCTCGAGAGGGCTTTACCTCCTGCGAATATTCACCAAGTTCAAGCAGTGCTCAAACTTCTCCGTCGGTAGCGCTTTTGTCAACATATCAACTAGATTGTGTTATGTAGCTATTTTCTTAATAGAAAACTTGTTTTCTTCTAGAACATCACGAATAAAATTCAACCTTACATCAATATGTTTGGTTCTCTCATGATACACTGGATTTTTAGCCAAACTCAAAGCACTTTGACTATCACAGAAAAACACCGGTTTCTCCACCTTCAGACCCAAACTCTGCACTAAACCATGTAACCAGATACCTTTCTTAATACCTTCAGTCATTGACATGTATTCCGCCTCAGTCGTCGACAGTGCAACCATAGGTTGTAAAGTAGACTTGCAACTGACTGCACATCAAAACAAAGTGAAGATAAAGCAAGTCAATGATCTTCGTTTCACCAAGTTACCCCCGTAATTAGAGTCTACGTAGCCAACAAGACCATCACCATGGTCTTTATCATCATATACCAGACAAATATCAGACGCTCCTTTCAAATATCGCAATATCCACTTTACAGCTCCCCAATGAGCTTTACCCGGATTAGCCATAAACCTGCTCACCACACTAACCGCATAAGCGAGATCCGGTCTTGTACATACCATCGCATACATAAGACTTCCAACTGCACTTGAATATGGAACCGTCTTCATGTAGCTAACCTCTTCATTTGTACCCGGTATAGTGCTTCAATCAAGTTTAAAGTGTGCCGCCAAAGGGGTACTTACCGGTTTAGACTGATCAACAGAGAATGCCTGGAAATCTTTCTCAATATACTTTTCTTGAGAAACCCATAGTCATCCTGCTTCTCTATCACGCCAGATCTCCATACCAAGTATTTTCTTTACCGCACCCAAATCCTTCATCTCAAACTCACCATTTAGTAGAGCCTTCAAGTCATTAATTACAGCCATATTTTTAGCTGCAATTAACATATAATCCACATACAACAACAGATACACAAAAGAATCAGTAGAAACTTTCTTCGAGTAAACACAGTTATCAAACTGATTACGAGTATAACCATTAGACACCATGAAAGAGTCAAATCTCTTGTACCATTGCCTCGGAGACTGCTTCAAGCCATACAGAGATTTCTTTAACAAGCATACCTGGTCCCCTTTAGGACTGTAGAATCCCTCCGGTTGAGACATATAAATTTGTTCTTCTAGATTACCACAAAGGAATGCTGTTTTTACATCAAGTTGGTCCAGCTCCAGATCAAAAGCACCCACCATTGCCAAAAGAACCCGAATGGTTTTGTGTTTCACCACAGGAGAAAAGACTTCATGATAATCGATTCCTTCCTTCTGTGAGAACCCTTTTGCCACCAGTTTCGCCTTGAACCTAGCAGGGTCAACACCAGGAATTCTCTCATTTCTTTTAAAGACCCACTTGTATCCTACTGGCTTCACCCCTTTTAGTAGTGCAACAGGATCCCAAGTATTGTTCTTTTCAAGAGACTGCATCTCTTCATTCATTGTCATACTCCAGGTTTCTGCATCTTTACTCGTCACAGCTTTTTTATATGTCTTTGGCTCATAAGAGCCAAGATCATCACCAACCGCCAGTGCATAAGCCACAGAATTCATGTCACATATATTGACACATCCTGCAAACTTAGCTGGTTTCTGAATATTTCTCTTTCCCTTTCTTGCTGCTATAGAATCTTCAACCCCAGTACCAGCATCATCAGCTTCCCCCTTAACCGGTTTCCCTTGAGGTTTTGACTGATCTGGTTGATCGGATTGATCAATAGTATTATCATGTTGTTCTTCCTCTAACACAACTCTGTTAGGAGTCTCAAACTCCACAATCTAGTTAGTACCACAATCTTTTGTACCTGCAATACTTTCACAACATCTACTCTGATCAATCATAGCAGGTTCATCAAAGGTTACATATCTGCTAATAAGAAATTTACAAGGATTTTTACCTTCTATACACCACAGTCGATAACCTTTTACTCATGTTGCATACCTTAGAAATATGCATTTTACCCTCAACTCCAGCTTACCATCATTCACATGAGCATATGCAGGACATCCAATATTCTTAAATTAGAGTAATCAGAGGGTTTACCCGACCATACATCTTGAGAAATCTTTAAGTCAATTGCACTTGATGGAGATCTATTAACCAGATAGCTAGCAGTGTTTACTGCTTCAGCCCAGAATTGCTTAGATAAGCCAGCAAATATGCGCATACACCTAGCACGCGCCATGAGGGTTTTTGATTCATTCGCTCTGCAACTCCATTTTGCTGTGGTGTGTGTCGTACAGTGCGGTGCCTCACTATACCTTCTTTCTTGCAGAAATCATCAAATGGAGCGTTGCAGAACTCCAACCCATTATCATTTCTTAGAGTCTTGACCTGTTTACCCGTCCGTTTTTCAACCATGGTCTTCCACTCCTTGAACTTCCCAAACACCTCATCTTTAGTCTTTAGAAAGTACAACCAGACTTTTCTCGAATAATCATCTATGAAAGTGACAAAGTAAGAACACCCGCCCTGCGATTTCACCGGAGAGGGACCCATAGATCTGAATGAACATACTCCAGAATTTCTTTTGAAGTGATGACCGGTACTAAACCTTACCCTGCGTTGCTTCCCTTTTACACAAGCCTCATAGAATTGAATTTTACTTATCACATCCCCACCAAATAAACCCTGCTTGCTCAACACAGACAACCCTAGCTCACTCATGTGACCTAATCGACGGTGCTATAAATTTGTAGAAAATAAATTCCATACTGCAGTTTTCCCTTCATCATTACCATAGCACCTTTCAGGACTTTCACCCACTCACCTTCACCATGATATTTTAAACCATTCTTGGCTAAGGTGCTAAGAGAAATCAAATTCTTTATGAGTTCAGGAACATACCAACAGTCAAATTTCCTGATAGTACTAACATGCAATTTTATCTGCACTATCTCGCTCTCCTTTATGGTTAAAATCCCATCATCATCTAACTTCACCGTTCCATTTCACTCCTTAAAAGAAGTGAGTAGATCACGAGAGAACGTTATCTGGTGAAAAGCGCCGGTATCCATAATCCAGGAATCAGCAATACTAGCACTACACGTTGTCAGAACTTCACCAAAGTCCCCATCATCAGAACTGTCTTGTACCACAGCAGCACTGCTGCTACTGTTACTAGAATCAACTTTTGTATTTGCCTTCTTCTGTAGACAATCTCTTTTAACGTGCCTCTTCTCCTTGCAAAGATAACACTTAACTTTGCTAGAGGATTTTGATTTTGAACGCGACCTCTCATTCCCGTTACCCCTCTCATGTGGTCTTCCCTACCTACAAACAGACCTGAACCAGAACCCTCTTCCAGAGAAACCTTTCTTTTCAATTCTTTGGACATAAGGGCATCTTTCACATCATTTGTAGCTCTACCATATAACATAGTATCTACAGAATTCTCATATGAACCAGGTAGTGAACACAGTAAAATTAGGGCTTGATCTTCATCATCTACTTTAACCTCAACTCCTTGAAGATCAAAAATGATACGGTTAAAGGTATCAAGATGATCCTTTACCTGAGTACTTTCTGACATCCGGAGGGTGTAAAAACGTTGTTTCTAATATAGTCTGTTCGTGAGAGAGTTGCTTTGGTACTTCTCACACAGTTTATTCCATAACTCAAAAGCCGTTGTCTGATCTACAACCTCCCGTAACACCTCATCAGTAACTGACAGCAAGATCGTGGAATGAGCCATTGCCAAAATCTCCTTATTTACCTCCTCTTTCGTGTCTTTAGGAAACTTGTTTTCCCCCTCCAACGCAGCCGCATATCCTTGTTGAACCAGAAGTGCCCTCATCTTGACCTTTCAGAGCGTGAAGTCATTCGACCCATTAAACTTCTCTAGATCAAACTTATACGAGGACATCATTGATTGAAATATGGCTCTGATACCACTTATTATGAGAAAACGAAAAAGAAAACAAATAAAGAACACAGATATTTTACGTGGTTCGGTGACGGTGTGTCAACCTACGTCAACGGGCAGAAACCAAAGAGATTTTATTATACTGATTCAGAGATTTACAATTATGTTATCTGATTAAGAACCATAGTTGTCTATTTATAAGCACCTCAAAATACCCTGAACCCTAAACTTATTTATTATTAATTAGGATAAGCCAAAAAAGAATTCTATCAATTGAAACATTAATTTCACTTTGATTTCGGGTCGAATAGACCGCTAAATTCAAGTTAGATGTCAACGTAAATAATAGCTACAAATAAATCAGTCCAAATTGAGTTGGTCAATCTCCAAATCCGCACTTGTCATATTGCTCCGCCTCAAATTACTTTGCAGATATATATATTTTTCTATTATTATTACTGTTGCTATTGTTGTTGTTAAAACACAAAATAGGTCAAAATGGACAACTCTCGGTGAAGCAAGGCTCATTTAATGAGCAGCCGATCTAATGCCATTGCCTGGCTGTGGTAATATATTTGACAACTTCGATCGTATATAATTTTTTTGGATAATTTATTGGGATGACATCTTTAATTTTTTATATTATTTACTTTTACGTGTTTATGTAGTAATTTAGGATTTTTTTTTCTCAAATTATAAAAACACAACTTGGAACTTATGCAGGAATTTTACTATTTTGTTGTTAAAATTTTAATTTTAACAGTAGTATTAGTGCTAGTATTTCCATGAATGGGCTGGGCTGGGCTCCTTAAAGCTGCTAATTGCATTGCATGAGTGATATGAATGATTAATAAGTACTTCTCTTTCGGTGTTTATTCTTTTTTATTTTCATCTATTTTATATAATTTGGTTTTTTTTTTATATATAAAAAATAATTATATATTTTATTCATATTAGTTTAACAATTTATAATTCTAATCAAATTATTTAATTTTAATTTATAATTATTTTTATTAATAGCATATATTTTCGTATATACACGATATAATAGTATATTTATTTGAGGTGGGAAGGTGCAATACAGCAATAGTATATTAGTATTAGACGGCGGGGTAGGAGTAGACGAGTTAATTGTATTATCACCTATAGGCTATAGAAACCTGTTGATGTTTGTCCATTTCTTGTACACAAACACAATCGATCAATAACAGTTTAGTGTTTTGCTCTCTCAGTAGCTAGGCTCTAGCCTGTAGGCTTAATAAGCCGAGTCAGTGACTTATAACATCCAATGACACGCCCCCCCAAAATATAAACAATATCACCCCCACCCCCACACCCACCACTTTATGTTATGTTTCCATGATTTCTAGTATTTACATAATTACATGCATGCACCTAAACTACTCCCCCACCACTTTTTATTTATTTATTATTATTATTAAAGTAATTAATTCTATCTATTTAATTTGCTCTGTTTTGGAATCGACTTCAACTAATAATAATAGTAATAAATATCTTATTATCAAGCCTGAGGCTGAATATCCTTCCCATCCAATCCAGTCCCATTCCAGCACATGATGTGTGATCCATCCCCCTCCAAATATATATACTTTTTTTTATTCATCCTAACTTTCTTTTTCAAGTGATAACCCCCACCCTACCCTACCCTACCCCACCCCGCTTCACTTGAAGCTTTTAATTCCGATTCCCACTCATAAAATTGCATATTCGACAAACCCTTTTAATTGAAACAAAAGCACCACCACCACCACCACCACCACCACCGCCACTACTGCTACAACCCAACAGATAAAAGAAAAGAAAAGAATAGAATAGAATAGAATGATGTTCGAAGAATCTGCAATAGCTGCTGCTGCTGCGTCGTCGTCTTCGCTATGGGGCTCCATCACCAGCTGGTTCACTCCCACTGTCCTTTTCCTCCTCCTCAATCTCATGATTGCCGCCATTGCCCTCATCTCCCACACCCACACCCACACCCAACTCCACCCTCCTCAAGATCACCTCAAGATTGCCCGATCGCCCTCCATTCTTCAACGTCTCAAATCCATCAATTTTTACAGATCCCACCCTCAAGACCCACCCCCAACATTCTTGTCGCCGCCTTCTCAACCCAATCCCAATCCCAATCAGAACAAGAATCTTCCAACCCACCTCTTTGGTGGATCAGCAGACGATGATGATTCTCAGGCGACACCTCTGCCAGAAGCAGATTCTTACATCCACGAACAAGATCATTTCGATTTCGACCCCAAAGATTCGATCTTGGATGGAGAGAATGACAATCAGGAGCTTCAGAGCATGGACGAAATTTACAGCCGGCTGAGCAAAGGGACGCACTTTGGGAGGACCAAATCCGACACGGAACCGGCCTCGGGAGCGAACCGGGTTCAGAACACCGCCCGGAATCGGATGAGAAAGTCGGTGAGTATGAAGGCTGCGGCGGCGTTCGAAGAGACTGCCTCTGCAGTGGAGGCGAGACGTCCGGCGACGGCGAGGGAGAGAGTGCTGGCTAAGGTCACCGACTGCGACGAAGAGGTCGATGCGAAGGCCGATCACTTTATCGAAAAGTTCAAGCAGCAGCTGAAGCTTCAACGGCTCGATTCCATTCTCAGGTACAAGGACAAGATACGGCGGGGCTTCGGGGGGCGGTAGGGCGGCCGGCTGCCGGCCAATTTTTTTCCGGCGGGGTTAATTGTCGGGATTTGATTTGACTGTGGGTGGATTGTGATAATAGTTGGATTTGGAGGGACTTGGGTTGCAAATAAGTTGGGTAGGTTTGGATGTGAACCAACAACACCCATGCCCATGTGTTGGTTGGTTGAAGTTCGGTTGATGATTGGGAGGGGCAATTTGGTCTTTTTCGTTTCATTAGTGAGTTTTATTATTGAAATGATTGGACTGGACTAGCGTGTACTTGGCTTTGGGATTGACTGGAGAGTCCTTTCTGTTCACTCTTGCATTAATTTTCGTTTTTCCAAATCTATCCCTGAGGAGAGGTAATAAGCAAATAGTAGATTCTTGTAGTAATTCTTTTCAGACACCTACAAAATCTATGGCAAAATCGTGGTTAGATTTATATATATATATATATTGTTACGAGAAATAAAGCAAATAAAGAACACAGAGGTTTTACGTGGTTCGGTGACGGTATGTCAACCTACGTCCACGGGCAGGAACCAGAGATATTTTATTATATTGATTCAGAGATTTACAATGTGTCATCCGACTAAGAATCATAGTTGTCTATTTATAAGTACCCCAAAACACCCTAAACCGTAAGCCTATTTGTTATCAATTAGGATAAGCCCAAAAGGAACCCTGCCAATTGAAACAGCCCTTTCGCTTTGGTTTAGGGTCGGATAGACCGCTAAATCCAAGTCACGTTTCAACAATCTCCATATTGACTTGGAGTTTCTCCAACCGCCAAAGGTTCGTCAGTATCTCCCAATCGTCTCCTTCCTGCCAGATGCCCCGAGAAGGCTTTACCTCCTACGAATATTCACCAAGTTCAAGCAATGCTCAAACTTCTCCGTCGGTAGCGCCTTTGTCAACATATCAGCTGGATTGTGTTATGTAGCTATTTTTTGAATAGAAAACTTGTCTTCCTCCAGAACATCACGGATAAAATTCAACCTTACATCAATATGTTTGGTTCTCTCATGATACACTGGATTTTTAGCCAAACTCAAAGCACTTTGACTTTCACAGAATAACACCGGTTTCTCCACCTTCAGACCCAAACTCTGCACTAGACCATGTAACCAGATACCCTCCTTAATACCTTCAGTCATTGACATGTATTCCGCCTCAGTCGTCGACAATGCAACCGTAGGTTGTAAAGTAGACTTCCAACTGACTGCACATCCAAACATAGTGAAGATAAAACAAGTTAGTGATCTTCGTTTCACCAAGTCACCCCCGTAATCAGAGTCTGCATAGCCAACAAGACCATCACCGTGGCCTTTATCATCATATACCAGACAAATATCAGACGCTCCTTTCAAATATCGCAAGATCCACTTTACAGCTCCCCAGTGAGCTTTACCCGGATTAGCCATAAACTTGCTCACCACACTAACCGCATAAGCGAGATCGGGTCTCGTACATATCGTCGCATACATAAGACTTCCAACTGCACTTGAATATGGAACTGTCTTCATGTAACTAACCTCTTCATCTGTAGCCGGTATAGTGCTTCGATTAAGTTTAAAGTGTGCCGCCAAAGGGGTACTTACCGGTTTGGACTGATCAACAGAGAATGCCTGCAAAACTTTCTCAATATACTTTTCTTGAGAAACCCACAACCGTCTTGCTTCTCTATCACGCCAGATCTCAATACCAAGTATTTTCTTTGCCGCACCCAAATCCTTCATCTCAAACTCACCTTTTAGTAGAGCCTTCAAGTCATTAATTACAGCCATGTTCTTAGCTGCAATTAACATATCATCCACATACAACAGCAGATACACAAAGGAATCAGTAGAAACTTTCTTCGAGTAAACACAGTTATCAAACTGATTACGAGTATAACCATTAGACACCATGAATGAGTCAAATCTCTTGTACCATTGCCTCTGAGATTGCTTCAAGCCATACAGAGATTTCTTTAACAAGCATACCTGGTCCCCTTTAGAACTGTAGAACCCCTCCGGTTGAGACATGTAAATTTGTTCTTCTAGATTACCATGAAGGAATGCTGTTTTTACATCAAGCTGCTCCAGCTCCAGATCAAAAGCACCCACCATTGCCAAAAGAACCCGAATGGTTTTGTGTTTCACCACAGGAGAAAAGACTTCATGGTAATCGATTCCTTCCTTCTGTGAAAACCCTTTTGCCACCAGTCTCGCCTTGAACCTAGCAGGTTCAACACCAGAAATTCTCTCCTTTCTTTTAAAGACCCACTTGCATCCCACTGGCTTCACCCCTTTTGGTAGTGCAACAAGATCCCAAGTCTTGTTCTTTTCAAGAGACTGCATCTCTTCATTCATTGCCATAATCCAGGTTTCTGCATCTTTACTCGCCACAGCTTCTTTATATGTCTTTGGCTCATCAGAGCCAAGATCATCACCAACCGCTAGTGCATAAGCAACAGAATCCATGTCACACGTACTGACACATCCTGCAAACCTACCTGGTTTCTGAATATTTCTCCTTCCCTTTCTTGCTGCTATGGAATCTTCAACCCCAGTACCAGCGTCATCAGCTTCCCCCTCAACCGGTTTCTCTTGAGGTTTTGACTGATCTGGTTGATCGGATTGATCAATAGTATTAACCTGCTGCTTTTCCTCTAACACAACTCTGTCAGGAGTCTCAAACTCCACCCTCTGGTTAGCACCACAATCTTTTGTACCTGCAATAATTTCACAACCTCTACTCTGATCAAGCATAGCAGATTCATCAAATGTTACATCTCTGCTAATAAGAAATTTACCAGGATTTTTACCTTCTGTACATCACAATCGATAACCTTTTACTCCTGTTGCATACCCTAGAAATATGCATTTTACCGCCCTCGGCTCCAGCTTACCATCATTCACATGAGCGTATGCAGGGCATCCAAATATTCTTAGATTAGAGTAATCAGAGGGTTTACCGGACCATACCTCTTGAGGAGTCTTTAAGTCAATTGCAGTTAATGGAGATCTATTAACCAGATAGCTAGCAGTGTTTACTGCTTCAGCCCAGAATTGCTTAGATAAGCCAGCAAATATGCGCATACACCTAGCACGCGCCATGAGGGTTTGATTCATTCGCTCTGCAACTCCATTTTGCTGTGGTGTGTGTCGTACAGTGCGGTGCCTCACTATACCTTCTTTCTTGCAGAAATCATCAAATGGAGCGTTGCAGAACTCCAACCCATTATCATTTCTTAGAGTCTTGACCTGTTTACCCGTCCGTTTTTCAACCATGGTCTTCCACTCCTTGAACTTCCCAAACACCTCATCTTTAGTTTTCAGAAAGTACAACCAGACTTTTCTCGAATAATCATCTATGAAAGTGACAAAGTAAGAACACCCGCCCTGCGATTTCACCGGAGAGGGACCCCATAGATCTGAATGAACATACTCCAGAATTTCTTTTGAAGTGTGCTGACCGGTACTAAACCTCACCCTGCGTTGCTTCCCTTTTACACAAGCCTCACATAATTGAATTTTACCTATCACATCCCCACCAAATAAACCCTGCTTGCTCAACACAGACAACCCTAGCTCACTCATGTGACCTAATCGCCGGTGCCACAAATTTGTCCTGTCATCATGTTTATCCAAGGACTGGGATACCGCCGCCGTTCCCATCACTGAACTGCCCTGTAGAAAATAAATTCCATGCTGCAGTTTTCCCTTCATCATTACCAGCGCACCTTTTAGGACTTTCATCCACTCACCTTCACCATGATATTTTAAACCATTCTTGGCTAAGGTGCCAAGAGAAATCAAATTCTTTATGAGTTCAGGAACATACCAACAGTCAAATTTCCTGACAGTACCGTCATGCAATTTTATCTGCACTACCCCGCTCCCTTTTATGGCTAGAACCCTATCATCACCTAACTTCACCGTTCCATTCCACTCCTTAAAAGAAGTGAGTAGATCACGAGAGAACGTCATATGGTGAGAAGCACCGGTATCCATAATCCAGGAATCAGCAGTACTAGCACTACACGCTGTCAGAACTTCACCAAAGTCCCCATCATCAGAACTGTCTTGTACCACAGCAGCACTGCTGCCACTGTTACTAGAATCAACTTTTGTATTTTCCTTCTTTTGTGGACAATCCCTTTTAACGTGCCCTTTCTCCTTGCAAAGATAACACTTAACTTTGCTAGAGGATTTTGATTTTGAACGCGACCTCCCATTCCCGTTACCCCTCTCCTGTGGTCTTCCCCTACCTGCAAACAGACCTGAACCAGAACCCTCTTCGAGAGAAACCTTTCTTTTCAATTCTTTGGACATAAGGGCATCTTTCACATCATTAACAGAAATTGTAGTTCTACCATATAGCATAGTATCTACAAAATTCTCATATGAACCAAGTAGTGAACACAATAAAATTAGGGCTTGATTTTCATCATCTACTTTAACCTCAACTCCTTGAAGATCAAGAATGATACGGTTAAAGGTATCAACATGATCCTTTACCTGAGTACTTTCGGACATCCGGAGGGTGTAAAGACGTTGCTTCTGATATAGCCTGTTAGTGAGAGAGTTGTTTTGGTACTTCTCACACAGTTTATTCCATAACCCAAAAGCCGTTGTCTGATCTACAACCTCCAGTAACACCTCATCAGTAACTGACAACAAGATCGCGGAATGAGCCCTTGCCAAAATCTCCTTATTTACCTCCTCCTTCGTGTCTTTAGGAAACTTGTCTTCTCCCTCCAACGCAGCCGCACATCCTTGTTGAACCAGAAGTGTCCTCATCTTGACCTTCCAGAGCGTGAAGTCATTCGACCCATTAAACTTCTTCAGATCAAATTTATACGAGGACATCTTCAATCAATGGGATATGGCTCTGATATCACTTGTTATGAGAAAACGAGAAAGAAAGCAAATAAAGAACACAGAGGTTTTACGTGGTTCGGTGACGGTATGTCAACCTACGTCCACGGGCAGGAACCGGAGAGATTTTATTATACTGATTCAGAGATTTACAATGTGTCATCCGACTAAGAACCATAGTTGTCTATTTATAAGCACCCCAAAACACCCTAAACCGTAAGCTTATTTGTTGTCAATTAGGATAAACCCAAAAGAAACCCTGCCAATTGAAACAGCCATTTCGTTTTGGTTTAGGGTCGGATATACCGCTTAATCCAAGTCACGTTTCAATATATATATATGTATACGTTTGTAATGATTACAGTAATGTTTTTAAATGTCGTTGTTGACTATAGCGTATAGATCTGTTATGGCACAGAGAGAGACATGTGCAATTTTTGTTGTTCATGTAAAAATTAAATTAAATTAAATTAAATGGTAACGCACAGCACAGCACGTACGGTCGGCATTGCAATCCATGTGAAAAAAAACACATGCACTAAATGGCTATTGCAAACATTATATTTAACATGCGAAAGTAGAATTTTATATTTCTATTTTCAATTTTGGTATTGTATTGTATATATGCATGCTACTTACTTAAAATAAGCAACGCAAAGAAAATGATTTATATATATATTATTTTTAGTATTAATTCATAATATTTTTTCATATTAAAAAAATCCATTATTCACAAACTTGTATATAAGCGCAGTTGATATAATTGGGGGTGACAGAACTCAGAACAAGTGAGTGTTGGGGTCTAGTAGGTCAAAGTCTTTATTTAATCTTAAAAGAAAGAAATTAAATTAAATTAATATAAAGTATATAGTCCATTATATTATATTATATTATATTATAGTGTTGATGTGAGTGTGACGTGACAGTCATATCATCTATCTATCTCTCTAGGGTGGTGTTGGGCCTATCCTCCAGAAATGTTTGGCTTTTTTGGCCTTTGTTACTTAAAATATCACTTCACATTATTATTATTATTATTATTATTATTATTGGTCGTCGTCAGTAGGGCTGGGGACATAACAACAACTACAACTAATTGCATTTGCATTTGCATACATACAATACAGATGAAGAATTATGCATTGACATTGATTAAGATAGGAGATATATATACATATGATTAAGTTCCCTATGGAGGAGATTTTTATTAATTAATGCGGCTAGCTAATTAATTGTACGTGTTTCCCACATGGGTTTTGTCGTATATATTGCCAAGAAATAAATAAATATAATGGTAATAGTCACTAGTATTTAATATTTCTAATTATATCAATTTGGTATGCAATTGATCTCGAGTCGATTCATTTTTGATTTTATAGCAATTGAAGAAAATTTCCCATTAAAATTACATCATTTCGTACGACGGTGGTGTGCTGTTCTCTATATTAAGACGACGAGGTTTTACTTTACTATATTTGGAAGTAATTAACGTAACACATGGTAGGTAAACCAGCTAGCAGCTAGCTAGTGCTTAAATTAAAAGTCAATTCGTAATTATAAAACCAATCGTATATATATGTTAGGTTAATGCATTATGTCTATATATTGTATGATTGAAGTAAAGAGAGATCAGGACACTGAGGAGAGTTAGGTGTCGCAGCATTTATTATTTATTTCACATAAAATTAAATTAGTTGATAATAATCTTATTAATTAATCTGAGAAATTAAACACAATCCTGCGCACTTCAACTACAACGCAAGCTCATTTATTTGCAGTTTATGTCATCATTAATGAGAGACTCGGACCATATATACATATATATATATATATATGTGTGTGTGCGCGCGCCGTGGATGATTGCAATGTTAGAGAGAGGTTGATTGATTGATTGATTTATTTTGACATGCATACACAGTCATAGGTATTATGCCTTAATGGAAATGGTCAGTATTATTATTTCACGTTGACAATCACCACAGATTTCATGCCTTCCACCACTACAAATTAATACTACTACGTGTGTATGTATTATGTATGTATGCCTGCCTGGAATCATTCAAGTCGTCATTGATGATGATGGTGGTGGTGAGGGTGAGGGTGAGGGTGAGGGTGACGATTGAATCTTCATTAATTAGTTGCAGGAAGTGACCCGACCCATGGAGTACTGAGAGAGAGAGAGAGAGAGAGAGAGAGAGAGAGAGAGAGAGAGAGAGAGAGAGAGAATCAATTCATCAATCAATCCCCACCCCTACGCTACAATACAATTACAATGCATTACAGACACAGTTAGGTAATTAGTCACACCACGACGATACCAAGGAAAAGAAAGATCCCTCATCTCCATCTTAATTAATTAATTCGGTAAGCAAATATATCTACATATCTTGTAATTACTAGTCTTACTTATTTAGTAGATTTGCTACACTTATTTACGAAGAGAACAGGAATCATCGGTGTACAGTACAGGTACTCGTTCAGCAGCAATGGCAGTCGCCGTCACCGCCGCCGCCGCCGTGATTTTGGTCGTCTTTGTCTATGGAGACAGAGGAGGAGGTCTGGAACGAACACAACAACAGCCTTACAGAAGCGCGTTCCATTTTCAACCCCACAAAAACTGGATGAACGGTACACTCCGATCCTACCCTAATTATATCTAAATTAATTTAATCAATTTCTTATAATTTACTTATTATTATTTAACTTTTCATCCATCCAACGCTACTGACTGACTGACTGACGGACGTTGCCATGATCTCCGACCGACTGACCGACCCATATATGCTATAATTAATTTTCCGGCAACGCAACCTTACCTTAAAATTAAAGACCCAAACGGTATGACGCACGTACGTACGTACTAGCTTGTTACTAGTACTACTACTACTACAAACCTTTACTTAATTTGTAGTAGTAGTATTGTCTCTATATTAAATTACGTATACCAATTGAATCGAATAAAAAAATATTTGAATTGCAATTGCAGGGCCTATGTACTATAAGGGAGTGTACCATTTGTTCTATCAGTACAATCCATACGGTGCAAAATGGGGCAACATCACCTGGGCTCATTCTGTCTCCCACAACCTCATCCATTGGATTCATCTCCCCCACGCCATCCAACCCTCCCACCCCTTCGACATCCAGGGCTGCTTTTCTGGCTCTGCCACCATTCTTGCATCCCATCACCATCATCATAAGCCCCTCATTCTTTACACCGGACTGTCCTCCACCAACCAACAGGTACTCCTACCTTTAACTAATTTACTAATTACAAATTAATCTAAACAATTTCTTCAACACATACATAGCTAGCAAGATGCAGCAGCAGCTGACGACGATGATTTAATTAATTTCAGGTTCAAAATCTTGCAACGCCCAAGAATATGTCGGATCCCTTTTTGATCGAATGGGACAAGTCCTCACACAATCCCCTGATGACACCCCCTGTTGGGATCATCAATCCGAATTCCTTCAGGGATCCGACAACCGGATGGCGAGGCGCTGACAACACGTGGCGCGTAGTGATTGGCGGCGAGATCGATGGCCACGGAGCTGCCGTCCTCTACAAGAGCGACGACTTTGTCACCTGGGAAAGGGCTCACAGCCCCTTACATTCGTCCAACAAGACAAACATGTGGGAGTGTCCTGACTTCTATCCAGTTCGTGTGCATGGCAAGAAGGGGATCGCCACATCCACCAATGGTGGTGTCGGCATCAAGCATGTCTTGAAGGCCAGCTTCCACGATCACGACTATTACATACTTGGGACTTACGACACCAAAACTGATCGATTCAATGTTACTGTCGACTTTATGGATGATAAGGTCCAGTTAAGATACGACTATGGGCTGTTTTATGCATCAAAATCATTCTATGATCCGGGCAAGAAACGTCGGTTATTGTGGGGTTGGGTGACTGAAGCCGATAGCGAGGCAAATCAAGTCAAAAGAGGATGGTCCGGTCTTCAGGTATACACATACATACACATTTCTGTTGTTATTGTCGTTTTGTTGCAAGTGGTTTTAATTTTCTTGCAGTCGATGGTTAGAAGTGTATCGTTGCATAAAACCAAGAAGCAGCTTATTCAATGGCCTGTCAAAGAGGTTGAGAAGCTTCGTAGGAAGAAAGTTTCCATGAAGAATAAAGAGCTCGTGAACAATAGCGTCATTGAAGTTGAAGGAATCTCAGCTTCACAAGTAGTTTAATTTGCTGCGTCTGCCTCAATATGCATGCCGAGTTTAGTACAGTATAAGATTATGTCTTAATTCGAACATTCTATATATGCAACAGGCTGATGTTGAGGTATCGTTCCATTTGCCCAACTTGGAAGGCGTGGAATTGATCAATGAGAATATGAAAACCGATTCCCAGCTTCTGTGTAGACGAATGAACGCATCGGTTGGAGGTAAAACCGGGCCTTTTGGGCTGTTAGTCTTGGCTTCAAAGAACTTGACAGAACAAACTGCCATATTCTTTCGGGTATTCAAAATTGGTGGCAAATATGCAGTGCTAATGTGCAGTGATCAGAGCAGGTGAAGCTAATGAATGATCGATCTGCAATGCTATTCTTTGATCGATCTCTCTCTACCCAAGTTATTATCACAACGGTTTCATGTGTTGTCATAGATTAGATGGTTTTCAGGTGTAATAACATTTCCTTTCCTACAGATCATCAGTGGAAACACCTGTCAAAGAACCTATCTTTGGGGCATTTGTTGACATTGACCCAAGTCGTGGGATCTCCCTCAGAACTCTGGTTTGTGATGAGATCGATCTATTCCACTAACCTTTCTGCATTTTCTCCCAAAATCTTGGATCAGGTTCGAGTGAAAATTGTCCTCTTGTTTGATGACAGATTGATCATTCGATCGTGGAGAGTTTTGGCGGGCGAGGAGTGACTTGCATAACTGCTAGAGTTTATCCCAAATTAGCCATTGCTGGAAACTCCCACATCCATGTATTCAACAATGGGGAGAAGAACGTCGTCGTTTCGACCCTCAGGGCATGGAGCATGGAGAAAGCTCACATTGGATAGGATAGGATAGGACTGCAATGTTTAAAGTGGAAGGAAGTGCTTCAATTAAGATTATTTACCAAGAAACATTCAGCTATTCTCGAAAAAATTCATCAATAATCAATCTGATCTCCAGTCAGTTTATATATTTTGCTTCAGAAAAAAATAAAAAAGTAGAGCTTCTAAGTTGTAATAAGTTGGATCGAGGCACTGCACTGGAAATATGATAAATTCCTCACCTCTGATAAATATGACGTTCCTCTGAGATATTCTGGAAGATGTGGAATTTATTCACCCACCACAGATATATGCTTAATATGTTGTCTATTTTGGGACCAAGACCCAATTTTTATTCGTGTACGGCTTTAAATACACCCCCAATTTTATCAACATTCATTAATTAATTTGATATATCAATAATTTATCTAAAATAGATATAAGATTGGTAAAATGAATTCGAATACCCTTTTGGATAGAAGTCTGAACGAAAAGGTGAAATCAATTCTTGCTTTGTTCTTCTGCCCCCATATACGAATTTTGAAGAAAAGGGAGAAACCCCAGCGCCAGGCTTTTGAGCAATTCGTCAGAATTGAATTAGGGACATAAATTAATTAAAGAGCTCCCAGTTGGCGATTGATTTTTTCTTCTCCGTCGACGAAACCTTCCTGGATAGAGTGGCGCAATTCGATTCCCTCCCAAGATTTCAGATGCAACGGGCTATTCTCTACATCGGCCAAGAATCCATCGGTATTCGGGAGCGATTTGTTTCTTTTCGATTGCCCCAATCTTGAAGAAACAATGGCGGAGGAAGGGGGCGGCGGCGGCGAGGTTTCGTCCGGCAGGCGATCTGGGGCGTCGAATTGGTTGACCAGCTTCCACCGGGACCTGACGGCGGGGGCGTTGATGGGGGGCGTGGTGCACACGATCGTGGCCCCCATAGAGAGGGCGAAGCTGCTGCTGCAGACGCAGGAGAGCAATCTGGCAATCCTGTCCGGGCGGGGGCGGAGGTTCAAAGGGATGGTGGATTGCATCGTCCGCACGGCCAGGGAGGAAGGCATTCTCTCATTGTGGAGGGGCAATGGGAGCAGCGTCATCAGATATTATCCCTCTGTTTCCCTCAACTTCTCTCTCAAGGTATATATATCATCAATTCAATTCCTCCCTTTGTTCCTTTCCACCGAATCCCTGGATTTCTTGCTTTGCCTGCCTTTTGAAATATTGATTGGATGGCTCACTGCTTTATGTATAATTTAGTGCTTTGGCATTTGCAATTTTGATCGAAATTGCCACGGCTGTGGGCTGAGGTGTGTTCTTGTCTTTCGAGTGTAAGCTCCAAGATGACCTTGTTTAGTTATTAGTTATAGCTCTGATTGATGAATCAATCAATCATCGTTTTGCAGAATGTGCTGTTTGTGGTTGTTTGTAGATCAATGATTATGCGAGGAATTGATGATTGTTGTAAACCTTTCCTTGGATTTTGAAAGCTTAGAAGTTTGAAGGTGAACCACCATGTTTGTTTGAGATTGGCCTAAGATGGAATATAAGGTTCTTGGCTATTGATTATGATGTTAGTTTGTTCGAAGGCGAATTGCAATGCTTTCATGTCAACTGGTATTGTAAGATCAATTTTTTGACTGTATTTACACCTTGTTTTTTTTTTCTTAATTTCGGGGGCAGGATCTGTATAGGAACATCCTACGAAGCAACTCCGGCAAAGGCGATCTCCTCTCGGGGCCGTCTGCCAATTTCATCGCCGGAGCGGCAGCAGGCTGCACGACGCTGATCATCATATACCCTCTGGACATTGCGCACACGCGCCTCGCGGCGGATGTGGGCAGAACGGAAGTGCGACAGTTCAAAGGCATCTGCCACTTCCTGCGGACAATCCACCGGAAGGATGGGGTGCGGGGGATCTACAGGGGGCTGCCTGCGTCTTTGCAGGGGATGGTGATACACCGGGGCCTATACTTTGGGGGGTTCGACACGGTGAAGGAGATGATGATGGCGGCGGAGGAGTCGAGATCGGAGGTGGCGCTGTGGAAGCGGTGGGTGGCGGCACAGGCGGTGACGAGCGGGGCGGGGCTGGTGTCGTACCCGTTTGACACGGTGAGGAGGCGGGTGATGATGCAGTCGGGGGCGGAGGAGCCCATGTACAGGAGCACGGCGGAGTGCTGGAGGAAGATATATAGAGCGGAGGGGGTGGGGTCGTTCTATAGAGGGGCGATGTCGAACATATTTAGGAGCACGGGGGCGGCGGCGGTGCTGGTTTTGTACGATGAGATCAAGAAACTCATGAACTGGACAGGGTTGTAGCAGCCTTGTAGGGAAGGTAGGTAGGTAGGTAGGTAGCACGTAGAGTAGAGTAGGGTAGATCAGTAGAATGGAGGATGAATTGACGATGATGATGATGCATGAGAGTCGAAACATTGATTGAGAAGGAAAGAAACAAGTGTGTTGTCTGTATGTATGTTCAATTGTTTGGATGGTTTTTGTTTGTCTGTCTGTGGAATGAATGATACGATGTCTTTTTTGGTACACATTGAAGTTAGCTTAATTATTAATTAATTAAATAACAGAAGTAATAAATTTGGGAGTTGTCAAGGCAAGCATGGTTTATTGATTAGGGAGGGGAGGGGAGGGACTTGAAACCAGATTTGGGGATTCCCTTCATCAGGAACGGAACGGATCCACACCCACCTCATTGGCTCATTCGGACAGCCACAGCCTTAATAAAACCGAGTAACTGTTGAGCAACAATACCCAATTACATGCCAGCTGTCACAATTCCATCTCATATCCTCCACTGGAACCTGGCTAGATGGCAGTTTGTTATAACTTATTCTTCTAGAAGTTATTTATGTAGGGACCACATGATGTGGATTTCAATTTGTTACACGGTTATTTCATTCTGTATATAAATTCTTCTTCTTCTGTGATGAATATACAGAAAATATTATATGTTCTCTTCTCTGGTTTTTTACTCTCTATATACATTTATTTGTTCAATTCACTTCATGGTATCAGAGCCGTAGCTCGATCCTTTTTTCTTCTATGGCTACTGAAGAAGGCAAATTAAGGATGTCTACGCAAGGAACTACAAACACCACAGCCCACCTACATGCTCAATCCTTTGGAGCTCAATAATCCCTTTTACCAAAGACGTTGCAGCTTACGAGTGGTGATCAACCAAACTTATGTCTAGCCTCAATTCCTTTGAGTGGAACTAATTACTTTACTTGGTCTCATAGAGTGTGGAACTCTTTAGTGGCCAAAGGGAATGTTGGTCTTCTTACTGGGCAGATTAAAAAACCAGCAGCCGGTACAGTCGAGCATGATGCTTGGACTAAAGTGGATGCTTTAATCCGAGGCTGGACACTAAATTCCATTTCTCCTGAATTACAAGGTGCCTTCATCTTCGTCTCTACAGCAAAGGGACTTTGGGAGAACCTATAGGAGAAGTATGGTCAGGCCAATGGATCTTCTATATATCAATTGAAGCAGTTGCTTGCCAGCCTAAAGCAAAGTGATGATTCACTCACAACTTATGCAACAAAACTTCAAGAACTGTGGGAAAAGCTGCTCACAGTAGACCCTCCACCTGAATGCTCATGTGGTATGCACCACAAACTCATGGCTCGTATGGACATAGATCTATTAATTTAGTTTTTAACAGGTCTAGGAGACTCCTATGAATCAGCAAAAGGCCAAATACTATTAATGGATCCTCTCCCAAATATGAACAAGGCGTACTCCTTATTCTTACAAGTTGAAAAACAAAGAGAAATTCACATTACAAAGGAACAAAGTGCCTTTATGATTATAAACAGAAATACTGCATCTAAGAAGACAACATATAAGAAACAAGCACAAGTTGAAAAGAAGAACCAAATATGTGATCACTGCAAGAGAAAAGGACATTCAAAGGAATCTTGCTTTCAACTTCATGGTACTCCTGATTGGTACAAAGAGATAGTTGAAAAGAGAATGATGGTTGGATGCGATGTATATAAGCAGAAACAAGACACAACTGAGTTAAAGCAAACTCATCTTGACATAAGTGCCATGATCAAAGCTGAACTTCAGAAGCTTCTGCTGAGCCATTCCAATGCGGACTCCCCAGTTGAGCTCTCCAATGCTGCAATTGAGTTTTCAGGTACCACCTATCTTGTTGGATCTGCACAATTAGATAGTAATACTTGGCTAGTTGATAGTGGTGCATCTTGCCATATCTGCATGAATGACAAACTCTTAGATTCCCTTGTTCCTTTAAAAGCTGGTCCAAAAATCATTCTCCCAAATGGCTACTCTCTCACAGCCTCTCATGTAGGAACATCCATTATACACCCTTTCATTACTCTTACCAATGTCTACTATGTGCCCCATTTCAAGTTTAACTTGTTGTCTGTAAGTGCTTTCCTTCAATCATCTAATTGCAAGCTCTTATTTACTCCAACCTATTGTATGATTCAGGACCCATCCTCTAATCAAGTCCTAGCAGTGGGAAGGCAAAAACATAACCTATATATCCTGAGATGCTCCTCTGCTCCAGCTCACAACTTAGCTTCTGTAACTACTCTGACCAAGTCTTAATTGTGGCATTACAGACTTGGACATGCCTCTGAAACTACTCTTAAACACTTACCTTTTGTTACAACTTCAAATTGTAGTCCATGTGATATCTGTCATGAATCAAAACAAACCAGATTGCCTTTTAATAAAAGCTCTTCTTGTGCTTTGCATGCATTTGATCTTCTTCACATGGACACTTGGGGACCTTATAAAACAGCTACTCTTAATGGTTGTCACTATTTTCTCACAATTGTAGATGACTATTCAAGAGCCATATGGACTTACCTCTTACCAAATAAACAAAACATCCACACCATTCTTGACTCCTTCATTGCTCAAATTCATAATCAGTTTGGAACTACCATAAAAAAATTCGAACTGATAATGGATCTAAATTTCTTAACCACAGCTGCAAAACCCTGTTCCAAAAACATGGCATCCTACATCATCACTCCTGCCCCTATTCACCTCAGCAAAATGGTAGAGCCGAGATAAAACATAAACACCTCTTGCAAATTACCAGAGCTTTGTTGTTTCAAGCTCATCTACCTACCAACTTTTGGGGGGACGCCCTTCTACATGCCACATTTCTAATGAACAGATTGTCCTCCTCTGTACTTGGTTGGTCCACACCTTTTGAACTACTGCATCACACCAAACCAACCTATAATGACCTTAAGACCTTTGGTTGTCTTTGCTATGCTACAAATATTGACCCTGCCAAATCCAAACTTGATCCACGAGCCCATAAGTGCATATTCCTTGGTCTACCTGCTGGACAAAAGGGATATAAACTCTTAGACTTAGGACGCAACAAAAGATTTGTGGCAAGAGATGTTGTGTTCTATGAGCATATTTTCCCATTTAGCTCCCTTTCAAGGTATCCTATAGCTCCTTATGCTCCTGCTCCCTTTCCGTCGTCCATTCCTGATCCTCTTGAACTCTTACCTCAAATTCAGAATACATACCCTCCTTTACCTCAAACCATATCCTAGCTTCCTGTGTCTCAGTCACCTCCTACCTCTCCATCTCAATCACCTCCTAACTATCTTTCATCTAAGGAACCTGATTTGTCTCCTGGGTATTCATCTCCCTCTTGGCCAGCCATGTTACCCAATTCACCAAACACTGCACCCTCTTCTCCACTATATATTCCACCCAAAAGACAAATCAGACAGCCTGTTTGGATGAAGACTATGTTTCCTCTTTTCATTATTCACCCTCTTTTCCTAAGTCATTCATGCATATTTGGCATAGTGTTGCTGCTGTTACTTGCCAAGAACCTGCTTTTTATGTACAGGCCCAACAGGATTCCCGGTGGATGGCAGCTATGAATGAAGAGTTGGAAGCCCTTGCCAAAAATGACACATGGGAAATCACACACCTATACCCAAAGACGTCAAACCAATTGCATGTAAGTGGGTGTATCGTATAAAAAGACATTCAGATGGGAGCATTCAGCGTTACAAGGCATGCTTAGTTGCCAAAGGATACTTACAGGTATATAGAAGGGATTACAATGAATCATTTGCTCCCGTAGCAAAGGTGGTAACAGTAAGAATTCTCCTCACAATAGCTTCCATGAATATCTGAGATGTTCACCAACTTGATATAAACAATGCCTTGTTGCATGGACATCTCGATGAAGACATCTACATGACTCCTCCTCAAGGAAGTAATGTCCCAACAGGTCATGTCTACAAACTTAAGTAATCCCTGTATGGCCTCATGCAAGCACCACGACACGACAGTGGTATAAGGAACTTGCAGCCAAGTTGATTAAGTATGGCTTTGAGCAATCCTCACATGACTCTTGCTTATTCACTCTATCAGTTGGAACAGACTTCACAGCCCTACTGGTGTATGTCGATGATATCCTATTAACAGGGAATGATCCATCATGCATTGACAATCTGAAAGAATTTTTACACCAAGAATTCACCATCAAGACATTGAGCACAGTTGATCTATTCCTTGGAATTCAAATTGAAAGAACAGATACTGGCCTTGCTGTCTCTCAACATCAGTTTATTGATGATATTTTACAAGAAGCAGGATTACTTCATTCCAATGCATGTGCCACACCGGTATCCCCTGGCTTGAAGTTGGCGCATCAGAATGGGCATGCCTTAGCTAAGCCTGAGGCTTACAGACGTCTAGTGGGTAGGTTGCTTTATCTGACTACCACAAGACCAGATCTTTGTTATGCAATTCAACAACTTACTCAATTTATGGATGCACCTACATCTGAACATTGGAAGGCAGCCCAACGAATCCTCAAATACTTGCAAGGTACAAAGCATCTCCGTCTTTTCTTCCCTTGCAAAGGACAGTTCTCTCTTACAGCCCTCTGTGATGCTGATTGGGCAAGTTGCTTGGACACCAGAAAGTCACTAACTGGCTATTGTCTATTTCTTGGACCATGTCTTATCTCTTGGAAAACCAAAAAGCAACCAACCATTGCCAAATCCTCAGCCGAAGCTGAATATAGAGCAATGGCAACTACTATCTCTGAATTACTGTGGATAACATATCTGCTTCGGGACTTCCGCATTAACATGTCCACACCGACTCTATTATACTGCGATAACTTGTCTGTTATTCACATGGTTAAAAATCCGGTGCATCATGAGCGTACGAAGCATATTGACGTGGATTGTCACTTTATCCATCACTACTATGAAGCGGGGTTCTTTAAACCAATTCATATTCCATCTTCTCAGCAAGTAGCTGATGTGTTCACCAAAACTTTGTCATCTGTATCCTTCCATGATGCTTGTATCAAGCTGAATCTGGGTTTTATTAGCCATCGTCCGCTTGAGGGGGGTGTGTTGAGTAACAATACCCAATTACATGCCACCTCTCACAATTCCATCTCATATCCTCTACTGGAACCTGGCTAGCAGTTTGTTATAACTTATTCTTCTATAAGTTATTTATGCAGGGACCACATGATGTGGATTCCAATTTGTTACACGGTTATTTCATTATGTATATAAACTCTTCTTCTTCTGTGATGAATATACAGAAAATATTATCTGCTCTCTTCTCTGGCTTTTTACTCTCTATATACATTTATTTGTTCAATTCACTTCAGTAACGACGCCTCCTCCTCGATCTCCCATATTTATTTTATTTCATAATTATACATAGTATTTAACATTTATTAATTAATTAATGATGGAGGTGGATGTGGATGTGGATGTTAGTTTGGTCTCTCATTCAATGTCGTCAATCACATCCATCATTGTCATGTCATATCCATCATCTATCCATCCATCCATCCATCGTAGTTATGGTTGTTACTATCCATCAATTAAAGGAATCATGCTGAATTTGATCTACACTATTAATTAATTAATTAAATTATTTAATTGATTAAAATAATTAAATTAAAATGAAGGGTGTAAATCAATTTTAGCTTATCCTGACTTATTTATCACTTCAGTATTTGATCAAAACCTAAATCTATTTTATATGCTGAAATTAGTAATAATATGTGTTGTATGAATAATTTCATTTATGTAATGCTAATATTAATATTAGTATTATTTATTGTTATATATATCATATGTTGTTTATTGTTATATAGTGTTGTCAACAAATTAGTACCAGTCTTGTCTATTCAACTATATAATTCACAGGATTTGGTAACATAATTATTGTTACCACTTTTTATAAGATATAGAGTTCTCATCATATGTATGTAGTCTAAACAGGCACTGAACAAATTTCACAAACTTACGAGACTTGCATTTAAATGTAAAATAATTAAGACACTGGATAATTAATTAACTACAATTAAAACATCAAAATGAAAGACAAGATGTATACATGCACACACATATATATATACAGAGAGAGAGAGATAAAGTAGTATTTATTAATTAGGATGTCTGGATGGATGGGGATAGCGATAATTAATTTATTGATTAAGTAATTAATTAATTAAGGGGTGAGGTAGGTAGGGCGCCGACTCGGACGAGCTTGGGGACGAGATTATTACTCAGGTGCAACGCGACGAGGGTGTCGAGCCCGCCGACGAAGGCGCCGCCGATGTAGAGCGCGGGTGATGCCGCCGACGCGCCGGGAGGAGGGGCGATGTCCAGTTGGATGACTGCCGGGTGGTGGACGCCCAGGGTGGAGAGGAGGTGCTTCATCACGTGGCACATGCAGCTGCACGACGAAGACGAACTGCTGAAAATGACGACCGGATTTTCAGCCAGGAGGCGCTCCACCGACTCGGCGGCGGCGGCCATGGTCGCCATCTCCCAGCTGCGGCTGAGGCTGAGGCTGAGGCTGAGGCTGGGGCCTTGCATCATATCAATATCATATGGAATCCAATCTTAACCGATCCAAAACCAATTAATTTGGGTACGCGCGTAACGAGAGAGAGAGAGAGGGGGTAGCGACTAGTTTGTAAAGCTATTATAATATAGTAGATACTTATATTGGGAGGGGAGCGAGTAGAGCAGTATTAATAAATAAATTAATTAATCAATCAATTAATTAATAATTTTGTTCACTTGACGACACAGAGATCTAAAACCATTTTGTGTTTGCTCTAGATTGAATAGAGTGGGGGCGAGGTGGAGGTGGAGGTAACTAGGCCAACTAACTAATACGAGTGACGTGAGTAGGCCCATCAATTATCCCCAATAGGAATAGGAATAGGAATAGTAGGATCCGACTTATCCGCTGACAATGACAATCACTCCGCTGGGCCCCACTCCAATTATAGCGGCATACCCAGAGCCGTCTAATCTAATAGCTATGAATATTAACGAAATAATTAGAACAAGTACTCCATATTATATGAACTGAACTGTTGGTTATTTGTTCATAGATAGAGCATTAATCATATATTTTTAATTGGATTAATACCTTTCAAACATATCAATTAAAATAAAAATTCCGATATCGGCTCATTTCTTTGAATACTGTTGTCCTTGGGCTTCTTCTTTTGTTCGTTATACATTACATCTTAGCAACACCGTTAATAACATTCTTATTTTACTTTTCTATAATACAATACAATACAATATTCAGATGTGCGTATTTTAATTTAAAATAAATTATGAAAACTAAACCAAAACCAAAACATCTAAACATAGAAATAGAATACACTCTAAATTATGTAAACTGTATAATAGTTTATTAATGTTATGGTTATGATATGATATAGTTATTTAAGAAATATCAAAAAAAATTAAGAGAAAAAAATATATTTAAATAAACAATTCACAATTTTAAATTCAAATAAAATATTATGTGCACAACATGTGCAAGTAGCAAGTAGTGTGTCGGCTCATTTCACAATTAGTATCATTATACAACTCCGTCCTAACTTTTTTTCTAATTTTTTATTTTGGTATGTTGTTTAAAAAAATTAAAAATTTAATCTAGTAATGAAAATATACTTGTATAATAATAGAGACTAGTAATAGCGGCCCGGTGTTCCTACATCATAAAAAAAACTAGTCGTAGTTTGCAATATTAGATTCAATCGGGAATTTATTGCATTTTTTGGGTAACGGCTGTGAATTCCCGCGTTATAAAAAAAATAATAATAATAATAAAATTATATAGTTCCGAAAAAGACTATTTGATGGCAAACTTGTGACAGTGGATCTTAACAACAATTTATGTTTTTTTAACTGTTTTAATTAAAGCAGGGGATTTTACTCCATAATCAAAATAATTATCCCAAAAGATTCAATTTTTATTTTTCTAATGTTCTGATGAAGAGAAATAATTATGTTTACACAAAAAATGTAAAACTTCAAACAACTTTAAAAAAAAAAAAAAACAATTGAATGAAAAGTGTTAGTACTATTTTTCCAAGATAATTATATTATTTTTTGTATTGTTAGCTAAATTTATAATAATTTGTTTAATAATAAAAATTATTTATTTATAATTTTATTATTTCTATTTCAATGAATAATATAATATTTTTATCATTAGTTTTTATACTTATTTTATTATTCATTTTTTAATAAAATTTTGAATATTCCTATTTTACTTTTTTATATACTTATTTTCATTTTCATTAATATTATTTTTTAGCATTCATTTCCATACAAAATTGCATAAATATAGGGGACAAGAGAGTATTTATTTACCATAAAAGTGAAGCAAGAAAAGATAGAAAATTGCAGCGGGTCTCAAGTCTCCCTCAAATATAAATACTCTGCCCTTCTTAAATTCTGTCCTCCCTTTTTTTGTCATCTTCTCCTTATTTATTTTGCGTATGTTCGAATCTCTCTCTATGTGTATCGCATTTCTATATTATCTATTAATTTGTTATAAGTATATAAAAAATTAAAATGTGTATTCAAAATTGTCTGTTTTGGGATTTCATTTATTTTTACTATTTATTTTTTTTAAAAAAAAATTATATTAAATCAAATATTTCTTATAATACTATGCTAAAAAATTAATTTTTCATTCAAAATATTATATTAATTTTATACTTATATCATTTAAACAATCATGCAAATTTAAAATTTTATTATTTAAATTAAAATCTAAAATCAAATTCCCAACCAAACACACCCATTATATATATATATATATATTTTATAAAATAATAATAATAATATTATTATTATTATAATATTCTCCATGGCCCCTTGTGAGTGTGGGCCCTGCCCAGGTAGCCAAACATACCATGAATCTTGCTGTAAGACCTAGTAGAAAGCTCCCTAGCACAATATTTCAATAATAATAAACATATAAAATAATGGTGGTGAAATATGAATGGTTTCGAAAAATTGATATTATTTATTTATTTTTTAAAAGACCAAAGTAAATATAAATTTTATCCTATGAAACATTATATCAAAAGAAAGATTGTCTGGAGGAGTGAAGAAGGAATCCATCTGATCTGATGGGAGGTCACTTGACAAGAAATCTCATTGCAAAACTCTCAATAAGGTTATAAAATTGGCCAAGTACAACTTGGAATCCCATGAATTAATTAGTTAAAACGATCATAAGAATTCTATTTTGGATCAAGAAGTCAATTATAAGCTATGATCGAGCATACTCAATCACCTATTAGAGAATTCCAAGTAAGAAGTATGTGGTTGGACCGCCGTTAAAAGAGGATTTTTCTTGCCCCAAGAGAAGAGACGGAGGGGGGGATGATGACGACGACCGACCAAGATGAAGAAGAGGACGGCGGCGGCGCTGCAAATTGTTCTGGAAGAATCTTTCTTTGGATTTCTTACCTCCTTCAACTCTTAGAGAAGCTTCTGGACGTTTCTTCATGAGCTACAAGTTTCTGTGACACTGACTATCCCCGTCCCCACAAAAGACAAGTGTAGCTCCGATGCTCCAAGTATCCATCGTCTATCCCAGTGATATATCCCACCTTCGCGAACATTCTTCATCATCATCTCAATATATATATATATATATATAGTCATAGTCTCCCTTACCTCTTTATATATATGTATAAATAATAGGAGTGAGTGTATTATGTATGTATGCGCAGACGCGTCTAATTGAAGGGCGGGCGAATTAATCTAAAATGGAGGAGGGCCTGAACCTGAAAGTGAAGGTGGAGGAGGAATGGTCGTCTTCGTCTTCCTCTGCTTCTTCTTCTTCTTCCCCAATGCCAATGGAGCTGAGGCTGGGCCAGAACAATCTCAACCAGGCGGGGCCTGCTCCCCCATTCCTGATGAAGACATACGAGATGGTGGAGGATCCCTCGACGGATGCAGTCATCTCATGGAGCCTGTCCAAGAACAGCTTCATAGTCTGGGACTATCACAAGCTCTCCACCACTCTCCTCCCCAGATACTTCAAGCATGCCAACTTCTCCAGCTTCATTCGCCAGCTCAACACATACGTCAGTACCACTACCACACATTTCGATCAATCAAACAAACAAATTCAATGACTTGTGTTGTGTTGTCCCGCAGGGCTTCAGGAAGGTGGATCCAGACAGATGGGAATTTGCCAATGAAGGGTTTCTAAGAGGGCACAAGTATCTCCTCACCACAATCAGGCGCCGGACGAATGCCAATGCCAATGCAGCCAGAGCCGGCTGCTGCGTCGACCAGGGATGCAGCTACCTGGCCGGGGCAGGGACCGAGCAGGAGCTCGCCAGGCTGAAACGGGACCGCAGCCTGTTGACGGCAGAGATACTCAAACTGAAGCACCAGCAGCACAAGTCGATGCAGAGAATCATGGCAATGGAAGAACGAATCGACAGCACGGCCAAAAAGCAGCAGCAGATGATGAGTTTCCTCGCCCGGGCCTTCAAAAACCCTTCTTTCCTTCAGCACTACATCCACAAGTATGCAATGATGCGCGACATGTGCATCAAAGTAGGCCACAAGAGAAGACTGACCATGAGCCCCAGCCCCAGTGTCGACAACCTAGAGGAGGTTGTGACCATTGATGATGAAGCAAGTAGCGATGTGAAGTCGGGTGCGGCAGAGAATATATGGGAGGAGTTACTAAGTGATGATCGCGCCGAAGAATGGCTTGGCGGAGATGAACCAGCAGATGTGGAAATCGAAGAGTTGACTGCTCAAACACCCGATCAGTGGGACGAGGATTTACAGGACCTCGTCCATCAGATGGGATTTCTTTAGACCAGATAAGGTGTGTATATGTACAGGTGAATGCAGATGTAAAGAGTTTGTTTTTTTAATGGTTCGGAAGCTGAGTAACGAGTAACATAATAACATATGTAGCAAAAGATCAAGAATGTGTCATCTAATGAATTATGGTGCATCAGATTATAGAGTGGATCATAATGTATGTACGTACCTAAACAGACAGATCGGAATCTGAATCAAATTTTCAGCAGCCTCTCATCAGTTTTCAGGATTCAAGTTCAACCTCTTGACATCTACCAGCTGGTAAAGATCGCCCCGCCTTTGCTGTTCCAGCGGCAGGTTTGTTCTACACATGGTGAGAACCAAACAAATCTTCGTAAAACCGCAAAAAAAGATGGATATAAAACAAGGGATGCTTTTCTTGTTTCACCTCCTGAGATCAAGCTGAGAATAGTCTATTTCTGAGGTGATTATTGTCTCCTCATGTTCTGTGGTTGCAAGAACTTCTCCAAACTGCCAGACCAAACCATTTCAGTCATTCAAGAATGTCCAGTTGAATCTTTCCATCAATCACGCAGTTCCTGTATTGATTTTTAGTGTTCATCTGGTATCAAATTGACTTACAGGGCCAATGAGGGTAGAGTGACCCCAGGCAACATATCCGGCAGAAGCATCCCGTGCAGGCGAACAAGTTGCTACATATAACTGCCAAATTCTTTGTCAATACAAAATCCTGCATCCTTCTCTAACAGATGAATTAAACTAGGTTCTTGGTGTTACCTGATTATCCACAGCCCTGCCCCCCGGAAATTAGACAAGGAACCAGGTCAGCAGTTTGCTCAAAATCAAGACAACAAATGTCTGGAAAAGTATTCACTGGTTGCTTACCTTGCTCTTTGCAATAGCTCCCAATGCAAAGGTCCAGTTGTCATATTGAATGCTCCCGGATAGCAAATCAAATGAGCACCTAAACAATAGAGAACAAGTTAAAGGTAGCCAACGACCATGAAGAACTAATAATCTGTGTGAGTTTAAATGTCTAATCTGCTCGAACCTCTTGCTGCATAGAGCATTGCCAGCTCCTGAAATCTAATGTCGTAACAGATGCCAATTCCAATTCGGCCAACCTCTGCAGTCAACAGAAACCAAGAGTGATGAAGTTGGGAACATAGAAGTGAAGCTTTCACATTTGGTCGGTTCGATACATTTGAAAGTCTCTATAAGTACCTGTGTCTACAATGGTGGGACTTTCTCCGGCCGTAAGAGTCTTGGATTCCTTAAAGGTAATCTTTCCAGGAATGTCGATGTCGAAAAGATGAATCTGTTTTGATCGAAAACACCTAAATCAAGAGTAAAGCAACACATAACAACCAAAGTATTTGAATCACCTTCCGGTGTTTAGCTTTTAGCTTTCCATCAGGTCCAAATACACAACAAGTATTATACAGCTTATCCCCACTCCGTTCGGGTATCGAGCCTCCGACAATCGTGATTTTCAGGCGGCTAGCAACTTCAGACAACATGGCAGTTGATGGGGATGCATCAAAGCCAGCATCAATATCCTCGGCGTACAATGGAAAACTATCATTTGAATATGGACTGTTCCATATCTCCTGAAACAACGGCAAACAAACAAAATGATCATACCGAGCAAGTAGCAGACATTAAAAATTAGAGATACGTCAAACAGTTGTCCCACAAAACAAAAATGAAACATACAGGCAACAGAACTAGCTTTGCCCCTTTGTCGACAGCTTCTTCCACTGCAGCTTGAGCGTGCACTATGTTCTTCTCCTTGTCTGCAGTCACTTTCAATTGGCACAGCGCAACCATAAACTACAAAAAACATGGAAAATAAACCTAATTGAATATCCATCCCCACCCAAAAATAAGAATAATAATAATAATAAAAAAAAAAAAAGGACAAATCTTTCGCCGCAATTTCCAACGGCGGTCCTTCTATGAACAGAAGAGTTACCTTGGTGATCGGGGGGGAGGGCGAGTGCTGGGCTGGGGGCACGCGCGCTTTATCTGCGGAACCCATGGACGACAGAGAAGCACAAGGGGTGAACTTAAGAAGAAGAGTTGGAGTGGAAATGGAATTGGGGAGAAATCGAAATCTTGTACGTGAAAGGGGAAGGGACGAGATGATTGGGCGGAGCACGATAGCAGCGTGCGAATGGCGACGAGTCCGAGTCCGGGCCCGGGCAAGCAGAGACGACGACCAGAACACCGACCTTGGGCTCATCTCTCATCGCTCATCAGGTTCTACAAGACAATACAATACAAAGTAACTTTGGTAATAAATCTTTCCATATCATATCAGGCAGGCTCAATTCAATTCCACCAAATTATTACAAGGTCCAAAATGGCTTCGTTTTGAGCATCCGTTGGTTATTCAGCTTCGGCCCATTCCATAATGTACTAACCTTCTTGGCTGCCCACATTTTGGGCTTAACAGTTAATTAGTTAATCATGTGTGTGTGTGCGCGCGCGCCCAAGCTTTGAGGATAAAGAAAATGGCATTTTTTATGTTGTATTATTTCTTTTTTCTAATGTGTGTGCATGATCTGGACAATATTGTTCGAAAGTTTAACAAACAGCAAACACAGAACAACTTCAAACTGGTAGCTAATTTTTTTTTTATAATCTTAATTTTACATAATTTCATTACTTACTATCTGAAAACACAGCTCACATACATACATACATACATACATACATACATACATACAGGGCTTAACTAACTTTGCATTTCAATATATATATATATATATATCCTTGGTATACAGATTTCATCAAATTGACTAATAGTAGTAGTATTTGTTTTCACAATTATAATCCACTAATTAATTAATTAATTGCGTGTGTTTTCTCCAAACTATAATACTACTACTAAACAAGGGATTTATAATAATAATTATTAAAAATAGTATTGAGTTAAAAAGAGGAAATTGCTATATAGAACGTACTAGATAGATACATGTATACATTACATGGTGCTCCTGGAACGTCCTAGAAGAAGACGAAGAAGGTTGATGCTGGAAAGTACCAGAACATCATGGAAACTACTCTCCGCGAACTTCCCCAATCTTCTACCCCGCCTTATAATTTGCACCAGCGCCCACTCCATCTCACCGACAACAACCCCCAAACACACTCGTCTCCCATACCACTTCTCTATTCCCATCTCTGAACCACTCATTCACTCAGGATGGACATTAGGTTCTTCGGTCTCGACGATCCGCTCCTCCGCACCTTCTACAACGTCATCGATTCAGACGATCATCACAACGACAAATCCACTACCACCCCAACCAGAACCTTCGTCCGCGACGCCAAGGCCATGGCCGCCACTCCCGCCGACATTGTCGAGACTCCGACCTCCTACGTCTTCGTCGTCGACATGCCTGGCCTGAAATCCAATGGCATTAAGGTGCAGATCGAGGATGGCAATGTGCTTCTCATCAGCGGCGAGCGCCAGCGCGAGAACGAGGAGAAGGAAGGCACCAAGTACCTCAGAATGGAGCGCCGGATCGGCAAGTTCATGCGGAAGTTCGCTTTGCCGGAGAATGTCGACACCGATAAGATATCCGCGGTTTGTCAGGATGGCGTGCTTACCGTGACTGTCGATAAGAAGCCTCCGCCGGAGCCGAAGAAGCCGAAGACAATTGAGGTTAAAATCGCCTGAGCAGCCACAAACATCATCCGCTACTACAGTACAATCAATGATTCCAATTTCCAAAAGCTTATGTATGTTGCAATCTTTCTGATTTCTATCGTCATCTAATAAACACCAGTGCTGCTACTGCCTTTTGTTTTGAAAATAGTGAGTGGATGAATGAATTATGTTGCTGTGATCTTCCGGTTTTGATTGTATTGTTTAATAACGACATGTTGTTGCTGAAATCCATTGCCGTTTCTTGATTATATATAATACTACTTAAATAAATTGCAGGAAGGAAAACATTGCGTTTGCCATTTCTCTAACTTGGCCACAAAACGCATAACTGAGAGTCTGAGATCAAAAAACAAAAAAGAAAAAGAGTCTGAGATCAAGGTTTATTGTAACAGCTTCGGTGGGTAATAGTAGTAACAATAATAATAAAAAAATATATATATACACTAATATATATAATATTAATTTATTTCCGATAAAAAAACAAAAACAGTAATAGTAGTAATTCATAATTAGCAGTGCAGATGTTGATATCCATTGGGCTATCCTTTTTGAGGGCCCAATGACATCGAGGGCCTTAATGGGCCTTTTCTATACCCATATATTCATTCATTCTCCGTTGCTTGGTAGTTCGCATTTCCTCTCGTTACTGTCAAAACCCTAACAGTTCTCCAGATCTCTCACTCTCTCTCAATTATCACCGTCCTTTTTCCGAACTGCTTCCCCGCGTCCATCTATTACCACTATCCTTTTTCCGAACTGCTTCGCCCTGCACCAATGGCATCAACTACAGAACCCACGGCACTTAGAAAAGAGGAGGAAGATCATGATGCGGAGCCATCGGCTGAAGATGAGGATACCGGAGCGCAGGTAGCCCCGATCGTCAGACTTCAAGAAGTTGCCGTTACTACCGGCGAGGAAAATGAAGACGTTCTTCTTGATTTGTGAGTTCCTTTCTTGTTTTGATCTGAATTAAGTTGTGTGTTATTTATTTCCTTTGGATTAGGGAAGTTTATTGTCTTAGTAGGATCGACGCAATCGGGATACTGGATGTATCCAAATCTTGAATGAATAGATGTAGTTGAGGTTCAAATTAAGTTGTGATGTGGTTTACTGCTGAAAGTAAATGGAACTTTTACTTGAGTTGAACAATGATCGTGTAAATGAAAATCGATTGGCCTGGTGCGGCGGTAATTGTGTGCAAATATTGTGATCTGGATTGGTAAAGATCTTCCCGTTGGTTCATCGAATCCGATGAATGATTGGTTATAGATACTGTGATTGCTTGATGTTTACTCTGTGATGCTGATTATTTTGGTACAATGGTTAACGTCGTGTTTGCTCCTATAGGAAAGCGAAGCTTTATAGATTTGACAAGGAAGGTAACCAGTGGAAGGAAAGAGGAGTTGGTACAGTGAAACTGTTGAAGCACAAAGAGACTGGCAAAATCAGGCTTGTGATGAGGCAGAACAAGACACTTAAGATTTGTGCCAACCATCTTGGTAACTGTACTTTTATTTATGAGTATTAATAGAACATTCAGTTATTCAAAATAATATTTTAAATAATTACATGTAGTAATTGGGTTTGGCCGCTTATAGTTGTTAGGATTGTTGTGATATATTGGATCTTTTTTGAAAATCATATGTTTCTTTAGATGATTGCTAGGTAATGCTTTTTTTGACTGGAAGTTTGTGCCTTGTTTTTCAATGTAGTGTTGCCAACTATGTCGGTGCAAGAGCATCAAGGAAATGAGAAGTCGTGTGTGTGGCATGCTTCTGACTTTGCTGATGGAGAGCTTAAAGAGGAGTTCTTCTGTATCCGTTTTCCCTCCGTGGAAAGTGAGTGGACGCAATCTTTATGCCTTTCATGCTGCATATCCCTTTTTGTAATTTTATTGCTGATGAATGGATATTAATATGTGCTTGTTGGCTTTAGATAATTAGAATGCTGAAGCAGAAGTTTCTTCTCTTTATTATTTTATTCTTTTTACAACCCAGTGTGTTTGTTAGTTTCCTTGAATGGAGCTTCTGTTTTTTTTTTTAACCATCAATTCATACCTTTAGAAATTTGGATCTATGCTTCTTTACGTACTCCAAAGAGTGTTTTCGCTTCACGAGGGAGGCATATATGCTTAGATGAAGTTTTTTCTGATTCTTGAGCATTTCTTTTTAACACTTTTGGCAATAAGTTTAATGCTGTCGTGTTTTAACTTGTTCTAAAGAGTGGCTTCATTTCATGGATAAGGTATTTGTTCTTTATTGTGGTTGTTTCTTCAGGCTTTTGATCACTTCTTTTGTCACCTACTGTGAACTTTTGATGCTGTTTGTGTAAAATGAGATGTCAAGCTAGTTTCCATCTTTGAACTAGATTTTTGTTCATAATTTATTATAGAGTGTGGGTATTGCCAATATAGGAACATAGAAGTGAAATGTGCACTAGTACACGTTTTTTGGTTCAACTGATGAATAACAATAATCTCTTTGATTGATGGTGTGCTTGTGCAAATACCAGAAGTGTATCCAAGTATTTTTTTAAGTCTTCCTGAATCAATTAATGAGTGGCAATAAATATCTTTGTTGGCGTGCTTGTGCAATGATATACAAGCAACATCAATTTCACAATGCATTTTGTGGCTTCTTTCCAATTGGTTGCAATGCAATTTTTGTTGGTAGGGTTGTCGAGCTTTTGTTTTTTTTTTTTGTGTGTGTGTGTTTTTGTTAATGTTTGGCGATAATATTCTCACCCTTTGTCTGGTTTGTTTCAGACTGCAAAGCTTTCAAGGACAAGATTGAAGAAATCACTGAATCCTTGGAAAAGGAGGACAGCAAAGAAGGTGATGCTGCTGCCAGTCTCATTGAAAAGTTGAGCGTTGAGGGAAAAGACAAGGAGGAGGAGGAGAAACCAAAGGAAGAAAAGAAGGATGAGAATGAGAAATCTGCTGAGGAAAAATCAACTGATGAAAAGTAAGGCCTTACATGTGTTTACCTACTTCTATTTGTTGGGCTGTTTTGTTTGAGAGAGAGAGAGAGAGAGAGAGAGAGAGGTTTGGAAATGGGGTTATCTTGTGTTAGGGAACCCAGTGTCAGATGTTGCAGTCATGAAACAAACATAGTGTGTTAACACCCGATTTGGGTCTTGTTTGATTTTTTCTGGTGGGTGGGTGGGTGGGTTGGTCTGGAATGGTGTGTCTTTGAAGCTTTAAGTGTCGGTCAGGTCAGGTCAGGTCTTGGTGCAAGCTGCCTTGTTATCTATCTATCTCCCTCTCTATCTGGTTGTCAGTATACTCACATTTGTATTTTAAAGATTAGACTGCTGCTGCTGTCGGGTTTATTATTATACCCCCCCACCCCACCCCACCCCAGCATGCGGTTGGGCATATATTTGGTGTTAAATTGATTGATTTGATGATGTGGTATATTTATGGGTCTAGTATGTCCATGCTGGTGGTGGATAACCTGTGTTGTTAATGTACCTTGTTGCTTTGGGAATTTAGATGTAGTGTGGCTTTGAAACTCAATTTTGAGGGATTCTTAATCCAGCCTGGTTGGTGATCTTTAACTAGACAGAGCAGAGGAGAGGAGGGGGAGGGAGACCGGACCGGCCCCTGACACACTCGGCTAATGAACTAACTAACAATCGGAGGTAACAGAGGCAAATACTATAACTTGCTTCCGTTTTTGAGAACGTACTACGATTGACTTGGTAGCATTTTTTCTATTATTGCTGGGAGTAAATTACAACAATAATATTATGATATTTTCATGCAAATATATTTAAAAGTTTATCTTTATTTGAATAACATGCATTTTGTTAATATTCCCATAAAATATAGTACTATACTTATCAATAAGTGATAGGCGGTTGAAATAAATTTGTCTAATTGAAGAGTATAAAATATAGTACTATACTTTTACAATATTATGCCTAGCGCGAATTCAGCTCCAACCGCAAGGGGAAGCTCACGTACCTTTTTCAATTGATGACTATGCAAGATGTATTGGATTGATGCAAGATAAACATAAATATTTTTAATACTATTCATAATTCATATTATATAAAAAGTGTGTAGTTTTTCCTTCACTTCAAATGCCTAGAATATAGGGTGTTTGGTAAATAGCTTTTTGAAGAGCTTCTAGCTTTTTGAACAGACCATGAATAGTTTTTTGAGTTAATTTCTAAAAAATTAACTTACCCAACGTTTTAAAATAACTTTTTCTGTAAAATTATTTTTATTCTTTATATGCCCTTAAAAATTTATTATACATTTTATATAAATAAATATATTTTGATTATTTATTAATTATATTAGAATATTTTATTATGTTATAGTTTTATTTTTATAAATTTAAAATAATTAATTTTATATAAAAATTATTTTAATTGTAAAATATATAAATTTATTAAAATAACCATAAAATAAAAATAAAAATATTAATAATTTATTTTTTTATTAAAATTATATTATATAAATAAATTAAATAAATTAAATTTATTGTAAATTATAAATATAATGAACTAATCAATAACTAACATAATAAATATATACACTAAAAATTTATTATTTTATATTTTATATCATTTTTAATAAAAAAAAACTATTTATATATTTTAATAAAAAATATTATTTTTTAAATCTAACTGTAATAAAAATAAATACTTTTATAACACTTTTACCATTTTCAATAACTAACAACAAAAAATTTAAACATTCTAAACTCAAAAGAACATAATTGAATATATTAGAAATAAGAATAAAATAGAAATGTCTTCAATTGTCATTTTACGTATAAACAGCTAATATCAAACAGTTGTTTTATCAAACATTTTAATACAAACAACTAATCGAATCAGCTAGTCAAACCAGCTAATTGAATCAGCTAACACCTATCAGCTATCGGCTAATTGCAAAACACGCCCTATATTTAGATTATTATACTTTTGGATGGTTTAGAGTTATAAATTTTTGGCTAAATTGCACAAAATTCACATGTAGTTTCATGAAATTGCACAAAATCTCAATACTTCTAAAATTGTATCAAATTCCTTCGTGGTTTCATAAATTTTGCATCTAACTCCCTCAACAGTCATTGTTTAACGGTATTTGATCTAAATGCGCTCAAACTGCGAATAAATATTACATACTCAATTTCTAAACCCTTAAAATTACAAATATATATATATTTTTATATATTTAGCTTAAAAAAATAGTAAAAATAAACTCTTAAAACTTGAGAAAAATAACTGTTTTAGAGTATATTTACTATTTTTTTAAGGTAAATATAAAAAATAAATAAATATATTTGTAATTTTAGGGGTTTATAAATTGAAATTTTAAAATTTATTCGCAGTTTTGAGCGCATTTAGGTCAAATACCGTTAAATAAGGACCACTGAGGGGGTTAGACGCAAAATTTATGAAACCACGAGGAAGTTTGACGGAGAATTTTGTGCAATTTTATGAAACCGGTGAATTTTGTACCATTTAACCTAAATTTTTTAAATAATAATAAATAGGAAAAAATTGTGGATTTAATGTAAGCTTTATAAGATAAAAATATATTTAATATAATTGTTTTTAAAATAATAATAAAAAAATGTACTCCATATAAAGAGTGAGAGCCCTAACTGTACAGACGTTTGATTGGTGTGTGACATCCTCAACAGCGTCCTGCGACTTTACTTTCGCGTACAAATCTGTGAAAGACGCTTCTTCTGTCGTACGGCGGTACAGGAGAAATAACAACAACAACAATAATAGTAATTGAACTCACAGCTCTCTATCTCAAGAAAGGGGTTTGGGAATTCCTTCTCAATCTTTAGCTTTGATGGCGGATCCTTATTGGAGATACGGCGCCGCCGCCGCCGCTCCTCACTTGCCCGTCGAAAGAGGTCTGTGTGTATATAAATTGTTATTTGTTCGAGTTCCAAGTTGTTGGTTGCCCGCCCGCGACACCGCCGTGTTTACATGTGAATTAATTAATATCTCTGCGCCAACTTAATTTAGTTGATCAAGTCTTGTCTTCTATATATTCACTTAGTTAATTCATAGCAATTGACGCAATTTGTTGTTCCTACTTGTTATTTTACATTAGTTATTATTGTCTTTTTACTTGGATTCATTATTGATCTCGCCATACGCTCGGCACGTCGTTCATCCAACTCGGATAATTAACAGATTTGTGAGTTTGTGGTGTGCTGTGTTTCGACCAGGATTTGAGAATGGGGAGATGGTTTTGGTGGTGAATATATGTGTGATGAACCAGTAACGCAAGGAAATTTGGGGAACTCTTTTCAGCTTCATTGTGTACATTTACTCAGGGCAATATTGGATGATAAAATTATTGATCTTGATCAATGCTTCATTGTAGGATATGGCCAATATTTGAACAGAGAACATTGGTACAAGCTGGCATTTTGCTACAACTTGGCATTTACTTTCATTTAGTATAATAAGAACAGATAAATTCACCTGTTGATTTTACTGCCTTAGTGATTATCATCACTTAATGAAACGTGTTTCTTGTCTCATTCAATATATATTTGGAAATTTTAGTTAATATAGTTATATTGGCACAGGAACAACCCCAAAATCAAGCTTTCCAGGTTATATATCTTCTGAAGCTTCGGTATTGACCAGCCGTGATCCATATGGTTCCGTAGATTTTCCTGGTGCTTCCTCGGATTATTATAAAAAGGATGTGAGTGTTTCATCCTTTCAGGCATCTGTTTATGCATTATGTTTTATGAATGAAGTCTATCCTTATAGTTTGGCGTTTAGGTTTTATCATCACGGCCTGGGGCTTATGGTGCTGATAACTTTGCTGGTATTCATTCCGAACCTGGTGTCAGTGGATTGATTGCCGGATCTAGCATTAAAGGCTATTCATCTTCTTATGAGGACCCAAGTCTGCTAGTCCGCCAGAGAGATGTTGCTTCAGGCATTAGTCGTGGCATACCTGATGCCTCTTATGCAAGGCCTGATTCCATGAGAAGGGTTGATGGCCCTCCTGTTCCAGGTGGAGAATCTAATGTTTTGTTTGTTGATGGGCTTCCAACTGACTGTACAAGACGAGAAGTAGGACGTATCCTTTCAGATTTAGTTTCAACTTGTGTTTTCTATTTATCTTTAATTATTCTGCGCCTTGCACTACCAAATCTGCAACTCTGTGATTTCAATATGCCAAATATCCCTGGCTTTATATTGCTTCGCGTGCCCTAAATTGCTATCTTACTGTCCAGTGTGTGTAAGTTCTTCCTGAAAGGTTTCTTTTTTATACGTCCTTGTATTGAATTTATAACATCGCCCTTCAATTGACATCTGATTGAGGAATATATAGTTAGTACTTTTTGCATGCACTTGTTTTCTTCTTCTACTTAGACGTCAAATTCAAGAATAAGAAACAATGTGTCATGCGTCTGAATTGAACTGTTTTGTTTCTTTTGTCACCGAGCACATTTGGTTTGTTTTCCTTGACTGACGTGCAAATAGATCTTTTTCGGCCATTTATTGGGTTTAGGGAGCTTAGAGTTGTTCATAAGGAGCCGAGACGTGTAAGTTTTGCTTGCTTCTTAGTTATGTTTTAAAGCGACTATTCTATTTAAGAAGAAGATGACTTTATTTTCTCTCCAGAATGTGATGCATACATAATATGTGGCCTTGTAACAGTTTTGGCTTTGCTGGCATGATTACTTGTATTCCACAAAGAATGGAACCACATTGGTTATATGGATGCCATTTATTTGTGGTGTAGTATTGAACTGCCATATATTGTAAGTGGGTTGCTGATACCTTTGTAGAACATTGTTCCCAACTTGCAAAAAGTACATAGTAGTGTATTCTGGCCATGGTGGTGCATAATCTTGTTTCTTTAAAGCTTTTTGTTGTGAACATTTTCATTCAAATGCTCTAGTGCCATACCAGTCACATTTACAATGCTGTTGATCTATCCTTTGATTTCTTGTTTTTCATACTTCTGTTCTGATAGAAGTTTCTCTGACAGCGGGGAGACAAGGCCTTGGTCCTGTGCTTTGTAGAATTTACTGATGCAAAGTGTGCTCGAACTGCCTTGGAAGCCCTTCAAGGTTTGAATCTATATCTCAACCAGTTTGTCACTTAATGGGAAGATACTTGTACCATTATCAACAGTACATTAGTTTATTAAAGTGGATTTTCATTCCTGAGAAACTAATAAATTGCCTTTTACATTTTCACATTGTTAACAAGTCTCTGAATCCACAGGTTACAAATTTGATGACAAGAAACCGGAGTCCTCTCTCTTGAAGATCCATTTTGCTCACTTCCCTTTTCGCCTGCCGCCAGCCGATCAACAATATTGACGAGTATATGACAATGGCGCGGGACACAAGTATTGTATGACTCCCTCAAGAATGTTTATTTATTGCTCGAGGACTTGTCTGGTTCACATATCTTTTTTGTGAATCAGTGTCGGCACAAACTTATACCATTGGAGTGCTAGTTTATACTTGCACTATTTCTTTGATTTGATGAATAGCTCAATGGTTCAGAAACAGATGAGATATTATTGTATTGTCAGCACTCACACCACATTTGATCACAAAGTACAGTGCCCAAAAGTAATGCATTAAACATATTTATAGTTCTGGGCATGAATCTCTTTCAGTTTTTACAAGTGAAAAAACATCACAGGAAAGAACACTTGCAAACATGAATGGTGACAATATTTGTATGAATCATGGTGTGTCAGCCGGTCCACAAAATACAACCCTTTGAGGTATAGCAAATCATCAAAGTAATAAAAGAATCTGTCCAAGTAAGTATTTCACCTAACTGTTTCTCCCGAAAGAAATTGAACTGAATAAAATACCATCTGTGTAGTGTGTTTGTCATATAATTTAAGGAGCTAGGAATGTTTTTCTTATCTTTAACTCTAGATTTCTTCTTCTTCTAGGACAGGAATGATGTGCCGGCGTGGTTGTGATGCAAGAGGTTATGCGCAATTGTATCCCTCGCCTTCATCGCATTGGCCGACCTCAATCCAATCTCAGGAACCATCTCATCATCCACAAGCTCAAACTCCGGGACCGAATCCAAGTCCTCGTTCCTCATCTCGCAGATGTTGTGCAGGACGCAGCACGCCCCGAGCACCACCGGCAGGTCCTGCAGCTTCACCTCGGTCCTCTTCTGCAGGCAGCCCCACCTAGTCTTGAGCCTCCCGAAGGAGCCCTTAGCCAGCCTCTGAATCTCCCCAATCTTCTCATTGAAAGCGTGCTGCGTCCATGTCAAATGCTGGTGCGTGTAGGGCACCAACACCCAATCCATCAGAGGGTACCCGGCGCCCCCCACGATCCAGACGCCCTTGTAGAATCCGGTGCCGGCCCGCTGGAAAAGCGTGGACTTCTCCAGCACCTGGTCGTCAGGCATGGAGCCTGGGTATCCGATGCAGACATCGGTGAAGACTCCCTTGGGATCGACCACGCCCTGGATGGTGATGGAATAGGAGGTCTTCTGATTCCTCTCGGTGTGCCGCCTGTTGAAGTAGGCGGCGACGCTGTTCTTGGGGGCTATGATGGGGATGTGCGTGGTGTACATTGACCCGATCACGCTGGGAATGGCGGACATGGACTCGAACTCCTCCTGGATCCTGGCCAGCCCGTCCTCGTTCGGCCATCGGAGGTACTTGGGCATCAGCACGTTCCTGATCGCGGAGCAGACCTCCAGCACGAGCTTGTGGCAGGTGGATATTCCCAGCCCGAATTTCTTGGAGACGAGGCGGAGTGGCTCGCCGGTGGCGAGGCGCCAGATGCAGACGGCGACGCGCTGCCGGACGGGGACGGCGTCCCTCAGCATGGTGTTCTCCTTGGCGACGACGGAGCTCAATTCGCTGCAGATGAAGTCAAATGTGGCCTTGCCCATTCTGAAGGCTTTCTTGAATTCCTCCTCGGGGAAGTCGGGACTGTTGCACTGATCCCACCAGTCCTTGGACCTGTTCTTCACCCACAGCCGGCGCTGGGGCGCGGTTTTGTCGGAGGGGGAATCCTCGGTCTTGGCGGATTTGTTGCCGCGTCGATGGAAATCCCGGGGATTGGAGTAATAATCCATCGTATCGGGGTTGCCCTGGATTGGGAGTAATTGGTGGGGGAGCCCTCGGTGGATTTCATCCCGGCTGGCTCGATTATCTTCGTCTTCGTCTTCGTCTTCATCTTCGTCATCTTTGGGTTTGCGTTTGTGTTTCTGCGTCGCTTCTTCTTCTTCTTGTTTCTCAAGCAAAGCCAAAGACGAGACGATCTGGTTGAGGCCTCCTCCTCTGTCTTGAGGGTCGGGGTGTTGGGGAATATCCTTGCGGCGCCTCTTGACCATCATCTCCTTCTTCTTCTTCTTCTCCTCTGATCAGTGAGTGAAAGCTAAGCAAGAAACATGCAGTGAAGGTGTTCGACGAAATGCGAGAATGTGAGGGAGAGAGAGTTGGGTAATTGATTAGTGTGAACAGAAGAGGAAAAGGGTCAGGGATGGGGGGTTGAGGAATTCTTGTGGATGAGGTATGAGAGAGAGAGAGAGAGAGAGAGAGAGGATGACAGTGACGGAGACAGAGGAATCGGTTAGGGCAGAGGATGGATGGATGGATGGATAGAGGAATGCTTTGGGATTGGCAGAGGAGAGACTACTGACTGCAGACAGAGTGAATTCAGTCACACAACACAACGCGGCTTCACTCATTCAAAGTTTCGGACTAATTAATTAACAAAATTACTGAGCAGCTATTTTTAGCATAGAACAACTCAATCTAAATGCTAAAAATACTATTTCATATATGTAATTAAAATACATATATTATTGAATTCAATTCAAATTTTAAGTAGAGTGAAGCCACGATTTTCATTTTTTATTTTTTTTAAAAAAATTCACTTAAAAAGCACGACACGAAAGAACGTTTGACCGAAATAATAATAATAATAATAATAATAATAATAATAATAATAATAATAATAAAGGAGGTCTTCTTTTGACTCTATAGAAAAAGGCTCAAAAATAAAGTTAGGTGCGATGTGCTGTAGATATGTTGAAAATAGAAGGGCGTGCTGAAGGTGTCTGGAGGTATTGTACAGTAGTATGATATTTATAATAAAAACTTTTGATTTGAATCAAGTATTATAAATGATGATATAATTAATGTAAAAATAAAGAGTAAGAGTAGACAAAATGAAGTTGGATGAAGAGATTAAAATTAAGGAAAGGGAAATGGGCAAAATGGGGCATGCAGTAGTAAAGTAAAGTCAACAAAACAGGATCTCCATTCCCCGCTAAATTGATATTAATTTTATATGAATAATTATTTAGTAGATCCATACAGTAGCAATAAACTTGTTGACGAATTCAAAATTGCAATAATATATAAAAATGGGAGACGAGACTTGTTTGACGTGCATATTTTATTATAATTAATTTGCAATTGCATGTTAATAATAATAATAATAATAATGTTGTAGCACTTGTTCTTCTTGGTACTCTACTTGTGGGATTAATTCTTCAAACTCATTTCCATTTTCCCACTCTATTTAGTAGATACACACAACGTAACGGCTAGCACCACAACCCAAGTTAAGCTGAGAAAGAGTAGATCTATCCATATATATATATATATATATCCCTTTCTCAGAAATGTCAATCTAATATATCCATCCCTTTTCATATTATCCTTTAATTGCCTCAATTGGCTTTGTTTCTTTATTAGTAGCATAAAAACATACATACAAAACTCAAATAGCAATATAATAATTGATAAAAAACCAATCAGTTTTTTCATCATAGCTATGTTATTTCACAACATTGTTTCATATTATTAATTAATGTTTACGATATTGTAGTAAATTCTTTAACAAGCATGATCGCGGGAGGAGGGCATGTAATATCATATCATATCATATGATTATTTTATATGCACGCACGGATGGTATATTAATTATGTAGTAGGTGTGTACTAAAAAGAAAAAGGAAAAAAGGAAAAAAAAAAAAAAAATCGAACTGACCGATGCCCATAAGTCCAGTTGCTCTCTAAATGTATATTTTATTTTGTATGCATTTCCATTAATCCACCACAAATATCATACTATAATAATTAAATATATCTGGTTTTTCCAATTTGGACGTGAATCCAACTTATCTATGAAATAGCATTTCGCCTCTATACATAAATTAAACCATTATTATTTTTAAACTTATACGAATGTATTTTAATTCTTTTTTTTTTTTTTTAATTTGAACTTGCAATTTATCCTTATTTAAAACAGTAAAGTAATGACAATATGAATAGTAGCGGGTGGAGTAACATTTTATGATAATTGGGCCAAACTTACAAAATCCACAGGGCAGCCTGATATCATGATGTCATAGTCTTTACATATCTGAAATGGGCCCAACTTATTATAAGTACAGTACAGTTGGCCCGGCCCGCCCGTTTAAAGTAAAATATGTTTGCTTCTGAATAAAGGTAGGAGGGGTAAAAACGTAAATTTAGGATTTTTAGCCACCGAGGCGGACTGTATCCACCGACCATCGCAGGCTGGGATAGGTTCATCTTCATCTTCATCCAAACCCCTCTCCTAAAGCACCGCGGCGCGAATCCCCCGTCTCTGCAATTCTCTCTCTCCGTGTTAAGACTGTCTTTGCTTCAACTCCGCGGCGTAGATCCGAGGAGTTTTGGAATAGCAAATCGGAAGCATTAATTGTTCGCGGACTCCCCTCTTTCCTTTTCTCTTAGATCTTTGTTTGGATCAGGTAACTTAATCAACCCCTTTATTTCCATCCCCAACCCCCTTTTTCGCGGTTGAAGGGGGGGTTTGGTGGATTTTAAGTTACTGGTTGTGATTGCTTTGATTGGTGATGTGATGCATCTGTTCAGATTAGTTTTGGCATAGCTGTTGATTCTCAAGTGTTTTTAGAAGATCTGATTTCGATTTATTACATCATTATCTTGAAAGTTCGATGCTTCTGTCTTCTGCGCGAATTCTTTCTTCCTTTTAATGTTGATGTCACTGACTTCGCTTTCGATTCAATGAAACATTTTCTGTGGATAGCGGAGTGAGTAAACAAGCTAAATATTGGGATTCCGAGATTACTGATAATGTCTCCTCTTCTAATTTTCTACCCACTGGAATTCTATGAGATATTGCAGGCAGGTTGGCTGGTTCTAGACTTGCAGTATGTGCTGCATAGACCTGGAAAAGCTATTTGAATATTTTCTGTCGAAATATACTTTGATCCTACCTTTGGTTTTCAAAGATTAAATTTTGGTTTTCAATTTCTCGTGTTTGACCATGTGTAGCTCATGAGTTTATTAATTTGTTTTTAACTATCTCCAATTGTATACCTTTGGTTCTCATACAATAACACAAGTTCAATGCTTTTTTCAAATCGTAGGTGACTCTCAGATAAAAATAAATGAATATGATTAAAGTTATACTTGAATGTTGAATGTATGTATTTTATGATTCTACTTTTGTCTTGGTTTATTCATTGAAAAAATATAGTAAAACTGAGAATATGTTAACATTATTGTTTTCAAAACTTTTGGGCGTGTTCTTTTTGTGGTTTTGATGATTTTGAGTTGAAATAGTTTTTGGACGTTATGTTTTTTATATAAAACATGTGTTGGATGTGATGGTTTTGGAGGGAATTGAGAGAATTGTACATATATATACATATGTTATATATGAATGAAAATTTAAGTGAACAAATGAATGAATTCAAGATAAATTTTAACAATATATTTTCACTCACTTATCAATAAATGGTCCTACAAAACAGGGCTTTAGTGTATTGAACCTTAATCTGTGCATGTTGTCAATTATTGTTCGTGCTAACTTCTCAAAAATTCTTCTTTTGAAGGTTTATTCCATTGGGTTTGCCTATCTACTACCTTTTGAGTTCTAGCTCTCTCAGACTATTTTAAATTTTATTTCTATTTGTCTAAGATGAAATCCTAGCCCTGGAATTTATGATATATACAGTTTAATTATCGAAATTAAAGAGTCATTTTGGTTTTTATGTTGATTGAATGGATATTAGTTACTCCTCGTCATCCAAATCTGTTCCCATTCCTTTTGTAGTAGTTAATGCACAGAACCAGTTGAACAATATATATGTAGCAGTTGAAAATTTATAGTTGAATTGCATAAAGTAACCAGTTGATCTAATATGAAATATATTATAAAGTGATTTTGTTACTTTGATTCTTTATTGCCTAAGGTTTTCATTTTTTTTTTTAATTTTTATTTTTTAGTCATGGCTGGACTAGCTGAAGGTTCCCAATTTGATGCTCGCCAATTTGATGCGAAAATGAATGAGCTGTAAGTTCCTTATTGCGTATGTAACTTGTAGAAAAGTAGTGGTTCATGACTTCTGTTTATAATTTTAATGATCTCCTGCTTCTATGTATACAGGCTTGAAACTGGTGGAGAGGATTTCTTCACATCTTATGATGAAGTGTACGACAGTTTTGACGTTATGGGCTTGCAGGAAAATCTTCTTAGGGGTATCTATGCTTATGGTATGTAAGTAACTTACTCAACAGCATCCAAATACTCATAGTTTGTAATATTCTTTGTTTCCATTGCTTATTAATGTTTTCTGTTCAATCTTTTGATTTTTATTCTCCAAGTTGTTCATTGAGTTTATAAGGATATGAGTTTGTTTATATGCATCAGACACATGTATATTGTATCTAAGCTGGTAGAAGTGGTTTTTCGACGAAATAATACCTCAGTTTAAAATGATCTTGTTGTTATCATTATGTTCACTATTTTATATCAATATATACTTTTTCTTTTTTCAAGGCCCCTTTCGGATAATAAAGTAACTTGTTTTTTTTCCCTTTAAAGGATTTGAGAAGCCCTCTGCAATTCAGCAAAGAGGTATTGTCCCCTTCTGCAAGGGCCTTGATGTGATTCAGCAAGCTCAATCTGGTACTGGGAAAACAGCAACATTTTGCTCTGGAATTTTGCAGCAGCTGGACTATAACATAGTCGAATGCCAGGCTCTGGTTCTGGCACCGACCCGTGAGCTTGCACAACAGATTGAGAAGGTTATGCGAGCGTTAGGTGATTATCTTGGTGTTAAGGTTCATGCTTGTGTTGGAGGTACTAGTGTACGAGAAGATCAGCGCATACTTTCCAGTGGTGTTCACGTTGTTGTCGGAACTCCTGGACGTGTGTTTGACATGTTGAGAAGGCAATCATTGCGCCCTGACTACATTAAAATGTTTGTATTGGATGAAGCTGATGAAATGCTTTCCCGGGGGTTCAAGGATCAGGTCTGTATTAGCTATATGCTCTATTCCTTGCTTGTTATAGTTAGTAACTAAGCATATCTTTGTGCATTTGGAGTTGGTTTTTCTTCTTGCTTGTAGCAGTTGTGCGCAGTGCACTGTAGCTACCATTTGGCACCTAATGCCTTGTAACTTTCTTTTCAGATATATGATATCTTCCAATTGCTGCCTCCTAAGATTCAAGTTGGTGTGTTCTCTGCTACCATGCCTCCCGAGGCTCTTGAGATCACAAGAAAATTTATGAATAAGCCTGTCCGGATTCTTGTGAAACGCGATGAGTTAACCCTTGAGGGTATCAAGCAGTTCTATGTCAATGTTGAGAAAGAGGAATGGAAGCTTGAGACCCTTTGTGATCTGTACGAGACACTGGCCATTACACAGAGTGTTATCTTTGTTAATACCAGGCGCAAGGTTGACTGGCTCACAGACAAAATGCGCAGCCGTGACCATACTGTCTCCGCCACGCATGGTGACATGGACCAGAACACTAGAGACATCATTATGCGAGAATTCAGATCTGGCTCGTCCCGAGTTCTGATCACCACCGACCTCTTGGCCCGTGGTATTGATGTTCAGCAAGTTTCTCTTGTTATCAACTATGATCTGCCGACTCAACCTGAGAACTATCTCCATCGAATTGGACGGAGCGGACGATTCGGGAGGAAGGGTGTAGCCATAAACTTTGTGACCCAGGAAGATGACCGCATGCTGTTTGACATACAGAAATTCTACAATGTTCAGATTGAGGAGCTTCCCGCCAACGTTGCTGATCTCCTGTGAGGATGGATGTGGGTATTTGAAGTCCTTTTGGGGAATGCTCCTTTGTTTTGGTAAGTTACCTCTCATGGGTTGGTTGGTTGGTTGGTTGGTTTGTGTCCGTCTGGTTAATTGATTGCCCTTAAAAGCACCGAGAGGGAGAGGGAGAGGGAGAGGGAGAGGGAAATTTCAATATCCTTATCTATATTCACATCCATCCGCCTCCCAGTTTTGTTGCAGTTTGAAACTAAACTAAACTATGCTGCAGAGATTATTTTGTTAGTTGTGTGTATCATTATTATTACGACGATGATGATGGTTATTGTTACCATGGGTGGGGAATAAGTGCGGATTCGGAGTCTCGATTGGACTTGTTTTAAAAGCTGAGTTTTGGATTCTAAACTGTAACAGCTTGCGAGGGGGTTTATTATTATTATTTTTGTTATTTATGACACGTGTTATTTATGCGTTGGGCGTACTTGATTGTATATCAGAAAGGAAAGCTAAGCAGGCAGCATTACATCCGCATTGATTCATTCAGTCCCTCCCTCAAAAATCAACGCATTATTTACTACTAGTATTTGCCTGCCAGCCAGCCGAGCTAGCTAATACAATACAATGCAATACGATACATTCATTCACAATGATGGCTGACCCCTTCCCTCCCCTCCCCTCCACTCCACAAAAATTTATACAAGAAAGAGCGAGCAGACTTCCCATCATTCATTGTAAGGGTACGGTGCACCTCGCACTCAAGGCTCGTACCATGTCAGGCTTCCCATGATCAGATATTTACCCGGAAGATTTCCAGCTGACGGTGCAAGATATGTTATTTTCTTGCTGCAACAATTAAAATATGATGTTCACTACTTCTTGACAGAACAACAACAACAAAAATGGGATCATTTAAAATACAAACCTTTCAAAGTTAATGTCAGTGATCCAGATGAACCCAGCAACATTACTGCCATAGAAGAAAACTGGTAAGGCAGGAATTCACATGTAGATATTCCAATTAAACACCAGGTATTTGAGTGACAGATTTTGTCACACCACAACCATTTGTAAACACAAGGCTCGCTACAAGGGGAGCTCAGGTTACCAAGAGGATCAGAAAAAAAAACTTGTCACCGTTGTTAATTTTGGAGAAAACAGGCAGGTATTTTAGGTCCAAACATTCAACAGTGATTTGGTTAGAATTAGAATCTGTTTACGGTGAAAAAGAGGGAAAAAGAACCTGGAGCTCTAAAAAGCAGAATGCTAAAGATGCAGGGGGGGAGATTACACGGAAGGAGAGAGATGGAACAAAAAAGGTATACCTTGAAATGATCTCATCAGGTTCTTTAGCAAAAGAGACAGCTAGAACTAGATGCAGTAAATCTTGGTTCACAGTAACGGGGATTAACCGAGTAGGATCTGCAGCTGGTTCAGCACCAACAGGTAGAGCAGAGCGTGGGGCCTGGGGTCCACCACCAATTCGATATATGCACAAGTCACTGAAACTTGCGATGTTAGAATGTGGGGAAAGATCATTCAAAAGGCCATAAAAGTATTCCTGCGATTCAAATAAACACAGAGTATGATATTAAAATGTGAGCCACTTGCTGAATGAATGGTAATAAGTTGCTCAAAATTTAACAAGAATGCAATCTCGTTGAATAATAATAATAATAAACTTGATGCAGAATCCCACATTAATATAGACATACACGTATTCTATAGGCTCTGGCTTTTTGACGGACTTTTGCATTCCTAGAAACAACACCACCAGATTTCTGAAGTTTCAAAACATCTACTTTAGGTTTGTTTTTCAGGACATCTCTAAGCATGCTCCAAAGCTTCTCCTGCAAAAGGTTCAAAAGAATATGACATAAGAAAAGGATCAAATTACTGCATGCCAAGGAACAAAACATTGTTTTTGATCACCTGTTCAAAGTTAAGCATGGACAACAAGGAAAATCCTTGTTATTTGCATACAGTTCAAAGCAATCACATATAATTCAAGAAGTTTTGTTTGGGAAGAGAAATGATTACCTGACCCAGTACCAGAACAACTGTGGCATTGAAAGTATCAATTGCATGAAGCAGCAACTAACAGCCAGAGAAAAAGATATAAAAAAGCCCCCTCAGATTATCTCAACATTAAAAAGGAAAAAAAAAAAAAACATACACAGCAGTGAAATATATCAACCATGAATACCTCATAACCAACACCTTCAATCCATCCCATGGTATTTATCACCATGCCTGAAGCTCTAGATTCAGCATTTCCTGCAAACTGCTTCTCTAGAACTTGTGCTAGCTCCTTCACCAATACCTTGTAAAGATCAACATTGACACTAACACCAAACATAAAAGCTTATTATAGTCAAGAAGAGTTGGACACTGTTATTTGCCTAAATGCCCCACTGCAAAATAGAAGGCAAGCCCATACCCTACCAGACTATAAATTTAAAAATGTCCATTCCATTACCTAGGTGTTACATGGCCATGGAAGTAAACAAGAGGCATATCAAAAGGGATTCCTTCGACTGGATCAATGGGAAGTTCAATAGGTGTTGCGGCTATGCATCCAGGTATTGTTATGGATCCTTGTCCTATGTCTAAATCTACATATGTAGGTTTCCAGCCAAGCTTAGCCGCCCAACTCAGAAGCATCCTTGATAGCGTACTCTTTCCAGAATCTGTGGGTCCCACAACAATAACCCGTGGTCCCTGAAGAAATAGACCAAATATTGGTTTCTAGTTACACAGGGCACACTTAGCAGTTTCAACAAGAGAATAACTCATTATATTAACTGATCGCTGAAAACAATATTAGAATTTAATTCCCACTAAAGAGATCACATTCATCCATTTGTACTTCTAATAGGTTGAGGAGATGATCATAATGCTATGATTCATAGGAAACACTCATTTATATTACATATACTGACATACATACATGTATGCCTGTGTCTGTGTGTGTGTTTGTGTGAGAGAGAGAGGGAGAGGTGAATTAATTCTCAGATTAGTACATCCCGCATATGGAGGTCAAGATCAAATTGCTCTAAATACTGAAAAAGAAAAAGTACAATGACACAATTAAGGAATTCCTGTATTCCAGTCTTCCATAGCAGACGAATGCTTCCTCACGGAGATGCATTGAATGAACATGCAAAATATCAGGATGTAACAAATATTAAACAAGATGCCTATCTAGTTTATTCCATAGCAATTTATAAAAACAAGAGGTTTGCTCATAAATATATGGTACCTGAGAAGTATCAGAATCACTGGGGGAAGCTTTAGCACGATGTCTTCGAGCATCAAGCACAGCATGGATATTGACATAGCTGACCATAGGTGTCTAATTGAAATAGAAGGATTTGTTAAGCGACAAAAGGAGAAGGCAAAAACAGGAATCTGGGAGCGCGCACATGCTCCCACTAGACATTTCACAGAGCAATACCTCATCTGCAGTATAATCAGTTTCAGTAGTACCATCCAGTTCAACCGTAGCACCATGCCATGTAAAAACCTGATGGCATACAGAAGAATTTTACTCAGATACATGACATTAACAGTGAAGGAGAGACTGTAAACCAGAATGTCATATGCAATCCCCTTCTTACCCTACAGATTTTCATGGTGTCTTTAAGATTACACGGAAGAAACAGAGTTGATAACATTCCCGCGGGTAAAAATCACTAGCTTTAGCATCATACACAATGTTACTACCAATTGAAAACAGGTATACTTATCGGATCTAAAAAATGAATAATGCTATAATTGGTGTCCTTCCCTCTAAACTGGTTTCTCATCATTTAAGACCCCACTTCTCATGCACTCATTGTTTCACAGGAACTTGCACACACCAGACAATATTTGGAAATCAAACTTTGATTCAATTAAAATTTAAAAAAATGAATTGCGTGAAACTTTCTTTATTGAGTGTGTGAAGCAAGTAGAGTGGGCATACAGCAAACTTGAGCCTGGGAGGAAAAGTGAGCCAAATCTCGGGAGGGATTTCGGTCCCAAAAATCTCGGCAGTGCCAGTGAGCAGGCGAAGGCGAAGCGGAGAATCAGGACTGACTTCAATTCGGAGCTCACATTCTTTGTCAAGCCTGACGTGCCTTAGAGACGTAGAGGTAGCCGGGGGCGGCGCAGTTGGAGGTAGGGGAGCAGAGGCGAAAGCCATTGGGAAGCACTTGCGCAAAGGAGAACGAGGGTGACAGAGGGAACTGAAGAGTCGCAGTAGGGACTTGGGTGGAGTGGGATTTCAAAATTTCCCCTCGCCTCTGCCTCTGCCTCTTCCTCTTCCTCTTCAGATGTTAATGGTTCCTTTTTACTCACTCGCTACTTCTTTCTTCAATTCAATAGGCCTGTCTGTCTGGCCGGCCGGCGGTGTTATGAATGGAGTATGGGTCAGGCCGATTCAATTAATGCTTTGGAGGCCCAATTGAGTTTTGTTGTATTGTATGATCGTCTACTCATTTGGGCTTCCATGCCATCAGCCCTATTAGAAAACTGTTGCCCCGTAGGGTAGGGGTGACCGAACCTACTAGAGTCTCTAATGTGTATTTAGGGGGCCGGCCGGTTCAATATCCTTCTCGATCGATCCAATTATTTTGAAGAAATCAGCCAGCCATGGCTGCTCTCGATTAATTAATATCCTTGATAGATGGATCCGTATGAACATTTTGAAAGTCGTTGCTTTGCTTGCCTGCGAGTCGCACTCCCAGGATAGATCACATCACACCACACCTTCACAGGTCTCCCGTTTTTTTGCCATTTTCCAAGGGCATTTCTTCGTTACTTGCTGCGTCTTTCATCCCTTCCTCCCAATTTTCGTCTCTGCAAATTTGGAGCACTCCTTCTTTGCATCGCCCCCATTGCCATTGCCATTCTTTCCAGCAGCTTTGTGTTTTCAAGAAAAAGCCGTCCAGAGAGGGGAGGGGACGGCAGGGCTTTTCTTGATTCAACACAATTCTGGCTTCTGGTTCGCCGCCTTCCTTGACGCTAGAGGGTTTTTCACCTATCTCCGCATCTAACGAATGATATACTTTGCAACATTGATATTGACTCTTCTGTGCATTCCTTGTCAGGATCTTTATAATTACAATTCACAATTGATAACCGATCGTTTCCTGCCAAAATTCTGCTCCTTGCATTGAGTTCTCTCGTGCATTATGTTGATTAGGTTTTAAGAGGTGAAGGTGTTGGTTGCTGTCTTCCTCCTTGATTGATGTATCTTGTTTTCACTCGAGTGGAGGATTGGCTTGCGAACACTGAGTTTGTTCTCGGGCCACTGATAGGGCAGCGGGTCATTTGCTTCTGTATTCCGACGAGGGATAGGTGGGATAAGGAGTTTTACCGATTGCAGGGTGGGTAGTAAAGTTGTGCGGGATATTTGAAAAATAAGGGAAAGCCGATTCTTCATTGACTGTGTGAAATTCAGGAACATGGCTTCTCCACAAGGGCCTACTCTTGCATCGAATGTGACAAGGCTGGCTGATGGTTCCTCGGCTCATGAAGATGTCAAGTATATTGATAATGTTCCTGTGTATGTTAGGGAGTTATTGGCTGGAGGTGCTGCTGGTGCAATTGCTAAAACTGCAGTTGCTCCATTGGAACGGATCAAAATACTTTTTCAGGTTACTGCAATAGAGAATACTTTACTATTTTTTAGTTGATCAAGTGAATCGAGTCTGCATCATTTGATGCATATTGAGTTGTCCTTAAATTTCAAAGCCTGCATGTGCATCTATGTGGTGTTCAAGATACTTGGATCACTCTTGCAGTGGAGTTTCCAGTGCCAACAAATTGTTTATTTTTTCTTTATTTGTGCATTTATTGACACCTTTTTGGCTACGTTACTTTTCTATTTTACTGCTTGATTATTTGCTTCAACATTCTTGTACATTGTTTCAAAAAATTGGAAATGTTTGAGATATGCAATAGAATCTAGCTAAAGCATAACTATCTGTGTTGAGGTGTTTGAACATTTTCTGCAAAATTGTGTTACGTGTGTGTGCCACTGAATTTTTATCGGTTTGGTGCCTCTAGGTATTATTTATATATAACAGAATGTGATGTCTTGTATGGCATATCGCTGATTCTAGCAATAAACCTGCATTATACTGATTAATAGACATGGTTTCTAGCAGTTTACAGTTACTCATTCAAATATGGACCCGTTAAGTTTCAAGTTAATATATTAGTATGGGCCAGGGAGACTATGAGTAGGTACATCTTGATAAATGTTGCTAATGTTCTTATTTTGTTTTTCTAGACTAGGACTCATGGCTTTCACTCTCTTGGGATCTATAGTTCTCTAAGAAAGCTCCTGAAGGATGAAGGTGTTGCAGGCTTCTACAAGTAAGTTTTGGCCATTTATTATTGATTATTGTTCTTTTAGAATTTTGAGAGAATGATTATAGATCTGGCCTTTTTTTTGTGAGTGCTCAGAGGGAATGGAGCAAGCGTTCTCCGGATTGTTCCATATGCAGCATTACACTTTATGACTTATGAGCAATATCGCTTGTGGATTTTAGATAACTACTATGCCTTAGGGGAAGGTCCTGTTGTGGATCTTTTGGCTGGTTCTGCTGCTGGTGGAACTGCAGTTTTATGCACTTATCCATTAGATTTGGCTCGCACCAAGCTCGCTTACCAGGTTCTTAGTGCATTTAAGATATTATTTTGTGCTTTATGGACCCATTACAATAAGGTTTGGGTGGAACTTCAACCAATATACACCTCCTCTTTTAAGATTGTAGACAAAAGCAGAAATTTGAAGCATGGGATGGGACAATTAAATTCTGTTCCAGCTTATACTGGAATTAAAAATGTGGTTGGGAGAGTCTACCAAGATGGGGGTGTACGTGCACTCTATCGAGGCATAGGTACACACAGATCTGCATTGGTTTCATTGATCAATTTGATAGTTTCATTATAGAACATTCACTTTTTACAAGCCCATTGACCAGCAGGACTAGCAACCTTTCATGATTTGTTGCACAATGCCATAGTTTACATACACACACATGCAATGCTTATTTTACATCTGATTGTTTTGGGGAAGTCTAAAATAACTGCATGATTGTTGACAACACAGAATTTGTCTTGCTTGTTGAGTAATCAATAATGTGATTGGGTTGTTGGGTTCAGGTCCAACACTGATTGGTATTCTTCCATATGCTGGCCTGAAGTTCTATGTTTATGAGGAGCTGAAAAGACACGTACCCGAAGAGCACCAGAGTTCAATTGCAATGCGATTGTGTTGTGGGGCTCTGGCGGGATTGTTCGGGCAGACTTTCACATATCCATTAGATGTTGTCAGGAGGCAAATGCAGGTTGGTGCACTTAACATACTAGTGATGTAATTAATCAAATTCATTGCTGCGCCCGTTGAGTTAGTAATTTACAACCTGTTTGTTTTAGGCTGAGTCTTCACTACAAGGTGGCATGAGATATAGAAGCACATTTGAGGGGCTGGCTTCCATAGTTCGCAATCAAGGTTGGAGGCAATTGTTTGCAGGCCTGAGTGTCAATTATATCAAGGTAATCACTGTCTCTGCCGATGCATGTTTGAATCTGATTAACTTTGTTTGATTGATGTTTACCATATGTTATGTAGATTGTTCCATCAGTTGCAATTGGTTTCACTGCATACGATATGATGAAGGCCCGCCTCCACATACCGCCTCGCCAAAAATCATCAGCAACAGCGACATCTACAGCATAAGCCAGAATTGATTATCGTTAGTATTGTAATACTGCTTAAGACGATTTGCCAAACATATTCTTTGATTTTTATATGGTAGACAAAACATTTCTTCAATAGCTTAGTGCAATACAAATCCATTGTATTTATTTATGGGCCTGCACTGGCTTGGAATTAAGGTGTAGGGATTGAAAGGCTTGGAATTTTTGCAATCTTATTGGATAAGCTTATCTATCAGACAGTGGCTGGCAGCCTGCCACATAAGCACGGATCTCTCCACCATGTATGGCTTTGCTTTGGCTCTATCTATCGCTGCAAAAAGTCTTCAAAACCTGAAGGAGCCACGAAAGAGATTCACGAGAGAAATGGCCTCTGCCGCTTCAATGTCGATGGCCTTGGCGGTCCAGAACAGGGTTTCTTCACTCCCGGCTTCAGAGGTGTTGCCGAAGCTGCCAGTTAGCATGAAGAAGGTGAGGCCCCATATTGTTTTGAAGCAGTCAAAAGCCAAAGCTTCGTTGAAGGAGATGGCAGCGGCAAGAATGAGCGCGGCTATGGTGGCAGCGTGGATGGTGGTGCCGGAGATGGCGCAGGCAGCGGATGGCTTGACGCCGTCGCTGCAGAATTTCCTGCTGAGCATTGCTGCTGGAGGGGTTGTGCTTGGAGCTATTGCCGGTGCTGTTATTGGTGTCTCTAACTTTGATCCCATCAGGAGAGCTTGATTCATGAGCCTGTCCAATTTGAGGAGAATGCATATTGTTTTATTGCGTTGCATTGCAAAGCAAAACAAACATACATGGTTCTTCTGGTAGTTTTATGAGATCGAGGAGCTGATTTGATTTGGTAATGGCTCATACTGTCGCACCAAAACTTCAATTCAGCAACAATTTAATTTGTGATTGTCTGTCACTGACTTTCGTTCCCGTCCGTCCATCCATCCATCCATCCTTGCATTGCTTCACCCTCTACCCAACCTGATTTACATCAATCATATATGCATATGTATGATTGGAAATGAAGATATAATCGATCGGGTTATGTGTAGCAGCACCACAGCAGCAGTACTTGGTTTTACAAACCTCAAGATATACAGTATATGATTGCGGCGGCGGCGGCTATTACGTCCACTTACAAAACAATACTAACTCAAATTGCTGGTACATGAGCTTGCTATATATCTTCCTTCGGCCGGCAAATATGGCGGAATTAATATGCTCCTAGGATCAGTTTTTTGTTTTTTTTAACCCGACCCCACGAAGACCGGTCTATTCGGGTCGGGTTTGTAAGTCGTATATAATACTCCGTTGACAGCTGGCGCAATGTGAAAGACCTTAAATTACATTCTATGCTCACGTTTTCCACACTCTTTTTTCGAACCGTTCACCAAAAAATCTCTACAGGCAACATGAGAAGCCCGCTGAAGAAGAAGACATTGACGGCGAATCGTTGACGGAATCATCTGCGCTGTGGGAGACGAAGCCGCTGAAGAAAGGAAGAGGGCGAATTCTTACTGGCGGCTTGTCTTGCTGGGTTTCCTGGTTTTCTTTTTTGGAAATCTGTTGTTTGTGTAGTCCTGTCCTTGTGTGTGGTTGTGCTCTGGTTTTGGTATTCAATTTTCCGTTGGGGCGTGACTCTGGTTCGATGATTTGGGCGTTGGTTTAGGAGAATGGCGATGCGTGGGTATAAATTGCGTATCCTCTGATTCAATTTTAGGGTTTTAGTAAAATCTTTGAACTCATGTGTTTATGTGTTGCGTGTCCGTCGGATGTGACGGAGTTCCGATGAATATAAAAATATGTGGGCGTTCCTAAATTAGTGACATGCGTAGTTCATTTTCAATTGAGATTGTTGTATTGTTAATATCTGTAATTCATGAGTATTCGCATTATTACGCATTCCGAGCCGTGAAATAGCATGATAGAAATATTAATATAATTTGGCATTTGTTCTTCTATCTTGTAATTTATAAACTGTTCTGATAATTCAGTTTGGATAAACACTTGGTTTACCATCAGTGACTGTTTTCTTCAACAAGTATATGCCTAAAGAAAGTGGCCTCTGATTATTGCGGATCCTATTAGTCACACAAGTCCTGTTGAGTCTGGCCCCTTGGATTTAGTTGAGGTTTTGGTGGTAGCTTAAACTTCTTCTGAGGCAATGAAGTTATGAGATTTGGAAGAAACCAAATAATTTTTGTCTACTCCACTGTATTTTGCATTGCATCAGGTTCTTAATTGCACATTTGAATTTGAATGTTTGCCCTGATTACCTTCCAATTCAATTTAAAATATACTTTGTTCAGTATAGGGCTCTGGTTACTGAATCAAAATGTGAATGTTTATATAATTTTACTACTATAAATTGCTGCCACATTTCACTGCCATTAATTTTGGTATTAATATGTTTCTCAAGTTAGTTGATGCAATTTTTTTCCCTCAAACTTTTGTTGCTGCTATGTGCTTTACTTTACCAGAGATGAACATCTTGGCTGTTGAATTTTATATTCAAAGCTACAATTTGCTTGAAGGTCTCTTTCCTTAGAACTCTAGAAGAGACGTGCCTTTTTGTGCAGTGGAGTTTGCTATTTGAATGTGTATCTCGGCTTTTATCTCTTGGTTTAATTGAAACATTTGTTTGCTTTTAAAGCCATTTGAGCAATGCAGTTATGTCAGACTTGAACTTATGATATTTTGGATCATTCTTTGTTGATTATACAGTATACTTCTGCTGAATACATTTTCTATGTTCAAATTTTAAATTTCTCTATTTCTGCCAATGCTACGTCTCTTCTAATTGGGCTTGCGTAGATCTTGGTGATGCAACATCCACTGGGGATTCTTCGCATCATGAGTAGGTCTTTTCCTCATACTTACACTCAACCTTGCACATATTTCCTGCAGGCTACTGCCAAGGTTCCTGATACGCAGGTAATAACTGAGCATCCTGTAGTTAGGTATTCAATTGATTGTTCAAATATTTAACTTCATGAATACATGATTGCTAACCAATCATTGGCTATATCAGGATTCTATAGCAATTGGCATCGCATCTTAATATAATGCTATCTTACTAGGTTTCTGCTGAAAGATATATATATATATATATATTTCACCTTTATCCAATCTCTGGGTTGAAGCGACTTTATATGGTCCACAATCTCCTGGAGGACATGAAATTATTTGGGGTCTTATCAAAGGTCTAAAAACTAACGCCACCAACATTTATTTTGTCATAATTTTTGGGTATGTTTTTCAAATTCATTCTTTCATATTTATGATCTTTCTTTTTATCTTGAGTCTTTTGGACTCAAGTGTTTCGTTATAAAGTTTGTTTTGTGAATTTTGATATATTTGATCTGTCAGTTTGTTATTTTTTATCTAGTTATTCTGACATCTCACTTTCCTTTTCTTTTTGTGAATATTAACATGCCTATGTGTTGTGTAACTAGGAGGTTCTGATGGTTCAGTTGCTCAATAAACTCTTAGGAGATTACTTATGGGATTCTTGCAACGTACACAAAACAAGTCAGGTGTTGATAAATGAATATTTTATTTCAACATCTAAATAATTAGTGATTTTAAAGATCCCATTTTAATTTTCGGTTATGAATTCCTGGGATGAACAACAGATCAAATTAGAAGAACTGAGTAATTTTCTTGGCTGCGTGCTGGAGTTGGCTCTTCGTTTGGCACCACCATTGTGGTGCACTCACCCATGTTCCGCATCGTTTTTATTTTATTTTATATGCTGTGGGAGGTTTATGTGGCCTTAGTTTGAGATGCTGATTGCATTGTGTGACATGTTCATTATTGTGGAGAAAATGGGCATGTCTTCAATTCTATTAAGGCAAATATTATAAAAGCTAAAATTTTCTTTTAGATTATGGATAACATCTAGAGGTGATTGTTTTTCAATGTTCATTGTGTGCCCAATCTATTGATTGAGAGTTACATGCTTTTCATCTGCATTTATATTCGCCCTAATGGTACAGAACCTTTATTATTTAAGAACTTCGCTGAACATTTTACTGATTCAATATTCTCTAGTTGCAGCTTTGAACACAACACTATGTGGTGGTGGTATGAAGGTTGTGCCAATGATTTTTACAATACAACCACATCTAAGAAGCACTGTCCTTTATATACAAGCTCTGTATTAATTATCAAAAACCGAGCAGCATTGAAAGACTATTGCAGAAAGAACATAATATTGTGGACTGTGGTGCACTGCCCACTGCCCAGTTGTGTTCACCATGGAGCTGCAACGAGGTAGGTGGATTCATCTGTTTGATTTAAGTGGTGGCAATATCTGTTAGATGAGTAAAATATTATGGCTGTCATTTTTAATTAACATTTATTTTTTGTGGTATTGGTGGAGAGAAGTGTGTTGTGGAGGTGCCCGCGGTCACATCACATGGTGATATTGTTCACTTTTACTTGTCTATGGCCCTGCCCTTAATGGATGGACGGATGGGTTGCATGCCTCTATGCTTTTTCTGGTTAAACTTATTTTACTGATCAGCAGGTTATCCTCCACTCTAAATTTTACTAGTATTTAAATTAGCACTCACTCTATTATAATTCAGTAAATTTTAATTAATAAAATAAGTATCAAAGTTTCCTGTGCTTTGCACTAATTGGTTTTATGTAAAAAAATAAATTATTACTTGAATTAAATTGTTACACCTACGAAAATACGCCAAGCCCGAAGATGTCAAAAGCTGGACCTGTCTCCTACATAAATGTGGGCTTCGACCGAGACCAAGATGGGCCTATCGAGCCTAGCGCAGTGTGCTGGGAGTGCCATGCATATGCCGAGAGAATTCTAGTGCTGGAACAAGAGAATGGGCCTCAGCCGAAAGCACAATGAGCTTGCAAAAACTGTGTATAATATCTGGGCCTACGCAAACATTCTACCGGACCTCTTTGAACACAGCCGAGAGCATTATGGGCCTGTCAGCAAAGAGCTGACAGCACAATGGGCTTGGCCTGACATTTTGCTGTGCATCTAAAGATTGGGCCGACAGGCTTCTGGGAATGTCGGCATCAAGTCGACAAGAAAGTGGCAAGGGCCGACATGTCTGTGGATTGTCAGAACTTATCCGTTGGCTGTCGGGAATACAAAGACATTTTTCTGATCAGCGCCGTCAACTTACTGGGCCTGTCGGCAATTCAATGACAATATCATGGGCCTGCACTATCTTTTGTTTGGGCCTGCACTGCAATTTACTGACCCAATTGGCCTGCACCGTGGGCTTGGTCTGAAATTTTGTTGGGCGTCAAAAGATTGGGCCGAAAAAGTTCTGGGCTGTCGGCATTAAGCCGACAAGAGAGAGGCAAGGCCCGACATGTTCGTAGATTGTCGGCAATACACAAACATTATTCTGATCTGCGCCGTCAATTTATTGGGCCTGTCGGCAATACAATGACAATGTCATAGGCCTGCTTCGTCATTTGTTTGGGCCTAATCTGCCATTATTTGGCCCAATTGCCCTGCACTGCAAATGGTTTGGGCCTGCGATGCAATTTACTGGCCCAATTGATCTGGGCCGCCAGTTGACTGAGACTGTCAGCTAAAAGCCGGCATAATTATGAACATGTCGGCAGTAAGCCGACAAAAATTATGCTGCCGTTGACAACTTCCTACGCTTGTCAGCAATACGCCGACAACAAATCGGGCCTTTATCAATCTTCTTAGGAATTTATTGCCTGCGCCGTCATTTTCCCGGGCCTGTCGGCAGTTAATGGTCAAGATTATGGGCGTGCGTCCCCATTGTTTGGGCTGATCTATCATTTTTCTGAGCTGCACTGCTATTTCACTGGGCCCATTGGCTATTTTAATACATTCTAAACGGAGACCACAACATAGGCCCACACTAACACTATCTAGCCGACGAAATTCTGCGCTCGAACCTACACACTTTTCCGGGGCGGGACGTTTTAACCATCTGGTCCTGATGGATGGGCAGACAACAGTTTGGGCTTACAATAAAACATGGATGCATAAACTGGGCTAACAGATACGGGCAATGTCATAAACTACATCACCTAAAATCAGTATAAATAACATTGAATGCCTCATCTCGTCCAGCTGCTTGATCATAGATGTATATTCAACGGATGTAGAGCAATCATGCAATAGGATTCGCATAGGGCCACTCAAGAGAGAAATGGCATCTAAGAAGGTTCCTAAAGCTTACCAGATTGACAGATAGAGCCGCTTCCTTTTAGACCTGTGGTGTGAAGAGCTTATTCGATCAAATTATGATACAGTCGTCATTCTTTGCAGAAATGATGCAGGACCGGCCACATCAAAGTGGAAATTTCCAACATTTCTTCATCTTTCAGTGGCAGTAGGGAGTGCCCAGCCGCTTCTATGAGGTCCTGTGCTGACTGCCTTCAGATCCAGGAAGAAATTTTGAATGAAGTACAAGTAAAACCATCAAGGAACTACTATGCTTCCAAAACTATACATCATCAAGCCAGAACAATGCAAGATTGATAAGAATACAAATACAATGGTTGAGAACAATAACAGAATAACCAGTAGGTATTATATCACATATTTACTAAACGGCCTTTCTCATTCTGATTTTAATTTAAGGAAGATGTTTAAACCATGAATGCCTTCCAAAAATGAATATATAAGGAAAGTTGGAACAAGATGCATGAGAATTCAAGAAGCAAAAAACAATGAATTTAACTAACAAAAAGAATTCAAGAAAGCAAAAAATGAAAAAATAAAAAAAATTCAAGAAGCAACCACACATTTCAATGTTGCATCACATGCAAAAGGCTGCCTATTTTCACTAACGAGTAACAAGAAAGTATAAACAGTTAATTTGGTTTAAGCAATCCTCTATCCTAGATTACAGATTGATATGCTCGATAAGCAAGTAGTAGCAGAAGAGTTAAAAACAATACCTTGTCATGAAGTCCTCTTGAAATTCTCTGAGTTGCCTGGCAGATAGCTTAATTAGCTTCTTTGCACTCTTCAAAAGTCAACTAGATTATATAACATACTTGAATGAGAATCAGATTCAACAGTGAGTAAAAATATAAATGAAGCAATAAAATTCAGGCAAAAAGGTTTCACTTACTCCATCACTCCCTGATCTCCTTGTCCTAGAAGTTATGTACCAGGCACCATTTTCACCACGATAAGAAACAAAAGAGCTTTGAAAATGGAAGCATGTGAGTGGGGCTGACTCCTTGTTGAGCTAGTCTGGTAATTGTCATTTCTTTGAGACATATGCGTATTCTTCTTCTCTACAACAGGGTAGATCAGGGTGTGTTTGTTTGATGGTTTGGATTTTGGATTGGGATTTGAATAGTAAAATATTTGAATTTGAATAATTGTGTTGTATCATGTGATATAAATAAGAATTGATGTGATATTTTGGATGTAAAATTGATTTTTAGTATAATATAAAAAATGAAAAATAAATGTTTGATTTGATGTTTTTTGAGAGAAAATTTTGTGAGAATGTAGAAATCCCACAAAGTCCCTCAAACAAACACACCATAAGTCTATCACTCCCATCAGTCTAAACAAACATTAGGACCAACTAAATAGTATAATTACGATTAAAAAAATTATGAATTATAAAGGTTAAAATATTATTAAAGTATAAGATTATATTTCTGAAAAAGAAAAGACAAATAAGGTGGTACTGACGAAAATGGTGGGTCGGAGGAGTAACACTTAAAGAGTAATATCCCATTGCAAAACATTGTTGTTGGGATTTTACAGAAACAAGCAGTCTTTGAGATTTGGCCAATAGCTATAAACAGGTAGTAATATTAGAGCTCATAGAGACAAATAACATCTAACAATTTCATTAAGGACTAGTAGACTATTCTTCACATACCATTTCACAAACACAGGAATGCAGAAAATAGAATGATTTTTTTATTCTACAATTTGATTATAAATGTGTCAGAATTAATATTGTAAAATTTATATCACAATATTCGAATGCACCGACATACTTGTGAAAATCTTTGATAAGACAAATCATCTAAAAACTATACAATTATCTTGCATAACTATACTTCAAATCTTTGGAGAGTCTATGGCATTTATCAAAATATAAACTGTTTCTACTAGTTAACTATATGATATTTTGAGCTCAAATTAACTAAGTCTTCCATGAACTGTAGCAAATGTTTCAATCCCATAAAAAAGCTAGAAATGGTAAGGGCAGTCCACAGCAAAAAGCATTTTTCCATCGCTTGTTGCAACTGAAATACAATGAGAGGCAAGCAAAGAGCGTTTGTTTCCGATGTAATCTTCCTTTTCATGTTTTACACGAGTGCCCTCAGAGTACTTAAGAGTTCTATTAATGGAAGAGGGAGATTCGAAGGATGGGGAAATACTAGACATGATGGGGGATGCAACCATTGATCTAAGAAGAGGCTCCAGCTAAAGATGAATCAAACTTGTGAAATTTACCTCTATACTCGAAGGCGGGCTCTACGGGACCTCGTACTGTGAGAGTTAAAGGAATTTTGCGGAAAGAAAGTGTGATTGTTTTGATTTCCATCGGAACAACCCACAATTGCATCCCGCACTCAATCGCAACAGATATGAGATTAGTGATAGAGCCTATAGGCAAATTCGGAGTCACACTAGGGGATAGGAAACATTTGGAATGCCGAGGAGTATGTCTAGGCTAATGGGTTAACTTGGAAGGATGCATGGTCCAAGTGATTGCTACAGTTTTCCCTTGGTGGGGTGGATGTGATATTGGAAGTTGCATAGCTAGAGATATTAGGGAACCCAACTCTTAGCCATTCCCAGATTCTTCGCACTACCCGGACAATTTTGTGTCATCATAATGGACTTGGCATAGTGTTTGATGGTACGAAGAGATGGTGCAACAACTGTTTAGATCAATACCCCCGAAACCTTGGTAAAGACATACACAGAGGTGTTTAGTGAGCCCACTGAACTTCCTCCAACCATATTGATGGACTGTTGTATCATTTTATAGGATGGAGCAAAGCCAATCTCCATTCATCCCGACCGTTATGGGCATGTGCAGAAGGACGGAATTGATCGAAATGGAAGATATGTTGCACGCAAACATCAATAGGCTATGCTTAAATCCATTCTCAAGCCATGTGTTGCTCGTAAAGAAAAAAAATGGTAATTGGCTGTTTTTTATCGACTATCGAGAACTAAAAAGATTACCATTCAAAATAAATATATGGTCCGGTGTTATCCAAGAGAAGTTAGATGAGCTTACGGGTGCAATGGTTTTTTCAAATATTGATCTTTATTCTGGCTATCACCAAATTCGATTTGCATTATCTGATATACCAAAGACGGTATTCCGGACGCACAACGGCCATTATGAATCTCTAGAGATGTCCTTTTGCCCCAAGAATGCTCCGGTGACATTTTAGGCTACCATGAATGATCTATTTCGGCCACTCTTACAAAAGTTTGTCTTGGTTTTGAATTTTTGGTTGGATGTCCTGGCTTTCATTGATGATATACTTACTTATAGTCTTTCATGGGAAAGCCATCTTGGTCACTTATCTCGTGTTCTAGCGGTTTTGAAAGAAAATCAATAGAAAGCCAAAAAAAAAGAGGCTCTTTTCGGCTGCACTTTGGTGGAATACTTGAGTTACGTCGTATTAGAAAAGTAAGTGGCGGTGGACCCGGAGAAAGTTACAACAATAGTAAATTGGCCATTGACCGATTTCTAAATTGGTGAGAGAAGTAAGAGAATTTATCGGCCTTACACTACTTCAATTCTCATGGAAAGCCCCTACACAGGTTGCATTTGATGCCTTAAAAGGCTGCTCTTATGCCTAACTTCAATAGAACTTTACAATGGAGTGATGCACCAACAATAGGTGCTGTTATTATGCAAGATGAGAAGCCCATCGCCTATTTTAGTAAGTAGTTTAACAGATAGAACCCTCGTACGATCTGTTTATGAGAATGAACTGACGGGTCTTGTTATTGCGATTAAGCATTGACATCCTTATCTAATTGGCTAAAAGTTCACAATGCGTACATATCATTATAGCCTAAAATACTTGCTCACACAATGAATTGCTACCCCTCCACAGCAAGCGTATTAGGATACTATTTAAATATCATCTATAAACCGGGCCGAGTCAATTTTGGGGTTGATTCTTTGCCGCGGGCAGTGCGGAGGGAAGGGAGTTAGGAGCCATTAGCAACACACCCACATGGCTAGCCTAAAATACTTGCTCACACAATGTATTGTTAATCATTCACAAGCATGGATGGCCAAACTATCAGGGGGCGTTCGGTACAGATAAATAAATGAAAATAACTTTATTTCTTAAGACTGTTGAGAATTAAATAATTATTTATTCTCTAATTTCATTTTTCTACCATATAGAGAAAAACGGAAAATTAATAATTGAAAGTATGGTGATCTTAAATTTTTCTTTTTTTTCCTACTATTTCACTTCTATAAATATTTTAAGAAATAAATTTTGTTTACTTAACAATTTTATTTACTATTTGACTAATATATATTTTTTTATAATAAAAATAATTTTAATTTATAAAATATTGTATCTAAACAACTATTTAAATGAAAAAATCAAAATTAAAATTAATTAAAATAAAACAAATAAAAAAACCACTAACTAAATATATCAATATTTATTTGTTAAAATATTTTTTATTCGATTCACCGTTTTGTTATCAATCATTTTGTTCCTTTTGAAATTTCTATGTTATCAATTCTCTGATGAATTTTATTTCTTTCGCAATTCCATTATCTAATATCATTTTTTACAGCAATTTCATTCTCTGTACCGAACGCGCACCCTTAGGTACTCTTTCGAACCATTCATAAGGCGGGCGGAGTCAATTCTCCATTTGATTCTTGGTCACGGCACAACGAGGAAGGAGGGGAGTTGGGAGCCATTGGCTTACCCACACAACTAGGTTGGAAGAAGATACATAATGAGCAATGTAAAGACCATTCAATCTAAACAATCCTAGAAGAGTTATAAAATCGAAGCATAATGCAAGGTAACTAAATGGATCGATGGCCAATTGCTTCTTTAATGTGGGTTGGTCATTCCAAAAGGTCCTAAATGGATTTAACAACTGCTATGTGAGTTTCACTCTACCCCGGGTGGAGGACATGCAGGTGTTTATTGGACGTATCGTCATCTTCCTGCTAGTGTATATTGGCGGGGTATGTACCGCAAGGTATGAGATTATGTCCAATTGCATCTTTTGCCAAAAAACCAAATATAAAATGCCTTCTTCGACGGGTCTTCTATAATCGTAGCTAATTGCGACATTGATTTGGAAAGACATTTCAATGGACTTAATCATCCCATTGCCTAAGTCCCAAGGGTTCTCTTGTGTAAAGGTGGTGGTAGACAACACTTTATTCCTCTATGCATGACCTTTTCAACCTGTTTCACTGTTGAAATATTCACTAAAAAGGTGATGCACTTATATTGTGTACCACTTTAGATAGTTAGTGATCGAGATGTATTCTTAAGCACATTTTGAAACAAGCTTTTTAAGCTCCAAGGGACTACTCTCAAATTTAGTCAACATATCACCACAAGCCTATAAGCAAAGCAAAGGTACTAAATTGTATCTTGGAAATATATCTTCGGTGTTTTTTTTTTTTTTTTTTGTCAGAACAACCACAGAAATGGGTGAGTTTCCTTCCATGGGCGGAGTGTCGCAACAATACTATTAGATTGACCTTTTTTTCATGTCTCACAACTAAAAAGAGTAGTCGGGACCATCAAGTAGAATCCAGACTGCCCCCATAGTTTAGATATTTCTGACATTTTCTAATACCAAAGTGTGTGTTGGGAGAGCGAGAACAATAGGACGAGCGAGATGTAACCAAGTATTGACAAAGTGGCAAGGGCTTTCTAATTATAATGCCACTTGGATGGATGTCGAGGATTTGCATAGCCAATTTCCAAATTTCTGCCTTGAGGACAAGGATTTTCAGAGGGTGGAGTAGATATGGAACAACCAATGGCCCCGGTACCACTACGTGTCTATACACGATATAGAAAAGGGCACGTACGTCTAGTCGTTGCATTACCGTAATATTATTTATTATGTTAGTAAATGGATCAATTATTTGGTATTTCTAGTTTTTGTTATCTCTGCAAATTTTTTCTTAATCTTACATATAGTTAGATTTATAAGTTGATATAAGTAATTGGTAATTATGATTAGAGGGAATTATCCAAATAATTAGAGTGGGGCGGCTACAGCTAGACAGAGTAGATTGGTTCTTCTACTGAGTAAACTAGTTCTTAGGCTGTTGTGTATTCTTGTTTAACATACCCAATAGGCAAAAACAAAAGGTGAACCAGAGTTTAACATCCAGTGTGTTTCAATCTGAGAAAAACAGGGGAGGGAGGGAAAGAGGTAGAGAAACACAGAAGATACTTCCCATGCTTCCTCAAAACTAGTAAATTCATCTAAGCAAAAAGATATCAAAACTAATTAGAAGATTGATATCCTCATAAGCAAAAAGATATCAAAACAGTGTCTGTATTGTGTCAGCATGCCCTAAATACATGATCTCAATGATTAAGCAATCCTCTATCCTAGATTCAAGATTGATATACTCATAAGCAATCAGTAGCAGAAGAGTTAAAAACAATACCTTGTCATGAAGTCCTCTTGAAATTCTACAAGTTGCTTGGCAGATAGCTTGATTAACTTCTTTGCACTCTTCAAAAGCCAACTAAATTACACGACATTGTTGAATGATAATCAGATTCAACAGTGAGCAAAAATATAAATGAAACAAGAAAATTCAGGCAAAATAGTTCTACAGATAGCTGAATTTGCTTATTTGCACTCTTCAAAAATCAACTAGACTATACAACATAGATGAAGGGAAACAGATTCAACAGTGAACAAAAATTTAAATGAAACAAGAAAATTCAGGCAAAAAGGTTCCACTTACTCCATCACTCCCTAATCTTATTGCCCTAGAAGATCTGTACTAGCACCATTTGCACCACCATAAGAAAGAATAGAGCTTTAAAAAGTGAAGTATGTGACTGGGGCTGACTCATTGTTAAGTGTGACTGGTTATTGTCATATCTTTGAGGCATATGCCTACTCTTCACTACAAAAGGATAAATAAGTTCATCACTACCATCAATCTAAAGAAACATTACGACCAACATTTATATCAACATTCCAAAAGCCAAAACGTCAGGATCCTAACGGATGGCTCTTGAGTAGATCCGTGATGTTTTCCTGAATTCTCTTAACTCTCTTGCCCATTTCCGTCATCTTCTCATTATCAGATTTCAGCTCCTCAATTATTTGCCCCTTGGTCGATTAGACAGTAACTCTAGTTCAAGAAATACATAAGGATGGGGATTCATAGATGGCCCTTCAGCATAGCTGAAAAGGCTAGAATAGACCATGCTTGCCAAGGGGTGTGACAAAAAAAGGGATCATCAAATGGATCCCTTCCTCCAAAAAAGTTAGACTTCAAGCTCCTCCCCCCTCTTCTAAAACCACCAAAACTACCAAAAGGGCCACACCAAATCCAAAGAATGGATCTCTAGCTCCTTGCATTTTGCTTGGCTCCTAGATCTTCGAGAAAGAAATAAACAAATATTAACCCTTAAAGAGTAATATCGAATTGCAAAACATTGTTGCTGGGATTTTCCAGAAACAAGCAGTCTTAGAGGCTTGGAACATCCGATAGCTCAAAAACAGGTAATGTTTAACAAACACAGGAACACGGCAAATATAATTCTTCACATACTGTTTAACAAACACAACACAGCAAATATAATGTTTTGTATGTGTCAGAATTAATATTGTAAAATTTATAGCACAATATTTGAATGCACCAAGATACTGACTCGTGCAAATCATCTTACAACCATCCAATCACCGTGCATAACTACACCTCAAATCTTAGGAGACTTGGCATTTATCAGAGTATAAACTGTTACAACTAGTTAACTACATGATATTTAGAGCTCAAATTAACTAAGTCTGCCATCAACTGCAACAAATGTTTCAATACCATAAAAAAACTATCAATGGCAAGAGCAATAAATTTCCATAGCTTGGTGATGATACACAGAAACTCGTCGGCCACTTATGCCAGGATCAAACCGATCCAATTACCATGACAAAATTAGGTTAAAATCGCCTAATTGCTTAGAATCTTACACCCCAATTTTTTTCGCATTTTCAAATCCATACAACTTACCGATACAGCAATAAACAAGCAAAGAACAAAACGTTGTTACTTTTTCGAATAAAAAAATTACAAAAAAGCGTTTAATCCTCAATCTTATGAAACCGCCTTCTTCATGAGGATCGCAAACCCTAAGAAGAACTTAAAAACCTATCGACATGATGATCAAATTTGAGGACATATATAATACAGACAGTTTCTAAAAATCATCAATACATCATCAACTCCAACAAAAGAAGAATTAAATCTTAACCAAAATATCACGGAAGGAATAGTCGGCATACAACCATATTACGTAAAAAATGGAGAGTAATAGGTATAACCAGATGATCGTCGGGCTAGCAACAATTTCATTTTCAGAGGGGGAGGAGCAGCAAGATTTTCAGCGATCGCGGTTCCAAGGAGAGGTAGAAATCATGTCGCGCTCAAGGAGATGCGCCTTAAAGAAATGACAATCATTCATTACACCGTCCGAGTCGAGAGGAAGGCCTAGAAGGTTCTTGCAAAGGCTCCACGAGAACTAACTCTGCTGGGCTGAAGATATTACGCGATTAATGGGCTCAATATTACAAACAGACATATCTACACGTAAATTATCCCGTGTGTTTCGTTACATGTCTAGGTAAGTCTACCTTAGCTTTCTCTCTCCATCTCTCAAGTCTCACTACACAACAACACCCCGTCACCCCCAACGCATACGGCCTACCGTCTAAAGAGTAAAGACCATTCTCCACTCCACCCCCACCAAATCCACTCTATTCTACTCAATTGCTGCTGCTGCTGCTGCTGTTCTCTCTCTCTCTCCCCCTCTCCTCTCTCTGATTCCAGTAATGGCAAACCCTGTTCCTGCCTCCTCCTGCTTTTACCTCTTCCTTTTCCTCATTGCTGCTACTGCTGCTTGTGTTCGAAGTAAGACAGATCCCTTCTTCTCCAGTCCACATTCGTCTTGATCTTCTTGCAAGGAATTGAATTAATCGACATTCATAAATACATACGGACCTGCATCATATAGTATTTATTACTTCTTTATTTTCTTAATAATGCATTGCATTCATCTAATTCTTCCTGCATCTACTGCACTAACTGTTTGAATTACTTCTTGTTACGGTGCCCTCTTCTTGTTTGTTTCTTCTACTTTCTCTATTCAATACACACATCTGTGAAACAAGTTTTTGTGTCGGTTGTGTCGGTTCTTAACAGGTTTTTTATTTCTCAGGCCAGATCTGCTAATGGGATATATATATAATTATGTATATTCTTGCTTCTGGATTTTCAACTAGTAATTCTATCGTTACTGGTTGCTGGATTCACACACAAGCTTCTTAATCTCTAAAGATTCCATTTTTAATGAACTAGCATACACTAGCTGGCTAAGTGTTAATAAATAGCTCAGGCAATGTCTGCACATTTTTTTCAGAGAAAATCTATTTTTTCTTGGTGGAACTCTTACACGAACAGGATGATAATTGTTGATCAGGTGCAGATAGAGTCACGGACAACCCCGCCGATCAGCTGGTGGCAGCAATCAACAGCAACAGGACAGCAGGCAAATCATCTACCTTGTACAGCAACCCTGGCCTGGCATGCATTGCTCTTCAATACATCAAGGCCTTCCAGGGTGATTGTGGTGTCGTTGGGGGTCCCAAGGCCAAGAGACCTCCCGACTCTGAGTTTGCTCAAACCTTTGCTCCCAATTGCGGCGTCGAGGCCTCCACCCTTGCCCCAATCACAGGGAGGCTGCTCGGATGCCAGTCCAAGTATGTTAAACCCTCGGAAGCATTTTCAGAGATCCTGATGAAGAAGAACAGGAGCCTGGAGATCCTCTATAGCAAGAACCATACAGAGGTGGGTGCTGCCGTCAGCGGATCAGACGGTGGGGGGCCGTATTTCTGGTGTGTGCTGTTCAGTGGTGGGAAATCAAATAGCAGCTTCGTCCCTCAAGGAGGGGTGGCCAAGGTGACTGAGAAAGGTTGCTTTAGCGGTGCCCATGATGCTTGCAGCGGGGCTGTCGCTTTGTCCGCCGGATATCATGCTGTTTGGGGTGCCATTGCCACTGCTTTTGCTGTTGCCGCGGGTTTTGGGTTTGTTGCAATCTCAATGCAATGAGTTGCTGCACCTTGCACTTATGTAATCCCTGTTCTTTTATTCATTCGTCGATCACAGTTTGGTACATACGAAACATTTGTATTTGTATTTGTACTTGTATTCATTCATCACAAAAGAATTGAATTTGGAGTGTACAAGATAAGATAGATACACGAACCAGGGCTCAATTTTCAGTTCCCAACTTTCTTTTGGATTAAAAGAACATGTGTTAAACAAACAGGGGGGGATGGTGGATTGGAAAAAGCTCAAAGGGATGATGATCATGATCATAATGAAGCAGTGGAGCGGGGCTTTTTTGTGGCACTGTCACGAGAAAGAGCAAACCTCGTGATCCATTTCTTCTGGGAGGAAGTAAGGGGAGGAGAGGGAATAATAGCAGCTTGGTCTTGGCCATGGGGATCTGGAAGCTCACAGGGGAGAGCAGCAGCAGCGCTGGTGAAGGCATTCAAAACAAGGAATGCCAGTATAGGAGAGAGGTCCAGAGTCCCTCCGAGCGGCGGAATGATTCCCCGGAATATGTTCAAGTATGGATCACAGAGGGTGCTGCACAACACACCAACAACCAATCATTTACTTTAGCAGTATAACAACTATGTATCTATCTATCAAGACCAGAATCAATCCCAACTGCAATGCAGTGTTCACCTGAGAGGGCTGAGAACTGCAGCCGGGGCGTCGGGGAACCAAGTTAAAACTATCCTCACAATCAACAGCGTGTTGTAGATGTTCAAGAAATTCATTATCCCATTGCCGACCACCACTCCTGCCACGGAATCCCCCGGCAGAATCGCTGCAAATTTGTTATTGGACGTCGCGAGCAGATTCCGGCTCCCCCCGCCTGGGATCTTGAATTAACAAACCATCCATGCGCCCATGTTATGTTTTGCAGTGAGTGATGGGATTACATGAAAATTACTCAAGTTAAAACCAGAAACTTGAATAAACTCAACGATATGTATAGACATAGACCAAAAGAGATTCTTTTTTTGAATCTAAATCCGTGCGGAGATAAAGAAGATGGGGGGATTGCAGTTTACAACGACGAACCTGGCAGCAATCCTGAAGATAAGAAGGAAAGGACATCACTTTATCTAGAAGTGCATTCTGGGACCTCAGGGCATCCATCATTTTCAGGAGGTTATCAAGAGCAGCGCAGAAGGATTTGTGGACTTGACGGACAGCAGTAGCAGCAGCGTCTGAGTTGCGCTTCGAGGAGCTCAAAGGCTGTCCGAGAAATGGGGGGGAGATGTGGATGAGACTGAAAGGAGCGGAGGGGAATGGAAATATCAAAAGATTTGCAGGTGGGGCGGCGGCGGGCGGCATATCTTGGTAGGGAGAAAACGAAGACTCCTCCATGCCCCAATTCCAAACCGAAAATGAAGAAAATAATTTGGATTTGTTGGATAAGCTGCTGCTGTGCTGTGCTGATGATGAGTCCCGACTCTGAAGACCAACGAAAAAAGAAAACAAAAAAACTCATCACCGTTCGTCGCCTGAGAGATTCGAACTCTCGCGGGGAAACCCCATGTACTTAGCAGGCACACGCCTTAACCACTCGGCCAAAGCGACGATTCCTTGCTTCTCATTCCCAAAATAGGCGTATTCAACGGTCACAATTAGTTATTACTTCTCCACACCTCGGATGAAATGGTGGTGGTGGAATCGGAGACGAGCTCACTCTCCGTCAACCTCGCCTGTCTGTTTGAGATCGCCAATTCCCTCTCCGCAAGCAAGGTGGACAGAAAGATAAGAACAAGAAGAAGCCCGACATTTCAGGTTATTAGCCGAATGGCGATGCCGCAGGCGGTTTTGGGGAGCTTAACCGCCACTGAACGCGGAATTCTCACCGCCATTAATACCGGCGCCTCCAGCCTCTCGCTCGTTGGCTCCGGCTTCATTGTCCTTTGCTACTTGCTCTTTAAAGAGCTACGCAAGTTTTCCTTCAAGCTTGTCTTCTTCCTCGCCCTCTCTGTAAGTTTTCCCCTGCCCTTCGTTTGCTTTTTCGCCTTTTTGGCTTTCCGCTTCGCTCTTATTTTCCCCAAAACTTTGATCAGGTTACGCAACTGATTTCTGGTTGGTCGCTAAATTGACGAAATTATTATCATTCAGCTTAGTGACACACATTCCTTTCCCTTATAAATAGTCCCATCTTAACTGGTAGACAGTTGCGGGAGTGTTTCGTATGTTTAGCTGCGTGAAATGTTTTTGAGGGAATTGACAGAATACGATGGTAAATGCTCCCGTGTATTTAGACTGTCGCCTCTGTGCGATTTTATGCATAGTGATCTGTACCTCCAACACCTATTTGATTTCAGATCTGGGATTGTCGGATCCGTTAACTTGAGCAGAGAAACTTTACTATGGTGGTGGTATCACGACAGTCTGAGTCATTCCCATTTTCTGCCATTACTTATGCAATTATTTTCTTAAACAGCCAGCGCAGTCCTTGATCCTCCTCCAAGAAATTTTTGTGTGCAAGTTTTTTTTTTTTTTTAACTTTATCCATGTCTCGTCTTTAAATGCATTATTCGAATTTACTATTTAATTTCTGGTGCAGGACATGCTCTGCAGTTTCTTCAGCATTATTGGGTATGAACTTGTATGTGTGCAGTCAAATGCTTTTAGATGCAATCTTTGGATGATGAAAATTTATGCAGTTTTCATTTGAAACTTAATGTGTTATATGCAGTGATCCTTCTAAAGGATACTTCTGTTATGCTCAGGGCTACACAACACATTTTTTCTGTGTAGCCTCGTTTCTGTGGACAACAACAATTGCTTTTACCCTACACCGAACAGTTGTTAGACATAAAACTGATGTGGAGGATTTAGAGCCAATGTTTCATTTGTATGTATGGGGTATGCTGTTTATATTCTGTTTGCGTTTTAACATTTTATTGCTATGCACTTGCTTTGGAAGTACCTGTCCCTGTCAGTTTTGCCTTTGCATGAAGATTAGAACACTTTTGCAGGAACATCAGTTGTTATGACAATAAGTCGCTCTATTGGCAATAATCACAGCCATATAAGCCGAATAGGTGCTTGGTGTTGGGCGCAAGCCGGACGTACAGGAAAGGTATGTATATGAAAGGCTTACTGCTGACCTTGTTCCTGTTACCAGCTATTGCTTGTTATCTCAAAGATTCAAATTAGTTTAGCCTTATTGATTCTAGGGAATCTGAAATTCCTTATTTATCTTTCCCATTATAGTTGCTATGAAAGAATTTCCAAAGAAGAATCTTGTCCAATGATCAATCTTTCAGTTCATTATTTTGTATGGGTTTGTAAAGTATGAACTTGGTTATAAGATGATACCTTTATGCTATGTTTTATCCCTTGTTCACACTTACAGTTGTAATACTTCTTGTCCTGCAGGTGGCTCACTTTATTACTTTTTATGCACCTCTGTGGGGTGCAATTCTTTTCAATGGCATCACCTATTTTCAAGTGATACGCATGTTAAACAATGCGACTCGTGTATGTAATATGCTAGATGCTCTTTGTCTCATCATTACTTCTGTCTTGTAGGATTAAAATGCATTAAAGCATGTATGCTTTGTTTTCTTATAGAATCACTTTGATGCAATGTCTTTCAGATGGCAGTTGGAATGTCAGAGCGGGTATTTCAATCAGATACCCGACCGGATATGAAGGCAAGTTTTTTTCTTTTTCTCATATGTTGTGGCTAGAATTCAATATGGATGTTGAAAGGCTCTCTACCTTTAGTTAGTCTAGAGTCTCTTAATCCATCAAAAGATTATGATGATTCTGTTACATAGCATTATTGTCTGGTGACAGTTTGGATGCAGTTGCACACAGGTGTACTTGAAATGGCAGGATTGATTACAATGCCAATTAGTTGCCAGATATTCACTGCTTTGTGTACCTTAGAGTTCTAGAAAGGATCTTAATGATTTGTTACTTGTCATCGATGCAACTTGGGATTATCCCATTTAAAGAAAACATGGTACCTTAGTGTTGTGTTTTGTTGAGCGCAATTGCCAATCCAAGTTAGTTTTTCTTAAATCTGGTCATTCATTGGTTTGTTTATGTCTATTTCTATTTAACAGGCAGTAAACCGATGGGGTTACTATCCCCTTATTCTAATTGGGTCCTGGTTTTTTGGCACAATTAACCGCATACACGACTTCATTGAACCTGGCCACAAAATATTCTGGCTTTCTGTTCTTGATGTTGGCATGGCTGCGCTTATGGTAAATCTGCTGTACTCGGAAATAATTTAATGTATCTGATGCGTGTGCTGAAATTTTCACCACTTTGTCCTTGTTGAAGGGGCTGTTCAACTCAATAGCATATGGTCTAAACACTTCAGTTCGGAGGGCCATTTACGAAAGATTAGACCTGTAAGTACAAGGATGTCTTTGTTCCTTGCTAGGTTCCTAAACTCAAAACAGTACTTAACGATTGCAAGCAGCCTTGGTTGAATTATTATGTGCATGGTTGCAGGTTACCAGAAAGTTTAAGAAAATGGCCTCCAAAGAGTAGGTCCAGAGGCCAACAATCTGAAGCCGAACTAGTGTCATTGAAAATGGAGGAGCAACCATAGACAGATGTCTGTCCTTTCGAAGAAGTAATGTGGTTTCGCTTGCTACACTTTGTGTGAGAAATCAGTCCATGACTTGGAACAAACACATTTGCAAACCTCCTGTTCCTGCTGTAAACAGGGAGGGAGAATCACAGGTTGGTGAAAAAGTTTTCTGGCCCCTGAAGCCATCCCCTGTTGTAGGATGATCCTGCGGTATTGACCAGCGTGCATAATTTTGAAAATTCGTTTTGTGTTGTGTGGTGTGGTCCGGGTGTAAAAATAGATAGGTGAGATGTTGATGATGATTGTGGTAGCCAACCGTAACATGGGGGTTAGTTTGGAGAATGTGATTGTTCTTTGGCTTGTAGTATTTGCATTTGAGCGTGCAAATATTAGTTGAGTTGTCTCAGACCAGTATGATCTAGTAGTATTCATTTATTCCATTTGGGGGACAACGGTTGCGGATGCTAAGTACACTCCAGTCTCTGTCTGTCTAGCTCCGCTCCAGGGAGGGAGTGGCAGGCAGGCAAGATCAGTCGAGGTGAGGCAATGAAGAGGCCAACTAATTCAATCTAAAATTGTAAAATCTACGGTCTTTCTATATTTTTCAATCTGAAAATATATAAGGACACGTCATGTTCACATTGCCCATTAGAGGTTTTTCTAATAAGGGCGTCGTATATGCTCTAGATAGAGTCGAGTGGAGCCTCAGATGCGCGAGCGATGATGATAACTGTACAGAACACGGCCGCCGTGTATCTATCTATCTATCTATCTCTCTCCAAACCCCAAAATATTATTCATTGCTAATTAATTGCCTTTCCATTACATCTCTCATATTGCTTAACCAACCAATTCTCGTCGTCCTCTCTGACACCTGCCCTGCCCTGCCTCACTCATTCTTGATCGATCCGGCATTCATTCATCAAATATAACACCTCCCGTGAGGGCCATGACCCCCCCCCCCCCCCTCTCTCTCTCTCTCTCTCTCTCTATCCAAATGTATCCATGTATATAGTAATAATAATACAAAGGTAGGTAGCTAGAGCTGCTGGTGGTGCTGGCGTGGAATTTGCTGTTAATGGTTGAAATTGAAATGCATACATGCAGACACATCTACAAATATAGATATATAGAGATACGGCAAGTGGTAGCCGGCACAGCGGCAGCGCACATGTGCGCTTAATCTAACCGTCCAATGCCCTTATCAATCCAAGGGTTGATATTCCCACACGCTCCCAACTCACTTACCTTTGATTATTCCCACACTTTATGGCTCCTAACGCTGCCACGATCATCCCATCTCACCCCTCCGATCAGAATTCAATCCCACGGCCCATCTTCTCATCTATCACCCACCTTTCTCTCCCTCTTCCTCTCCTAAGGTCCCCTCTGCCCTCTCTCCTCTCCCACAGGAGTAACGTTGCGTCCCGCTTTTTTTGCTCCCCGAAGGCTGCTGCAACAAGCCCACCCAACTCCCACACGCACACGCTCTTTCCCCCCTTCTCTCTCTCTCTCTCTCTCTCGATCTCGACCAGACCTGGTTGGCCTGCCTTTCTCTTGTTTTCTGTGTTTCTCATTTGAAGTGGAATGCAGGAGCCAGCTACTAGCTCTATTGCAGCCAGCTCGTTGCCTTCTAGCAGTGAGAGATCTTCTAGCTCTGCTCTTCACGTTGAAGTCAAAGAAGGTCTCTTCATCCTTCTTTTTTATTTATTTGTTTATTTAAATATATATATACTTTTTCTAAAGTTGAATTTACAATGGGTTGTTTTTACAACACAAGTACCCCTGGTTTTATGTTCAGTGATTGCAGTGAATCCTGGGTCATGCCCTCATGACAATAGAGAATTTCGGTTCTCTTGTCATGAATCGGTTGATGAATTTAATAACAGACATTTCAGTTGGAAATTTAGTGTTATGAATGTGTCTATTCGCGTGGAAATCATTTGTTGGCGAAACTTGAATGGCTATACGAAATATATATGATTTTGTAAAGAAACATCGTAATATTTGAATCTATATATATATACATATTCTTTGAACACGATGAATTGTAGGCATGGAAAGCGATGATGAAATAAGAAGAGTTCCGGAGATAGGAGGTGAGGCTGCTGGTGGTGGTCCAACAACAGATGGTGGAACGGTTGCAGGTCCGGCTCAGCCGTCCGCTAGCGGCTCAAAAAGGAGGGGGAGGAGCCCTGCTGACAAGGAAAACAAGAGGCTGAAGAGGTAAGTAGACAGAGAATAGAGTTTGGTGGGCGTAGCTTTACTCGATGGCATAGAATTAGCTGCCCTCAGCAGAATATGCAGTGGGGTGGGGGTGGGGTGGGGAAAGCGAAAGGGACTAGAGGGTATTATTTATTTATTACTTTGTTAGTAAACAAAGTAAGTATCCCTGTGGTTTTTGTTTGGGAAAAGGTTGTTGAGGAACAGAGTTTCAGCACAGCAGGCAAGGGAGAGGAAAAAGGCGTATTTGATTGACTTGGAGGCCAAGGTTAGAGATTTGGAAACCAAGAACGCGGAGCTTGATGAAAGAGTTTCCACGTTGCAAAATGAGAACCAAATGCTTAGACAGGTGTGTGGTGCTCTCATCATTCCACCCTTCTTATTCTCTATTCCTCCTGTTCCTGGCTATATATATATATACGGGTTTAGATTTTGACAAGTACATCGTCCATGCTTTTGCTGGAGCAGTTGTGTTGTAACTTCTGTAGGTGAAGATGGCCGACCCCCGACCACCTTTGTACAGTGGTTTAGGAATGAGTGCATGCATGGTGTCGTTGTCGCTTATGTTCTCTTTCTTTCTTTCTTTCCTTGTTTGCTTGATCGATTGATATTAAGTATCGTGCCCCCACCTACCATTCAATTCAGTACTAGGATGCAATCATATAACCCTAATTTGTCATTTATCTTCATCGAGTGCATAATGGTAATGATTATACATTAGGTAAGGGTAGTGCGTACTTCTTGTCCATTGATTGGATGGAGATGTGAGACGGAACTAACTTGGAAAAATGTAGAGACACCTTTGAACTGGAAATCAATTAATTAAACTATAGATAATACCAATGTCCGATAAAAGAAAAAAGGAAAACATCAATGCTTGCTTGCAAATGAAGGGGTGATGGGTGGATGGAGGGTGTGCTTGCTTGCCTGCTTTATTTTACTTTAGTGTTAAATATTAAATAAATGCAAAGGTGTTCATGCTTGCATTGCTTGTCTTGTAATCAATACTATTTGCTTGCTAATATATGTTATATATTGATTGAGATGATGATGATGATGATGTGTTTTATTTATGTATAAACAGATACTGAAGAACACGACTGCCACGGGCGGCTCACAGGAGGGAAGGAAATAAGCTGGAAGAGCGGAGAGTAGAGAGCAGAGAATAGAGAGAGGAGAAGTCCAAAGACAGGGACAGGTTGGTGGTATCTATGTTGTTGGTCTTGCAGAGCAGAATGGTGGATGATGAGGATGAGCACGCCACAGCCACAGCCGCAGCTGCATATCTATCTATCTATCTTACTCCTGCTTGGTGCCGGCTTTGTACGCCCACCAGACAGACAGACAGACAGACTGGCCAGTATGAGTATGATTATGCGCATATAAGTAAGAGTTGAAGCAATCCCAGGCGAGTAGAGTAGAGTAGAGTAGAGCAGAGCAGAGTAATGCGTGTTGTAATGAATCGTGCTGGTTAGACTGGCTGACTGACTCACTCACTACTTCTGAGGTTGAGTTTGAGGTTGTTCAGTGTTGAGGATTAACAGTACAAAACAAAGTTATAGGTAGGGTGTGATTGTTTGAGGGCTCAGATTTTTTTTTTTTACTATTCATCCAATTTTTTTCATCCAAAAATATCAAATCAAACATCTATTTTTTATTTTTTATATTATATTAAAAATCAATTTTACATTCAAAACATCACATCAACACCTATTTATATCACATCATACAACTATTCAAATTTAAAATTTTTACTATTCAAATTTCAACTCAAAGTTAAAACCTCCAAACAAAATTGATTTATTATTGAAGGTGAGGAAAGCGGTCCGGCCCGGCCAGGCTGGCTCAGCAACATTGAATGAAGGAAATATATAGTAGTAATTGGATAGTTGGTAATGGTTGTTAGATTTCCTTGGAGAATGACGGATGTTTGATTGAGACCCGACTGCTACCTCTACTAGAGCCTAGAGGGAGAGATTGATTGACCCAAAGTCAAAGTCGAATCATTCATTCTCAATCCATCCATCTCCAACCCAGTAAGTATTATAATGAAAAAAATACCTTGGCATCTATCTATCTATATCTATAATGATAATAATAATTAATTATATAACTTGTATTTTCCCAAACAGACAAAAGAGGGTCGTTGGAAGTTGTTCTTGTTTCTTTCGGAGTCCTACGTACATGTATTTTTATATCAATATATGAATTCTGGCCTACAACCTGTTAACGTGTGTAGAGAGAGAGAGGGAGAGAAATTATTAATGTCTCTGCCGCTTGAGCCGGTGAGAATCCCGTACGTTCTTAAATATATACATGTAATCTAATAAATGAATACGTACATACGGTACTAGGTATGACTGTAGTATACTCCATCACTTGCTATTTATAGATAAAAAAGAAATACTATTAATTTCACGGGAAACGGTAGGAAAAAAACTAAAGCGTCGTGTCCGTCACTGGAGAGAGCGAGAGCAGGGCCAGGCACCGAGGCAGGAGATATGCCCGAATGAATTAATTATTGAAGCTGCTGGGAATGGGATTCCGATCTTCAACCTCGGTGGTCTTGCCTCGAGTTTAGGAGGTGTTGAGAGTTGTACTTGTAGCTGTCAGTTCAGGTGCCAAGAATAGTAATAATAATACATAAATCCTTTCGTTTTGTAAGTGGTACTATATAGCCGTCGATGATGGAGGCAAATGCGGGGATGGTGGCTGGATCATACGAGAGGAATCAACTCGTTAGAATCCGACACGGTTCTGACGGCGGGGTACTTCTTTTGCCTCCTAGCTCCCTCTCTTTCCTTTGGCTTTGCCTTTCAACAGATTTTGCTGGCGGTAATCATATCACCCGAAAAGAATAAATCCATTTTCTGCCATTTTTTTCATATTAAGGTGAAAGGTGAAAGATTTACGATCAGAGAAAGTAGACAACCCAGTAATCCTGCTGCTTTTATTCTATGTTGTATTTCTGGGAATTATGCAGTTGTGCATCTCTGTGCATTTGCTGCATTGGATTGAAGTTGCTGCTAATTATTATTATTATTATTATTATTGGCAAATGCCAATTATTTGCGGCCATGGATAGAATGTTTCAGACACCTATTCAATGTCCCTGACTTTTATGTAGTTTATGGACTTTTGAAAGTTAATTTTATCTGGCCATGCATCAATCTGCTTCACTAACATTCTGCATGGTATTGTTGCAGCAAAAGCCTCTGAAGAATTTGAACGGTGGGATATGCCAGATATGTGGAGATACAGTTGGAGTGACGGCCGGTGGCGACTATTTTGTTGCTTGTGATGAATGTGGGTTTCCCGTTTGCCGAGTGTGTTATGAATACGAGCGGAAAGATGGCAATAAGTCATGCCCCCAATGTAAGGCTAGGTACAAAAGACACAAAGGTTAGTCTGCTTCTTGAAGTAGGTTTAGATTCTTCACAACCTTGGGGAACTAGACATGCAAGCAAGGGTCTTACATATAATCATCCTGCATGTTTTAGGGAGCCCGCGAGTTGAAGGTGATGATGACGAGGATGAGATTGATGACTTGGAGAATGAGTTTAGCTATCCTAAGGGGAAAAACAAGGATGGATCTCAGTTGCACGGAGATGAAACCGAGCTATGTGAATCTTCTAGACGTGATTCTCAACGGCAAAGACCACTTGTTAGCGGTGGGCAGCCTGTAAGTTACCAAATCTCATGGCACATAACCAATCACATATGAAATCTATTGTAGTTGTAATACCACTATTCTATTGTCATTCTTATTATAATAATATAAATCAAGTCTCCTCCTTTAATCTTCTTTGCATGCCCAGGCATCGGGTGAAATTTCTCCTTCTATGCAAGATACTCGTTCCATCAGGAGTGCTTCAGGACCTTTGGGTCCTGGAGACCGTGTTCCCTCCCTTCCTTTTGTTGACCCGAGGCAGCCTGGAAAGTGACCTTTAGTTATAAGTTCATCGGCCTGTGAATCCTGCATCTTTTTTTCTAATATGTTCATACAACTGATGATAGTTCCATTGACTTTTGGCAGTTCCCGTGAGAGTAGTTGACCCTTCCAAGGACTTGAATTCTTATGGACTAGGGAGTGTTGACTGGAAAGAGAGGGTGGGAGGATGGAAATTGAAGCAGGAGAAAACTATGGTGCAGATGACCAACAAATACGGTGATGGAAAAGGAGACATTGAAGGGACGGGATCAAATGGGGAAGAACTTCAAATGTAAGCATCATTAATTTGCATGCATTTTTATCATTCCTATAAATCTATAATACTCTGAAACAGCCTGCTCTGGTTTTTATTAAGAAATCTTCTGGGTTGCTATTGATTGCAGGGTAGACGATGCACACCGACCTATGAGCCGGGTTGTGCCCATTTCCTCTCAACATCTAACACCTTATCGTGTCATAATCATTCTACGATTGATTATCTTGGGCTTTTTCTTGCAATATCGTACTACTCATCCTGTGAAGGATGCGTATCCTTTGTGGCTGACATCAGTTATCTGTGAGATTTGGTTTGCCTTGTCTTGGCTTTTGGATCAGTTTCCAAAATGGTATCCCGTTAACCGTGAGACCTATCTTGAAAGACTTGCATTGAGGTTAGTGCCTTGTACCTAATTTCGAGATCAAAGAAATCATTGATTTTCTCTTCTTTTACGAGTGTTCTGAACTGTAATAATTTGTAGCTTTGCGTTTTATCCCCATGTTTATGCTAACATTTTTGCCATACAGATACGATAGAGACGGTGAGCCTTCTCAGTTATCACCCATTGATGTGTTTGTGAGTACAGTGGATCCTATGAAAGAGCCTCCCCTTATAACTGCCAACACAGTGTTGTCCATTCTCGCTGTGGACTACCCTGTCGATAAAGTCTCCTGTTATGTCTCAGATGATGGTGCAGCAATGCTCACCTTCGAAGCCCTCTCTGAAACTGCAGAATTTGCCCGAAAGTGGGTGCCTTTCTGCAAGAAGCACAGTATTGAGCCCCGGGCCCCTGAGTTCTATTTTGTGCAGAAGATAGACTACCTCAAGGACAACATTCAGCCTTCATTTGTCAAAGAGCGCAGAGCAATGAAGGTAATGCTCAACAATCTCTAAACCATTTCCCTTTATTTCCTGTTGGCAAGATCACCCTGCAGTTACGGAGAGTTTAATCCTATACTGTAGAGAATAAACTTTGCATGAACTATGTTGGTTTAAAATTTTCTTGTTGCTAGTAAATGCACATCACTGTTATCTGAAGTTTTACATGGAACAAATGAGTTCGATTCTATCTTGTACTTAGAATTTTTAACCATGCATGGTTAAATTACTGCAGAAAATGTTTTACGTCATTGAAAAACACGAAACAAGTTCTAGTTCTAGGAAGAAATTCAATGCAAGGAAGCATAACTATTAGCTTCTTCACGAAGATGATGCTGACATGGATGCATGTTCAATGTTATCTAAAGCAATGATAAAACCAATTCTAATTGATACATATACGTACTCCATTTATGGAAGTTTGTGCATCTGAGTTTTTATTTTCTACGAGAGTATGACATTTTCATTGAATAAGGAGGAGAACATGTAAAGAGCAGGTTGCAATTTCATATGTGGGATTTCTCTGCAGAGAGAATATGAAGAATTTAAGGTTCGGATCAATGTTCTTGTTGCAAAGGCTCAAAAGATGCCTGAAGATGGATGGACAATGCAGGACGGGTCTCCATGGCCTGGAAATAACACTCGTGACCATGCAGGGATGATTCAGGTTTTCTGTTGCATTTTAAAAATCAACACTATTCCTCACCAAATTATTTCATCATTGCAATCTGTAAACAGGTCTTTCTGGGGCACAGTGGAGGTCTTGATACTGATGGAAATGAGCTACCCCGACTGGTTTATGTTTCGCGTGAGAAACGACCAGGATTCCAACATCACAAAAAAGCTGGAGCTATGAATGCCTTGGTAAGCAATTGAAGATCCTCATAGCGGTTGTATCATAAAGATTTCTGAGTTAGTGGTTCAGTGTTGCTGGAGGAGGAGCAACTTCAAAAATAAAGAGTGAAGTTGATACTCTACCGTTTATTCCCTTTATATGCTCCTTTACATTTGAATCCTTTTTTCTATACCTTGGACAGTGTTTTGACTTTGGATTATTAATTAATCTTTGTGTGAATACACACCTTTGTAATTGACAAATCTCATTATGATGACATAGCTTGTACTCTCGGTGTGCTACAGATTCGTGTGTCTGCTGTCCTCACAAATGGAGCCTATATATTGAATCTTGATTGCGATCACTACTTCAACAACAGTAAAGCTCTTAAGGAAGCAATGTGCTTTATGATGGATACTGTCATCGGGAAAAAGATATGCTATGTGCAGTTCCCTCAGCGTTTTGATGGCATTGATTTGCACGATAGATATGCTAACCGAAATATTGTCTTTTTTGATGTAAGTCAATCAAAGTTTCATATATATATATACATATATATATTGGTATGGATTTTGCCTCTGGGAAGCAAGCATGCATGCATTATCAGCACTGAATGCATCTATCTTGCCGCAGATTAACCTAAAAGGGTTGGATGGCCTTCAAGGACCTGTTTATGTGGGAACTGGTTGTTGCTTCAATAGGCAAGCTCTCTATGGGTATGATCCTCTCCTAACAGAAGAAGATCTGCAGCCAAACATGATTAGTAAAAGTTGCTGTGGTACAAGGAAGAAGGGGAGAAGTGCCAATAAGAAATACACCGATAAGAAGAAAGCAGCGAGATCAACTACACCCATCTTTAACGCGGAGGGAACTGAAGAGGGTGTGGAAGGTATTGTTTTTGTCATACGCCAGTTACATGGTAGTTTTATCCGCTGCTGCTTTGAAAATTCCGACCTGTTCTTGCCTCTAGCTCTCCGAGAGAAAACTTGCTCTTGCATTCTTCATAGCTCTCTTTTCTATATCAAATTCTGCTGGTTTGGCTGTTGTCATGACTCATACAATGCAATTGCATACTCGCATGGTTCACGACAGGATATGATGAAGATCAGGAGGCGCTTCTTATGTCTCAGAAGAGCTTGGAAAAGCGCTTTGGTCAATCTCCGGTCTTCATTGCAGCCACTTTCATGGAGATGGGAGGCATCCCACCATCAACAAATCCCGCTACGCTCCTGAAAGAAGCAATCCACGTTATCAGCTGTGGGTACGAGGATAAAACGGATTGGGGCAAAGAGGTACATTTGAACTTCTCACTCGTATTATGCAATTAGTTAGAGCTGCGAATCTTCATTATCTGTGTGCTGTTTCTTTGGTCCAGATTGGGTGGATCTACGGCTCTGTCACCGAAGACATTCTAACGGGATTCAAGATGCATGCACGGGGGTGGATTTCCATCTACTGCGTGCCTCCGCGTCCAGCGTTCAAGGGATCTGCCCCTATTAACCTTTCAGATCGTTTGAACCAGGTCCTTAGGTGGGCCCTGGGATCCATCGAAATCCTTCTTAGCAGGCACTGCCCTATTTGGTATGGCTACAATGGCAGGCTACAGCTCCTGCAGAGGATTGCATATATCAACACCATCGTTTATCCGCTCACCTCTATCCCGTTGCTGGCGTACTGTATCCTTCCTGCCGTCTGTCTTCTCACCAACAAATTCATCATTCCGGAGGTACATGCGAAGCTGCTAGCTAACATCTATAGCATACAAAATTCTACTGACTGCTAGTCACAAGCAATCTTCTCTTTATCTTCTTGCAGATAAGCAACTTTGCGAGCATGTGGTTCATCCTTCTGTTCATATCCATTTTTGCAACGGGGATACTGGAAATGAGGTGGAGTGGCGTGAGTGTGGAGGACTGGTGGAGGAACGAGCAGTTCTGGGTCATCGGGGGGACATCCGCGCATCTCTTTGCTGTATTCCAAGGCCTCTTGAAAGTGCTGGCCGGGATCAACACCAATTTCACAGTGACATCGAAGGCGTCCGACGACGATGGAGAGTATGCGGAGCTCTATGTGTTCAAGTGGACATCCCTCCTCATTCCCCCGACCACCGTGCTCATGGTGAACGTGGTGGGGATTGTAGCTGGCGTTTCACACGCGGTCAACAGCGGGTATCAGTCTTGGGGCCCTCTATTCGGGAAGCTGTTCTTTGCGATCTGGGTTATAGTCCATCTCTACCCCTTCCTCAAGGGTCTGCTGGGGCGGCAGAACCGCACCCCCACAATTGTCATTGTCTGGTCCATCTTGCTCGCTTCCCTCTTCTCCCTGCTTTGGGTTCGGATTGACCCCTTCATGGCGGCGGGTGCTACAAAGAAGAAGGCAGCTTCAGGAGGGCGGTGTGGCATTATTGACTGCTGAGTTCTCTATTTGGCTCAGGCTCAGGTTCAGGCAGCCTCTTCCACTCCGTGTCTGCACCCGCAACACAGACCCTGCTGCATGCATACCTTGGGCCATGTCCCTTAGAGATATATACATATATACACACATTAACATATATATATATATATATATATGGTGTAGTGTAGGTTGGGTTTGTAGTTACCATGGAGACTGATGGATTCTGTGGATGTGCTTGTAATATACTACTATACATTGATGTTGAACTTGAACCACCATTTACTGTGTCTTTCTGCCTCTGGCTGCGTGTCTTGTGTCTTGAATGAGGAGGGGGCATCCATCCATCCATCCACCCACCCTTTGCTTTGCTTTGAGGATACAGACAGGACTGGACAGGACTGTTGGTTGTTGTTCTCATTCATTCTCAGTCTCTGGGTGGCTGCCGTCTCGTCTCATCGTCGTCCACCAACACGCTTGCTTGCTTCGTAACACATGAAAGATAATGAAGCAGCAATAGGCAGCAGTTTCAGTTGTTCTGCAATAATCTCTCTCTCTCTATATGTGCGTGTACGCAGAGACGACTACGCAAGTAAATTAATTAAATTAAATAACAGAGAGACGAAAGGTAAGACCACGATCAGAGTCATACACATCCTGAAATATATAAATATATGTATATATGACATGTTCCTGCCTTTGCATTGCCGCAGCGTTGTCTATACTCCACAAATCGCTGCTTCAAACTGCATCATTTCCAAGAATGTCATAGTGATGATCAACACCAGAACTTGCACAAGCGCACATGCACCCTTCCCCTTCCGACTGATTTTCTCATCCACAAACCTGCTCATTGCAATCGACCTTCCATTCTGATCTGAGGTGGTATAATACTCTTTCTTAACATCCAACGCTTTTGGATGCCTTCATCTTGCCTTTTTCCTGGAAACAAGGATGAAGCCGATAAACCGCCTCGATGTACAACGGTGTTTGCATTTCAATCAAGCGCGAAACCTGCACATACAATACTCTTCTTTAGATTGAAAATTTCACACAACAAGGGGTGGTAACACTGCAACCAACTATTTTTTAGGGGAAAAAAAAAAAAAAAGGAAAAGAACTTGCAATAATTAAACAACTTTTTATTGTGCATTTCAAATCAACAAGATTAACTGGTTTCCATACACATCTGGTGCCCTCTTATGAAGCTGATGCGTGGCGTGAGGAGCACTCATCTTTCTATATATACAAGTAATCTCAACTCACAAGTGTAGAGAAACATACTTATAAACAATGAAAAGCAAATAATTCTTTTCTACGCCTGTTTCAATATCAAATATTTAACTAACAATCCGATCAAAAATAAAAAATAAAAAATTAACTAACAGTCTAAATGTATTTCATGCTGCAGGTAAGGATGGTTAATCCAAGAAGTGGAAATATTTGCTTGAGTAGAGTAAGAACAACTTTTCTTTTTCCTTTTATCACTTTTTAGTCATACATATACCCCCGTGACCAAATGAATTTAACATCTACTTTATTAGAACCAACTATGTCAACAGCCATATAAACAGTTAATGATTAGACATAAAAAGTACAGGCATAATGTGAAAGTGTATCAATGCAATTTAGCTGTACTTTCTTGCCTGATAAGGGAGATTCCAGGTAATCTATTTATATTGGTATTAGATGTTTCCAATAGCTATGTCATATTTTTGTAAGAGGAATAAAGACTAGAGTTACATCAAGAATGTGAGGAAATGATTGTGGTGGAGTGGAATAAGTAAAAAATCTCACAGCTCTTCGAAATGCAGACATCTCCTCTCGCCCAGAATGCAGGGAAATAATTTCTTTGGTTGTTCCTCTTGACCTCACATTGCCTTCTGCCAAAACATCTCGCCTGAGCTTAGTGTTCTCTGTTTCAGTTTCAAACTGGAAGCTGGAAAAGAACCAAGGCTATCAGTTCTTATCTATGTTCCCAGAAGAACACAAACAGATTGGTTCATGGATGATGGACGGAAAAACACTATTTAACATTTCATTCTGTATTATTATAAGGAAGGACTAAGGTGTGAATTGTGAACGACATTTTCAAGACAGGAAAAAACTGCAAGTGGAAAATATTTTGTGTAGGGAACTACCACAGTAAGTGAACATGTGAGTAAACAAAGATTATGAATTTATGATAGCCCAAACAGTTGAACATGAAAACTAATACCATATTATCAAAGACTCAGGATGCAAGAAGTTACATCTTGCATTACCTCTCTAGATCAAATAAAGTTCCCTCGTCAGTTCCTTGAAATAGATCATCAATAGAAGTAGCAGCAGCACAATACAGTTGGCAATGATGGTTGTACAATTCATCAACTAGAGTGATAAATCTCCTAGCCTGACAAAGAAGAAAAGGCATTGTCCATGACAACAAATGGGGAAAGTACAGCAAAGCAGGACAAATGCATCAAAAAGCTAATATGCTAACTCAGTAGCTATTTATTTCTTCTCTTCCTCTCTTCTACATAGATAGTCTATAAATACATGTGTGATGTATAGTAAACCATCAAGAATCAGTAACAACAAATTAACATTCTTCTCTTCCTCAGTTCCTTTCCTATTTTGGCAACAAGTAAAAACCAATCGAGTCACACATGGATCCTAATGCTAAATTTCTTCCAAACTAAGGGGAGTCTCTAGTAATTCCTGAAAGCATAGGTTAGCAGGTGAGCCAAGTTATCTTACCCTTGTCCAGACATCTAACTAGATAGCAAACACAATTACTTCTCAGTATTTAAAGTTAAAATCTGATAAATTCCATCCTAACTATCCTATATAATATACCACGTCAGATAATATGTACCAAAGGGAAGCTTAGGGAAAATATGAAACTAAATGTTATGATAAGACAAGGTCGAATGCAAAAATCTGTATAGGCAAAATTGGGTATAGAATGTAGATTAGTTAATAACAGCATAAAAATTTTAAGTGAGAAGAAACAGAGCACGTGAAGCAACACATGTTTTGCATGTGAGATAAAGATCATCTTGGAATGAAACAAGAAAAAATGGTAGGAATAGGACAGGTGAAGTAAGGCTGCTATGGAATCCATTAAGTGCATTGGTATTTGGTCGCTGATACATAGTATTGTTAACACTAAACAGTTCGTGATGCTTGATGCAGGGAAATCCTGTCATGAGCATATGATTACATCTAAGCATAGAAATGAATTGGCAATGTTGAATCCAGTAAACTATAAAAAAATATGGCAAAGGAAAAAAAAGAGCTGTAGCACTTGTTATCATTCTCCTCTACTATCGAAGTTTGTGAAGGTGTAAGGTAAGCAAAAAATATTACCTTGTCCCTGATACGCATACTCATAACAGGAATATCAGATATGAAGACTGTGTGATAAGCTTTAGCAATGGCAATATAATCAGCTGCCCCAACCTGTAAGCTTAATATGAGATACCAAAAGAAATAACGCATTGCCTATAATAAATGAGACTGCAAAGATAAGAAGGAAATTGTACTTAAACTAAAGTATCAGCAAAACACAAGATACTCTCAAACAAAGAACTTACCAAGGAATTCCACATTTAGATAGTTACTTTATACTTCAATTCACCTTGAGAAAATGGATGCCCATGGCTAAAACTCCTTAATAGATGACCTTGCTCAAGCCATTTTCAACTTATTTGATACCTCTGCTAAATTTATACTAATTCAATCCATGGTTTCATGTTCCAGAAGTTTGTCACCCAAGAAATTGGAAACTATCATATATAGAATAAGGAAAGCACTGTACTATACCTTCAAGGGATTCAGTATTAGAATTTTCAAATGAACACAGAGGTGAAACTTAATTTTAAAAATAAAAAATACACTGAATAAAAATTTATGCAAAGGAAAGGACAGGACATACTGGTTGACCACAGAGAAATTCAAATGTGAAACGTGCCACCCCGCTGCAGCTCTCAAACACTTCCAATGTTCTGATAAAGTGAGAATGCATGTATCACAATCAAAGTCAAAGCATATAACAGAGTTCCAATTAGATAAGTACCTTCCAAACATCACTGATAGAGTTTGAGAAGTAACCTTCCCTCCTTGCTCGCTCACGATTGTGTTCCATGCATTTTCAAATTCCTTTACTCTGGTGCTTTCTAATGGCCAAAAGTAATGAGTCTGAAAATGCAGAAAGGGGTTTGATATTACAAAATATTACAAAGAAGTACACCATAAACAATGTATACGACTTTGGGAATTATGTATCAGAGCATAGTATGAACAAGGAGTAAAGGCTAAAAGTTAAGCAAATGGGTTTTCTGTGCAAGTCAAGAAACCCATCAAGATAATGGTAAAATGCATAATTGCAGTTACAACACTGAAATATCAGCAGTCAACAAGGGAAATAAAGACTGCTGAGATTATATATTTATATATTGTAACAAAGACAGTAACTAGAGCAACCAGGTGAGAATAATGATTTGCATTATCGGATTCTTGTACATTGCACAGTCTCTGCTTTGATGAAATAAGGAGTTTAGAAATGAGTGGGTGGTCAACTCCATTTTTAAAAAGTGTCTGCTAGTCAAAAGTCACCCAAAGTGAGTAATCAAATTTCAGACAATACAAAAAGGACAGATGCAGATCCTTGTCAACTACAATAAGTAGTGTTATAACCAAATAATGTTCTATGGTCTTGCCTGATCAACTGAATTTGTAGCTGTGTGACGACGGTAATCAATTTCACTTCCAATCAGAATTGTTTTGCAGTGCTTTTCCATACTAGCCACAAGCTCTTGAAATATCTCCTTTTGCATGCCATCCTGTATAAGGTGAAGGAAATAATGTTAAACTCCAAATAAAAAATCGCGTAATGACAAGCAGTTTCTGGAAGAAGGTACTTCTCGTGCGGAATGACTTGCAAGTTACCTGATTCAAATCCCTTGGTGCACGATTACTGGTAGCCACAAGAACTGTTCCTGTACTCAATAATCTGCTTATAATTCCAGATAAGGCAACAATAGCAAAAACATCAACTGTCTGTGGAGAAAAAGAAATAATAAGAATAAGAAAAAAGATATCATTGTGGGAACTTGTTAGAAATATAATATGACACTATAAATAGTCTAACCTGTATTTCATCAAAGCACAGAATACCAGCTCCTCTTTGATGCTCATCCCCTTGTCCGTCAACCAAATATTTATCAGCAACTGCTAGAAGAATATTTTTCATCTGCATCTCTTGCTTGTATTTTTCTTCTTCTACTAGCCATTCCTTGATTGTTGTATCAAATGGAAGATTCATAACCCAGTCAGATATGCTAGATTGGAAAGGTTTCTCCATTGCTTCTCTCTTCGATGTTTTATGCATGAGACTATGAATTTGAAGCATAGCCTGTGTATTCGCACAACTATGGATTAAGGATATGTAGATTTTGGAAAGACAGTGTAGACAACCTAAATGACCAATAACTGACCCCCAAGTAGGGGATCATAACAAAAGTTTTGGTAACAACATGTGCTTCAAATCCACTTTTCATAAGTGCATTACATGATATTATAGTGTGTATTACCGGCATATCTGTAGTGTATTTTGGGCGATTAAGTAACAAGCCCATAGTGTAAGAGATTTGGGTCGAAGGTGAATTCTATCATCAATCATCACAAATGGCTGGAAGAATAAAGATTGCTTTGTTTATTTTTTTCTTGTAATAGAATTCTGCTGAACTTTTGGATAAATAAGTTGGCTAAGCATCGAGAGGTAGCACAAAGAGAGGGGTGAGTGAAATGATTTATACAGATTTATTAGCTAACTAGTTAGCAACATGGCTAGCCTGGGGAACTAAAGTTGCTGGAATAATTAGGTGTGTTTGTTTGGGGGATCTTCCCCAAACTTTACTATTCATTCAATTTTTTTTTCCAAAAAATATTAAATTAAACATTTATTTTTCATTTTTAATATTATACTAAAAATCAATTTGACATTGAAAACATCGCATCAACACCTATTTATATCACATCATATAACTATTCACATTCAATATTTTTACTATTCAAATCTCAATCCAAAATCCAAACCCCCCAAACAAATTTTATACCTCATAATAAAAGTTAGATCTGAGAGGAACAATGAACAAGTGTATTGTTACAACCTATTTTAAAGCCAAACATAGTCTATGTTTACTTATATCATTAATTTTGTTTTTGCACTATTTATTAAAATTGTCTCTTTAGCTTAGGCTTTCTTTTGCGTGTTGGGGTAAAATAGCAGTTGGATGTGACATTTTGAATGGAAAATAGGTGTTGGATGAAATATTTTTTAAGAAAAAATAAGAGATCAAATAGTAAGAACGAGAAAAAACATAAAGGGTGGGCTTGGTTGGGGGTTTGGATTTTGAACAGTAAAGTATTTTAGTTTCAATAATTATTTGATGTAATATAAATAGATGTTACATTGTGTTGAATATAACTTAATTTTTAATATAATATAAAAATAAAAAAGAGGTGTTTGACTTGATATTTTTTAGAGAGAAATTTTAAGAATAGGAAGAATTTTCCCAAACTGCTAAACCAAGTAAACAACCCCATATTTTTTAGTTAAAATATTGTATCACAAATTTATTTTATATGCTAAACATCACATCCAACACTTATAGTTCATTCAATTTTTTTATTTTTACCAAAACAATCTAAATTACCGAAACACTTCAAAAACATAACAAACCCCTATGGTGGTGTGTTCACTCGGTCACTTTTTTTCATTTTTTCTACCATTCAGCTCTAGTAATTTCTTATAGAAATATATTATTTTCTCTCACAAAACATCGTGTTCAAACCACTACTTGAATAAAAAATCAAAATAAAAAATAAAATAAAACAAAGTGTATCACCAACTAAACACACCCTTGGTTTCTAGGTCGCGAAAGCCACTAGAAAATGAGTGACACTATAGAAAAGAAGTACTAAGGCTTTATTTACATATGTTTTCAACTCTATTTTGGCTATTCATAAAAAATTTCTTCTCCAAAATATATAACATCCAGACAAATTTTTTATTAAAAGTATTATATAAAAATTGAATTTTATATGAAACATTACATCCAACGTCTATTTACATCCCCATGAAATACCAATTTATACACCCAAATTTTTAATTATTCCCAAAACTCTATAAAACTCCTAAAAACCTACAAAACATATCTAAACACACCCTTAAATCCCGAATGTCAACTTATACATGCTTGTAACCCTAGGAAATCACCACCTTTTCATTATAGTTGGATTGTGCTTTTACATAGCTAGCCACTTCAGTTTGCTACCATCACATTATTTACAACCCTGTTCTCAACCCTTCAAAGTTTCACTAGTTCAATTCAAACCGCTATCCAAGAATGTCTGCCAACCTCGCATCAAAGTATCAACATCACATTCCATGTATTACAATACTGGAGAATATAACTCAATTGTTCCATGTTCTGCCCAATGAATATCTAACTGTGAATTAGAGACTCAGGCGAACTTCCAATTAAATCAAAGGCTAGAAAGTTCTGATCGCCTTGCTTACCAATTTATCCCTTTCATACTTATAATTTAAGTCATTTCAACTGGAATTGAACTCCTAGATAATAATTGAAAAGTGATTATTAGTATAGCCATACGAGATGACAACCATACTTTGCTAACATACAAATAATTGCCTAAATGAAAACACACTACTTGAGTTTGGTAAAATATGTTGCAACAACGAAATCTAAAATGCATGGACTAATTAATGCAAAGTATAATTTATCTTGTGCAGGAAAGGACAAAAGCTTGATGCTCTTTAACTTATAGGATGAAATAAGGCACTCCAGCCAAGCCTAGTATAACAATCCCATGGCAAAGAAAAGACCTAAAGATAATAATTTCGACAGACAAGTAAGGCACGAAGAGGTGAACATAAGGTTTAGGCTTGAGGCTGAGGAGCAAAAAGAGGAATCCGCCCGAGCCTTTCCCGCAGGAACATCCACAATAGATCCAGTGCGCTTGACAATCAATATAATTATTTATGAATAAAAGCATACACATGAGCATAAATGGGAGCAAAGCACTTGCCTCATGAAAGTGAAGCCTCTTTCGATGTTTAACAATTCCTTCTGTGGCAGTGTAGAACATATCCATGAGCATTGTCTTCCCTACATAATGCACAACAACTTAGGCACACAAAATAAATTTGCAAGAAAGTAGAGAAAATTGCAGAAATATTTGCAACATAAAACTTCTTCAATGTTGTAGTGACATAATCAAGAAACTTATGAAGGTGTGTTGAATATGTTCCACATTGGAAAAGATGTTGGGGATCCTTTGGCTTATAAAGGCGAAGGACTACTCCACTTAATACCAATTGGTTTTAAGTTGGAAATAGGTATCAAAGCCATCGTGCCCGATTGGGTACTAATCCTAGTTAGAATTTCGAGATGATGATATCATCTCAAGGGGGGAGTGTCCCACGTTGGAAAAAATGTTGGGACTCCCTTGGCTTATAAGGGTGAATGATTACTCCACTTAATGCCAATTGGTTTTAAGTTGGAACCCCAGATTCCTTCTTAACAAAAGGCAAGTAAGAGTTAGCAGCAAAACCACTTCCAACATTTCCATAAATGTATAAGCCTTTTGGGGCTGGAGGAGCTTTGGGTCGCAGGCCAACGGATGAATCTAGCTTCTTTTCTCTGTTTAGGTATGAAACCCATTTCCCGACGCCTGGTTCAATATTGTCAGGATTTCTGCATAATCATAACAAAGTTCACCATTTAAGGATAAGAAGGAATCAAAGTGTTCCAAGTGAATGCGATAAATAAAAATAGAGCTGTGGAATTTATTCACATACATACAGCATATTTTTTGTATGGCACAGAGAATCTAGATGAATGATAGGAGAAACCAAGATTAAACAATACAAGCATTTGATGATGGGAAATTTAATTTCTCAAACACTTAATGAGAAACAGACCTGTAATTTAAGAACTTGCAGCCTACATATTCATTCTTTGGCTAAACCATTTGGTAAATTGCAAGTAAGTATTTTCTCTGCATTCTTTTTCATGTCAATTGATGTGATCTCCATGATGTCACAAGTCACAACACACAAATTAAGAGCCATAAGAATTTTGATAGATTGGTGCATAGGTATACTCACTAGTAAGATATTTGATGGAACAGAGTTAATATTCCTACTGAGCAAAAGCTTCAGCTTGATGACATGCACAAGGGCATGTAGTAGATAGTCAAAACAGAATAACAATAAAACTAAAAGACTGGCAAAATTCAATGAAATCCTCACCGCAAAATCCACTTCTGAAAAAAACTTTGACGCTTCTTTACAGCTATTAATCCACCTCCCTCCTGTTTTGTCTTAGCCTCCTCCATTAAAAGCCTACGTCTCTCATTTTCCCTGCTTTCTTCCCATTTGGAAAGTTTTTCCTACAACATGAAAAATTAATACAGGTATGAGAAGGCATAAGCAAGAATAATACAGAAAATGAAAAGCAGAACCTAAAATATAGAACCCACATGGTAGTCCTTCATATCTTTCTCATATTGGTCAAGCCTACCAAGCAAACTATCAAGTTCCGAAGCCACTTCTTCTTGGAAAGGATCATGCTTCAACTTCCCGAGATTGATGAGATTTTTATAATGATCAAGCAGACCTAAAGGAGATTGAGAAAAACACACACAAAGTAAAAAAGTCTATGGATTGTTCAAGAAACTGACCACCTAAATAATTCAGGCATGTAGTTAGACACCACCTTTTGGGTTGGTCCACAATTATTTCGCTATTCAATGAGAGATATTAGTCCATTAATCATATTATAATTTCGTAACACACTCCCCTTAAATCTGCTACTTAACCTCCTTTCTTAACGGGTAGTGATAATAACTCAAATTCAGGACCTTCCCTACACAATTGTCAATGGGACCTTCCCCCCACTCTAATACTACATACAAAACATCACAGTTGTGATTATACAATAAACCATATATGATAGGGTGTAACTAACTCTCTTTCAAAAAGCTTTATCTTGTAACATGTCCTCAATCAAAATTTAAAATTTATCAACAATGATAAAGCCATATGAATGCTGCTTCAAAGCCCTAAGTACGTCAGTAACCTATCCTTTCACCGAATGACAAACTTAACTTCCCCTATGTTTTGAGGAATGAAGCAAATAAAATATTCTGTTCCAAAATTCCCCTCTTCTTTCCACCTGTATATCAAACCTGCTGCTTGCCACAATGATTCAGATATCTTGTATCAAGGAACCAAGTTCAATCTAGATATACATACACAAGAAGATAAGTCTTCTTTATAAAAAAAGCAACTCGATCATGCTACTTCAGCATTGCAGCGTTAACCAATATGAAAAAATGTGTTCTTTGTCACTTATAACTATCTCCACGTTGTTTGACAAGTATTCAACATTTTACTCACAGTTATCATAACCATCAATTAACATGAGGAAATTCAACAACAAACCAAATAACACACCGCGGTAATCTTAACTCATTTTCAGTTACGATACAGCCTATTGTCTTGTAGACCAGGTGATTTCGTTCCTTCAAAATATATGAGAAATAAAAGAATTTTCAAGAGAAAAAAAAAAAAAAAAAAATTGCACAATGCCAGGGCATAAGACTAGATACACGCGATGATGCGCCTAAGGACATCCAATACTGTACGACTAGAAACAAACACAAATATCAACCAAGAAACTAAACACGAGAAGAAAGAACAAAACCCAAACAAAGACCATCCAGGTGACTCCAAACAAGGAAAGCATTTCAAGAAACAACACTCTAACATAACTATGTGGGCCGTAATCTTATATAGTCATCAACGTACCAGGAGACCTGGAGAGAGAAGAATGCGGGCGATCGTATTGGAGCCCGAAATGGGTGATACGGTGTTTGAAGCGAAGGTCGGCGAATCTAGAGAAAAGAGCAGGCACAGGATTCTTCATGATTGATTTTTTTTTTTTTTTTTTTTTTGTTGAGCTCGAGGAAGGGGGTTCTGGCACTGGTGGGTTGTAGTAATAAATAACAATCAATAATAATGTGGGGAGCCATTTATATCGACGTTTTAATGCTTACAAGTACTTACGTGGGACTATGGGAGGTAGTGGCGTGGTCACCGCTCTGCCACCGGCTCGAGAAAGTAGTTATTTCATTCATACAAGCAAGGACGACGACTACTGATGACTTGGCTGGCGTGCGTTAGCGCCGGAAAAAACCCTACCCCAATCAGGCACCCTATCTATCCGGCCAGCCACGTGCGCCCTCAACGGGTTTAGGGTTTGGAGGAGATTGAGAAATGTTGTTTCATGGAACGGACCTTGGTGACGGCAGCAGGCAAGGCAAGGGATTGATATAGTCTGCGACGGGCATCGACACCGTCAACAAAATTTAAAGACAAGCAAACACGCTGTCAATCATGCCATTGCCGCCACATCAAATGCAACAACTCAACTCAACACAACACAAGACGCGAACAGGAGAGGAGCGGCCCGCACAGCTGATGAGCAAACTACGATCATTCTTCTTCTCCTTCTTATTCTTGTTCTTCTTTTGAAGATGGATCGATGTATGTATGTATGGGTCGTGAATTAATTGAATGGGTAAATAGCTTCCGTGAACCCTCAAAACGCAATACGTCGACTATCAAAAGGATTATACCACCATGAATCAATGCCCCCACCGCAGAAGCAGCAGCAGCAGCAGCTGTGACGGGAATGATGACCTTATTATATACGGAGTGCTACTCAACTACTATAATTCGCTAGCCAAAAAATCAAGATCGGGGGTGAAGAGGAGAGACAGGGAAGCCGTGGGATTGGTTGATTGATTAGTCACAATGATCATAAGAGCATTATATATCAAATAGCCCCTGGAGCTGGAGCGAGCTGCTAATGAATGCGCCTAGTTAATTACGTTGTGTTGTTCAACATCTCTATTTAATTGAACAATGACACCAAGATAAAATTAATTAAGGGCAAGGCCGTTCCACCAGAAACACACCAGCAGCAGGATGATGAGGATGGATCTCGTCTCTTTCGTCCCCTTATTCCAATAAATATATAGTACTTTATAAATCTTTCTTCTTTTCTTTTCTTTTAATTTGGTTTCATTGAAAGTAGCTAGCTTTTAATTAAGACTGAGCGTCGCCCCTCTTCCCCTTTCCATAAGAATCTCTGTTATTCATTTCCTGTCGTCCAACAGCAGCCGCCGCCTCCCCGACTCCGACTCCGCATCATCATCGTCATCATCACCATCACCACCACCACCATCCGCGGCATGTTCCTTCTTCTCCTCCGCCTCCGCTATCTTCCTCAATGCCTGCAACTTGGAGTGGTTGTAGTACGCAACCCCCAGGAAGGCCAAACCATACCCGAGCAGATTCAACGGCGTCACCGTATCTTTGATCACCGACCAAGAGAAGGCAATCAGCAGCCAATCCTTGACGACCCCGGCCACATTCATCGTCAAAGCTGACGTCTTCCCCACCAGCAGGAACACGGCCAAGTTCAGCGCGAACGCGCACAAGGAATTCGTCCCAAACACCACCAAATCGAAACGGAGCCCCGAGGCGGAGACGCGCTGCCTCAGCACCGGATACTCCACGATGGCCCAAGGGATCGCAAGGAAGGCCAAACAGCTCGGAGCCACGTAGTAGAGGGAGGTGACGGGGTTCAGACTGATCCCTTTCGAAGTCAACAGGATCTGGATCATGACCAGCCTCGTGGCCTCGAACAGGACGGCCCCCAGCTGGAGGAACACGCCCCACGAGTCATACCTGGCCTCGCCGTAAGCAGCGACCGCCACGCCCAGGGAAATGGCAAGCATGTTGGACATGGTGCTGGCCCTGTAGCCGTCTTTCCGGAGCAGGATCCCGATGGAATAGACGGCGACGGCATGAGCGCTTTGAGCATCTGGATGAAGGAGACGGAGAGGTAGATGTAGGCGGAGTTGGAGAGCCAGAGGGAGAGGGAGTAGAGGGCGCCTATGGGGACGACAGAGGAGAGGTAGGCGCGGGGGCTGAGGGAGGCGGGCTCGACGAGCTTGAGGAGTCGGACGGCGGCGAAGGCGAGGGAGGAGCAGAAGGACATGTGGATCATGGTGAGGGAGATGGGGAAGGGCCAGTCGTAGAGCTTCTTGTCGAGGATGTACTTGTTGTACAAAATGACGGAGAAGGAAAGAAGGATCCAAATGGAGACGTAGGCGTAGGACAGGGCAACGTTCTTGACCACCCCGTCGGAGAGGGAGAGGGAGAGAGCGCCGCCCTTGCCCATGGTGGCGGTAATTAGGGAAAGTGGGAGCCAACCAATTGCCAAGACGTGGATTTCACTTTCTTCTTCTTCTTGTCGTCGTTGTTTATAAGAGAGAGAGAGAGAGAGAGAGTCAGCTCATAAGAGATGGGAAAGGAAAGAGAATCAAACGTAGAAGATGTTGCTGTCCTGTTGCCCATTGTCGCTACTCTGCGTAACTCACTATTATTTGATTATTTTCGTTTTCTTTGACATAATAAGAGGGTGTACAGTAAGTACATCTACTACTTTTATGTGTGTATATAATACATAGGTATGGTGGGATTAAAGAAAAGTTAATGTGCAACCAGTAGAAGTCAACTGGTTGACTTTTATTATTGTGTATATGTTTTAAATATCTATATGTAGGTGTATATATCTATTTATTTATGTATCTTCGCCTAATACATTAAAATATTATAATCTTAAGACATTTCAAGGAATTACTGAGTAGATTAAGCATTAATATATATTTGTATATATTTTGTGTGTTTTAAATAAATTATCTCGGACGAGTAGCTTTGTATATGGTATGATTTATTTATTTTTTTAATAAAGTTTTTATAGGTGTGTTTAACATATTTTAAATTTGAATTTTCATATAAAAAATAAATGATGAAGGCAACAATTGTACAAATAAATTTACCCTAAATTTACTTTATATTGTTCAAAAACTTATAGTGAAAAGATTTGTATTATTACATTCTAAAACCAATAAAAAGTATATAATCATGTACTTATGATTTACATTCCAAAATCAATTTGTAGAGCATGATTATTATGTCGGAATAATATTATGTCAATTTATCATATATATATATATATACTATAGTCTCTATGTCCAGGAATAATTTAAATTAAAGAATAGGTAAATAAATATATATATATATTATAGAAAAAATAGAAAAAATAATAATAATAATAATAACAAATTTAAGTACTATTTTCGTCCAATTTAAAATAAACATTTATTTTTTTAAAAATAAAAATTAAAAAAATAATATTTTAATTATATTAGGTATCTTAAATTCACATTCCAAAGCTAATGTCAAGAAGTCAAGACTACCTTGATCGGGACCTATGAACATAGCATTGGCAGCTGACCACTAACAGACCAGCAAAGATCATAATAAACCCTAGCGTTCAACTAGCAACTTAAACAAACATTATTTTATTACATGCTCGAATACCTTGTTAACTCCGCAGTGGTGGCAATGAGAACATGTTCACCGTAGAACTCCCGCTCCTCATTTCTTTCAGGGTTTGCAAGGCTGATATTGTCAACTTCAAATACATGTTCTCCATGGATTTGATTTCTGCAAGCTCCTCAGGTACCCTGAGTTTTTCCACCTCCACCTCGCTCACCCTCTGCTTAGCACTTGCAGCAGCACCTTCTGAGATAACCAGCTGCTGCTCTTGTCGAGAGAAGATGCAATGAATCATTCCTTCACACTCTTTCACTAGCTTATTTATAACTTCAGTCCTAAAGAATGGCTCCTGCAGGACCTTTTGGATGAACGGCAATTGGATCAGATTGCCACTTCTCTTATCATACTTCTTCAGAATCTTCACCAATCCTATTCCAAGCAATCAAATTAAATGGTTAAGTGCCTTCACCACCAAAGGATCAAATAGCATCGACAACATTAACAACTATGTATGATCATGATAAATGCACTTCAAAACTATTCCCACACTCAACCGAAAAAACCAAAACAAAAAGAAAATCATATTTTCCACTTCCATTTACAGAAAATCATTTGACAACTTTCTACTTTACTTATTTGTCAGCTCTCTGTATAATGGTAGATCATGTAAACCCCTAACATATACCAGCAAACCATCTATCACACCATAATTGTTGGAGCATTGCCTCTGGAACTGTTATTAGTTTCCTGCAAATTCATCTTGGTAAAACAAGTGTCTAGACATTTGTGGGACAAGGAAAATAACTATGGTCGGCGGTATCTCAAATTCTTTCCCAATTTGCGCAACTTATGGTCTTGTGGGTATTAGAGTCCAAAATCTACCTATGAGGCTATGACAATACTAACAGCAACCAATATACAGCTTTCGTCAAGCATAAAGCTGTTTTGATTTGATTGCAGACAAAATATAGCCACAGCCTGCAACCCCTCAATATTGTTTGAATGTGTGCGAGCTTCAGCAACTTTCTCAATTATTTACATACTAAATTTGATTTGTACTTAAATATGCTTTATGCAGTCAACGATAAATCTTCCTCTTCTCTTGCTTACATTCTTTACTCCTAAAAGTAAAACTAACAAATTGTTATCAGAGCATTTCTTCTTTAGGGGCTTGGGAGTGAGCCAAGTGAAACCTAACTCAAGCCTTATTGTTCACAATTATATCCACCAAATGGATTCTGAAACACCTTTCACAACACTAGCACCACTAGTGTTTAAGGGTGAAAGTTATTGCCTTGTGCTGCAAGAGTGGAAGCTTACCTAGAGGTGAAAGATCTTGAAATACTGTTGAGGAAATAATGAAGTCAACCCCTTACCAAAAAATTCAACCATCACTCAAGTGAAGAATCATACAACATGGAAAGCAAGAAAGTCAAAGGTAAAAGCTACCTTGTTTGCTGCTGTTGTTTCACAAGAGATCTTACAAGAATCATGAGCCAAAAGTCTAACATTTGATGTTTGGACTTTGGAATTTCCTCAAAGTGGATTAGGAAGGAGATGAAAAGGTTAAAGGAATGTAAGTGCTGATTCTGATTTGTGACTTTGGGATGAAGTAAAGGAGTTAACAACAATTAAGAGTATTCCTAACAAAATAAGGCTCCTCACTTCTGAATTTTTGATTAATTGTAAAGAAAATACTTGTAATTATTCCTGAAAGATTTTATGCTACCATATCCTCCATGAAGAGCAGCAAAGATCGGTCAAATTACTTAGGCAGAACTAACGAGTGCTTTACAAGCTCAACAACAAAGGAGACGAATGAGAAGTGAGGGTCCATAGAAGGAGCATTGCAGGATAAGTTACAAAGCAGTCAAGGAGGAAAGACAGGACAAACAGTTATCAGAAAAACTTCAACCCGCGTGATACATTAGCAGCTGCAAAGGAGAAAAGACGAAACAATTTCCTCCATGCAGACATTGTGGTAAAATAGGTCATCCTCCTTACAAATTGTGGAAAGACCTGACGTGCTGTGTTTGTAGTGCAACACACTCAGCACCATGAAAGAACCTGTAACAGCAACTTTCAACAGAAAGATCATGCCAATTGCAAGTAAGCAATAGCAGAAACTGCTTACAGCATCCTATTTTAAAAAGCAGCTTAAGCAATCGTTGGCTCATAGGTAGCTGTTGCACCAATCAAAGAGTTGGATATGTCATAAGACTCTAAATTACTTAGGCATAGTGGTGGCCCAATAGAGTATATTTTCTATTTTAAACCTAATTAATAAGCCACAAATATACAAGGGAAGAATAAGAAAAAGACAGTAGGTTTTCTCTCATTTTTGGGGACTAGGGCTCTTCCTGGAGAGTAAAGGAATCATACCAGACTTCTAGTGAGTTCTGGGTGTCAGTTTGGTTCGGTTTCCTTTTCTTTTATCTATCAGAATTGTTACCATAGAGAGTTACACAAGTACTAAATTAATTTCAGATGTTCTGTTTGTACTGACATTGATAAAAATTTACTGAGAATTGGCAGCTAGTTGAAAAGGGATTCGGCGTCATCTTTGAAAACAATCACTTTATGATCAAGGATGTTCATGCCAATGACATCATAAGAATCAAAATGAGAGGAAAGAGTTTCTCTCTTGATACAATGGGGGAGGAGCATGCAGATTATACTTTTGCAACGACCAACTCAAAGACTTGGCACAAAAGGCTAAGTCATCTCAACACCCCTCAAAACTCAAGATGGTGCCGTAATACCCAACTTGTGTTTGGTAAGAGAGACCAGAAGCAAAGTTCGAATCTAGGTGGACTTTATAACTTAGTATTAATTTCAGACCATTCAATCGATCATATGTTGTGGTGTTGACGCCAACAATCCTCTGTCATAGCGGCAGAGCAAGGTTTTAGCTAAATTAGAGTTTTTGGTAACACCGATCCTTTGATGAAGCAGCGGTGCTAAACCCTAAGAAATTAAATCTTAATACAAGAAACTATGGACATATGGTCAAAGACTGAGCAAATTTTGATCAAAACCAAAAACAAATTTGATAGATGGGTCAAAAAAATGCTAGGGAAGATGCTGCTGGAACAATTATGGCTAACAATTATGGCTAATCTCATACTTGAGAGGCGAGGATTAGAATGGCATCAGCATGGTGGTTGCGAATGTTCGGGTACATTCCAAGGTTATAGGGATGTATCCAAAGAGAACGGACTCATGTTACATTTGGTAGAATTTTTTAGTTATTCATTAATAATGATATTATTGCCTATTTATAGGCATGATACAAAATGAAAAAACTCAAACAATGACTACTTAATCTAAGTATATATACCTAAATAATAACCACTAAATCTAAATAACAGTAATAAAATATCTATCTAAAATATATCTCAACAAAAATGATGGTTCAGTGAAACTTAAGCACAACGACACTGAAGTTCAGCGTGCAGAATCTTTTATGAAGCCTCTTTCAAAGACCAAATTTGAAGATTTAAGAGAGAAGCTTAGGATGTGTTCTTTTGGAGTCTGAATATTGGTTTGGATGAGATATTTTGTAAGAATAAATAGTGTATTTTTATAAAAAAATTGTAATGGTTGTACTTAGTACAGTAAAAAAGCTTAAATCAAATTCCAAAATAACAGAGCCAGAGTTTGCACCTATTGATGCAAGGAAGAGTGTTTGAATGTGTGCATTTGTAGCTTCAACAACTCTTGGATTATTTCATGCTTACTTTGATTTCTTTTACCGAGTCATTAGGCGTTTGCTAGCATTAAATTGTTGCTTATTTTCAGCTAATGTGTTACTAATTTTTTCTTTTCTGATTTTTCAGTTATGTACTTAAAAATGATTTATCCAGTCAATGATGTATCTTATTCTTCCCCCAATTATGTTCTTTACTCTCAAAAGTTAAACCAACAAATACAAAAACCAAAGATAATAGTTAGCTACAAGAATAATATTTCATCCCATTTGTTGCTATATGCCAACAAGGTATTAAGTATAAGCATGCTGAATAGATCACTATAGGAACGAAGTGTATATATATTGCCAGTTGTAAGAACAAAAGTATATATAAATTATCATGCATCGACTATTCAAACTGGCAAGTCGGCAATGAAAACAAGATTTCCTATAGGGAAAGTTGATACTAACTATGCACATTCCATTAATACGACTATCTATACATACTCTAAGAAAGTTCTTTTACAGTTGCAGAGCACAAAACCTGTGTAGTTGAGAACACTGTAGTTTTCCAACAAAATCATCTCTCCATGAAAATCTACAAGCTTTCTTCCCACTTTCATAAGTTCCTCTTCCTTAGCCTCAGCTACTCCATCTTTCAATAACTGTGGACATGAAAAAACCCAAATGAATCGGAGGGGAAAAAAACAAAACAAAATGAGGGGATTCACTGGAGAACATTATCGTAATCCACACATTGTTCAAAATTCTGAAAGAAAGGCAAGTTATACAATGCCCATAAAGAAATATAAGATGTATGAATGACCAATGCTTAGGGAAGGTTGCACAGAACTTAAATAGAGTAGGGTAACGTCTCCACGCATATGCAATATGAAGAGGTGGTAAGGTGCAGAATTGTGACTCCAAATTAGTCTATCCACTTCAATGTGGTCCATAGGCAGTCCAGTTTCATTAAATACTTGGATTCCTAAATATACCTTGCACAAATCTCACACGTTGTGAAGTCGCCGATTTCCATAATATACCACTTAATAAGCATTGGCTTACAATCTCCATTGGCCTTCGGATGAAATTGGTCACAGAAATACAAAAACCTTCCCAACTACATCTGTATTTGTATCAACTCGGTTTTTTTGGAGAGGATAATGAGCCTGGAATTTGCTCTTCATATCTTGGCTTTTCCCCTTTCACATCAAAGATACTTGCCCCACAACATATAAGGAAGACATGTACATAGCTTCAGAGAAAATAAAATAAGTTGCAGGAAAAAGAACATCCATTACAAACTATATACCACGATAAAAGAAGTCGAGGAGGGTCTCAAAACTATACCTTGAATCTGATAACGTACTCTTCCTCCTTATCCAAGAAAAAGGCGTTAAACTTTTTGATCTCTCCTTCCAACAGCTTCAAGAAATCTTTCATCTCCGGGGAGACCACCACCACCACCTCCTCCTCCTCCTCCTCCTCACCCAATTTGGGGCGTTTGCTGACCCTTGGGAGATGTTTCGATTTCGTTTTCGGAGAGATCAATTTTAGCTGCTTCTTCAAGTCCTTGTACGATATGAACATTTCCTGCCAATCTGGGAATGTCTCATCGAGCAGTTTTCGCAGGATTTTCCAGAACTTCATCTGTTGTTGCCTGTTGGTAATATGGAGAATTGGGACTGGGGGGGGGGGGGGGACAGAAACGGAGAGGGGGTCTGATTGTACGAGAAATATATATAATTGACGATGGAGGGGAAAGATGATGGGAGAGGGGGAGAGAGAGAATCAGTGGACATGGGATGGGATGATATGACAAGAACGAAGACGAAGACTTGGGGCGGGCGGGGCATATGCGGGAGAATATACTTACTGAGTAGGAGAGATTGGAGGGCTAAATATAAATGTGAATATTCCACCCCTTGCGCTGGTCATCAATACCAACACCCAACACCCAACACCCAACACCCAACATCAACATCTCCAATCTCCATCTCGTTAATTAATTAATACTATTAGAGCCTTACTTACCGTTCAAGAAACCAAACTGACAACACAACATTCATATCCGACCTCCCATTTTGCTGCACAGGCACTGTCATTGTTTCGAATCCGACGACATGCGCCGCGGAGTGGGAGTTTCACATTCCAAATGCTGGTTAAGTAGGTTTCCTGTAGGCATCGGATCCTGGTTTTACACTCTCAAATGGGATGGACGGGTTGTTGAGTAGAGTATCAATGACTCGCCCCGCCTATCCTATCCTATCCTATCGGATGTGAGCGTGGGGCCGTGGGCGAGGCAATTTAGCCTTTTGCATCCAAAGAATTCAAGATCATCATTAAGTCATCTACTTTCCTTAATTCAAGATTTGGTTCATCAGGTTTATAACCCCACATCAAGAAGAGTAGTATTCCTCGAGTGGCTGGTTGTGCCTGCCTCACTTTCTGTTGTGTATCGCAAGCAAGCAAGCAGCTTCACTCGTTTGCTTTGATTGGACTTTCCTTGGAATTGAGCAACCAGACGAAGCTTTTTGCCCAGTGTTGTCTGAAGGCGGGGAGGCAGGCAGAGTAGAGCTTTTTCAGCGGCTTCATGGTTGGAGCTGCTTTTTCCGTCCAAGCTTGACAGGGCATTAAGGTGCAGCAGCAGCAGCAAAACTACAAACTGAAGGCGTCACCTTCTCTTGCAGTTGCACTGGCACACCCAATTAGTCTTCAAATGTTAATGTTGGAGGGGCATGGGTGCATGCTTACTGATAAATTTTTTGACAAATGGAGGCAAGCATGCAGATTAAAAAGCCACCCACATTGATTTACACATGCTATTCAACTTATGATTCCACAGTACACGTAAATTTACAAATGAAGAATGCAAGTGCTCGCTCCACCCAACTAGTGTGTGTGTATATAGTGTTTTGTGTTCTTCCTCCACCCCCCCCCCCCCCCCCCCTCAATTTAATCTAGAAAACTATTTTCAAAAAATGAACCTAGCGACTTGCCCACAAAAAATAATCGCATCACGAGCGCGCTTCAGGCAGGATCATCTTGGACCAGAGAGGCGAACTGCAGAAAGATATGCGTCACTGTTACAATCTGATGGCCCTGAAGAAGTTCCTTCCTCACTGATGGACTTGAAGAAACTTGAGTAAAGCCTGGAGCCGAGCTGAGAAGCAGTTGGTGGTAAGGGGACAGGGCTCAGCCCTTCCAGCATTTGAACCACTTTAGTCATTGGTGGCCTGAGATACATGTCATCCTGTATGCACCACAACGCGACCTTGATTGCTATAGCAATCCTCTCATCGTCTTCATCTATCTTCAGTTGAGCATCAAGTAAGTCCTCCAGTTTTCCTTCTTCCAGCTTTTTGAAGGCATAGGAAGGGAAGTGGGATTTTTCAGAGGTTTCTGCAGGATCATAATTCTTTCTACCGCCAATTAGCTCAAGCAATACCATCCCATAGCTATAGACATCACTCTTCTCTGATATGGCATAATTTGTGATCCACTCGGGTGCTAGGTACCCCCTCGTGCCCCTCAGTGTTGTAAAAACATGGCTTTGTTCTCTGGTCATAAGCTTAGCAAGGCCAAAATCTGATACTTTGGCCATAAAGTGGTCGTCAAGAAGTACATTCTCTGGTTTTATGTCGCAATGAACTATCTTTGCATCACAATCCTCATGGAGATAAGCCAGGCCTTTGGCTGTGCCCACAGCAATACTGTATCTTGTGTTCCAATCCAACATCAGCTCCCCTTTCTCCTTCCTGAAAAGCCATCTATCCAACGATCCATTCGCCATATACTCATATGCAAGTAGCCGGTGACTCCCTTCAGCGCAGAAGCCCTTGAGCCTCACCAAGTGAAGGTGATGAATGCTTCCTATGATGCTAACTTCAGCGCGGAATTCTTTCTTACCCTGGCCAATGCCTTCCAGCTTCTTCACAGCCAGCCGAGTTCCATCAGGGAGCGTGCCCTGATAAACTGACCCAAACCCTCCCTGGCCAAGCTTCACGACGAAGTTGCTTGTTGCAGTCTGAAGATCTTTGTATGTGAAGCGGATTGGCATCCCTGATAAACCTTCCAAGAAGTTGTCCTCTTCTGCAGAACTTTCTTTCGGTGTTTCAGGCATTTTCTTGTGCCTTCGGTAGATATAAATTCCAGCACAAATCAGTCCCAAGATAACAATAAGTGTCACAATTACAATAATGACTACCACCGGGAAGTGGCCATTGCCGCCGCCGCTGTCCCTCTCGCTGCCTCCACCACTGGTGGAGATTTTGATGTAGGCCGTGTAACCAGAACCACCCCTGGATTCTTGCATGCTTCCAATCTCATTAAACATAAAGCAGTTGCCTGTTTTGTTCTCGAAGAACAGAACCCCACAGGAACAATTCCCAAGGCACGCTGTCTTGCAGCCATCCAAAGTGGTTTTAGAGGACGGTTGAACAAAGGCCAAGGCGAAATAACTGAGGCCATCGCCCCCGCTGGCAAGGTCCGCAGACACTGTGGAGCTGTTGCAGGGAGGGAGAATACCCGGCTTGCAAGAGGGGAGGGATGACGGGCACCGGCATGTGGTGGCAGTGTTGCCGGAGCAGATCGAATAGGGGTCGCAGGCTGCAGGCCTGCTGCACTGATTCGGAGGTATGCTCACCGGGGAGGGTTGGAGGGAGCCTCCTTGCAGCGAACTAAAAGTGATGGAGCCATCGCTCCCCAGCACCACCACCCAAGTTGAGTTCGCAACGGACTCATCTGAGAACACGAACTGCCAGAGGAGCGCCTTGCTCGGATCATAAAACTTCCACGAGTTGGCACTGATGGTAGCAGACGCGACGTCACCGGGGCCTTTGTTGATGATGATGCGGTTGTCAGTTTTCATGGACCAGTACGGCTGCGGGGGCTGGAAACCTGCGGAAAGAATCATATCGCCATTTTTGATCTCAAGGGAATAGGTGAGGTTATTGGAGCCGGGGTCGCTGACGAGCTTCACCCCCTGAGGAAATTCTTGGTTCGACAGAAGGGTGTTGGTGGGGTGGCTGAAGCTGTCCCAGACAGGGCTGCCATCCTTCCCCACCAGAACGAGATTCCCGCTGTCCTGCAGCTGAATTGCGGAGACTCCTTTGTTGGCCGTGTCCGAGGACCAGATCGTGGAGCCCCCTCTCTCCAGATAGGCATTCCCGGTGTCGTCGAAGAGAAAGTTGTCCGAATTCTGAACTGGGGCACCTCGGTTGGCAGTCCAAACTATGGTGGAACTGCTCTTGTGAATCACAACAAGCAGAAAGACTGTGACAACTTTGGTGGGGGTGAAGCCAAAAGCAAAATCCGAATTGTTGGATAGCAGGAACAGTCCGTCGTTGTCGATCCAGTACATTGGAGACCCTTTGAAACCTGGATCCATTACCCCAACCCTCGGAACGCTAGCGGTGATTGTTTCCACTGACAGCAGGATGAATAAACACAAAACCAGAACGGTCGGGAATCCCCAATTCCCCATGGATTCCGCACAGCCGAAGAATTTCCAGATGCAAAGGACCCTCCCCCCCCCCCTCCCAAAACAGGAGCCAATCAATTCGTGTTCCTGGAAAACCACCCTACCCACCCAGAGTTATTTAACTACACTCGCTGGTGAATGAATTTTCAAGAGAAAAACTCCCCACGAAGTTTGAGGCCACAATCCGCGCCTAGATTCCATACCACCAAGTCAAGAATTTGAAACCCAGCAATTGTGAGGAGGCACCTAAAAAGTAACCCTTTTAATTGGCTACGAAGCCAACATGGAAACGCACGAGAAAATTGAATTGATCCACAGGAGCAGACGGCGGACAGTCCACAGAATTAGCTAGCTAACAACAATAACAATAATAAAGGGAGTGAAGTGCAATTGGCTAAAAAGAGAGATATACAGAGAGAGAGAGATAGAAAGTCCCCAAGAATATCCTCCGCAGCAGAGAAATTCAATTGAGGGGAAAAGCAATAACTATTGGGGGCCGTACACACAACACAGCTGCAGAACAGGTATGAATGAATATGCAGTACAAGAGGCAAGAAAGGAAAGGAGTGGTAGCAATCAATAAGAATCAAGATGAGAATTGAACAGGTAATGCTGGGGTTGGGCAGAAGAGGATGAAAAGAGAGAGAGAAGGGCCGGGGGGGAGGCGTGGTTTGTTGATTGAGGCATGGGCAGTGCAGCAGAATTGGAGATTGGAGGAAGAGGGGGAACTGACTAGTGAGGAAGAAGAAATGAATTATTAATTATATTGAATCGTCGAGGCATATCATCCATCCATCCATCCATCCATCCATCCATCATGCATAGGGAAGGGTTGGGGGGTGGGGGGTATGAGGCGAGCATTAACTTCTTTTGCTGCCAGCGTCAACGAAGAAGATTATATATATATACACACAAATATACATCTGCACTGACAGACAAGTAGAACAGGTGGGCGGGTGGGGGCTATTTATTACAAAGATTGATTATATATATACATATATGTACATGTATGTATGTGAATACTATTGGGCAAGAGAAGACCCAGGCCAGACCAGTTGAGTTGCTGAAGATCTCAGTGTGCTCCCAAGCAGATACAAGTTACAACACTTGATTATTCATGTCAGGTCAAATTAGATCACGCATCAGCTAAGAGATCTGGTGATGGTGATGGTGATGATGATCACATTATTCACAGCTAAGCGGGGATGGACCACCATATATAACATATATGATATATATCAACATATGATATATAGGTTAGGGCCTCCTAACCTAACCTAGCCCGCCTGCCTGCCTGCCTGGCCACCACACGCGCACATGTCAATGTCAATATCCCTTATTTTATCCAAGTATTGATTAGTAATAATCTACTGCGTTTGACTCTCTCTCTCTCTCTCTCTCTCTCTCTCTCTCTCTCTCATGTAATGTAAGTAAAGGTGTGGTGGCGCACGATAACTCTCGCCTCAGCCATAGTATTCTATAAACGATACGTCGTTCCTACTAACCAATAAAAACAGATGGACGGGGCAAGTCAATAGTCAATTATATATATATATACATATATATCAATGTGTTTTTGTGTGAGAGAGGGAGAGAAAAAAAAGGGAATGCTACGAGAAGGAATGTGAAGATGCATGTGCTCGGTGGGCCCTGCAACCTCTACAAATCTATTATTCCATATATTATGATGAGTAAGTATTATTCGATGTACAGGCAGTGCAGTGCAATATTATTGTAGTATATTGTGAAATCATTTGTTTGTTTCGTCCTTACAACCTTAATTAGTTTTGCTTGCCTTGTCGGATATTGCACTCCACCGATCTGCCATCTGCCATCATTATCATCACCATCATCGTCTTCATCATCCACTGCCATCTATGTATCTATCTACCCCCCGCCACATCCGCGCGCCCACATTCTCATATACATCAGATCAATCATCGATCTGAATTGTAAGGTATCTATATATATATATATATATGCATGCATACGTTCGTTCCTTTGACTCTCGAAACATGCATTTGTTGGGAATGAATAATACATCTATCCTCTCGTTTACTGAATTAATGAAGTGATGATGACGCTGATGCTGTAGTCCCATGCACCCCAATCCAACGATGCTATCTCTATGCATGGGTTCTCTTTTTTATCAATTCTATCTTAATTTGGCTGTTATTACATTGCTCCATTTGCTGCTTAACGCAAGGCCTAATATATATATATATATGTGTGTGTGTGTGTGTGTCGTAATCAATTCTTCTAGGTGTGTGGTTGAAAACTCTGATCAACCAATACGACTAGGCTAGCACTAAGTCAAGTTCGATGCATACATCAATCAATCATATAGTAGTAATAAATTAAGCAAGTGGAGCAATACTTGTAAAGATGAACATAATCGCACTAGATCGTTCTCTCACAGAGTTGCACTGAAATAATTAAAGGTTTGGTATATTAAAGCAAGAAATCTGAGAGAATAATGGTATGTATGTATGTATATTTTATAGCAGTGGATGTATGTGTGTGGGTGGGGACTGGGGAATGGTTTGCTTGATGGTCACTCCTTTCCTGCCCTGTCCTGTGCTGCGCTGTGTGAGTTTTTTAATAAAAGCAGAAACCATTAATTGATGGTATTAGGTTTGAAAACTGGTGCAGAGAGACTAGTGCATGAATATGAATGAATCGTACAAGTTTTGAAATTGGACGTGGACCGCCGGCGTTTGCTTTGTATATTAATTTATGTTCCTCAACTGGGGGAGGTAGGTAGTGTGGTGAAATGGAAGAGTAGGTAAGGGAGGTCAGGTGGGTAGGTACCAGGGAGAGGGATCGGATGGGCAGGGCAGGGTTGAAATAATGAAGTTGTATCATATCACCAGGATCCGTTATTATAGATGTAATGTAGTTCACCAATTCCTGCTGCTGAAACTGTGCCTCTGCCTGTGCCAATACAATTTATGGAGGGAGGGAGGGAGGGAGGCATTTAGCAGAGGCAGAGGGGAGTTTGGGATTGATTGTTAACTACTCCACATGATTGACGACGATGCATAGTAGTAGTAGTAGTAATAGTGCAGTTGGAGGAGCTCGGGATTGTGGAGTGTGAATGCGATGGGAAGGACGGATCAAAACGACATGACCAAGCAAGGAGCATTTACGTATGTGTATGTGTAATGCTGCTGCTATGAGGCAGACAGACGGACAGAGCGACCCACCGGCCAACCAACAATAGCCGACACAGTCGGACTTAGAAGAAAGGTGTATCGTGTTGCGTCCAAGCAGCAGCAGCAGCCGCCGCCGCCGCCGCCTTGGAGATCATCGCACCACACCACACCACACCAGTCTCTCTCTCTCCCCACATTCACAATCATAATCACAAAACCCATGTGAATGTAATTGGGGTCTACTCTCAAACTCATCCATCCATGGGCTCTACTCCTTCCCTGTACTGACTGTATTGTGTACATAGAAATGGTTTTTCCTGTCCTGCCACACCTAACCTAACACCTACGATGCACCCCCAAGCGCATTTTCTTCATTTCTTTCACTTTATTCTTCTTCTTCTTCTTTCTTCTTTTTATGGTTGAATCAAAAAAGGAGGGGTATGAAAAGGATAGGTCACCTCACTTCACCTGCCCTGCCACAATCCAACAACGTTGACCTTTCTTTGCTTCCTCCTAACCAAACAATAGCAACATAAACCAGTACAGTGCTGCCTGCCTGCCTGCTTGCTGCACTATTACATTAGCCTCCCAATCCATCCGCTAGAGCTAGGATAGGAGATGCTTTTTTTTGCTGTAGAATAGAAGAACAGAATATATTGAAAGTACGATGACCATGCAATTTCTGGACACTCATATAAGATTAAAACCAGAATCTACTCCCGTGGTGCTGCATCAGCAGGCGCTGGCACTGTATTGTTAACACGATATTTAGTACCATGCGCGATGCTAACACTGTAGCCTCTCACAACAAATATTAGATTGCATAACTAAATACATCACCATATATTGACTGACACACTTTGAAGGGAGGGGGAGGGGGAAGGGCACAGAGACGTAAAACTTTAATGATCCAACAGGTACCAGCCACTCCAAAACAACTAATGCAATGTCATTCTAAAATGGACACCAAATATTAGCATTAATATCACATAAATTGTCACATAAATTCCAAACAAGACCAAGAACTCAACAGGCATACAACTGGATGGTTGAAAACAAATTGTAACACACACCATGCTAAATATATATCTTTCCCTTGTCGCAGCATTGCAGGTAAAACATAAAATGCATAGAGTATGAATCATCCAAACAGAAAATAGTTTTAATGCAGACATATAGGAAAAATCAGTATGGAGTGTAGGAATACCCAGGAGGAGGCATTCCCAATCCATTTACAGGTGGCATTCCATAAGGCATCACCGGCTGCACCCCTGGAGCATAATAGCCACTAGTACCGATCTTGGCCAGAGTGGCTTGGCCTTGCATTCCTTCTCTGGCATACTGCTGCCAAACCATCTGCTCCTGCACAAGCAAACCTTGCTTCTTCTCCATATCAGCCATCTGCACATATGAAGGTGGGGGAATGCTCAAAGACGCGGCAAATGGATCTTGGCCAACTGTTTGGACTGTTCCATCAGGTGCAGGGAGTGCCAATACAGGGGTTTTACTGGCTCCAGGACCTGGCAATGCAACACTGCTGGCACTGCCACCACTCAACTGGGCAGTGCTAACATGCTGCCTGACCATACCCTGATCGTACATACCATTCAACAACAATGGATCTAATCCACCACCCATTGAAGCCTGCTGATTAGAAAGGTGGCTAGCAGACTCTACCAGAGCCAACTCCCAATCAGCTTTTCCAGTCTCTGCAGCAGGATTTTGCCAAGCAGAAGTTACCTCTGATTGCCCATTTGATGGGAATGCCTCCCAGGATCTGTTCCCCTTGTTCGCAGCTGATCCGGCGAACAATGCCAAAGCCAACTTATTGCCTTGATCATCAGCAGTTACTCCCTCGTCTCTCAAATCTACCAAATCCCCCTGAACCACAGGCTTAGGAGGCTCAGGCTCAGGCTCAGGCTCAGGTGGAGGAGTGAAGTTTTCAGGAGGTGGCAATGCTTTAATCTCATTCATATCCTGAACTTGCTCCTCCTCTTGAGGCGCTTGTTGGACCTCTGCCTTCCTCTCAGGACTTTTCAGTGCTTTTGCCCTATCCCTCACAAATTCCTCCAGAGTCTCCAACAACTTGCTAGTGATCTTCTGTACTTCTGGGTACTCAGAAGACCTTGCCACACCAACATCCTTGCACCAATTGTAAAGTCCGACCAACTCATCTATCTGCTTTGCAGCACTAACATATGCATCAAAAGCTTTCACACAATCTTCATACTCCATATCAAAGAACTTATCCAGAAGCACTGCCAAAACCTCACAAATATCAGCATACAGCTTGAAGCTCTCCTTGACAATAGCATACAGAGCCACCAAAATCATCCGCTCATTTTTTGCCAGGCCAGTGGGCCGGCACGACAAAAATCGATCCAATAACCTTTGCAAATGTCCCATTTTCCCAAAAATTCTCTCAGGTTTCATCTCTCTCAGCGGTGTGACATCTTTCTTCTCATTCCCAGAGTCTCTCACATCCCCAGATGACCTTGATCTGCGCATGCCATTATTTGGTCCATCGCGGAACTCATTATAATCATAATCATACCCCCTGTTTGATCCTGAAGGAGACCTGTAATTATATCTGTCATCTCTACCTCCAAACTTATCAATTTCACCTCCATTTCCACTCTGTTTCCGCTCATATACCATCAACTCAAGCCTTTGATCCAGGTACAAGGCATAAGTCCGGACAAAAGTTGAATGATCCCATGAATTAGAATGAGCCTCATCGCGAAAATCAGACAAATTCAACAATCTGGTTCCCCTCCTAGTAGCATACATAATTTCCTGCTGAAAAACAGCATCCCCTTCATTCAGTAATCTGTGAATTAACATCAAGCACTTCAGGGCAACGATCCAATCACGGGTTTTTCCCAATCTTCTAGATACAGTGACAACGCAAGCGCTAACATATCCATGAGAATACGAGGTGAGCTGAAGAATTTCTCTTATATACTTCTCGGAGGCAGGGTCATCATCGTGGCTGGTGGCTTTGACTATGGCAACTTCTAGCTCGGGTGCCAGGTTGCTGGCAACTTTTGCGATCCCGATGCTGGTTTGATCCTTCACCGCCCCAATCGCCTTACGAATCGTGCTCGGAGCCATAACTCGACCCTAAGGCGCAATATCAGGAATTCCAAAACCCATTACGTCGATCCATATCACTACCCAATCAATTGCAATTTTTTTTTTTTTTTTTTAATTTTATATCGCCAAGGGAAATAATCCAACGGATTCAACAACAAACGGTTATGAAATCAAGTAGAAGTAAAGAACTAGCATTTGACTAAAGGGAAACTACAAGTATGCCTCAAAGAGGAATTATGAAGGGGGATCAGCAAATAACTAACCTCCAAGTAATCAAACAGGTAGATCTAGATCCAGTACTGTGGGTGGAATGATCGGTGGGATGATCCAGCAGAAGGAAATACACCGTCAGATCTGGGCTAAAGAAAAGAAGAGAAAATTGGGGGGAAATAGTAAAGATAGAAACAGAGGCGAGGAGAGGGAAAAGCGGGGAGACCTGAATGAACGGGGATTGTTTACAGTCTCACTAGATTCCACCTCGCTAGGAAGATTTTGGGAGATAAAGGAAGAAAGAAGTAATCAATCAGCTGCGAAGGGAAGGAAATATAGGAAAGAGGGGGATTCGGGATCCCGACGAATTGGGGCCGTTGGATTAGGAATGCGTTGGGGGAGCCAGGATGTTTTCTTGACATAAATCGAACACCGACGGCGGCTGCGGTGCGGCTCATCTCATCTCGTCACCTCACGCCATTGCGTGTCCGTTGGTCGGTCGGTCGGTTGGGTCCAAACGAACTGTGAACTGAACCCGCCCCACGCCCGCGTACCCACCCGCCGACCCGCCGCGTTAATAAAAACAACAATAAATAATATTCATTAATTAATTATGTGGTTGACGAAGAGATAAGAAGAAGAAGAGCTCACTTCGTCCTGGCCGCTCCCCTCCTCACCCTTCCCCCGCGGCTCCATCTCCTCCACTTGCTAATTAACTGATACATACATACGTACGTACACACATCCTCCTCCTCCTCCTCCTCCTCGCCGCAGCAGTCGTCGTCCCGGGAATCACCGCACAAAGGAATCGGCGACCGACAGCAGAGTAAACAAAAAAAGAATTGAAGAAAAAAAGAGGGGAAGGAATCGCAGCAACAGCCACCGCCGCCATGGCAAACATGATCATGGCCTCCGCCTCCTCCAAAGCTTTCATTGCCATTGCCTCCTCCTCCCCAACGCCATCTTCCACCCCAAAACTCCTCAATCCCAAACCCCTTACCCCCCGTCTGCATCCACATCAATACCACTCCTCTCTCCCCCAAAATAAAATACCCCTGCCCAAACTTCCCTCCCTCGTCGCAGCTGCCACTGCCGCCGGCTTCTCCCTCGCCCACGCTCCCCCTTCCTTCGCTGCCGAAATCGAGAAGGCTGCCCTTTTCGACTTCAACCTCACCCTTCCCATCATAGCGGTGGAGTTCTTGTTCCTCATGTTCGCATTGGACAAGGTCTACTACACCCCGCTCGGGAAATTCATGGATGAGCGGGACGCCGCCATCAGAGAGAAGCTCAGCAGCGTCAAGGACACTTCCGAGGAGGTTAAGCAGCTGGAGGAGCAGGCCGCGGCGGTGATGAAGGCTGCCAAGGCCGAGATATCTGCAGCCCTCAACAAGATGAAGAAGGAGACACAGATCGAGGTGGAGCAGAAGCTGGCAGAGGGGAGGAAGAGGGTGGAGGCTGAGCTGCAGGAGGCGTTGGCTACTTTGGAGACGCAGAAGGAGGATACTGTGAAAGCTCTTGACTCGCAGATTGCCGCCCTCAGCGATGAGATTGTGAAGAAGGTGCTCCCTCTTTCTTGAGGCAAGGCACGGCACGGCACAGCACAGCCCCGCCCCGCCCAGCGGAAGAGGGTGATACGTATTCCAATCTCTATTTATGTTACGCTTTATCCATCCATCTATCTCACCCACCCCACCCCTCTCCCCTAGCTTTTCTCCAACTATTCGGTCTGAATTAAGCTGATGCATCTATGTTGTATAAATGACTACTGAGAACATTGAGCACCAACCAGTTAATGTTTGAATTTGATGGCTGCTACATCTCTTCTATCTATCTATCCATCTCTCTGTGCGTTCATCTTGTCTTCACCCCAAGGAGGAATGGATGAACCAAAGAACCAAGTTCAGAGCAGAGCAGAGCTATATGTTTTGACAATTCCACCGACCTGCCTATTGCAAGTTTGCAACCGGGATGGGATATACACACACGCGCATTGCCTCCACCACACACGGTCGTCGGTGGTGTCGATGTCGATGCCTGCAAGTGTCCATCATCCTAGAAAAATGATGAACTAGGTCGGGCTCGTGCAGTTTGATACTTTGATTGATTGTATTTTGTAAAAGTACCCCATGAATGTATCTATCTTCCTTGCTCCCTACCCTCACTCTCACACTCCACACACCTATTCTGCTATTCACTGCACACTGCGCCAAGACAGCAGACGGATCCATGGCGGGGATGAGGCCCAACAACCATTAGCTCAGTTGCTCTGGATAGACCGTTAGTTCAGGCTTTACTACGATGAGGGGTCCTCATTCGCCCATGTGATTTATTTGTTCTTCCAGTAAATAAGAAGATAAACCATAAATAAATAAATAGTCATGATAGTGGAATGAAATGCCCAGTCAGCAGGCAATCCAGCCGTTTCCACCACACATACGTACGTACGTACGTACATACATACCATTTTCCCCATCCGCATATTATCTCTTCATCTGATCAACAATTTGGACTCCATGGCCACCAATTTTACCTCCTTCCTCTAACCCCAATATTCGGCACTTGTTCATGTTCCATATTGTTCATCGTCATTCTTTTTCCCTTCAACTGAGTCTGCTCGGGTCTATCAAAAGTTCGTTTTTGAAACCGCCTTTTGGCTACGGCGAATTATCTAATGGCTTATGCTTTGTCCGGGCCTCAATTCACCATCACGTCCTGGACTACTCAGGGTGATGATAGGAATGATTTGGGTTCCTCTTTCATCTTCACTCCTCATTTCCAGCTTTTAAGTACGCAAAGTTCATCTCTTTTTTCTTTTTTTTTTCTTCTTCTTGGATGGGAGGTAGGTGTTGTTTGGCGGGGTTTGCTTCTAGTCTCTTTATTAGTTTTGGGGTTTTCTTTTACTGATAACAATATTCTCGGGTGTATCTATTCTGTCGTTTCTGTGACAATCAATGTTCTTGGGAGAGTTAAAGATTCTTGGCAGTGCTCGGTCAAACCAAATTCTGTGGAATTTGCATGATGATATATGGTGTATTTTTGTTGATTTTCAAACATCAAAAGAACTGTTTATCCGTGTTTGCCTTTGTGGAAATAGAAAACGTTGTGTCGCTCTAGTCCTATATTCAAAGATTTTATCTTTATAATATGCTTTTGGGCGATTTACTTTGTCTCATTGACTATTCTGATGTAGTTATATCAATTTTCAGTCCTGATGAGATATTCAAGGCTTGGCAAGACTTCTACAACTACTTAGTTAGCTTTTCCTCTTTGATAAATGAGATGTTTTACCCTACACTGATTGAAATGATTTGATGGATTTATTAGGTCCAATTATCAATCCTACTAGCAATGCTATGTCTGGACTCCAGATTGGAGAGTTGAAAAAGAAAAATATATATATATATACACACATGCATACATAAAAAAACTACCATTTGAAGTTGTAACAAACACTTCTCAGTACTTTCCTCTATAACATTCTGTTCTGCACATGGCCGACCTTGATCCTTAGTTGATGGCTTAGTTTAGTGAGTTTGTCGTTTTGTAGGGAATAGTTTTGCTGGAAAATCGTCTTATGGTCCCCAGAACCCATTTTTCATGGCAATGGCATCAAAGAAGGTCAATAAACACTGATAGCATTCTTCAGTATAAACTGTTCTTTAGCATCAAATGCAAGTACATGTCATTTACACGCTTATTGTTATGGCAGCACAGTATGAATCTTCTTCAGCATGTCATAAGCTTCTATTGCATATATTTTAGTGTTTTTGTTTTCAGATATCTGATGGCTCTAATTTTCTCTCAGGAACTCAGAATTACTAAGGAGAAGTGCCACAAACTCACGTCACTGCATCTTAGTAATGAAATTTCCGACTCTCATGAGAACTTCACATTGTTGGACAAAAAAAGGAAGAACATTGCAAAAGCATTGAATTTTAGGGCTCTACAAATGCCATTGATGGACTATCTCAAACTTTTCGTAATATGTGGATTCTTTACTCTTCAAAGTAGTGAACAAGCAATTGCCGGTTCAGACCTTGCTAGAAACATGCAATCCCTTTCATTTTTAGGGGATTTGGGTGATATTAGCACAGGTTTTGCTTCAGTTAGGAATCGTCCCTACAACTTTGTTGTGCTATTCTTGAATCCAATATTGTGATCTCATTGCATATGGATTTTGACTTTTACACTCAGTTGAAACATGTTCATTTTCAACAAAGGTCAGAAGTCAAAGTTCAGTCTTCATATTCATGATGTTCATATGTTCTAGTTGGTCTCTAGGGTTGTTCCAGTCTTCATATTCATTTGTCTAAGGTTTTACTAACACTCCTATCTCTAGCAATGTTATGTTTCCTTTCCTTAATAAAGAGCTGCTGGTTATTTCATATCCTAATTGTACCAGTTTATTCTGTTGTTGCTGCGTTTTATACTTGTCCTCCTTTTTTACCTTCTAGCTTAAGTTTTGGCAATATGTTAGAATGGATCATGAGATTCTTCTTGCCTAAATGAATGTTCCAAAACTTGACATCACTTCTGAAATGGGTACTTGCAGGCTTTCTTGTTGATATTTTTTTCCGAACTAGGTGATAAAACCTTCTTTATTGCGGTAAGACACTGTATTCATCAATTTGATATGTAATAGTTTTCTTGAAGCTTATGTCCGTGCATTTTTAACCATGGCATTACTCTTAAATAAAATATCTATCTGCATTTATATATATGCATGTGAGTATGAAATAAAGTTGGGTTATAGTGTTTCACTAACTCTTACTTCTTTCTTGTCTTATGAAATAAGTCAGTGCATGGTTTGATTTTCTGTTCAGGCACTTCTGGCAGCAAGGAATTCTGCCGCTGTGACGTTCATTGGAACTTTTAGTGCACTAGCGTAAGTTATTTGAGCTGGATGGGTTGTTTAATTAGTAGTCCCAACTTATGTTTAGACCTCACAATTCTTTTTGGAAGTTCCCTATCTTGGAAGTTGCAATAGTGGCTATGATGAAAAGTGAGATTTTTTAGGAAGATACTAGTAGGAACTTCTACATTCTGCCATTGGCACTGTCAAGCTTGTTTTTCACGGTTGTTGACAGGATCTCTATATATGCTGACAATAACTAACTCATCCAGTCTTTTATTGGTAGTCAGGGAACTACTTGGTTGAAGGATAATATTCTACACACCAGTGCAGGAAGCATCTACTGTAGCCATTTGTTGCATTTACAAAAATTGACAACCAAGCATGGAAATCAATCTATCATTTGGGACAACATTAATCAATTACACTCATGTATATTGTGTGATAATGTGAACAGGCTAATGACAATCATCTCTGTTCTCCTTGGTCGAACTTTTCACTATATTGATGGCATCCTTCCTTTCAGGTTTGCCTCTGATACTCCAAAATGTGTAAAGCATTTCCAATTAAATTTTTGGAGTCTAATATTAGGACCTTAAGTAATAGTTTTTCCATTTTTTGACCCAAAAATTGAGTTTGTTTCATTATGTTTGGAAGTGTTTTGGATTATTTTAGAAATAGTAAAAATTTGAATGGAAAATATGTGTTGGGTGTGATGTATTTAGGTGTTGGATTGGATGTTTTTTAGGAGAAAAATTGTGATGAATAATGTTAAAATAAAGTTGAAAATATAAAACCCAAATCATAATTTAGTTTGGAAAATTAGCATACTTGTACTAGAGTTTGCACGCGAAAGGTACAGTTTTATATAAATGCATGAGGTATGAACAATATATTTGAGCAGGTTTATGGTCCACAGGAAACTGATTCAATCATTATTAATTTGAATCATTTCACCAGATTTGGAAATGCAGATTTACCTATTGATGATCTTGCTGCAGTTTGCCTTCTGGTAAGCAAATAGCTAAGACTAAATTCTACAAATACTGATGTGGGTTACTGGATTCTTGGTTGTTTATTTCTCAATGTTATGTGAATTTGCATTTTACAGATATATTTTGGTGTTTCATCCTTGATTGAAGCCTCCTCTGGTGATGACCTAAAAGCAGATGAAGAACAAAAGGAAGTATGAAGTCTATTTAACGGCGCTTCCTCTATGATGCATATTACATTCAATGTAGTTGGGTGTACTGGTTAAGAGTAGAATTTGCTAACGAAATGGGATAGAGACATTAGGAAAGAGTAGAATCTACTATCGGAATGGGATAGAGACATTAGGTAATAAATACATCTCATCTAAAAACACTATATAGACTGACAGTACAAGTAGAGCACCAAACCCTTCAAAATTGATCATCAGAGTCAGATAAGGATCTTAGCTGTCCAAGATGAATTTTTATCTATGCTATAGCTGTATCTTCACTTTCTACTTGGATATTTTGGTGGAGAAGAGCTTGATGTTTGAAACTCACAAATGCTTGCTGAGTGCAGGCAGAGCTGGCAGTATCTGAACTTTCAGGGTCTGGTGCGGGTATTTTGGCTGCTGCAAACACTTTGTTTAGCACTTTCCTGCTTGTGTTTGTTGCTGAATGGGGTGACAAATCTTTCTTCTCTACAATTGGTGAGATGGATACCCTATCAAGTAGCATACTAGCATTCTATCTTGTGTATATGGAGGGTTAAATTTTTGGTGTTCTCAGTTTGTCTCTCTAATTTCTGAGGTGCATTAGTCATGTAAGACGGTCATGGTCCTTATTTGCGCACTAAGGCACAAATATGCATTTATATAGTCATATTTAAACGTGTTATATAGTTATTTCAAAAACTGAGTAAACTAAATTTGCCTTTCAAGTTCAACGGCAACTCTATTCTCAAGATTAGTTTCATGATCCAAAGGAGGCCACAGCATAAATTACCTAAGAAACAATACAAATAATTTCTAATCACTTTTTATCTTTTTACTAGAGACTATGAACAATTTACCTTATTGTAGTATGAGCATAGGTAGTATGGTTTGTTGATATATTAAACTTGTAATAATATTAGAGTTATGAGTTGATTTTGTGGTATTATTGTAATTCAATGCCGGCTCGTAATTCAAACACAAGCTAGGTTTGAATTTTATATATATTTTATATATTTAATTTTATTCATAATTTTTTATAATAAAATATTCAAGTTTTAATAATAAATATAAATTTTGATATAAAAAATTATATATATTATATCAATATATAAATAAAATAAATATATTATTACAAACGAGCTCAATCGAACTATTCGCGAGCCGAGCTCGAGCTCGACTCTATAAACGAGCCAAGTCGAATTTGGCTCGCGAGCTACTCAATTCATTTACCAGCTCTAGCCTGAAGCTACTCATGTCCAAGTTGATAACAAGTCAACAATTTCATTAAGTAAGAATCCTATTATTCATGATTGTAGCAAGGGCATAGATACAAAATTTCATTTTACCTGAGAAAGTATGAACAAAAAAGAAATACAATTAAAGCACATGAAGACCAATATCAAATGGCAAACATCTTCACGTAGGCACTGAAGATTCAAGACTTTTGTTGCTTGAGAGTAGTTTTATTACACTTGTAATAATGTTGGAGTCTGTTAAAATATTTAGAAGCAATATATTATATTTATAGTAGTTGTCTTATTTAAGAGATTTATGGGATTCTTGTCTTTTTTAGACGATTTATATATCACTATAAATATGTACGTATTCTTACGATTGAAATAGAGAATTTCAGCTTCATATTCTACGATTTATAAATCGTCTAAGAAATATATCACTATAAATCGTCTAAATAAGACAAGAATCCTACGAATTTCTTAAATAAGACAACTACCATAAATATAATATATTGCTTCTAAATATATTTTAACAGAGTCAATGAGGTTGATTTTGTGGTATTGATTGTGATTCAGTGCTGGAATAATTCCTTGAGTTACGAGGGGGATTTCATGGGATTCATTGTAATTCAATAGGAAGCTATGGCCTTGATTTTGTTGGATTATTCTTATCCATATCCTTACTGTGTGTGTGTGTGTTTGTGATAATTAGGAAGTTATGACCTTGATTTTGTTTTCTTTTTACTCTTAGCTCTCTATCATGTTTAATTTTCAAGAAAGCTTGTTTTATTCTTGTTCTTCAATGTTCATCACTTTGTACACCTGTGTTCATCCCTTGCTACATTCTTTCAGCCCTTGCTGCAGCGGCATCACCTCTTGGAGTCATTGCAGGTGCCTTCGCTGGTCATGGAGTAGCAACACTGGTAAAACTTTAGGCTTCAGTCTCTAATCACCTTACTCGGATACTTATAAAAATAAATCAAACAAGCACTTATCAAATCTCAGCTCAGAAACATAGTTGTAGCAACAACGTACAGAACCTACACTACCACTTGCTATATCCTTCTATTTTTCCATGATTCTGAACCATTTTATTGATATAAACTGATAGACCTTTCATTTGGAGTACATATGTAGAAAACCCATGAGAAACAATCTCTGGTGCAGTTTGCAACCATGGACAATTTGTTTAGCTTTTTGAGGTCATATATTGGCTAACAAGCAAGTAAATAATCAATGAATTTGCAGCTTGCTGTTTTAGGTGGCTCTTTCCTGGGAACCTTCCTCTCTGAGAAGGTTAGATATATCACTGAAGAATTACCCATTGATTAATTGTTGCTTTTCTTTCCCCTAACGTGGGTATGACTCAGTGTGGGGCAAAAGATAAGCAGCCCACCTGTTATTGCATTGCATCTTTAATTGGAGCTGAGGCTGCTGACACAGCGCATGAATGTGTGTTGAACAGGCAATAAGATACATTGGGGGTATACTCTTCCTGGTGTTTGCTGCAGTCACATTTGTTGAGATTGTGAATTAGGGGCAGCTAAAGAAGAATGAAGTGCGTAGATCTGGATGCGGCGTGCACCGGATAACAGCTCTTATGTCTGTGCAGGTAGTAGCTAGGTTCTGTGAATTATTGACTGCGGTTGAACCAGTATGCATGCATGTGGTTAATAGACATTCTTAATACGGTGTTTATGGTGGAGGGGATGTGAGCAGGTTAGGCTGTGGACCGAAACTAACAAACAAACCAACTCAAGCAGGTTGCACTTGAGTTCGTGTATGTCTGCAATGCATTGAATCTCTTGCTTTGAACTCAGTTATGTTTTTGCCACGGCTTCTTCCCGCTGATCCTGGTGCATAGGTAGTTGCTTGGTGCGGATCGCCTTATAAATCAACACGGGGTACGTTGGTGCATGCAGTGAATGATGATTAGCGATACAACTAGAATATTGAAGATCAAATGCAATGGTACTTAGAAGGAAAATCTGTGGGTCCATATGTTTTGTTATTGTTGTCCAAGCAAGAATGCAATGAAGAGAGATCCATGAACCTTTGAACTGTACGGAAGGAAGGGTGATGGATGTATGTGATGACGCGGACCGGAACCGCCCACCCCAACTAATCAATCGTTAAATTTTCACTCCTAGTTTTCCCAGGGCTGCTTTGATGCCATCCCTGTCGCAGTTGCTGCATTCAACCAGTTTCTCGGGGTGATCCGCGGGCCGGAGGACTACATGTTCCAGCGGATAGCTTCTGTTGGTGTGAATTTTGGTTGCGGCGTCGCAGCACTTGCCCTTTAGGATGAGAGTCTTGTGCAGCCCGCCAAAGAGCCCCTCGTAGTCTGAGTCCCCGCTCTCGCCCACCAGCACCACCACTTTCGACAGCTCCACCCCCCAACGCACGTACAGATACCTCAGTGCCTGCGCCCGAGATGCCAGCACCGGGATAACGTTGATCCTCCCCCCCTCTTTGCAGTACACTGCGCTGCACCGGAGGGCCTGGTTTCTCATCAGTTTCCGCAGCTCCTTGAAAGGGGGGACCTGCCACACGCGCACACAGGGATGGATTATCATCTACCACACTGAAACTCGGGCTCAAATAAATTAGCAGCAAGCTAGTAGGTTGATTCATTAAATTCATTGCTGCTGCTGCTGCTGCTGCTGAGAGCATCTTCTCTCTTTCTACTTACCAGCGATGGGTCCGTCACTCCAAATCCATGGCAATGTGAAGACCCGGAATCCAGCCCGGTTATTACAGGCTCAGGGTTGTTGTTGCTGTCTTTCGGCGATCCGTCGTTGACCGAGGCCGCCCACCTAACCAACGTATTCTTCAAGCTCTCGCCTCCCCAGCGGTACTCGATGTGAGCCTGATAGTATGAGTCGATCATGTACTGCGACTCCGACGAGCTCTGCTCCCAACTCGGAGACGGGTAGTATATCTCACTCCCGCTGTTGCAGATGAACGCATCAAACTGGCTTGATTTCAGCCCAGCCTTGTCCAGGGCGCAGTTGATCTCAGACACGCTCCAGGACGTGGCCAAAATGAGCCCAACAGACGATGGCTGGGAATCCGTCGTGGTCGCAGCGGCGGCGTCGTATATTGTTTTGGTGATTTCCAGACCACTGGCCACTGAATCGCAATCCACGGCTATGAATAAGATGAACTTTCTCGTCCTCAGCGCGGGGAACTTGCAGTTTTCTGATTTTTCCATGGACTCGTTTGCTGCCGCCACCTTCAGAGGTGAACTTGTAACCTGACTTTTCCCATCCGCCGTAGCTTCCTGGCCTTTCATTACCAACGACCCAATGCCTTCATTCCTCTCGCCATCTAGCGACATCTTCAAACCCAACGAAAGGTCCTGAATATCCCTCAACGAACTTCCAGGAGAGTCGGGTTCAGAATCGTTGGCCTCATTTCTTTGCCACTGCGGATGCCTCTGCCTGCAGTTTGTTACTCTGGCCAGATATGTCCGGCAGTGCTCCGGCCACGAGTACAGATGAATGTTTTTCAATCCATTATCCCTGCAGCGGGCCCAGAGTTGCTTGTCGGCAACCAGCTTCAGGAGTGCATCGGCTATGGACTTTTGATCATGGGGATCGACTAGCAGGCCATTATCAAGAACCTAATAAGAAATCACAAAATCTGTCAGTGGGGACTGGGAATCAGGGATCTAGCGCCAGATATGCGTCGCTGGCTGCAGTGATTTGAGGGGGGGGGGGGGGGGGGGGGGGTCGGGATCTGACAGAAGCTCATTTATTTATTTAGCCGGCCAACTTACCCTGTGAATGTCCACAGGGCCGCCATTCTTTGTGGCAACAATTGGAAGACCACGAGCTGCCGCCTGCTCATCATCATCATCATCAGGGAAGATAGGTTGAGTGGAGCATAAAGTAAGGTAATAAAATCTCACCTCAATCAAGGTGAGTCCAAATGGCTCGATAAACGCAGGATTGATGAAAACACCCTACAAGAGCTGCTGAGTTTAGCCGCGGTCAACAATACGAGTGTTAAGGAGAGCGTCAGCTGGATGCAACTTCATACCTTGGATTTAGCTGCCAGGCGATATATATCAGTAACTTCTGATTGCTTGTGATGTTTTGGATATGCAACTTGACCGTACAGGTCATATTTGTCAATTAGTTTGAGTATAGAAAGGAGAACAGACGAATTTGTAGATGACATATCATCAATTACATCCCTGTTCCCCATGATCAATATCTGCAACAACAAATTGAGACAGAAAGCAAATGAAGCAACAATCTCATCTTATCCTTTCTAGTATTAGCTAGCTAGCTAGCCTGAGCAAGATAATTGACTCAGGAGGAGCTCTCTGCTTGTCACTTACAAGGTTAGCAAGATCCCTCAGCGGGCGACACTCTCCAAATGCTTTGACCAGAGTGATTAAATTCTTTTTTGGATCCGGCCTAGCGAGAGCAAGTATCATAGGCTTGCGGGGGTTGGTGAAGAAGCGCATGATCTGCCAGAAATGGGAGTGCATGCATAGATAGATGGCTTGAGATGTCATTAAGTTGGTTCTGTAAAAGCAAAGAGAACAAAAAAAAACAAAAACCGAAAAGCTTCCACCCTGCATCCTAGTGCCTGGTGAACATGGATGCTGCTTGCACTATCGTTATAGATATGCTTCATAAGGAAGACTATAATCGAATCAGACAAGCTATGGAGAATAGATTAAACCTCTGACCAAATGGACGGATCTGGAGTTCCAGAGCTATTTTCATTCCCTTCTGCCTCTCCATCAATGTCTCCCTCTTGTGGAACTACATTCCGGAATTCCATCCCAGGAGGAATTACCTGCACAAAGGTGAAGTATTATATATATTCCCCTAGTCAACAGGGACACACACACACACAGAGGGAGAGATATTATGGGATGGTAGTAAGTAGGAGTAATATGAAAACAAAAGAAAACGGGAAAAAAAGAAAAAAGAAAAGGGAATTGGGGGGCCATGACTTACAACCATGCGGGGCATGAACCTTCCAAAACAATTAACGTTGCGCTTGATCCGAGCTCGAAGTTTGCGCTCCAGGACCGGATCAAATCCGTCGTAGAGACGCCATTGCTCTTCAATCTCCTGTTTTGTGCTGGTAACGATGACTTCAGAAACATCTAGAGTAATCTCCTCAGCCTCTATGCGGCGCATTATTTTGTATGTGGAGTTTATCTCCTCCCTTGTTTGCCTCCCTTGCTTTAGCAGCTGCTCCAGCTTGTCACGCCCAAGTGAGTGGCCAGTGAAAATCATTGGCACATTTAGAGCTCCAGAGAGGAGAGCAGCAGAATTCCCTGCATCCGCGTAGTGTCCATGGATGGCAATAGGCCACAGTGGTTGATCGCTTCCAATTTGCTTCCCCAGAACTTTAGACATCTGTATAATGTGGGCGAGTGCACCATCAACAAATTCTGGAATATGGGGCCATAGAACTTCTTTAGAGAGGTACTTATCCTTTGGGCCGAAAGGTATGCGGATTATGTATGCACCGCCACTCTCCCCAGTGTCATTCGCGCTGCTGCTCTCAGGGTTTAGTGGATTAAGCATCTCTATCGGCTCCCCGTATGTCCAATCCACATCTGGTGCTACCACCTGCCTTGTGAGCAAATCGACACGATAAACTCCCGGCATTGACCCCAGCGCTCTGGCCAGTTCCACAACATACTTAACCTGAAATTAATCATATATGGATGATGCAGAGGAGGAAGCAAGCGAATGGTCGGATAATTGAACTCAGTTGGAAGGAATTTGAGCCTGATTCTACCTGACCTCCTGTGTCGGAATCCCGGCCAAGTTCCATGTTCTCTCCCCTAATCAAACCATGGAGACTGCAGAACAAGAAGTAGAAAGAAGATTGGGATAATAATCCAGCATACCACCCATATGCACTGATAAACAAGCCTGTCGGGTGAAAAGGAGGAGATACTAACGGACTGACTAACTAGCTAGCTAGCTAGCTAGCAGATTAGATCCTGAGCATGAATAAGAGACCTCGGGTGATACCTGATTAAGACTAGATAGAGTTTTTTATTTGCATGTGGGCTAGCCAAGTTTGCCATCAAATCCGTAGAACCAACCCGCGGCATTCTCATCCTGGCACTATCACCATGGCTAGAGATATCACCGAGTGAATCGCCCTTTTCTCCTTCCGACAAATCCTCTGACATATCGGCCGCGGCCTCTCTTCGAGCATTTTCTCGTTCCTGGTGCCTTTTTGTCTTACGCTGGGCTTCTTCAGTCTCGATCTATCAGTGCAGTCAAGTTCAAGTTCACGACAGCAAGATGCAAGATTAATTTCCTAAGTAACATTGACAAAATAACTACTTCATACTGTGATCCAACGAACTTTACAGAGACAATGGTATTGTATGGTGGTACGAATATGATCATCCACTGAGTTCCAACTAGAACTATTAGTAATACTCCCTATTATCCATGCATGTCTCTAAGTGCCTTTAAGATGCAAAATCTAATTTTAGCTTGATTACATAAACGAGTGGAAGGCGCTCTGAGAGTTGGCAAGAAGATAAATAAATGTCAAGACAACCAAACGAATTGGGAGAGGAGAGGACGTACATGTTTCTTCCTGCGGGCCAAGGTCCATATCCTCCAACACATATTCTCCAACCTCGTATTTCTCTCCTCTGAATTACGAATTGAGGACGCCTGGAATAATACGTAGAAGAACAAGATCAAGTACACATATATGTATATATGCATGTTTAGCGAGATCGATCAACGTATATATACTATCGACGATCCGTACTCGAACCCAAGAGCGGTGCAGGTCAGTCTCATTGAACCCAGTGATGACTTCATCGACAAAATACTGGGCAGGGCTGAAGCGACCTCTCTCGCGCAACAGGAGAGACGATTTCTGATCGTTGATCCCCGTATCCACATCGAGGATGGCCTCCAGATAGCTGTTGATCCAGTCGTTTCCCGCCATTTTCACGTCTGTCTTTCCGGCGTTGTTCGCAACAGCAGCAGCATCAGCAGGGATGGATGGATGGATGGATGATATTATGGAGGGATGGAGAGTGAGCGAGAGGACGATGGTTAGTTTCTGGCAGTTGTAGATGCTAAGAATAGGAAATGTGGATGAAGGTTGATGCGAGCCGAGTGGAGGAATTCCGTTGGCTGGTGGTTTGACTCGCTCCGCTCCCGCTCGCGCTCCCGCCAGGGCCCAACATCCAACCAAGACAGAGGCGGGCTTCTCTGTTGGGCCCCAATAGATATGAATGAAAAACCGAAATAATATGACTTGGGCTTGCTTGGTTGGGCCATCATGAGAGGAGGAGGAGGACGACGACGACGGACGGACCGACTGGCGAACCAACCAACCAATCGAATGAATGATTGATTCGTACCATGTCGCTGTGTCTGTGTCTTTGCGTGTGCACTCCCACTCGGTCCACACCCAATCAATCAATCGATCATGGAGAGCTCCTTGCCGGTGTCTACGGCGTCGTATTTGAAATCGGAGCGGCGATCGAAATCCAGGACTCTTCAGACTACATCCAAATCCTCTGTTATAATGGCCTTTCTATCTTGTCTTGCCTGGCTTTATGTTGCTGGACGGTTCGCCCTTTCTCATTTTACTATTTCTATTTCTTAGGCCACCTGCGGAGCTGCCTTCCCTGCTAGGTGGAAATTAATATGAAATCCTTCTTTATGCTAGGCTGTGGCAAGATGCAGAAAACAGGATGCTTCTGGCCAATTTGCTAAAGAAAAATTCTGGTCAGGTTTGAATTTTCGAGATCATGATTCTATCTTACTGCCAAGATGTCTTTTGCACAGTTTCTCATACTGTTAGTGACTTACGATGCCAATGCGTGATAGATAAATTCAAAATGGATCGATTAGGATCTGTTTTCTGTTTTTCAAGCTCGACTATCCGTACTAAAGTAAATAAACTTAAAAATCTGGAGATATGGAAAAACGAAGAAAGGCTGGTGTTGCGTTTGGGTTCCGATTGGCCTTGGATCCCATTCTAATGAAGTGGTTAGGAGTGCTCCAGTCACGAGGTTCCTTTTCTTCGTCAGTTCGATCCTAAGTTTAGTTAACCAGTTGTAAGTGGAGTTGCAGATCTATGCGGCAAACTTTCGTTGCACAGTATCTAGTTGTAGGCAAATTTCAAGCAGATTAAGTCTTAAGCCGATTTTTGTGCATACCTGCCTGTCAATGTGCATAGCTAGTGAATTTACTGAGGTTAAAGTAACATCTATATACCATTTGGATGAGCGAGGACACACTCATTCATTTGCATTTGGAAAATCTAGATGTCAAAGTTGAGATAAGGACAAAGTAGAGAAGGCGCACCTTTTGCGTGTCTCACTTCCTCCAACATTTTGAGATAATATTGTATGGCAGTCAGGGAGCTCGAACTTTTATAGATATCAAATTTAACAATCTCTCAAAGAGATTGGATGAGGATGTTAATGAAGACAATGGTGAGGGCCTGTTAGCATGAGGCTATTGGTGACAGCAAGAAATCTAGATCCAGATCTTGCTCAAGGAAGACAAAGAAACCTGTTTACTAATTTAGAAACCAGGACATTGTTGCCAATTACTATGAATTGAAGAAGAAAAAGGAAATGGAAGCCAAAGACAAGGCACCATCCAAGGCTAACTCAATCACCAGTGATACAAGAGCCAATTATTGCATCTGATAAGCAGCCTCATTATGTGTTGATTGTAGAATCAGGGTTCCACTTTTTCTTTTATCCTTTCTAGGACAGATTTATCACTTTGGGTATTTTGTATAAGAATAGTGTTGATGGGAAATGATGCCCAATGTGATATTAAAGGCATCAGGACTGTATATATTCAATACATGAAAACAAACTTCAACAGATATGTGTTAAACTTCAATGAAATACTTTTTGTGCCGCAAATTCTCATCAAGATGCAGATTGTTGGATATTCTTTGGCGTATTCTACTTCTAGGATTTGGCTTGAATCCCAATTTTAAGTGAACTTTGAAGTCACTTAAGATTAGAGTACTTATGTTGAGCAGGTATGGTAGTCTCTTGGCTTTGCAAGTTCGATCGGTTGTGAATCAAACTAAGTGTGAGTACAATCGTCTAGGCGGAAAACGTAAGCTACACAATGTAATAGTAAGCCAAATTTCAAGTGGCTCATTTAGGCCCATTCATAAGTGCTCTTCAGCTCAGTTTCAAACTTAAACTAATTTCTTGCACCGTCCTGAATTCACCATCAACTCTCCAGATCACTTTTTCTTACCTTTTTTGGTGGAGACCCACAGTTGACCTCCATATAAAACTTGTACTTGTTTTAAGTTAACTTATATCATCAATTTCATGAAATTTAGAGAAAGAGAGAGGTACCATCATTGTACTTTGAAAAACCACTCTTCTCGTCCTAGTGAATAATCTTCTTGTTGCTATGGTTTTTTGCGCATATTGGTTTTTCTACATAAATTGTATGTGCATCTTGTTTATTTTTTCTTTACAATTAATCAATACTTTCATCAGCTTGTGTGATATTTTGGGGGTTGCTATTTCTTTTATATCTGCTTAAATCTTAACATGTGATAAAGATGTGGTTTGTTAAAATAATCAATTCTCACGACTGATTTAGTTCAACCTCAATTTACTCATTTGAGATACAAAAAGATCTGTGTGTTATTTTTTAATACTTTAGTGGAGCTGCAAATAAAGAACTGACTTCAGATATATGATCTGTCTGGTGCATTATTAGGTTGAGATTGTTCTGGAAATTGCATGTAGCTGCACAAATGAAAATGGGTTAGCGGCTTAGAGCCTAAATGTGGAGGTCTTTGAGATCTTACTAGATAGGTTATAGGATGCATGCTGGACAAGTTGTTATGAAGTTAAGATAGTTCAACTATCTTGTGCAATATATATGAGAAACTGATTACAAGGCATGCCACCAGTGGATCAGAAATGCGTTGGTTAAATCAGTTCATGGAGCTAGTGGAGCATCATCTATGACCAATTGAAATTCTACATGGGTTTTTTGTTTTTTGTTTTTTTTTTTTTCCTACATTGATTTAAGTGTCTATCTATCTATATATGTAATATAGCCTGTAACAAATAAAATACTACATTTCATAAAGCATAGGCATACCCCTTGTTGTTTAGATCTAATTGTGGCATACCAACCTAAAGGAGAGAATAAAAACTGTCTAATGAGTAATTATGTTGTGCTTTTATTGGCAGCGACCAAAGGTTCTTACAGTGGATGACAAGCTACTAGCCCTCGGATGCAAGTACATGCTTCATTGCTCCACTCCTAATGCAATTACTGAGTTATTTGATTGTTTTAGGACAAATATGTGGGGTTTGTGCTGAAAATACTTAGATGAAATTTCAGGGATTTGGAGAGAAGAATTGTTGAAGCTGAGATGGAATTGACAATGGCAAAAAGCAATGGGTTTCTTAAAAACCAGTTGCAGCTAACTGGGACTTCCAGTAAAAAATTGCTTGCTTTTGTTGGAGTTTATACTGGTTTTGGTGGTCGGTTGCGACGTAATATCATACGGGGATCTTGGATGTCAGAAGGTTAGTTCAAATCTCAAATCAGTCTTTGTGATTGCCATTTTATACTCCCTTTCTTGCACCCTATTTTCTGTTGCCTAATGCAATGTGTCATTCATGTCCACCAAATTTCATAATTTGTTCCTGTTATTTTTCCCATATATATATGACACTGATGTATGGAATATTACAGATAATACCTATTCATGCATACAATGTAAAACTAAACACAGCCTTTAATGTCAAGTATAAACATCATGTACATGTAAACAACTGTGAAAATGACACAGGCATTTGGCTTTAGTATTTCCGTGCATATATGATCTGCAAGTTCTGACAGGAATTAAAATGTTTTGTGATTGCAGCTAATGGATTGAAAAAACTTGAAGAAAAGGGGATAGTTGCACAATTTGTAATTGGACGGAGGTTTCCCACTTGAAACACTCTCTTTATTCAAACATTCTTTTACTCTTTTTTTTATGCTATTCTTTCAAGTGTTATTGGTGTTATACTGTGCTGCATCTTAAACAATTTATCAGTAGAGCAATCTTGATCATGCAATGACTTTGGATGTCCAGTGCTAATCGTGGTGACAGCTTGGACCGTAATATTGATGAGGAAAACCGTGCAACTAAGGATTTCTTGATTCTTGTGAGTGATTGAATGTGTTTTTAGTTTTTTCTAGGAATCTTCTTGAAATGATATGAATTCTAATTGTTTCATTGCCCTGAATTGAAGGATACTATCTTTTCCTCATTAAAAGATATTAACCAGCAAAGGGTTAAAGGTTTGCAAAATTTTCAAGTTTCAACTAGTTTAACTGCTTAATGTTCTATTGACTGCTCAATCAGCAAGGAAAGTGACATAATATATATATATATATAATTGAAAGTGACTTTCACTCACAAATGATAGCACTACAGCAGAATGACTGCAATGCAATAGTTACTTGCAGATATCTATCCATATTTTTAAAAAAGAGAAGCAGTATATGCTAGGTCTTGTAAATTTTTTGTTTCTTGCCCAATCAAAATCTCACACTATCATGACTCTAGGTCAATTTTAATGCGTTAGATATTGTAATCGTTGGCATACTAATTTGTTTGACAATGATTGTTCATGTTTAGTATCCTTGTGTATTAAAAAATGTAAACTATAATTTCATTCTTATAGGAGAATCATGAGGAAGCTCAAGAGGAATTGGCAAAGAAAGCAAAGTTCTTCTTTAGCAGAGCAGTGCAGATGTGGGATGCCGAATTTTATGTAAAAGTTGATGACAATGTTGATCTCAAATTTGGTAATTTGTAGTTATGTTATTTGGAAAGTTGCAGTTCATAGCCCTACTCTCTCTCTTTGTGTGTGTGTGTGCGCGCATGCGCTTGGGTGTGTTTTCACAAAACCATTGCCATTTCCTTCTCAGATGAGTTAATTGAACTTCTTCAAAGCCATCGTGGTCAAGACAATGGTTATATAGGTTGCATGAAGTCCGGGGAAGTGGTTGCTGAAAAGTAATTCTGCTTACCATTATTCGATTGCTTTTATGCTGTTGTATAATAGTGACTTTCACAGTTGGTTGCTCGTGATAATTCCTATTTAATTGTGTGAATGGTCTTGTTTATTTGTGTAATCTTGAATGCAATGGTATATCTTGTTGTAACAACTTGAGGTTGCTTAAATATAATTTTACTTAAAAAGATTGTTTAATTTCAGGGGACGGCCATGGTACGAGCCAGAATGGTGGAAATTTGGTGATCAGAAATCGTGAGTACTTACCATTTATATCATTGGAAATACTTCACGATATGAGCTATTCTTGCCAATTATATGAAGAATTAGAAATACTTTATGATATGAGCTAATCGACAAATCTTGAGTACTTACCAATTATATCAAGAATTAGAAATACACACATAACTGATATGAGCAAACCTACATATCGTTTATATTGTACGTGGTTGTTGTTTCTTTTCTCCTTTTTTTTTGGTTTGTGTGTATCATTTGTCTAGCGGATAGAATGACACTTCTTTGAAGACTATTGGTGTCGCCTGGTTTTATCATTCTCGCTATGAAGTTGTTTTCTTACCACCTCAAGTCTTTAGTAGTTCGATAACAAATGTGATTTATCTTTCAGGTACTTCCGTCATGCAGCTGGTTCAGTCATTATACTTTCCAAAAGTTTGGCTCAGTATGTTAACATTAACAGGTTAGTGATGTCTTTTGTGGAGTTGGAGTTATATTAATTGCTAATAGGAGCACAAGATTTGAGGGGGTTTGGTGTTGAGTTTCAATGTAACAATCTTAGCCTTTGGAATCTATATCCCTGGTGGTCCTAATTTCTTTTTCCAAATGTGTAGGGCATAGATTGTAACCCAAATATCTTGAGATCCATTCTTTTAATTCTTATTAACGATGCCCTGAGATTTGACTGTCTGCTTGATCGAACAAATTGTGGGAAAATTAATCTAAGCCTGCCTCTCTGTTGTTAGATGAAAGCCCGTTGCTGTTTTTTTGTTCAAAAATTTGACATTTGGCATTCATGATGTTGGTCTTTGATGTAGTGCATCTTTGAAGGCTTATGCCCATGATGATACCTCTGTTGGGTCTTGGATAATGGGACTCCAGGCGACCTATATAGACGATAGTCGTCTATGCTGTAGTTATTCAGGGCATGGTAGATATTTACATTGTTATGTTTTTGACATGTCATGGGATTTATGGAATGCATGTGGTGTTGTCTAACATTTTGTTGTATACGGTGGATTTGCAGACAAGGTTTGTTCATCAGTTTGAGAGGTTAACAGACCGAGGCATGTACCCGCCGTGCAGTCTCAACTGAGACAGTTTGTGTGAGAGAGAGAGAACAAGGTGAATGAGTTAGAATTAGAGCTGAGTTTGATATACTTGTAGAGGGCCACGGAATTCGAATGCAAGAGACATTGACCAAAACTTGAAGCTTACAGAGATGGCGACTTTTGTGATGAATGATAGAAGGGAACATGCATTATACAATTTTCAAGTTGTCAATTATTGCCGAGCACAAGCTGCTGCTGTATCTCTCACCTTTGTAAGAAATCTAACCTTAGAGTACCAGTATTATTATAAAGACCAAAGGCTAGTAGCATGCATGAACGTATGCAGCTCCACTTTACTTGAACTCTCTACGAGTGCATACCTGTGTTTTTTACTCCACCCAGCAGTTTGCCCTATTGTTAGTGCGTTTTGACAGTTTTGCTCGAGCGCCCCGGCAGAACGGCCATCATCCACGTCCGCCCCTCTTTAAAACTGAGATGATTTCATTATTCAAGTGCACTGTTCTCTGACCACAGTTATGACAGTTGCCTTGTCTAAAAGATAATGGAACGATGAGGAGGACTTAACATACTCATGCATCCTTTATATATTGGGTGTTATCAACCTAACTTCCATTGAGGGAAACTGAGGTGACTTATATTTTTGTGTTAACATAGTGAGATGAGATGTGATTTTTGTCTTTCCCCAAACAGTATGAATACAATGCTGCTGATGGGATCAATCAATCAATCAAACAAACATGCCTTCTCTCGACAAAACGAAGAATGAAGATGATAGGAGGATACCCATATGGAGAATAACAGAAAATTATGAAAGGAAGCAAATCTCCGCCCATTAGAAAACATTTGCAACTACTCGTCGTCAGGTGCAACTCGGCAGAGCAGTAACCTAGAAATTTTTTGGCAAGGCAACAACTAACAGATGCACATATACCGGACAAGTTGGTTGATGCGGAATGCGGAATGAAAAGAAGGCAGGCAGGCAGGTGGGGAGAAGAGGAAGGATCTGATTGCCTGCCGAAAAGGATCATGGTGATCATCCATGATCCATCCCACCCTCCTCCTCCTATGCCTCCTTAGTGATGGTGATGATGATGATGATCAGTGGGATCATAAGCTTCTGCATCTCCGTCTCCAACTCCAACAGCCATGCTTTTGCCAGCAGTGCCTTGATGGTGTCTCAGCTCCTTGCCCCATTTCCCTTTACTAGTAGTATTATCATTGGCAGCACGTATCACCACCACCCAAACCCAAAACAGCAGTAGTGTCGCTGACAACAGAACCGCGACGGCCACAATGGCCAGCCCAACATATATATGCCGGCTGTACTTTCTGAGGGTGGGGCAGTAGATGGCGTCTATATCCGAGAATGCTAGCCTCACGAAGCTGCAGTCCCCAAGTTCAGCCACCAGGGGCCCGTATTGATACAGCCCATAGCTCACGTTTATTGTGGCGGCCATCTGAGCGTACAGCCTCGGGGTGAGGCGCCCGGGGGTGACGCAGACCCCATGATCGGCATTGTCGGCGGCGGCGGGGCTTGTCTGACACACATACCCACTCCATGCCTCCGTCGCATTGCGCAGGTCCACCTCCCCAGGTGCGCAGGATCGATCTGTGAGGTCACCGCCGTCGGGGTGGAATGGGTTGCAGAGAGAGGGCACAAGTGGGCCTGACTGGTTGTAGTACATGGGCGCGAAGCTGGGGGCGAAATTTATGTTGGACAGGTTACTAATCACGGTGTTGATTACGTCCACCAGCTGGGAAGTCACTTGTTTGGTTTTCGAGAAGGCCTCTTGGACGGTGGCATTGTCGACGCACCCCAGCACCTCATCCAGCGCCGTACCTGTATGATGCACCTGACCAGCTCCAGCTCCAACTCCAGCTCCAGGAGGATTGATTTGGACCCACTGGTTCATTGCTGCACAGGTATCCCCTGTCACACTGCGCGTGCACACATTATGCATTAATTAATTATTTATTTGTCATTACTGGATGGAGCCATCCGGCCAGCAGTTAATCGATGATGATAAGTTGCTTTATAATTCATTCATTCATTGATTGATTAATTTAACAAAGGCTGCTGTATCGGATCTATCCGACAGTAGATTACTAGATCTTTGCATGCAAGCAAGTAAGCAAGCAGTTAGCTTGACTCGATAGAATCACATCACCAATCCATGCACCTACTTGCGGAGAAGATAGACAATGCCGCAGAGTATGAGAGCTCCCGCCACCAGAATCCATGCACTAATCACCAAGCTGCTATCAACAACAACAACAACCAACAGATACAGATGAGTGATACGATCCATGAGTTGTTAATTAATCACATTACATATATATGTATACCCCTAGCTAGCTTTCCTAATTAATTGCTACTACATAATTAATTAATTGCTACATCACTCACATATACACTGGAATCTGCACGCCTAGTATTGAAAACACTGTGACGGCAAAAGTTGCAATGTCAGTCCGTCAATCAACATAAGAAGTTAAACACACACACACATATATATATATACATATGTATATGATATTAAGGCTGCTCATGCCATTCTCTCTTCACATATTACTACATAACTATATGTATACAACTGGCCTGGTAGCTTTGAGACATGGGGGATGGGATGGGATGCATACCTAATCCAAGAAATGTCAAAAGGAGCATAAGAGCAGTGAGTACGACTAGAGCCAAACTCCTGCAATTAATTAGACACTCATACGCATTATTAACATATATAGTTTGCAGCACACTTGCATGAATATATATATATTCACGGGTAGCTAGGAATCCTTTTGGGCATGCATGAATATATATATATATATGATGATAGCTGCATAGGCCTATGTATTGAATTTACACTGATTGTATTAGATTCTTGACGCGCTGAGAAGTGTTCCGTGTTGTGTCCGTAAGGGTTGTAGCTGAAGAGTCTATCTTGCTCTGTGCCTGATCAATGTCGCTTTGGGAATTCGGAGGTAGGGAAACCTGATCGACAGTAATCTGTTTGGCAGCAGAGAGATATTCTGAGACGTTCCTAAGGTTGTTGGATGTGGCATCCGCCTGGCGGACGACGTACTCCAAAGTGCTTATGGTGCTCTTGTGAAATTTGCCCTGGCCGTTGTACAAGATCACGCACCCAATGCTGAAATTAATTAAGTAGTGTGCACACCGGGATTTAGCTATCTATATAGCAGTTGGGGAATGCATACGTGTGTAATCCAGGAGCAAACCTGGGTTAGAGGAATTCATATATATATATATATGTATGTACATATACTTGTGTAGAGAGAGAGAGGGAGAGAGAGAGAGAGGGAGAGAGATAGTCGTACGACATACACTGCAGCAACGGAGAAGAGTGCAAGGAAAGCGAAGGAGAGTGATCGGGAGTAGGCACTCTGAGGCTCCCTTTGACGCCATGAGGAACAACAGCAGCAAACACACGCAACAGATAAGCAGAGGCCGAAAACTACAAACCAGGCGGCGGCGGCGACAAAAAAGGGAGCAGCGGTGTAACCCACGGACTGCATTGCAACAATCAATCGGCTTTAGTCGTATCGTTGGTGAACCAGAGAAAGAGAAGAAACCGATGATCACACAGGAAACAATCGAACGCCCGAACATAAGGTAAGACCGTCGTTAAATTTAATACTCCCAGAGGAATGGGGATCGAATTAACATCAACATTTTAACTTGTAACCTGCAGCTACTTGACAGAAACCAAGATACTAAGCAAGATAATGTTAATTATTGTAGTGGTAGTAGTAGTCAACAGTCTGGAGAGAGAGCGAGAGAGAGAGAGGCGCGACTTACAGCCCAGTAATGGCGATTGCTGATGTTCCAACCACCAGTGTAACTTCTAAAATTATCGAGGGGGTCCTTTCGGTATGTTCTGCTTGGAGCCAACACAATACTGTCCGACGACGAGTCCCCTTGCCCAAGAAGTGGAAGTTGATCATCGAGCAGCCGTTCTGGTGCTCTGGATTCTCCTACTGATCGATAATAAGGCGTGCGGATGGATGAATATGAGTGTATATGGAAAAGCACAATTAGAAAACGAAATAACTTTTATATACATAATATTCATATATACCCGATAACGATGTCTGCAAAGATGGAGATTCCACTGGAAGTGGAAGCAGAGAGGAAGAGAAGAGCGGCGAGGCCGAGGCCGGGGAAGAAGAAAGAAGCGAAAAATAGGTTAGCAGCAGGAGCAGCATTGTGTGAATATGGATGGTTGCTGGGGATGGGGATGGAATTACTATTAGTATGTAAAATGGGTGGGAAGAGGAGGAAAAGCATGTTGATTGAATTTGCTTTGTCACTGCCACGGTACTTGCTTGCACCGCCTTCCGCTCATTGCCATGGTAGAGGACTCTTGCTTTGTTATAAAATACTTTTCATATTTTAATATAAATTTCAAACCAATTTCTATGTCATATATATACATATATATTCTTTTAATTTGTCTATAGTATTGCTACTCCATAGTTTTAACATTCTCAAATTTCAATAGTAACGATAATAATAATAAATTAATCAATATCTACTTCAATTTCAAATTGACAATTCTCAATGCCCATCTGTCTCTGTCGGTCTCTACAGCAGCATAAATTACGGGATCCAGGTTTCACTTTTTGACTTTTGGTGCGGACTCCTTCACCTTATAGTAATTATTCCTCCCCCCCTCTTTCTTCCTTTATTTTTTTTTTTCTCTTTAAAAGTAGTGAGTGGAAAACAATCTACTTTTCGCCGATCGAGGCATTCCTACAATACTCTCTCGCGCCGCGGCCGGAAGAACAAGTGGGCACGGAGCATGCGGTGACGTTTATTTTTAGGATTATATTAAATTATAGTAAAAACAATAAAAATAGCATTTGTTTATTATGTAATATAAAAATAATAGTATTTGTGTAATATATTGTAAATTAAAAGGATATTTATTATGTTAAGTAGGTAATAGTAATTAGGAGGAACAAAAATAGAAAAAATTGTAAAATTTCAATGAGACGGAAAGAGTATTAAAAAATATGTTCTCCAATTTTTTTTTATTATTTTTTGTTTCCAAGTACATATTGTTTTTTATAATTACAATTTTTATATTATACTTTCTCCATCCAATTTTTAATATCCTATTTGATATTTACATCTATATTTAGGTAATTAGAGTTTTTTTAATAAAATGACAAATTTGTCCTTAATCTTGTGTATAGAAAAAAAAAATAGTGAATAAAATAAAAGTAAAAGAATAAATTTTGTGTATAAAAATAGAAAGAAGACAATAATTATTGGATATTTTAAATAAAAAAATAAGACATTAATTCGTTGAAATTATTATTATTTGTCAATAATTTATATTATTATTTTGTAATTAATTAATAAATCAATCACTGGTGTGTAGTTTCCGATTATTATATCTAAATTCTATTTGATTTCGTACCACTACTCATTACTACTTCATATATATATATATATATGACTATGAACATCTTCTATCTAGTTTGATCTACTAAAATATTGTAGAAATGTACTTAGGGTTTGTTCGGTTGAGAGATTCGGACAAAATCTCATTATTCATCCAAAATTTTTTTCAAAAATATCAAATTAAACACTTATTTTTTATTTTTTATATTATATTAAAAATCAATTTTACATTCAAAATATCACATCATCACCTATTTATATCACATCATACAACAATTCAAATTCAAAATTTTTACTATTCAAATCCCAACTCAAAATCCAAACCCCCAAACAAACACACCCTTAATACTTCATCGAAAAAAAAAAAACCAAATTGTGGAATGTTATGGCAATATTTTATATTATTCTTTTTGTTCCAATTATGTGTTCAAAAGCATCTATTTTGAAAGATAATCGTATACTAATATTAAAATATATTTAATTTTTACTCAAATTATAAACATGTCATTACAAATACAATTAATTTATATATAATGTTTAACATGTAAAAATATCAAAATAATTTACATATTTTTATTAACCAATAAATTATTACTCATTCTTTCTCAAATATCTTTACAATATTTTCAATTTTTTGTTGGTCTTACTTCCGTGTCGGAATCCAAATGTTATTTATTATAAAAGAGTATTATTTTTTAATCTATTAAATATTTAAAATAATACTTTAGAGTGGGCAAGTGGAGTATTTTTTTTCTACTCACTAATGATATGGTAAAGCTGTTGGATAACCGGTTATTTTGCAATCGATTATTTATAAGTGAAAATGCGACGTGCAGTGTACCAAATTAATATAATTAATTTGGAAGAAATAAATAATATTTATTTATTGTGTGTGGGGTTTGGTTAATATTTTGGCTATTTTGTCTGTCTCGAGACAAACCAAATTGTGCAACCCCAAATTAAACCCGAGTATATGGCCTAAGTTGCAATATTATTTGGATAAAATATTATCCGTTGGATAAATTTATTATAATCTCAAACGGAAGGTTTGAAATTAGAATAAATTACAATCGTTTCAAACGGAAGGTTTGAAATTAGAATAATACGATCGTTACAAACAAAAGATTTGTAATTAGAATCAATTACGACTGCTTCAAACCGAAGGTTTGAATTTATAATTAATTACATCGATAATTAAGGTCGTAATTATTATTGTAATCAATCATCTGCCATTTTGGCGGAGTGGAGACGCCTATATAATGGGTCTCCCCCTTCATTCTAATCAACCAACAAAAAAATAATCCTTTCGTCCTTCTCTCATCTCTTCTAGCTTTCTGGCATCCTCCCCAGCTCAGTCCCTCTCTTGTTTTTATTCGTCGGAGCTCCAACGATTAGAGGTGTCACTCTCATTGGAGACGAAAACCGTTTTATCTTTGGGTTATAATGCCATCCACCGGAGGCACTACCGAGGCGTATCTAATTTTCGGAAAGAGGATCCATCCTCGACTCGGTTTCACGTTTATTCTCGCAATACCCATACACTCCAACAATCCAAAATTAGATATTACTTTGCGAGAATGTCAACACCTGCCGGAGCCACCACCGGAACCTCCGCCGGAGAAGTCGCTGGAGCCATCGCCGGATCCTCCGCCGGAAAAGTCATCGGAGCCGCAACCGGAGATGTCGCCGAAATCTCCGCTGAAGCCGTCGCCGGAATTTCCGCCGGAGATGTCGCCGGAGGATCGCCGGAGCCGCCGCCGGAGGAATCGTCGGAGGATATGGGGGACAAGGTAGTCGCTCCTTCACTTGGGCCAATTCCCTTTATGGGCAACCCTTTGTTTTCTGGATTTGCCCTTGGGGGATATAGGGGATTTCCTGAGTTTGTGGCCGTACCCTCTGCTTCATTCGCGGCCCAAACTGTTAGTCCTGGGCTGGCCCACGGATGATGCCCCATGTACAAGCTCCACAACCATTCACGGGAGTGGACTTTAAGAGGTGGCAGGAGAAGATGCTCTTCTACCTGACTGCGATTGGGTTTGCCATGTTCGTGTTGCACGATGGCCCAATCACCCCAGAGCCCAGTGCAGATCAGCAGACACATGCGAATTATGCATCGTGGGCACACAGAGACTACATGACAAGAAATACTATATTAGGTAGTCTTTCTAACTCTCTTTATAATGTATATTGCAAAATAAAGAGTGCGAAAGGGTTGTGGGATGCCCTTGAGAAAAAATATAAGTCCGAGAATTCTTGGTCTAAAATGTTTATTGTGGCCTGGTTTATGGACTATATGATGGTAGATGGCATGTCAGTTTTCGAACAAGTGGAAGAATTTCAACATATTGTTCACTCTGTTATCGACGAGGAGATGTCACTGCTAGAAAAGTTCATCATGAGTGTGATGATTGATGACTTCAAATAGGAGCATATTCTTAGCTTGACAAAACTGTGTATTACTTGAATTTCTGTATAAAAACCATCACAATGAATCATCGATGGCATACATTATTGATATATATCGCTTGGCATGATCCAAAATTCGTTGTTGAGATTATTAACGATTTTTGTCTTTTTAAGCGGTAGTCTGGTGCCAGAAAAGCTAAGGCAGACGCTACAAGCGACAGCCACCTCCGCTCGCAAGCGCCCAGAATTAATCCTGAAAATACTAAGGCATGAGAGGCAAGCGGTTCACCGCCCGCAAGCGACAACCTCTCCCGCTTGCAAGCGACAGCCCAGACACCCACTGCTGCAGATTATCACCAGATTCCAACTAAGTGTTCCAACTGCAGCGGTACAACCATTCCATTTCCAGTCAGCACAAGCGAGCCTAGCTGCGCTGATGCCCTCCAGCCCTTCGGCAAGCAAGGAAGATTTGCGCCCTTACAGTTAAGTGCAATCAAAGCAAGCGCCCTGGGAGTTATGGCCAGCAACTGTCCCAACAGAATAAATACCAGTAACCGCCTAACTGCCCAGCGGTTGGAACTGCCTAACAACTGATTGCAACTGTCCCGTTTCACCTGCTATAAATAGGGCTAGATATCTTTATGTAAAAAAAAAAAAAGAAAATCGATACTTCGATTTTAAACACTTTTAGCAAGTACTTCCCAGCAAAGTCGTCTTCCTGTTTTTTAGAGCTCCAACCCTATAAAGGAGTTCTCCACAGGAATGGCCAAGGGAGTAGGAGTTCTCCTTCTCCCTTGGCCAAGTCTTTACGGTTTTCTTAGATTAGATTACTGTTTTCATTTACAGTTTTGTAGCATTAGTCTTTTCATGCTTTCGTAGTAGATAATAAAATATCATTAAGTTCTTCATCCTAAATTCTTCCACCATTTTTACACACTTATATAAAGTTCAAAATTAGAGAATTCCATTTTACTGGTTTAGAGCTAAAGAAGAATTGATTATTTGAGCCTTGTTATGCGCCAAAAGCGGTCTCAAGGTAGTTCAATGTAGTTAAATACGCGGAAACCTTTTCGACCTGCTTAACTGCTATTCTGAATTCAATTTTGATTAAAAAAAGGTAACAGAAGGGTAAAGCTACTAATGAGGCAGATTTCGGGAAAATTAACTGGAGATATGCGGTGGTCTATTAGGTCGCAGAGATTCCTAGTGACAGTAGGGTTTCTTTCTTATAATATCTTGAATCTGGGTGTCATTGAAGTCTTTTTGTAAATCCCTTAAGGTAAAAAATTCCAGTGTTATGAGTTCTTTATATTCAGTTTGTATAATTACACTACTTCCTCATCACCACTTCCGTAAATACATATAATTCCGATAACACAACTTCATCGCTCGCTCATTGCCTCCAGGGAAATCTATCCATTTAGTAACGCACAGTTCAGACACAACATCTCTTCTTCACTCTCAGTCGCTCATCTATATATATATGTGTATACATATAATGTGCCGCTCGCTCATGTCCCGATCACTCGGTAACCGCCACTCACCCATGTCCCATTCAT